AATACCGAGTTGAGCGAAGAGAGCAACGTACCATTATTTTATCGCTTTCTACATCGTGCTCCAAGGCATCGACTTTAGTGTTGAGCACGAATTCAACATTTGGGTTGGCCTTCAATCTGTCTACCAACGCCGCAGACAAGGTACTGATGCCCTTCTTGAAGGTATACACGCTTGCATTCCCCATTCTGTGCACCAATGATCGATCGAGCTTCTTGCGTAACAGCTCACTTGCCAGCTGTAAATCTCGGTGCATCATAATACGTGCTTTCTTCTGATTAAGCTGCACTAGGCCGTTCACAACGGAGCCATAAGTGCCTTCGAGATGCCACACAGCCGGAAGCAAGCTCTTTATGCTGAGGTTGTAGACGTCCCCGGCATAGATACCATGCAGTACTGCGGAGACAAGATTGTCCGATACACTCGATGTCTCGAACCTCCTGTTGAAAAAGGACCCTACAGACTCGTCTTCGAGCATCTGCCGACGGGGGTGGATGAGTTCGGTGGCAAAACTTCGAATAATATCTTGGAAAACGGGCTCACTGAAGATTCTCCAGCACATATCAAAAATACCCTGTCCAGGGCCAGGCATTTTTACCAAGTGGTCTGGATAGTAGACGAATCGATTCAGGGCGGAAGCCGCGGTTTTCGGTGTAATAAGAAGCTCATTTTCAAGACCTAGGTCTTGTATCTGCAAGAAACACTTAGCATAAAGTCTCTAATGAAGCATCTGCAGAAGTATCATACCAATTCCAACGTAGTAAGACCAGCACATCCAAACGCGTTCCCGGGCCTCAATGTCCTCGGACCTTGTTCAAAATACACCTTACCCTCCTCACCCCCAAGCTCAGTAGTCCTCAGCCAGCCTCCCACCCTATCACTCGCCTCATAAAGCGTAATCTTCGCATGCGGCAGCTCTCTCGCCAGATAATGGGCACTGGCAAGCCCCGTGATACCGCCGCCTAGAACGGCAATTCTCGTAACATCATCATCCTTATTGTCCGTCTGGTTGTTCGTAGCTAGGTCCGAAATGTGGGCTCGCGTTGTGGCACTCGAAGGAGTAGCATGGGTTTGGGTCTCATTTCCCATGCGGCGGCTCTGCGTATTATAGCATCTTCGCTGTTCCTCGAGGATCGTTCGGTTCCTACGACGTGGATGTGAGAGGATGCGAGATCTTCGGATTGATCTCGAGAAATGGGGATTGGCTGAGATTTGGCACCGGGGAGTGATGAAACATTGCTTGAGGAGAGTTACCACTGCATGCTCGGGCAATTGAGGATGCATCGAGTCAAAGGCAATATGTTTCGTGTGGTAAGAGGGAACAGCATGTTTTATTTTGAAGTCACTGGTGCATTTGCCTCGCCTCGCCAAGCCTGACATGTATAATAAATGAGCTAATAGTCGGACCTTCTATGAAGCAACATGTGTCAAAATGATTTGAGCGTTCTGTATGAGCATAGTCATGCATCACAATTTATTCAAGACATTTTATGTGGTTGAAGCTACCTCAGAGGTCTTTTGCTCTGAGGTGCTGAGAAAACAAAGTCCATTCTACCAGAGCTCTTCCAGCGTAGCTGCCAGAATTATTATCATACGCTCCTTCGACCAACGCCAAGCAACCCTCCCTAGTTATTATACATATTTTAGACCTTTCGTATAGCTGACCCATCCATGCAAATCATCTCTCCTCCTATGTAATCACCTCCGCGGTGCCCGACTCCTCCTGACTATGCATCTCTTGAGAAGTCCCAGGCTTAATAAGCTCTTCCTCCCCATTCTCGTCAATAAACTTCCTCTCACTAACGTGATCCTTTGCTCCATTCGCAACCCAGACCTTGTCTTCGAATTTCCCTCTCTTCTGACCCTCCTCGTGTTTATATACACAAGCAGCATTCAGACAGGGGTTGAACTTGCACGCAACCTTAGAGTGGGTGAACTTGCAATCAGGAGTTGTGCAGTCAGCACCGTTGCGGCACAATGGCATTGTAGGATGCCTGAAGGGACATCGAGCATTTGTGCAGTTCGGGAAGTATTTACAGTCCATCTCGGTTTGATGTGCAATCTTCTGAGCTGGAGATGGATGTCGACCGGTACACTTCCTGTTCTTGCAAGCGGCACCGAAGGTACAAGCATCGCTGACATCAATAGCTGCGCCTGGCGGGGCTGCTGGCGACTGATGTGCAAATTTACAGTCTTTATTCGTGCAAGAAAGATTGTACTTGCAGGTAGCGTCTGCCGAGGGAGGTTCTCTCTGCTCTTGGGACATCTCGACATCCATAGAAGACGTCGGCGTCTCACTATGAGATTGGTTTTGGTGGGAATTCTGATGCTCTCCAAACTTTCCCCTCTCCCCCTGAATCCATTCTGCTGCGCGCGAGGGTTTGGTTGAATCCGATCAGCTAGTGATCTCCGGGGTTGGGGCTGGTGCCCAAATCCGTTCGCCACTCCATTTCCCATTGGCATCCCAGCCATATACTGCATCTGTTGTTGAAGATTCGCAAGCATCTCAATCGTGGCCTGAGGTGACATGTTGTTGAAGTTATTCATCATCGGGTTTTGCGCCATATGAGGGCCAGCCATACTGGCATTCCGGCCACCATTCATGTTCATACTTCCTCGTCCACCTCGGTTCTGCGTCTGTTGTTGTCGGGGCCCGGTGGGGGGAACTCGGGTATGGGAATTGATACGTTCGTTCCCACTGTGAGATCGTACTTTGTGAAGTACGGAATCGCTCGATCTGTCCATTGCCTTTGCAAGATGGCCAAGCATGCGCCTGTCTCTAGGACGAGAAACTCCATCTCGCATTGACTTGGGACCCGTAGGTCTGTGGTACGTTAGTGGAGGGGGTCTTGGAGGGAGACTGAGATCTGGAGAGAAATCCACTAGTGGGATGGCATACACATTAGCTTGTCCAACGTCTGAGACATCACCCATATCCGCATCCTGCTCTCCATTTACGGGCCCTGCTTGAGCCACGTTGGAATCTGTTCCAGAAGGTCCTCCATTCCCGCCGTTCAGTTGTGAGTTGAGGAGGTCGACCTGGTCAAAGAGCCATCGCGAGAAATTTCTTGCATCTGGGTTGTCGGGTTCGAGATTGAGAAGGTCGCCTGATAACTCAGCGGCGATTTGTTCCTGGGTTTTACCGTTCACCAGCATGAGGATGATATATTCCGACAAGTCGTTTTCGGTACCACCAGTACTCCATCCCACGTCTACCAGCTTCGGTTGGATTACACTGTTGAGCGCTTGAGCCAGAGGCGTATCTAGAACAACTTCGACGGACATCTTTGCGGTCGAGGGGTGGTTATGTGGGGTGTGAAGGCGAAAAGATTGGGAGTTATGTCGATGCCACGACAAGGGTGGGAAGTCGGGAGGCCGGCACAGAAAGGTTGCGCGCTGGCTTTGCTATCGCAGAGCTGAAAGATAGGTCTTTCTGTGTGATGGTGAACTTTGACGCGTCGGGGTGGTTGAAGGGTGCGGTGGTGGAGGGATTCTTTGATGCTGAAGAAGCAGTCCTTCAAAGGCAAGTGTGAGGCTAAACTAAATCTGAAAGAGTTAGTTATCACGTGCCCAGATCAGGTAGATGACAAAAGTGTCTGCCTGGCTTGATTCATATTCCAGAAGGCACCAAGGCCGTAATGAAATGTGCCGAACATGTGCCGAGTACAGTACCGGACCGGTCGGGTGCTAAGGGTACGAAAAAATAAGCCCATTTTTTGCACAGTCCACCTTGGCCAAAGGTTAATATTTCCTTCTGAAAAGTTTATGAAATAAAAGATCATGGCTCTGTTTAATATATATACTCTTAATTTACTTAAAATTCTAAATTATTGCTCATAGAAAGGTGATATTAGGTGGTGGATTTAAAATGCCAAAATGTGCCTATTTTATCGTACCCTTAGAGCGGGAGGGGTCGTTAACCTTCAACTACTGCAGCTGTGAAGTAACAAACATCAAGGGGGTCACGGTCACGGTCATGGTCACGATTACAGTACGAAGGTACTGTACGATCACAGATGTGGTGTGGCTGCGGTTCTATTCCCGTCTGTCCTAGTCCTGCAGATGGTCTTCCATTATGGTCCTGTGCTGTCCTGGCATGCCCTGGTTGGTTTTGCAAAAAGCTGAGGTCCTGAGGTTCGTCAATCCATACATATCTCATCTTAGACGATCCTCTCAGGGGTCAAGCACAAGTTGGGAGGGAACATGTCAAACAAGAATCAAGGGAGCCTTATCCTAGCGACACATCTGCAGCCAAGAAGCAACTCATCTAAAGCAGTAATCACACTCACAGCCATCTTCAGAAATAACTCGCCGCAGTTTGCGTACAAACAAACACCAACACAACCACAATCACCCATACCATCCTCCCCACTCTTAAATACCTAAATACCGTACTATAGATACATGCATGTATGTATCTCTCGGAACCTGGTAACGTTGCTCGAGCAGGACGAGATTGCAGCAGAGTTCCCCGCCAAGGCCAGTGACGATTCTTGCTCGAATGGGCATGTCGATTCCGACAGGACCCCTTCCCATGCGTATAATCTCCCCGTGATCCGCCCATTGGTCTACGACTCAGCCTCCGCTACTGATCTCATCCCGGCAAGGCTGTCATTCACTCATCAACCCCGGGATGGCTGTCATTCACCCCTCCACCCTTCATCAAACTCTATTCCTCCTTAGGCTCTCCTCTGCTCTCTCTCTCTCTCTCTCTCTCTCTCCTTTGTACGACAGTTCGACATTCACTCTCCGTTGGAACTCTATTTCTCTCTCTCTTATTAGTTAGTCGGCTTGCCTGGCCTTGCTTATCCGCTGTACCGGTATATGTGAATGCGAGAGTGAATATATAGTCCCCCGGTTGATCCTTTCATCTTTCCGAGCCACCGCTCTGTTCTTTTTTTTTCTACCAACCTCAACCTCGCTGTCCTCAGCACACATTCCTTCTTTTACTTCTTCACTTGATGTCGCTGCCTTTTTAAATATCATACACCATAGCATCCAGCATAATGTGGTCCTCAATCTCTTTAATTGTCCTCTTTGCTTGTCAAGTCTTCGCCTTATGGCCTGCGCCCCAGTCCATTTCTACCGGTAGCTCTGTTTTGTGGATTGAGAAGGATGTTCAGATCACCTATAATGGTGGAAGCGTACGCTCGATTCCTATTCATAATGATTTGTTGACCATTAAAACTGAACTCGTGGTGGATGAACAGACTTCCTATGCATACGGCAAGCATACCCCTTCCAGCAAAGCTTTCGTCCTCGATGGTGTCAAGCGCGCCTTGGACGTTCTATTCACCAAGAACCTGGTCCCTTGGAAACTTGTTGCTCGCAATGAACTCTCTGGTTTCGAGCCTACCGCCAATGCAGACGCTTCCACCATCAAGACAATACTCATCACGCAAACCGGCCCCGACAACTCAAGTACCTTCAAGCCCTTAGCTGGTCAAGTCGATGAGTCTTACAACATTTCCATTGCCACCGATGGTACCACGAGCATTACTGCAGTATCCTACGTCGGTATTCTTCATGCCCTAGAATCATTCATCCAGCTGTTTTACAAGGAATCGTCCAGCGATGGTGTCTATACTAATCTGGCTCCTATCGAGATCTCCGACGCGCCAAAGTTTCAACATCGTGCCTTGAACATGGACGTATCTCGAAACTGGTACGAGGTGAAGGATATCAAGAGAACCATTGACACTATTTCATGGAACAAATTCAATATCCTCCATCTCCACATGACGGATGCTCAATCATGGCCGATAGAGATCCCTTCAATTCCCGAGCTGGCAGCAAAAGGCGCTTATCAGACTGGGTTGAGTTATAGCCCTCAAGACATCGAAGACATCCAAAAATATGCAATCTCACGTGGTGTGGAAGTCATCATGGAATTCGATATGCCTGGCCACACATCGTCAATCGGTTACTCCCACCCTGAACTTATCGCTGCCTTTGATGCCAAACCTTGGGGCACGTATTGCGCCGAACCTCCTTGCGGGTCCTTGAAGCTGAACTCCCCAGCGGTTTTCGATTTCTTGGAAAAGCTCTTCGACGACGTCTTGCCAAGAGTCTCTCCTTATTCTTCATACTTCCATACCGGAGGAGATGAAGTCAACGTCAACACTTTTCTTCTGGATGACACAGTTAATTCTAATGATACTGCAATCTTGCAACCACTAGTTCAGAAAATGGTTGATCGCAACCACGATCAAATACGCAAGGCCGGTCTTACACCTATGGTATGGGAGGAGATGCTCCTGCAGTGGAATATCACACTTGGGTCGGATGTAGTTGTTCAAGCATGGCAGACCGATGAAGCTGTTTCTCAGACCACCGCAAAGGGCCATAAGGTTGTGGGAGGAAACTACAACCTCTGGGTAAGTAGATTGATAACCAAGTTCTTGTCATGTGCTTACATAAATTTAGTACCTTGATTGTGGAAAAGGCCAATGGTTGAACTTCGATAATGGGGCATCATTCCAGCAATTCTACCCATTCGCCGACTACTGCTCGCCAACGAAGAACTGGCGTCTTGTATACGCTTATGATCCCCTCGCTGGTGTCCCAGCAAATGAGACGCACTTGGTTTTGGGTGCTGAGGTTCACATCTGGTCTGAACAGACAGACCCAGTTAATCTTGATACCACAATCTGGCCGAGAGCCAGTGCTGCAGGTGAGGTGCTTTGGTCCGGAAGACAAGATGCCAGTGGACAAAACAGGAGTCAGATCACCGCTGCTCCGAGGTTGGCGGAGATGAGGGAGCGCATGTTGGCTAGAGGGATCCAACTTGGGCCAGTTCAGATGGTATTCTGTACCCAAAACAACGCCACAGAGTGTGCTCTATAATTTGAGCTTAGGGGGAGTCAAGTATACCGAATAGTATAAACAAAATGTAATTCGTGAATCACGGAATTTATGGAAAGTACCCAAAGGCGGACAATTCCCAGGCCCGTGGTAGTAGATTACATGGAGTGAACTTTTGGCTTGAATGTGCGACTTGTAGTTCGAGCAGTACTCCATACAGCGGGAAGTGACTGAAGTACAAATCCGCACCATCTTTGATTCGCTACTCGTACTCCGGAGCAGAAGCTATTTCATCATGTGCAACAAGGATGCTCGGTTTACGGAGCAGCCCTTCTCTCCGCACTTTACCCCACACATATGTCTGCACTAGCAACTGGCCGAGCTTTCACATGCCCCTCCCATCCCTTCGACATCAAATATATACAGCCGTCAACATTTGATTGGCGGGTGCTTAAGCATTTAGGGATCCTCTAGTCCGAATACTGCAAGGCTTCTACTGTACCAGAGCATTCATGCTTAAAAGACCCCCTTGGGCGCGCAAACTCCCGCCTTAAAGATCCCGACAAGATTCAATTTTCGACCGAGCTGGTATGAAAACGGACGTTAGCCAGGTACAAATACAATGACCCATGCCCTCCGTCTAGAGCGGGGCTTGAAGCTATAGTTCTGAATACTCTCCTGAACTCTATGGATACTTGACCGGCAATCATGATTGAAGAAATACTCGAGCGCTTGTCTCTCAAGAGCATTGCTGTTGCTTTCATCAGCGCCTTCGCTCTATTAGGAATAACTAAATGGCTCAACAACGAAAGAAAGATCCGCGCTTTAGGCGGGCATACTCGAAGACAACCAACATGGTTTCCATTCGGTGACTACCACTTCATCTCCGACACACACAGCACGTACTGACACACCTAGATGCCGAAATCATCGTTCGTGCTGTCTATGCCACCACGCACTACAAGGACGTTGAGTGTTGGACCCGTTGGTTCACGACGCCGAAAGGCATGGACTACACCTTCGAAGCGTCACCCTTTGGACGGCGCATGATATTGACTGCTGAGCCCGAGAACATCAAAGCGATACTCGCTTCGCAATTTACGGCGTATGGGAAAGGGGAGCCGTTTCATCGGGAATGGAAGGCATTTCTGGGCGATTCTATCTTTACCACTGATCAAGAACAGTGGCATAACTCGAGACAGTTGCTCCGCCCTCAGTTTATCAAGGACCGAGTCAGTGATCTGGATGTCTTTGAAGAGCATGTTCAGATCCTGATGGAACACATGACGAAAGCTGGGCGTTATTGGGATGGAAGACAGGGGAAGGAGTTTGATCTTAGTGACTTGTTCTTCAGGTATACTTTAGATGCAGCAACACACTTCTTGTTGGGTAGGAGTGCGGGGAGTTTGGAGAATCCAGAACTAGAATTTGCAGATGCGTTTGCAGAGATCCAGAGGATACAGAACTTCCTCGCCAGAGCTGGGTCCGCCATCCCATCCTCCCTTTCACACCCCTTCCTCCACTTCCACTTCCATACCTACTTGGCCATTACTAACGCGCACCAGACCCCCCAAAAAGTTCTTCCCCCGAACGACCTTCAACAAAAAACTCAAGATCCTAAACGAATTCGTCAACCCATTCATCGATGACACGCTCCGTCTCACTCCAGAAGAACTAGCTACCAAGACCAAGTCCGAAGAAGGCTATACCTTCCTGCATGCCCTCGCCGGCTTCACGCGTGACAGACAAGTCCTGCGCGACCAGCTCGTCGCCGTCCTGCTAGCCGGCCGCGACACCACAGCATCGACCCTGTCATGGATATTCTACGAACTAGCCAAACACCCTGAGATATACCAGAAGCTGCGGAAGCAGATTATAGATCGGGTGGGGCTGCATCGAGCACCGACGTATGATGACTTGAAGAGTATGAAGTATTTACAGGTAGGTAGTTTCTTTTCTTTTCTGCTTTATTACTTCAAAGTCACTTCAAATATGCATGCATGTATATATGTATGGACAATATATGTATCGTCTACTTGGAATACATCCTAATACCCCACCCCCACAGAACGTCATGCACGAAACCCTCCGCCTCTACCCCGTCGTCCCCTTCAACCTCCGCCTCGCGCTCCACGACACCACTCTCCCCCTAGGCGGCGGTCCCGACGGCCTCTCCCCGCTGGGGATCCTCAAAGACGACATCGTAACCTACTCAACGCTCATCATGCAACGGCGACCGGACCTAACCCCCAACGCGCTCTCCTTCTCCCCCGAGCGCTGGGACACGTGGCAGCCGAAGCCGTGGACCTATATCCCGTTCAACGGCGGACCGCGCATCTGCATCGGCCAGCAGTTTGCGCTGACGGAGATGGGGTATACGGTTGTGAGGTTGCTGCAGAGGTTCAGCGCACTGGAGAGTCGGATGGGGCCGGTGGATGGGGGCAGCCCGTGTTTGAAGGCTGAGATTGTGTTGCAGCCGGGCCAGGGAGTGCTGGTTTCGTTTGTGGAGGGAGAGGGGAAGGGGGAAGAAGGGGGGGATAGTGGATGAGTGATGCGTGGGGAGGGAGGGATTGGTTGAGTTGGGATGTGAAAGATTTATGAATATATGGTAAATACGTGTATAGGAATCAAATAAGAATACGACAATTATGTAGTATTCAAGTAAAATTACCTTTTATAAATTACTCCTGACTCGCCAATCTTGTTTTGCCCCTGAGCTAGAGTAGCGAAAGTCTCTCTCATTCTAATAATACATTTCATTTAAAATTGAAGCAGAAAGAGGAGCATAAGCACTTTCGTATCGATCCATGCACTTTAGATATAGTCCAGTATATTTAACACCACGCTTCTTTCTTCATTCGTCATTACGCAACAACCCACCCATTGCATCGAAGCCGTCTGTCTAATCTACCATGGTTCTGTCTGCGTACATACATATATACCCATCCATGAAGTAACTTTCTCTACGTGCTAGGAGCTAATCCTAAATGCACCCCCAACTCCCCCCTCAACCTCCCAATTCATTTCCAATCAAGTTATCAAGCCCCGTTACCATTCCGCACCTTCCCATCAACCAACCCAAAACTCTCTCTAATAGCCTTTCCAAACCGCTCAATAGCCTCCGTCATCTTCTCCTCGGTCGCCGCCGCGAACGTAGCGCGGAAGAACATGTCCTGCGGTACGAAGCCGTCGCGCTCAGCTGTGAACCAGGAACCGCGGGAGATGAGAACACCCCTTTCCACGGCAGCGAGGAAGATTTTTTCTTCCAGGTCCAGGAGCGGCGTTGTGGCGTAGGAGGGGTGTAGGTGATGGGCGATTTTGAGCCAGAGCTTTTGCTTGTTAGTTCGCTGCCTGGAAATAAAAGATAAAGCGGGGTGGAAGAGGGGACGTACAAACATGCCAGCAGCAGGTGGATTCCAGCTCACAATCTCCTTGGGCAAGAACTTCTCACACGCAGCTAGAATCGCATCTCTGCGTCTCGTGTATTCTAATCTGAGGCTGATTAACCATTGTAAGTAGCCGCTATGGCCCCAGCTCTCGTCTAGCATCTTATACAAGACTAGTTGGGAGATTCCGCTGGGGTTCTGGTTCGAGCACTCGTTGTGTCTGACGAAGCGCTCGACGATTTGCGCCGAGGCTGTGATCCAGCCTACGCGTGTACCGGGCGCGATGACTTTGGAGAATGAGTCCATGCGCATCACGCGGCCGTCGACGTCCATGCTCAGGTAAGTGGGGATGAGAGCTTTGAGGAAAGCTTCGTTGTTCTCTGGTGGGGGAACAGGGGCGGCGTTGGGCCCGGTGTACGGCTGCATTTGCAGGAAGTAGTATGGCTCGTCTTCGAGGATGTAGATGTCGTGTTTCTGGGCAACTTTGTAGATCGCCTTTCGTCTCTCTGTGCTCTGTGTTGCACCAGTGGGGTTCTGACCGGATGGAACTGTGTACAGAACACGGGGTTTCCGCGCTCCTCGTTCTTGGACATTCCAGTTACTGAGTATCTCATCCATACTCTCAGCTATTAAGCCTTGATCATCCATTTTCACGCCGGCGAATTTAATGCCTAGTGGTAGAGCGGTCTCGACGGCAGACGCGAACGTGTACTCCTCGGAGAGTACATAGTCGCCGCGCTCACAGAATATCCGATACGTCTGATCAAGCGCAGAAGTACTTCCGACCGTGAGCGCACAATGCCAATCCGCGTACGGCGGATCACACACAATCTCCGTATGTTCGGTCACGAAACGGATCATCTGCGCACTTCCCGTACCGAGACCATAGTTCAGGGCAATGGAGAGGTCATATGCGCTACGCCCCTCGGCGACATCGTACTTGCCGGCCGTGAGTACCGTTCCCGATACCTTGGTTTCTTGCTCGGAGAAGTGAGGCGGTGAGGGGACTTTGATGGCCAGCTCTTCGATGGGGAAGTTCTCGGCGCATGGGAGACCTCCACCAAGGGATATGAGACCGGGGTTCCTAAGGTACTGGGCGGCGCCTTTCAGGGAGGATGGTTGGCGGGCTTTGCTTTCAATGGTAAGGTAGTCTGCGTGTGGGTGGTCAGCATGTATAGAAGGTGGGGTTTGTGTGACAGACTTACGATCCCATCTTTTCGCATTTGGCTTTCCAGAGGTCTGTGAAAGTTAGCATAGTGTCTATGAAGAGGAGGGAAGAAGAGGGAAGGGAAGAGAGAATGACTTGGCTTTTAAAATGGTCGCTAGATGTAAAGGCTGCAGTCCCTGCTACCAACTTCCCAGCCTTTGTGCGTCTCGCAGATACACCGTTGATAGTCAAGGGATTTGGAAGTACAATGGCTTGTGTGTCGGTGACACCTTCAATGTCAATTGCAGTGGGAGGAGCCATGACTGAGATTGATTTGTAGGAGAGAGATGAGGATGTAAAAGGAAAAAGAAGTTTCACTTATGATGTCCCGCTGTTGGTATAATGTTTCGTGAAGGGCGTCGATTTTTCGTAAAGGGCGTCGATTTTTGGACATAGACCAACGAGAAAGCGGTCAAGAGGACGGATGAATAGGGGAATGTTACACGGTATTATAAGCTTTAGCGGGGAGGCTCAAAACTCGTGCAACCAAGGACGTGGAGGTTTGTAGTCATACCCACGTACTGTAGTAGGTAACATAACGTACTAGTTTTGCTTTTTGGCTATCTCTTTGCTTGACTATCGTCAGAAAGCAAGCGTTATCGGAAAGCCGTTGCTAAGCGCCAAGCGAGGGGTAATAAGGGTCAGGTGACGATGTGCAGATGTGCCCTTTTCTGTTACGCAATCAACTCCCACTCTTCGACTTTGTTCTTGTTGCTAATCAGGATAGAACCTTATGATCTATTAATAATTGAGAAGGTTTGAAAATGAGAAAATAAGAAATGTCCTAAAACAAAAATTGGGACAGTATGGACAAAGAACATACAAATTAGTTGAATTGATATTACTAAATATCTATCTAAAACAACATGTGCTTAAAACCACCCTCCTTTCCAAATAATTCTCCAATAGCCTTCCCCGCATGTAAAACATGCAAGTCATGATATCTGGCACCAACAAGCGTCAAACCAATCGGCAAGCCATTCTCACTAGCAAATCCGGGGATATTCAGGCAAGGAACGTGAAGAATGGTCCACATCGAACAAAAGGACTAGTAAGCATCAGTCAAACTCCAAGTTACGTGGATGAAGGTTTGATCAAACTTACAGCGTCACCGGTACTTTCAATGCCAACGGGGGCTTCGTCGACAACACTAGGAGTGAAAATTGCATCGTATTTACCTGCAATCTCGTCCCATACAGGTCGAAGCCGCGCACAGCCATCGTAACTCTCGAGCTGTGATTTCCGGCTTAGACCCGTAGAGTTCTCCACGTGACCCTGTATCGAGTGATGCAGTTTGTCCTTTGCTAAAAGATAGTCTGCCGATTGTCATCAGCTATAATGCGCAAACCATACTCAGAAATTATTACTCACTCCCCAAGAAAGATGTTCGGCCCTCCCCGGAAAGAACATTAGCGTGCCACTGCTTAATTTTATCAAAATCTCCCGGAAGGTCAATCTCCTCAACAGTGGCACCTTGCTTCCTTAATAGATCTTGAGCTTTCTCCCATGCAGCCTTGGTACCAGGCCCAGCCTTGCCCCATACGTGAGTTTTACAAAAGGCAATCTTCGAACCCTTAATCGAGAAAGGTGTGGAGGGGACCGGATCGTCGTCTGCTAGTTGGAAGACTTTGGAAAGAAGTTCCAAGTCTTCCACAGATCTCGCGTAGAGACCAAGAGTATCACAGGTCATGGAGTATTGCGCTAGGCCTTCGCGGGAGATAGCACCCCATGTTGGCTGTTAAATTTGTCAGTGTGAGGGATATAGAAGAGGAGGGAGTCTTTACTTTGAGGGCGTAGATGCCGTTGAAAGATCCAGGTCTAATGGTACTTCCTCCAGTTTGGGTACCTAGTGCAATAGGTACCTGGAAATGTCAGCCCGTAATTTGCTCTGGAAGTATCGAAAGGTTTAATACCTGGTAGTCACCAACAGCTGCCCCTGATCCGGAAGATGATCCACCGGGAGTTCTCTCTGGATCATGAGGATTCGTGGATGGTCCACCATTGACTGTAGATGCGAATTCAGTGGTAGTGGTCTTCCCAAAAATCAGAGCTCCAGCAGCACGAAGAGTAATGATTGGTGCTGCATCCACAAGACTAGGCCCTTCACCCTTGTAGATGGGAGAATTGTGGCAAGTAGGCATATCTAGACATCCCACGTGATCAACAATGGGACTCGAGAACGGGAAATAGAGCTTACCTTTTGTGAGGATTACATCTTTGACTCCAATTGCAATACCATGTAATGGACCTCTTTTCTCTGCTGGAATCTGGTCTAGTTTTTTTGCTTGAGCAAGCACGAAGTCAGGGTCTAGATATGCCCATGCTTTGACAACATTATCGCGAGCATTGACACGAGCGAGGAGGGACTTGGCATAGTCTTCAACTGTAATATCACCTTTCTGCATTAAAGCAAGAGCTTGGCTCGCTGTCAAGCGGTAGGATTCAGCCATTGTTAGGTTATTGTTCTTGCAAAATATCAAGTCAACTAAATGATTAATAAATTGGGACTGAAAAAATATATTGGAAACGTGTTCACTTGCACGTAGCGATTGAATTTTGAAAGGGTGAGGAATGAGTATTGTTTGGCATGCCTAAACGTAAATACTCGTTGGAGAGTCCAAGAGTGGGTTACAGGGGTAGCTTCCGAAATACCGGGCGCTGGTGGGCGTCTTGAACCTTATCTTCGGAGCAGCGAGATGATAAAAGGAAGAGTTCCGTGGTCGGCCATTCCAGGCCCTCCCTACTCGGCTGGAATGTTTGACGTCTGTGTTTGAACAATGCACCTGAGTTCTCACTGAGGCCGTCTGTGATCTCCAGGTAGGTAGTCTTGAGAAGTCACATGGTAGATTCTGTGAGTAACTTCGTAGTGTGGAGGAAGTAGTGCCGTCTACTTGCGGTTATGGGTAGCTGGCATTTTCGCGCGATGTGAAGGGAGCAGTGCCGTCTATTTGGGGGTTGCGGGGGGAGCTGGTAGCGGAGACGACAGAGTCCCTTTACCATGTTAGTAATCTCAATCAAGGTCCCCGGATTGTCTTCATCGCTGGATTGTCTGCATTGAAGGGAGTAGGCCGAGGTTGAATATCAGTAGAGCAGGAGCCGGGAGACTTGTTTAAGATGTGACAGCGAATTCCTTCTTGCGGCGTAAAGGAGGAATCGCGGTTTAGGTCCTTGAAAAAGGAGACGCCTTTGGCTTATCAGTTCCCGACAATCTCGTAGGTATCTGGTAAAGGCTGGACTAATGACTCTGCCTTGCGGTCTTGTGCACTGGAGGAATGTAAAGGTGTAGAGAGATTGAGACAATAGATTTGAAAGCTCAATCATCGAAATCGCCCCCAAAATCTACCAAGCGAAGCTTCCTAGCATCCCTAGGATGAAATTGAGCAACCTTTGACCTCACTAGGAATCTTGCTGCTGCAGTTTCACTTCGAAGTTCCACATAAGCCCCCGGCCCGGTCCCACCTGCTTCGACTAAGCTGTTGAGAAGCTCCTCTGTCAGCTCCCGCATTTCTGTCGCAGCCGCTCGTTTCTCATCCCAAGGCTCCTTAGACCGTCTGTCTTCTTCTGGTCTTGCACCCCATATCTCGTCGATACGGCGCTGCCGTTTAGCATCATCTGGATTGGCCGTTGCTTTTTTTGCCTTTCCCTGAGTACTGAATCCAGCTTCGAGCATAACTTCGTCAACGTCCAGTAATTCCCCCACGATAGGTCCCCCGAGCTCTTCAGCGGCAAGCATTGGGGCAAGATGCTCGTCTATGAACCTGTTAAAGGCTTTGACCAGTTTCCCAGTCTCGCTATCATAATAAGTTTTCTTCTTCTTTAATTCGCGTATCATCTCTTTTGCGACCTGACCAGGTGACTTTTGGGTTCGGTCATCTATCTCTGCTTGAAGTGAAGAAATTCGGCTGGTAAGATCTGCCTCAATAAGATTTGCATCACTGAGATCAGCATGCTCTTTCTCGAGCCGCTTCTGGGTCTCCTTGAGCTCGGTGTCGGTTTCAGTCGTGCATTCTTGACTTTCCTTGACACATTGGTGCGTGGCGCGCAGAGCTAAAAGAGCTGGTAAAGGAGAGTCTACAGGCGGAAGCCATGGCTCTTGAGGTATGAGAGTCTTGAAAGCAGCTTCGAGCGCTTGTAGCTGGAGTAAATGAGACTTAGGGTCAGAGGAAGGTTCAGTTTCGATGGAAGCTGTAGATATTCGAAGCTAATGAGAGTTAGTCTGGTTGTAGATTGGTGACTTGCGAATATAACCTTTTCTAATGCAGCTTCCTGCTCTTTGACTCTTCCTTGTAGTGTTTTCAAAGTCCGATCCAGACGCGCCGTGTAAGAGGTGGCTGTTTGTGACATTTGAGAGTTCTCCATGACTGCCTAGGTAACTGCTTCCAATTTCTGTTAGAAATTCGGGAGAATCCAATTCAGAAGAAAGTCGGAAACGTTTCAATCAACGAATTGTTTTTCTCTCTTTGGGATTATTAATGATACGCCGGTTTCTTTCCTCGGACGACGCGCAGTAACACTACCTACCTACCTAGCGCGTTTTCAAAATTCGTCGCTGCCTGTATTCTGAGGCTCAAATCCTTGTTGAGCTTTTTCGCTTGCTTGCAGATCCGCCTTAGCTTTTGGAATCTGCATTGAGCTCCAGTGTCTGGATTCCTACAAATCAAATCAATATCGCGACAGAGTTGAGCATTGTCGGTCTCCCTTCTACCATCTCTTCTTTTGATTTCAATATCTCCAGATATAACCTCCATCTTGATAGTCCGTCCAGCCATCGCCAAGCCATTGACAGACAGCATTGACGACGGGCACCGACAGGGCAGGAACGACCAACGCAACTCCCCTTCAACTTTATTGACCTTTCCCTCTACACCCTTCTCCCCTTCCCTTCCCGACACAAAAGAGAAACACATCCAGCAAACAGGGTAGATACAACATCCAACGCAACTGAATATTTCGGTCATTGAAGGACCTAAAGGTTTGAGGATAGGATAGGTCTCTAATACTGCTTTTCTCCCCAGCCAGAGAGCCAGTTCGCGTCATTCGTCACTTTCGCCTCAACTCATCCATCCACCTCCCTCATACCTTACCCAAGCCCGAATTCTCTTCTCAAGACAAAGTCTTTACAACACCCTCTACCTCCCTGCTCCCCTACTCACGACACCATTCTCTTCTCAACAACCCTCCCCGTTCGTGCTAGCACAAGCTCAATCCCTTCCGATCACCAGCACCAGCACGTTTTCCTTCGAAGACCCCCCTGGTGTACATAAAACGATCAATCCATACTTCTTTCCGACCTCCTTCCCGACCACTTCTCCAAACTTGAGTGAAGAGATTAACCCTAGCAAGAAAGCATCATGTCTGCCTCACCATCAGCAGCAGCTCCGAATCAATCGACCAAACGACGTCTCGAAGATCCCTCTTCTCCTTCTCGGGACGATCAGCCTGAAGCCAAGCGACCAGCACTCGATAACATTGTCAAAAGCGAGGATGATCTGGAACTAGTGGCAGCCCCTGAGACCTTAGAGCTACCCGTCGTCAGCTCTGATCCAGAAGGCAAGACAGAAGTTACCAATGGCACGAAAGCAGAGGTGAAGGACGAGCAAGGAGACACTGTCGTTCCAGATGCAGCTTCACATTCAATTGAAACATCGGTGACCTCTACGCGAGACGACACCAATAGAGGATCAAGCCTTCCACACGACGAGAGTGGTTGGATTCACATTCGTTCTGTTATCACAAGTGCCGAGGCCGCGACTGTTATTGGAAAGGGGGGAGAGAATGTTTCACAAATCAGAAAGGCGTCTGGTGCGAAGTGCACAGTCAGTGATTATCAGAAGGGCGCAGTGGAGAGAATTTTGACTGTTAGCGGTGTTGTTGATGCAGTAGCAAAGGTTCGTCAACTCGTTACATTTGCCAAACTTCCAAGCTAACTCCAAACAGGCATTTGGCTTAATTATTCGCACACTGAATAACGAACCACTGGACGTAACTTCTGGGCCTCAGTCGAAGACATACCCGCTTCGACTTCTCATCCCTCATATCCTCATTGGATCAATCATCGGCAAAGGCGGAGTCAGGATCCGCGAGATCCAAGAAGCTTCTGGTGCTCGACTCAACGCTTCTGACGCTTGCCTCCCTCTTTCTACTGAACGTTCATTGGTAGTCCTCGGTGTTGCTGATGCCGTTCACATTGCCACCTATTACGTAGGGAGCACCCTCTTTGAGCAGCTATCAGAGAGATTCGGTGGCCCTGCCGCATCTGCTTATGCTTCTCGGAGTGGCGGTCCTGCTGGTGTCGTTCCTGGAGGCATGCAGGTTGTCCCGTACGTGCCTCAGCCTGCCGGAGGAAACTATGGTCACCCAGAAAATCATCGTCGCCCTGATCGTGGTAATCATAACACCCCTGGGCCAGCCTATGGTCAAGCTTATCCCCAAGGTGGTCAGCCGGCTCAGCAACCTCAAGTCCCAATGCATTATGGCGGCTCTCCTGCAGTTGGAGCAGGGTATGGAGGCGTTGGACCACAGCAACCTCACCAAGCTGGTCAGGCAGGCCCTGCATCTCACGCCGGACCGCCTGCTCAGCCAATGCAAGGCTTGGTACCTGGCCAACCACTGACTCAACAAATCTTCATTCCAAACGACATGGTGGGCGCTATCATTGGCAAGGGTGGAGCTAAGATCAATGAGATCAGACAGCTAAGCGGCAGTGTTATTAAAATCAACGAGCCACAAGACAACAGCAACGAACGTCTGGTCACGATTACGGGTACCCAGGAGTGCAATCAAATGGCATTATATATGCTGTACTCGAGACTTGGTTAGTTGCTTCTAATTCGTATTCATCTGACAGTCACTAACCAATTTCACAGAAAGCGAAAAGCACCGTATCTAAGGGAATTTGTATTATGAACTATAGTTCTGCAATTGACGACTGAAATTGGGTTTTACGGCGCATCATGGGCAATCCAAAACTGGGGGGAGCGTTAATTGCTTTGGCAACCTTAATTATTACATATCACGGAGGAGGAGAGAAAGTGAGCTATGTGTGCACTCTGAACCAAAAAAAAATGCATTTTCTCTGCTTGAGCAATTAATATGAAGTTGGCACGTGATTTGTCTCCGAAATCAACCCCGCGTTGACCCCACCTGACTCCGTACTCCGCAAGATATCAACATAAAAGAAATGCCCTCCTACAAGTATTAACATCTCATAGTTCCACGTCCTACAATTCCTCAGTTGGCTTGACATCCTGCACTTCAATTAGCACCCTTCCAACCTTTCACCCCAGAAATCAAATACAATGCCTTCCCCTGTGACAGAATGCGCCACTATAACTCTCAAACCGGGCATCGACCTCGGAACCAGTGGTACGGACTCAGCCCAAGCCTGGAATGAAACGCTTGCTACTGTAGCCAAGCAAGCCGGGTACCAGCGCTCGTACTGGGGCCGTCAATTAGAGAACCCGAATATTGTTGTTTGGCTCATTGGTAGTTTCCTTCCCCTTTCCTACCACAACTTCCATGTAGAGCACAAGTAAGAGTGTTTATAAACAAAAACAACACATTTTAACCATTCAAACAACAGACTGGGAATCCCTCGCCGCGCACCAGACCTTCATGGCCTCCCCATCCTACCAACCTTTCGCTGCCCGCTTGCTGCCTCTGACAGAAAACGTACATCTGCATCATTTCACGCCCTCCGTGTTCCCTCCGGGGATTATCGCGAGTGCGCCGGTGATTGAGTTTGCGACGTTCTATGATACGAAGCCGGTGTTTGTGGGGAATGTGAGGAAGTTTGAGGGGGTGCTGGATCAGGCTAAGGCGAAAGGGGATGTGGATGTGGATGAGTATTTGGGTGGGGTTTGGGGGGAAGGTGTGTTTTTCTTTCTTTCTTTCTTTCTTTCTTTGGATTTGGACAAGGCTGGGTTGCGTTGTAGACGTCAGAAGTAGAAGGAGTGAAGAGAAAGAAGGACTAAGTGCTGACTTACTCCCACCAGTAATTGAAGATATAGCAAAAAACGGCGCATCAGAAGGCAAAGGAAGGGCAATCCGGTTATGTCTAGGCTGGACGAGTAAAGAAGCGCATATGAAGTTCCGGGAAACGCAGTTATTCAAAGATAACATTGCGCTTCTGCGGGAGGGCGTTGGGAGTGCGGAGGTGCACCATGTGGCTTTTAAGACTGTTTGAAATTTGAAGAGAGATGCTGTGCTGTATTGGTAGAAGCCAGTCTGGAGATGGGTATGGAGATGGAGAAAGCGGTTGCGAGCTATGTTTGTACTAGAATAGAATTTCAGATCTCTGCTCTTCCTCATATATAGATCGATAAATCGTATGGAGGCAAGGCGCGACCTGGAATGGTTGTAACTTGGCACTTACTGGCAGTCAAACCCCTTTTGACATTGTCCACGCCGTCTAGCACATCATACAGTGAGGTTGATAAATAGCTTGGGTTTTTGTGAATATACTAAGTTTTATTTGTACCAAGGAGCTACCGAGGTATCTAAATAGGTATCATCCGGTATGCCGTCCTACCCAAAACCCATCCAAGTGTGCCTACTTATAAACAAACACACATACATAAACATTGAAAGCCGTATGAAAACGTATACTGTAATAGAAGAAATATCAACTAGTAAATTGGCCGTCCCTCCTGCCACTTCGCCTGTACTACTTCAGGTCCTCCATCGCTGCCACTAACAGGACTGCTCCTGTCACCAAAAGCGCCCCACGACACACGTCCAGATTTCCGTCGTTTCTCCAAGCCGTCAATCTCGCCTACAGCGCCGATCCACTCCCACACTCTGCTGATTTCACCACTCCTACTTTCACGTTGCGAGGCGCGAACGTTCGCATTCATTTCGACTACTTTCTTCACTTTATTCCACAACGCCTCTCTCTTCCTAAGACTATGCTGATCCCGAAGGACATCATCCCTCAGCTGTCCAATACTGATCCAACCTTCAGGATAATCCTCTTTATCCTGAACATGGAATGTAGCTTGGGTAGCTAATCGATCAAGTGTCAATGACACTAGATGCGGAACAGCAGCATTGTCGGCTGCACGAGAGGTAAAGAGATGGCGGATGTAAAATATGACAAGGGCAAGGATAGCTACACTAGCAATTTTGAGGCGATGTCTTGCCAGTGTGAGTCGGAAGGATCGTTTGAGGGCGCAGGTGAAGGGGAGGCGGGCGAGAGAGGTGCTGCTGAGGAGGTTTCGGTTTCTATGGCAGGGATAACGAACCTGATTAGTGGTCTGTTGTCAGAATAAATGTATGTGGGTAATTTGGAATGCTAAAAAATAGGAGTTGAAAAATAAAGCTTGCAATCTTCAATAAGATAGAATGAAATGAGTTTGAAGAAACAATATTTCGACTTACCCATCAGCGCCGCTCACAACCTCTTCTCTACCCTTAATCTCTCCAATAGCACCAGCCCACAACTCTTCGAATTCGTCCTCGCCCATCCCCTTTCTTCGCTTTTTGCTGACTTCTTTCTTCAACTCCTCAGCGTCGATCTCGACAGTAGGCTCAGGACTTCCAGCCTCATCGGTCAAGTCACCACACTCCCACTTGGCGCGTCTGTCTCTCAGCTCATTAATCGCTTTATCAGCGACAGCCTTGACTCTGCGGACTTTCTCTCCATCCGGTTCGCAAGTAGGTGGAAGTGGTACTAGTCCTCCAATTGACAAAGGATGGGGTTTGAGAACAAAGTCTGCTTCACACTCAGTATCTAGATTTGAGCGGCAATAAGCATGCTGTGGGCAAGCTTCGCATTCTGGCTCTGCCATGACTCTGACCCAGTCAGGGACGTCCATATTCCTGGGTATAACTTCATATGCGTTCCTGCCAACGCCACAATAACCCACAGCAACCTTTTCTTGACGATACCAGGTAGCATAACCACCGAGCAGAGTCAAAAGAGCTACCCATATTGGCCCTTTCTTGTTGAATTTTCGACCTTCCTGCTTCTTTGGCCTCCGTGGACCAAGGGCATCAATTCCATTGACTGAACGTTCACGCACCAGTTCCAGCTGTTCTTCGGGAGTAAATTCCTCGCTGGCTTCAACGCCGTTTTCGTCAACGTCTTTCAGGCCATTGAGCTCGCTAACTGGGATTTCGAAAGTGGCGGAAGTAGGCGGGTGGAATCCATCTTCGATCTTAGGCTCAACAGATGTTTTCCTTCTTGATATAGAGCTGCTCTTTCGATTGCTGGAACTGAGACCCAAGCTCTTTCTCTTTCGCTCTCCACTTACATTCCTAGACTCGGATGGAGGGGAGCTGCCACTTTGAAAAGGGTTGTCGTACGTGAAGGCACTCTCCCGCCGATTGGTAACGGGCAAGTCATCGTCCTCAACCTTCACTCTCGTAGCTGGCGCTGGAGTTGGGGCTTCGCTTTTCAGTGACTTCCGGATCGACTTTTTAATTCCACCAGGATCTGTCTCGGTATCAGAAACCCTCGCATGCTTGCTGCTCGCCCTCGGAGTCCTCTTCGTCGGGCTTCTCAAACCCGGCATATCGGACTCGCTCTCCTCAGCCCTGACCTTTGCAGACGGCTTTCTTGTTCTCGTCCGCGGAGTTGGAGGCGGCGGCATTGACTCTTCCTCGTCCGTTTCGTCCCGATCTGCGTTCGTGATGCCCTTGCTTGTCCTCCTCGCGCGCGCTCTAGCCGCTAGTATTTTGCGGCCTTGAGGCAAGACTTTGTCGGTGAAGATCTGTACGAGTTGAGCCTTCTTTGCGCTGGAGGGATATTCGATGCCGTAGGAGACGAGGATCGATCGCAGGCGTGGAACTGTGAGGCTCGCGGGGTCGAAACCCGTTTGCAAATAATCAAGACTTTCGGTGTCCGACATGGTGGCTTTGTCTAGTGCGACAACTTGTCTCAATGACAAGAAAAGCTTCGCACAAAGAAAGGTATCAGGTTGCGCGCGATGATAGAGTAGCTATGGAAGCCAGATCGTCTGGTTCTACGAGGGACAATATACTCTGTAGAAGGCAGTAGCTCTCCTGATGCGGGCGCAAAGGACGTGTTTTGGTAAACAGCGACTTCTTATCAACACCAAGCAAAACAAAGGCCCTTAAGCACGCGCAAAAGGGTGGCGAGAGTTCTTTGAGAGAATGGGGAAGGTAACGATGGCGGGCGAAAGGTTGAAGAAGTCAAAAGGCAACTGCGGTGTGGTGGTGGAAATACCTAGATAGCCAAGGCAAATATTGGTAACTTGCTAGCTGGGTTGTTACGGGCAACAGCAAAAAGCTCAGGTGAGCTTTTGATAGGTGCGGGGCGGGGCTAGGCGGTGGCGAATGTGATTTTTACGCCACATACGGCAAGCCATAGCAGACCCCCGTTTTCTTCCACAGTCTTGGATGGCGATTTCTATTAGAACAGGTTGTACAGTAACGTCCGTCCCTGTGTCCCGAGACGCACCCTGTCACGAGACGAATCTGTAGTTTTGTAATCATAAATTTTTTCTTAGTAATTCTATGAGGTTTATATTAATACTTTACTTTCTTTAACTATTTCTCTTTAAGGAGACCACCTTGCAAACAAGAAAAAGAGTGCGGTTCATTATGCTATTGATCGTTCCAATCACGCCGCCGATCCCGCTTCCGCTATACCCCCCTGTTCAATCGCGACCATTTAAGTCTTTTCAAAATTTGGAGCAATTGAGGAAGCTCCTATCACGAAATGATATAGTTTCAAATTTTGAGGACACTCAGAGAGGAAGTGATGCAGTCCGGGAGTTACGCCGGTACGATAAGAAGGTCCACACGTCTTATTGCTTTTCAATGTACTTTAGCCGAGATAAAATTTACTACGTTCACCACCGGAACTTTTACTTAGCAACGACTCGCAGGCCTTGTCACGTGGCGTCAGAACAGGTTTCTCGACATTCCATCGAAGCACGCTGGCGGCTGGGCACTGGATCGCCCGTCACTCAGTCATCTCCATCTACATCGCCATCGCTATCATGGGATAATATGAACAGAGCCAGTCAAATCCTAGCGCAAGCCTGACCTCCTGGCGTTCCAAGATCATACCGTGCTCGTGTAGATCATGGCAACGTCCTTTATTCTATACTCCATCATTGTGCTCGTGGATGACTCTTGATGGAAGACAAGGCGCGAAGCCAACAGTACCTCAAACCATATGAAGAAGACGTTGTTATCAAATATTTGCTCCAAATCTCTGACCTTGGACAGCCAATTCGAATAAAGTTTATCTCTGCCCCCTCCTCGATCACAGTATCCCTTGCAATTCTAAACGTAAATCAAGGTCATATCAATTGATTGCACTCAAAACATGGGCGACCACAACTTGACTCGCCCCCAATATGAGGCTCTCACAAAGGCATTCGAACCACTTTGTCCGGGATGCTTGGACATGGACCCATCAATATTCGACTGGAGAGCAGTGAGATGGGCAACATCTTATCCAAATCTTGATCCGCGGAAGATCATTACTGGGGCCGATAACCAGTGTTCGTCATGCATGATCATAAAGGCAGCATTTGAAAGTGTTGGACTCGATTTACACATAATGCATGATACGCAACATCTTTCGCTCCACCACAAGGAAGAACAAGGCAGCCTGTTTGCGTTAGCTGTACTTGGGGAAAGACGCGTCGTCGTCGTCGAGCTGTACACCGTTCCTAGTGAGTCCCCTCATAAACAAACACACTCTCTAGGAAGCTGTATAGCTTACCGCTTTTTTGCGCATAGGCAACCCATTTTCACCATGGACCATAATTACTTGCAAAACACAGACGTCGGGGGACACGGCCTCAGAAGTTAGTTCTCACCTTATTCAGCAGTGGATCAACAACTGCAAAACTAGCCACAAACTATGCTCTAATCAAAACAGCGTAGCACTACCTACTCGAGTTCTTGATCTTGGAACATCAAACGACTCTATCAGGCTGCTTGAAACTGGTGGCATGTCCGGAACCTACATCTGCCTCAGTCACTGCTGGGGGCAATCATCAACCATCTTGTGTACTAGAGGAACGTATAACAGCTATCAGAACAATATTCCGTGGGCTACTCTGCCGCTTCTGTTTCAAAATGCTATAGAGATCTGCCGCATGCTTGGATTCCAATATTTATGGATTGACAAACTTTGTATAATCCAACACGACGAAAATGACTGGGCAAGAGAAGGATCGAGAATGGCGCAAACCTTTGAAGGTTCATTCCTCACAATCGCGGCAGCTATTTCAAAAGACGATACGGAATCGTTGTTTTTCGAAGATAAAAGGCATTCTCCCAGCTTGGAAAGCTATGCCGGTCGAACAAAAGATGGGTCATCGTATACCATCTACTCTAGGATACCTTTTGATTACCATCCGGCCGATAATAGTAACTGTAAACCTAATCGTGAAAAGTATCCACTTCTGACACGGGCTTGGGTTTATCAAGAGAGGTTACTAGCACCGCGCACGTTATATTTTGGGGAAGAGCTAAGCTGGAGATGTAGAGAAGCATCGGCCTGTGAGTGTTCGGGAGGCAACCACCGCATAGAACATAAACACTGGCTGTCCGTTCTACCAGGCCATTCAATTGAGAACCTTCATTTGCAATGGCAGAACATGGTTGAAGAGTTCACAAAACTCCAGCTGAGTTTCGAAGAAGATCGTTTGCCAGCCTTCTCTGGGCTCGCACAGCAGTACCAACCACGTCTAGAGAGTGAATACTTGGCTGGTCTATGGAGAGAGAATCTGGTAGCTCACCTGATGTGGTTTGCTTATCCCGATTATGGCATTGAGGCAGAATCATACTCTACAAACAGGCCAAGCAAGTGGCGTGCCCCTTCTTGGTCTTGGGCATCAGTTGAGGGCCCGATATTGTTTTCAAAAGATTACCATATTTCTGAAGCAGAACCATGTGCAGAGAATGTCACCTGTTTAGCTGAGATCACGGATGTCACGTCTTTGGTTGAAATTATCTCTGCCGAGTGTTCGGTATCTTCCTTTGACCCGATGGGTATAGTCACAATGGGGCGATTAGTCGTCAAGGGCAGCGGTCGGCCAGCTTGCTTAAAGCACAGAGAGAGTTGTGATGGATCTGATACACGGCACTTCACAGTCAAGCATACAGGCATGAGCTCTATTTACATCCGTTCGAATTTCTCTGTTGATGGGCATGAAGCCAACGTGGATTATGACCTTATTAAACATGGATTAATGAAGTCGAATTCTGACATGAGCGTATATTGCTTATGTCTAGCCGGTATGTCTTTCACACAGCGTACATTCCTTCTAGGTCAGGGAGATTATAGTTTACGCCCAGTTTACAGGACATGGAGCCTCTTGCTACACGATGTGGGTGGTAAAGATTTCGAGCGGATAGGGTTTCTAGTATCTGACCATAATGACAATGGCTATCACTTTCGGAACAGCTTGCATCAATGTACGATCACAATTATATAATAGATAATCTAGGTTGATGATGTAAGTCCCTATTTCGTTTTAATTAGACATTGAGCAGGACTAAAAAATTTCATGCAGCCTTTATTTCGAGTTATTAGGCTCCGCTGCTGCCTCACTTCAATCGATTCTAGGGAATTTCGGGGCACGTAGTGCGTTTGTATATTTGCAGAGCGCAGCAATGGGAGGATATGGGGTTGCTACGGTCAATGGGTGCTACGGTCAATGGGCTAGTACAGGCATGTGCTATGGTTTCCAGGGGGGTTATCACAGCGTATTCGCGCCTAAAACGCCGCACTGCGGTGCAGGAGTAGAAACGAGTTTCGGGTCGGGTCTGTTATATACAGCGATTACAGGTTAGCTACTTTATGCTACCGTTATAGTATAATACAGTACGATATCATGGTCGTTGAATGTCCTCTTTATTATCCAAATAGCTTTGCAAGTTTACTGATAAATGTGGATCGGAGATTGTCGGGAAGCGGGAATTCTCGGGGATAATACATGCAGCTATTAAGATTTACCGAGATTTACTATAGCCACGACGATAGTTGATCAGGAACGTTGATCGCTTAATGTGAAGTACTAATCCATGTGGCGATATTGGATAATACCGTGCTTCTTAATCGCCACGAGGCTAATTATTATTTTGCAGGATTGTAAGTAGGGCTCAGAAACTCGGATCAAACTGTGTAATAAGTTTATGAGGCGCAAAGAGCTCGTGGTGGTGCTATAGGTCGAGGAGTTATATTGTACTACGAATCTATATGCTCTGCAATTAGGCGCGACGGCGACGACGCGATTATGTTTTTCATAGTAGCTAAGGTTGGGACTATTCAAATGTGGTCACACAATATGACTGACCGAAGAGTATATCAATCTATTTAATAGTTTTACAAATTTGGAATTTATTGGATTCAATGTACCGATAATTTGTCTCGTCACGGGGTGCGTCTCGGGACGCAGGGAAGCACGTAACTAGCAGTTCTTTGACATTCTTGTTTGATCACATTTGATCACATTTTCACATTTACAGTAGTCCTTCAGAACAAGAGCAGATGTTTTATATTTTGCCATATGGCAATATTTTTGGTATTTGTTTTAACCGTTTAGGTCATTTTATAATGCCACCAAAGATGATAGGTATCTCGAAAGAAATAAGAAATCCAACACCAACGCCATTTCAACGCTTCTAGATAAGGAGCCCATAGTTCCACCACTTAGTTAATGTCAACTTTCTTAACCTCGGTCCATTCCTTCTCAACTTTAGGAACTGTGACGACCAAAACTCCATCCTCGAGTTTAGCAGAGATGCCATCTGCGTCAATCTCCTCCTTGTCCTCATTTCCTCCTGGTGGAAGCTTGACAGTGCGTTCGAAAACCCCCACTCTTCTCTCACTCGTAGCCAGTGTCTTCAAGAATTCCTCATCACCGTGTCTGTAAACAACACCAGCGATGTTCAAAACGCCTTTATCCTCGTCCCAATTAACCCCCACGTCCTCCTTCTTCGCGCCTGGAAGCGACACATGCAAGACATATTGTTTCTCGGTAGAGAAGACATCAATGGGTGGACTAAAGTTCTTGTCGTCGTCGGTATCTTCAGTGACAGGTGTCTCGCCTGATCGTTGTGCTCCAGCCCCAGCCCCAGCTTGCTCGGCGTAAGTGCGGAATGCCTGTGCCAATGGATGGGCAGACAGCGACTCAAACAAACCACTCAAGTCAAAGTCACCTGGTGGTCCTGGAGGTGGTCCTGGGGGAGGTGGTCCTCTGTGTCCTCGCCATCCACCCCATCCACCCCTGTGTCCTCCTCGGCCACGACAACCGGGGCCTCTTGGTCCATGATGACCATGTTCCTCATGGTCATGGTGCTCTGGGCCTGGTGAGCCGTCTCGTGATTCGTGACCGTGAGGAGATCTCTCGTGGGAACCATCGCGACGATGGCCACGGCCACCTCTTCTGCCTCGACCCCTTGGGCCTGCTCCAAATCCTCCTCGTCCCCAGCCAGATCCATCGAAGGGGAATCCTGCTCCGTGAGGTGGACCATGAGGATGGTGTCCTGGTGGAGGGCCAAAGAATGGGAAGTTCTCGGCAGGATGGTCAACACCTGCTCCATTCTGATGATCAAAAGATCTGACAAAGTCCCAAAAGGGAGCTTGTTGATAGTTGTTGTATGCCATGATTGTGTATATAAGGTATTGTTGTTTGGGAGAGTGTATTCTGCTTATTGGAAGAAGAAATGATATGAATTAAGAATGACAGGAATGAGCAGGAAATCAGGACATATATAGAAAAGTACAAATTGATAGGCAGGCAAGCGTCGTCAACTACCCCTCTGGGTGATGACTCTGTTCGTGGTAGACAACCTTGTGTACGCACTCAACCGGGAACACATGTAACATCTGGAACAGATAGGAACAAACTGGAAGCACAAAGTGTCTGATAGTTGCGTTTTGATTGGATGCTTATAAGGCTTCAGAGCCGCGTACGCGTCAGAATTGAAGTCGTTGGACGCCACAGCATGTGGCGAAAGCTGTGGCTGACCGTCATATGAAGATTCCCTGCAAGTTGTCGTCGCAACCCCTCAACTATGAGTCGATCATCGGGCCCGATGCTTGCTCTCGCGGCCGAGACAAAGTCCGCTCATTTGTTTATTGCCGTTAGGGTAGCTGGGGCTGGTGGTAGTGATAAGTCGGATGACTAATCTACATCATAATCACGTGCTAAGCTAACTTTCGTTCGCTTCTTAGTGACATCAACGAAAATGGAAACGGCCCCCTTCAAAATAGGGCCTCATGCAAGTTAGACAACTGCCCAGCCGGCACCAGACAACCGCAGACCTTGAGCTTGGCGAGCCTGGGCAAAAATCGCGAAGTGCAACAAAACTTCTGCTGCCCGGCTGTCTCCTTTCGGCCAGGTGAGAGAGAGTTGAAAGAGCGGTCGTTCTCTCTCTGCTGTCCAAGAAGTGACAAGTCTACAAGCCAAAGAGAAAGTATATCTTCACCTTACACTTCGAAACACATGCAAACCTCCACCCTGGTTTTCAGCTGCTCCGCCCACTTCAATGGCCGCCAAGAAAAATGCCAAGAAAGATTCTTGGCAAAGATGATTTGGTGGGTGAGCAAGTTACTCCACGTGACAACAGCAATTGCACAAAGGACCTGACGTCCAGGTAGATGGGCTCTGCAGTTTCGAAGTGCCTTGATGGAATATTGCTGTAGAAGGTCGCATTTCTAGTTGTTTAAGTCTCATGCTAGGTATACCCGGCATTAGGGGCTTCAACTGCACTGAAGATACATCAGAGGACAGAGAAGATGAAATAATTGAATCTCTTGGAGCTCCGTGTCATTGCTTTTGGAGTTCGGAACGCGCCTTGTGGGCAGTGCTAGTATCTCGTGCACCTCACGCTTGAATACCATCATAATGCACAAGCAGGTCATCACATATCTAGCCATTCTGGGAAAATTTTGTAATTTATCCATCTATTGAACGCATACTCCCTCAGCCAACGCCTCACCTATCCCCATCTAAATAAACATACAACCCAAATCCTGTTCTATAAACTAATTGTACAACAGCAGACCCGAACTCCATGCAATGCCCTAAAAAGACATCGCAAGAAACGCTCATTGCAGATCCTTCAGACGCTTCGTCGCAAACGCAGCACCAACGTTACATATCGCTCCAATGAATAGACAAACCGCAATCGCATTTGGGCCATCCGTACCATGATGCTCGTCTGGATGCGCATCATGCGCTAACTCGGGACTCTTCCCCGGCTCCAAGATGCTGAAAACGATCATACTGATGAACGTCCCTATGAACTGCGGAATCGTAGTGTAGATATTCAGGATTCCAAAGTACAGACCCGAGAGTTCGCCTGTTGAAGCGACGGCTTCATCAGGGAGGCCATGGTCGAGACGTAGGAAGGAGGGGGTAGAAGGAGTGAGGGGAGATCCGAGCTCGATCGAGTCGCTCACGGAGAGACGTCGATAGGTGCTTGTGGCAGTGCCGCTGAGACGGTTGACTTCTATTCCTAAGAATGTGTTTGGAGCCCATGTAGCGAGTGTCCAAGGAAAGCCACATAATGCGACGAGGAAGGTGGCAACGCGGAATGAGTGGGCGAAGGGTGCAAGGAACATTGCACCGCTAAAGAGCAGATGTCCACAGATCCATGCGGTGAGAAGGTCCGGCTTGTATTTGTTGAATTTTGAGACGATTGCTGCGATGGCTTGTGGGGGTCGAGCTGTGAAACCTGACGACTCCTCGGGGGACTTGATGAGAAGGGGTAGGAAGAAGGCTCCGACGAAAGTCACAAGTGAGAAGACGACTAAAGACATGCTGCCGATCCTCCCTATATCGCCCAATGCATCTTTCGATTGCTTAACATCATGGGGAGCATCGTATCTGAAGTACGTCTCTCCGACCCATGTTGTGCTATAGAACAGGAATGGAAACCATCCAATCCACTTTATAAGTTAGCAACTTCCCAACTGAGCTTCGTGGCTTCACTTACAGTCCATACTTGCACAGTGCAAATCGCTTGAATACGGGGAGGAAGATGCGTGGCAGCATAAAATATCTTAGCGATGATCTTGACGAATCCATCGTTGGAATCTGCACTTTTGCTAGACACTAGAACGCGTTCTGTTACAGCCCACGAAGTGACCCCAACAGCGAAAATCAGACCAAAAGCGGCTACTAATATCAATTTCTTGAATTGAGTATCCCCGAATGAGGTTCCAAACATCCCAACGAGATCTACCGTGCCGGCAATGTACCCAGCAAGGTGACCAACAGAAATCATCCTACTTGCTGTTCAGAGTTAGTCTATTTCTTTCAAGCCTAATGATGAACTTACCCCACGCGCTCCCTGCCTGCTGCTTGGGAATCGGGAGAGTATCCACAATCAAGCTTCTACAGCATGATTGGACTGCTTATGGTCAGCTCTAGTTTCCCTCCCCCTTCTATGTTACTCACCAGCATTGATGGCAAAATCCACCGCATAAATTGACAGGACAGCGACTGTGATTGTGACGGTCCTCCTAAAATCGCCCTCTTCAACAAAATGTCCCACTAGCTCTTTCGTCCAACCCAGAACCAAAAGGCAAGCCGCCACCAACACTGATCCCAGCACCATGAACGGTCTCCGTCTGCCATATTTCGATGTAGATCTATCCGCGATGACGCCAACGATGGGCTGCATTATAAGCCCCGAAAGCGGACCCGCGATCCAAACAAGGGATGTTTTACTCTTCGTGAGACCGAGTTGGAGGAGATAGGGAGTGCAGTCTGCCAATTAATTAGTCCTTGCATTGCAAGACCGTCGAGCAGGAGGCTACTAACAAGTCATCTCAATGCCCCACGTAAATCTGTTACATTCGGTCAGCAACTGCCTGTGAACCGCATTGTAGGCAAACTGACTGTAGACCAACCAGGGAGAAGGTCAATAACACCATTCGCATGGCCTCCGTGGAGCCCTTGACATGAGGTTGTCCCGTCCATGATGCCATATCTGCCCTGGTCAACTCGTCCCCGGATGTCAAATATTTCAAGTCGTCCTCGAAGTCGTCGGAATCATGACCAAGGGTCTCCAAGCTACTGGAATCTGCCGCGTCATCTTCGTTAACTTCTGTGAAGGCCATGTGAGTGGAGTTTGTTGTTGTGTATGAACAAGGGAAGGGCTGTTTTATAAATTTACTTACATGGTAGGAGGTCTCTGGGTTTTAACTTTTTGGTAGTGTTTAACTTTTTGGTAGTGTTGGCTTTGGAATGACATTGGGGGAATGAATGAAGGGGCTGTCAATGAGGTACGGAGGTACGGAGTATTGGGTCGCGTCTTGGGTGTGACGCCAGCTAACCCCAACCCCAACATCCCAAGCCAAGATCGCTCACAGCCACGCAGTCGGGCCTGCAGGGCTGACATTACGAGCTAAATCCAGGGGTTGATCGCTAAATATAACCCTTACTGATCCACCTCCTTTCCTTCACTTCTGTACCTACTACCTACTACCTGGACACTGGACTCCATGATAAGTTGATAACAAATCTTCAATTTGATATCATTTTGCTTCAAGTATAGGCAACTTCTCAATGTGTCAAGGGAATAGCTGTATATAAGGTAAGGTAGGTACATACTTCGTATAAAGGCAATTGGTAAGATTGGTGATCCCAACCAACCAGTACTTTCGAATCTCACGTCTCTAATTACCAAATAATTATGAAGCGCTGCCTAATTACCAGATAAAGGATGGCACCTACGCACTTGGTTCGTACCGGAATCCGTTTCATACGGGAAGCAATCCAGACGAAAGTTTGCTCTCGAAAATCCTGGAGTTCAAGGAGTAATAGGGAGGGCTTTAGTTGATTGGCCGCTTGAACGATAGAACCCCCAAAACAAACCCATGCTTAGAGTACATCCTTCAGTGATGAACTCTCGAGGTAGTACCTTTGTAGCATCTTTTATTATTATTAGTAACTTTGGTGAAGCCGAGGCATTTGATAGTCTTATTTTTGACTAGTTCAGCTCATCTCTCCCGAGTGGTAGGAAGGATAAAGTAAGCTCTCCATCTTCGCCTCTATCTCCTTGACCCACCCTTCAACAACCTTCATATTACCACCCATAGTAGTCTCATTCTGCTTCAGCGCCTCCTCCACTTTCTCTAATCCTTCCCTCCATTTCTTGATATCTCCAGCCATATCTGTCTGCTTCTTCTCCACTACATCTAAACTTTCGCCGGCCGTGGCAGCGTCTGCATGAATTGCTCGCAATGAACGTAGTCTATCTAGCAGCGGTGGCAAGAGCGGAGCAAGATTTTCAATTGTTGGAAGTGTGCCGTACAATGCGTGAATCTTGGACGTTTGTTCCGAATCCTCGCCATCGTCAGAAGAAACATCACCTCCGACTGCTCTCAGCGCATCTTGAGCAGCCTTGGCAGCTTTCCGCGTCTCCTCCAGCCGTTCAGCTTCCTGTGCTAGAGTACGAACTCGTCGGCTGATGGTATCAAGAGAAGATGGAGTAGACTCGGAGATGAGTGAAACCTGGCGCTGAAGCGTGTCTAGCGTAGGCAAGATCGCTTTTGGAGTTCCGTTGGAGTCGAAAGCTATGGGGTCAAGCCCAAGTGCTTTTTCTAAAAGCGCTAAACGTCCATCGAAATCGGCGGCTTTGGCCAAGGCGTGGCTTTGTTGGTAGGTAGGAGCATATGTGACTGTGTAGGTAGCTGGTTCACCCGCGCCTTGTGAAGTGTGTGCTGGCCCGTTTGCTTTGATTCCAGTTCCGAGATCCTTTACGAATTTCGCACTGACGCTTGAAGATGCCCCTCCTTGACTTGTAGAAATCCCATCCAGCATTCTGCTCAGCGCCGTAACGTCTGGCTCCAGGTTCTTGCTACCATTAGCGGTGTCCTTCTTCTCAGCTTGCCGCCTGCCACATTCTTCCTTCACCTCTTCTATTTCCCTCCTCAATCTCGCAAGCTTCCTCTCCAAACTCTCTCCGTCCTCCTCGTCACTGAAATCCCCATACTCTTCAGTAACCTTGCCATCTTCCCGTATCTTTTGTCGTCTTGTAGAAGCCTTGTAGGACTTCCGCTTCGCAGTAACTCGGTCAGAAAAATCTACGTCTCGGGCATCGATTTGTGCGGGGGAGAAGTGCGAGCGTGCTTCATCTGGGTGCAGTCGGGAACGGGAGATGCCAGGAGCATCGTCTTCTTCGTCGTCGAAGTCTTTATAGGAGGAGGAAGTCGATTGCGAGCGGTCTCTTCCCGTCTGTATTGCCGTCAATAAAAGCCCCCTCAAAGAATAGCAGGAAGACTGACTGGAGCTGTGGAGTTGTCGTCGGTCAACTCAGGAGTTTCGTAAATGTCTGGTGCAGAGTCCTGGAACAATAATGAGCAGGATCACATATCAGATGGCAATGGAGATATGTACTAAGTCCGGCAAGGTAGCATACTTTCTGTTGAGTGCCATCTTGAAAAGCTGTACGTCGAGCAAACAGACCCCAGATTTCTAAATCTAGAGGTTGTTCCAAACGCGTAGAGCAGGGCCGTAAAGAGTAAAGTGGAGTGGTTGCGGGAGAGAGCTTGGACCAATTGGGATCTGATTCGCTGGAGTTTTATTCAGCCCAATTCCACGGCAACAACCAAACCACAATATATCTTCGCCGCTCTGTGAATTGTCAAATGTACAGCTGGATACTACGAGATATTTACCCGCATCTCACTTTCGCCCTCAAAACAATAATCTCAAAGACATGTAGCACACATGAAGATCTGTACGCCCCCACGACGTTATCGCTTAAGCTCGATTCCACTTTAAATCTCCAGACGCGACACGACGCGTTCCTTCCCTATGCCTTCGCCCATTGCCAATACTCTGATATTGACGCCGTCACTACCGGGAAGGCGCGTTGGGTTGAGCAGGTGGGGATGTAAACCTTGTTTGGGGACAGTCAATGCGACAAGTAATCAAGTCAACATGCCCATATCCACCACCAAAGTTGCTGGGAAGCAGTCGAAGGTGTTGAAGCTTGAGGACGATGAGGATATCAAGCGAATGCCCGACAGTGCGGAGAGCTCTTCTGATGGTGAAATCCGAGGGAGGATCGAAAAGACAGCTTTCACACGGGCAACAGCTTTCACACGGGCAACAGCTTTCACACGGGCAACAGCTTTCACAAGGGCATGGAAGGGACCGGCAGCCCAAACTTCGAAAAACAAAGCTACGAAGAACGGGGCGAAACCAACTACAGTCAATGGCGCGGGAAAGACTACAAGAAGGACTGCGAAGGAAATTATAGCGTCAACGCAAGACAGTAGCTCGAGTAGTCCCAAGAGGAAGAGCCAGGATGATCCGCCAGTATATGGCAGTAGCATGATCGATGGATTTGGGCGAGTACAGGGGAAGAAGGCAAAGACGACATTTACTTCAAGTCAGTCAAGAAGCCAGCCAAGCAGTAGCTATGGGAAGAATTCGAAGAAAGACAAGGGGATAAAGAAACCTAAAATTCTGCCTGACAGACCTCAAACCCCCGAAACGAGGTTCGAAGTTCTCGGTATCCCAGGAGACACGCCTGGCTCAAGCCCAGGACCAAATGGTGGATTTGTTAAGACTTCCGTGCTCAAATATGATCAATCGCCCATATCGGATTTCAAGCACCTCCCAAAACTTAGCGAGTCCATGGACGAATTATCAGAAGGCCATCGCGATCCGACACCAGTTGGCACTCGCAAGAAACGCAGGAGGAAGACTTTCCAATCAGAGACACCATTGACACAAATTGCTCCATTCAAGATGATCGAGGGGCTAGACGAGTTGACTGGGACAGCTGAGGCGATCATCGATGACGATCGTTTTAGAATATCTTCAAATCCCCAAGACGAACTCGACGAAGATACCTTCGCGACAATGACTCAACAAGCTCGTTGTCCCATGTGCAAGAAGCAAGTCGACCCCGAAGATCTGAGGGCATTCGGGAATATGAATACCCGCATGCAAGAGAAATTCTGCCAATCCCACCAGAAGAAAACCGCCAAGGAGGAATGGGAACTTAAAGAGTACCCCGAGATAGATTGGGAGAAGCTCGGCTCCAGGATATCAAAACATTATTCATTCATCAGGAAGGTGATCAATGGCGGCGAATCTCACTACCGCGATCTTTTGGAGGACAAGCTCAATGCTGGTAAAGAGCGGAATCTGATGAAAATGACCTCGAACCTCACCCCAGGGTATTACGGTGCTCGTGGACTTCGCGTCATGTCAGAAAACATCATGCACGAATTTACATCTCTGATCAAGAAAAAGGCCGTCAAGGATAGACGGATCTCTTCACGTGGACCAAGTGCTTTTGTCCAGTCTGTTCTAGTTCCTGAGGTTGCCGTGTTGTTGATTATGGAGGATATGCATGTGGTGGTTGAAAAGGCGAGAGAGATTTTGGAGGACAGTGCTGGTATTGGGGAACTCATACATGAGGAGATTAGGGATGTGGTTAAGGAGCGGGTTGATGATAGTGAAGAGGATTCAGATTTTGATTAAGCGTTGCATAGCGTAGTGTGCGTGGGTTTGCTGGAATCGATGGTTGGGATATGGCTGGGATATGGCGTATTGCACTGTATAAAAATCCTGTATTTAGTACAAAGATCAGACTGCATAGGACTGTTTTCCAAACAAGAGAATATATTGAGTGGTACTCGATTAAGCGCTACCAAGCCGAACGAACTTAGGAGAGCCCCTTTTCCCACTCGCTTAATACATAATACTCCTACTAGATGAGATTTTAAGATCTCTCTAATCCATTCTCTCCCCCATCCAAATCACCCCAATAACATTGACTATCTCAACGATTAGCGAGCCAACCCATCTTGAATCTTGCAATCTTTCATAAATGCTTCTGCAATCAGCTATTATAAATAGCGAACCCTAAGGATTATCAAGAAAACCGGCCGGCCGTACGCAAAGCATTCATTCATATATCCCGAAAAACCTTCACTTCTTAGGGATCTCTAAAGATAATTCGTCGATAGTTCCCGTTCATTGCTCTCGATCCAGGAAATGGAATCTCCTACCTACTTCTGGGCTATAGTCCAACAGCGCCCACATACTAATACCTAATACCGCTATAGCTTCCTACAATACACTCACTCCATGCAAAATACAGAAACTAAACATCTTAAACCCGACGCCCAAACTTGGCATTGCAGACAAGCTACTATACCCAGCTACTGTACTCTCGTCCTCAAAGACAGACCTAGTTGAGAGGAACAAAAGAGAGCGAAGACTGCATGGCACTCGTGACTGTTACAAAGTGACTTCAGCCACGTCAATTCATTAGATACGTGACTATCTATCCATCCGCTGCTGTCTGCATCTTCGTTCAAGTTAACGAAGGCATTGGCATGCTCCCACCCATCATCACAGTGACTGATATCAACAACGCCGAATTGTTGAAAAGAACCCCAGGACATCTAGTCCTAAACGCCACGCAAAGTCGATATAAAGACCCCCGGGGAAAAGACCGCAATTATCGCGCCAATGCAATGCTCCTACCCTCCCAATGTTGTTACTGTTTTGTGTCGCCCTAATCGATCTCCACGACTTCCCGCTTCAGGTTGTTCCTTCCCTGGCTCTGGCTCTGGCTCTGGCTCTGGCTTTGGTTTGGGGTTGGTTGCTGCTGCTGCTGCTGCTGCCGTGCTGGACCCTTAGCTCGAGGTTGCATCATAGGAGCAACAGGAGCGACAGATTGAGCCTGTGTCGTCTGATTACTGTTCACAAAGTTCCTCAACGCTGCGTCTACCTTCCCCAATAGATCTTCAACTCCATTCGCCTGTGCCACACCACTGACTCGCATCCCTTGCCATCCTTTTCCAGCGGTGTTCCAGACTGGCTTCAATGCTACATCAATTCCGTCACCATCTCTCTCGCGAGCATCAGTGCGTCTAATATACCACCACGGGATCCCTCTCCGGTGTCTGAGCCTGACCTCAAACATGACCTTCTGTGTCCTGAACTCGGAAGTGGTCCCAGTCTGTGGCGAGATGGAGATGTCGTATCGGATGATGTACCAATCAGCGGCCCGGACGTTGACGAATGCTTGCCCTTTGGGTACAGAAGCCCAAGCCATTTCAAGAGCATCTAGACCTTGCAGAACAGGAAGCGTAAGTGGAAGAAGAGTGGCGACACCATCGAGGCCTTCTTTGCCATTCAAGATCCGAGTAAGATGATCAATTATCTCGAGGTGGGGATTTCCACGCTCCAAAATAAGCGTCATCATATTGTCGGCGGTGCTGAAGTCGACTACAGCAGTAAATTCTCTTGGGCCACCTCCATCGATCTCCGTCACATCCCCATCGGCATTAAGAATAACCTTCCCATAGGTGAAGGTGATTCTTCCAAGAGATATAGTCTTGCACTGAATCGACTTCTCCTGGGCTTGCAGGATTTTGATGAAACTCACCAAACGCTCAATGCGCACAACACGTTCTATAAGACTAGACACGATAGATTCGCCAACTCTGCTGCGTAAACGCAAGGCAAAAGCTCCACTGGTCTGGTGGAAGGCAATGTCCCGATCGATGTTCTCTTTTATCATCTTGAGAGCTTGAGGGGGCGGGGAAAATATCATTCGGGCCTCTGTCATCACAAAGACATCCTCGTGAGGAAGACCCAGCTTTTGTGCTGGAAGATTGCTTGCGGGCGGAGGAGCCGGCACCGAAGGTTGCGTTTGTTGGACCGTGGGTGAAGTAACAGCCTGAGTATCTTTCGAGCGTCTGGGACGAGTCTCAAGACCTTGAAATGTAAGCTGAACAATATCTCTCAAAGCCATATTCTTCCCAACGATCGACTTCTTGTCTGGACCTAGCGTTGCGATAAGCTCCGATAACTGCAAGTATACCGCTGGAACCTTGACGCAAGAAGGTATGGTGCCGCATGATTGCAGCTTGTGGCGCGTGCGTCGTTCATGCAATGCTTTGAGGTTAACATAGTGAGAAACAAGGGCGGCGGCGAAAACGTGAAGGTTGGCCATGAAATCATAGGAAGGGGTTGGTGAGATGCTTTGAATGGGTATTGGGATAGAGCTGGTGATCTTGACAGTAGTATCCTTTTTCTGGTTTCGAGCGGTTGGCGCATTGTTGGCATCTGGGGAAGGATCGGTACTATATTGGGGGTTAGAAACTTTTGAAAATACTCGAGTCATTGTAGCATACGTTTCAATCAACCACCAACGCTCCCCACTGACACTCATGCTGACAGCAAAATACCAGTTCTTGACCCAGCCAGGTCTTTGAAGCCATAGTACTTGTGAGGTCTCTTTCGGTATTACGCTCCTCAGGTCGTCTAATTTGATACCAGGATTCTTGACTCTGATCCATCCCAGACTCACGCCACGCAGGAGTATATCATCCATAACCGCCCTTTGACGCATTTCTTCGATGAGATTGTGAGCATTCGTGGCAGGATCGTTGCACTGGTCGTTCAGTTTGAACTCAAATTCGACAGCCAACCGAGACGAAGGACCGAGGACGAAACAACCAGTGATTGGCTCGATTCTAACCGTCAAGTGTCGATCACTCGTCAACTGTACCTTCAACTCCGACTCTGCTGGTTCTGTCTTTGAAATAAAAACAGATAAGACTGCCTCATGACTCGCAAATAAAGGCTTTAGGCGGAGCCGTTCGTATGTTGAAGTCAATATGTGATCCACATGATTCGCAATGACGGTCTTCAGAAGTGATTCAGCTGAGATATCAACCGCGTCGAACGGGATATCCACTTCCTTGACTTCTTTCGAATCTCGGAACCATCTCAAGAACAGCCGGCTCGTATCCTTAAGGTGAGGTCTGCCAACCTTCCGCTTGCCACTGTGAACACCAAGAATAATCCAACTTTTAGGCCCTTTCCTACCATATCTATCCAACCAGTATTGGATGGAAAGAGCTCTATTCAGCGCTTCCACCTTTAAACCATCGATCCATTTCCCCCTTGCCAAGCCCACCGCCTGTCGCCTGAACTCACTGATCTTGTGAGTTAACACCATATTGTGCAAAAATTTATAGCACCCAGCAAGGCCGTCTTTCATCAATGCTTCATTAACCCGCGATTCGATATGAGCCCGAACATGCGGTGGAACGTCTGACAAAGATGGCGAAAATAGGAATCTAAAGTCGATGAACCAAAACTGAGTCTCGGGGTCTTCATCCGCTATCGTGAGATCCACCGCGAACTCTCCTGCAACATTGAAAGTCGCACGTCCAGATTTGATAGTGTAGTCCATGAAATGTATAGGAATGTTGTCATACTCTTGAAGGCTGAGGCGAATTGAAAGAAGAGTGTTGAGATTCTCCAATGACTTCAGGATCTCTTTGGCCGTCAATGGTGGCGGTTGTATATAGCCGAGCTATTTTTGTCAGTCAAATTCCAATATAACCGCAAAGTCATTCATACCTCTGGCATCCAAGAGGCCTTTCCCGTCGTCAAAACAGCTAAAGCCGTTTTGAGATCAGGATTTGGCAATCGTGCATGCACGAGACTCCTCTTAACTTCCATTAACTCATTAATCGCAAAGTCGTAGTGCGACTTTTGCTTGTCCAAATGGATTTTCAGGTCTATCATCTTGCTCACATCCTCGCTCCTCCGGCTCCAATTCGTTATGATCAAAGCTTTCGTCCATTCCGTGTGTGCATCTTGCGCAAAGTTCAGTAGTCGTAGCTTCTTGGAGAGATTTTCCTGCGAATTGTCATCATTGCTCATGCCATGAGTTGTATTCCCATTCGCCACCGCAGGAGGCAATGCCATCTGAGCCATGTCCGTAATCGTTCTCGTGAGGTCATTATGAGTTTTTTGCGCCAATCGAGACAGTAGTGATGAGAGAGGCAGGTAGCCCTGGGTGATGTGAAGAATCTCAGGAGGGAGCTGGTCGAGCTGAGGCTCGATGTCCTTAGGAATGCCGCCGTCTCCATTCTGACGCCCCCCTGCCATGTTTGTATTCAGACCATTTGGTATCGGTGGGCTGACAGGCGTGACGTTTTGTAAGGGCTCTTCTCTGCCCTTCCCTTTCTCCATGGCATATCCAGCTCCATTGAGTCCGTTCAGCCTCTGATCTCTATCGTGGTTCGTATGCGATCCATTCCTGCTCCCGTTCTCCATGATGACCCCGGGCATGCTCTTAGCCTTCGAATCTCCTTCCAACCTCTCGCCCCCCTTGGCAGCTCCCCCAACAGCCTCCTCTGCAACTTTTGCTCTCTCTGACAGCTCTATCTTGACTGGTGGTGGGGACAATGAGGACGGGTGTGGTGTTCAAAGAGGGCTCCAGGAGCAGCAAGATCGCATGCGCTACCTCTGCATGGGAGCGATCGATCGAGCGTGCGAGCCACTCTCTGCCACTGTGAATCAATTCAAAGATCCTGTGGGCGAGCAAACCTCTGCGGCTTGGGTTTGTACCAGTATGATGAAGAATGCTAGGGCGCGACCTTGCATGAAAGGATGGCTGGGATTGTCTTGCGGAGGATTTGTCGCGGGAAGAGTTGGTGGTAGAGGGTAAATGCGAAGTTGAAGACTTAATGGGCGCAAAGTGGCAGCGACTCACGCTGAGTTCGCCGTGGTGGGTGATTCAGAGTCGTGTGATGTTGTTTTGCGAACTTGGTTGATCGAAGGTCTTGGACGAAGCAGGTGCAGGTGCAGGCACACCACAACTCACTCACCTAGCCAGCCAGCCCCAGCCCAATCCTTAGTCCGGCTACACTAGGCTAAGTAGGTATGATGGTGGATCAAAGAAAAGAGCTGACTAAGTATAGAGTCGGCCAATCAGAAAAGACGTCGTAGAGCTCTGCTATGTAAAGTACAAATATAAGTCGTAAAGTATTGATAAATTATCTATTATATATTACGATATATGGCATAACTAGGTATGTATCTTACATATGGATGGATGGTACGAAAGTACCTGTACATACGATGTAGTCCTTATGGTAAGTGAAGGCGAGTCAAGTACATTGCAGGGACTCTCTCTTGTTTGTCAGTCCCCCTGCAATCAGCCTCGCCTTGTCTCAAATAGGACCATTTCCATTGTCGCGAACCCCGGCGGATAGCATTGCCATGCCATAGGTACTGTACCAGTCCTGTACCGTATCCATAGGGCCATAGCGATGATTATCTATCTCCCTGCTACTACTACTACTATTACTACTACTACTACCACCACCACCACCATCACCACCACCACCGGTATCGACTGATCGATCTTCTGCATGTCATATTATTATTGCACCAGACGATCGACTACTCTGTGATCTCCGTGCACCTGACTGATAGTCTTGCGACTACTACTTACTTGTTCCTCCCATTTTTGCTGTCAAACAATGCCATGCTATACTCATACTTTTAGTCATTCCTGCAGAACAATGGTTGGCACTTGAACTTGAACTACTCGGGTAACACGAGGCTGCACAGGACCTGGTACTGAAGGAAGGAAGCTTGCTGACCGACTGGCCGCTCCCGCGACCCGGCGCCACCTCCAGTATGGTTCGCAGCGAGCCTCGTCCCAACCACCAGCAACGCACTCTATCGTCGAACAGCACGAAACACTCCTTTCTATCTTACTCCTCATCATTCGAAGCCGATGACGAGCGATCCAGTGACGCCGACCACGATAGCCCAAGCATGAGTATGGGTCCGGATCTAGCCTCGGCCTTTCGCGATAGTCCCTCTCAATATGCGGGCGAGGATACACGGTTGACAAGTCGGAAGGAGTTGTCAGGATGGTACGCGTACGGGTTTGCGGCCGAGGTTTTTGTGATATGTGGAATGGGTAAGGGATTTTCTTGAAATCCTTCCTTTCTTGAGCTTTGGCTGGGGCCGGCACAAATAAGCAGAGCGTCGCATCCAGCTCGAAGTCTCTTTTGAAGACTGCTTGCATTCTTCAACAATGGCCTTACAACTTCCTCTGGGGGTTTGAACCTCAACCCTGAGCAGCTATAAAGCCCAATCGAGTGCTTTATACCCCCGCTTTAGATACGAATCATAATACTAATACATACTCGATAGGCAGTTTCATACCCATCACTCTAGAGCAACTCGCTCGAGACAATGGAGTCCTCCTCTCTGATCTTACGACTCCTTGTCCCTCGAGTTCATCACACGCCCCAGGAGGGCTTCCCGGCACTCCTGGAGCTGCCAAGGATACAGGGCAATGCGTGGTCTTGATCGCAGGCATGCAAATCAATACTGCCTCTTTCGCCATGTATACCTTTTCCCTATCCGTTTTATTCCAAGCTATTCTGGTGGTATCGATAAGTTGTGCGGCAGACCATGGTAATTACCGGAAACGATTACTCCTATTCTTCGCATTTGCTGGAAGTATAGCTACGATGCTATTCCTTCCTATAGTACCCAAAGTTTATCTATTGGGAGCTTTGTTGGCAATGATATCGAACACGTGTTTTGGGGCAAGCTTTGTTTTGCTCAATTCTTTTTTGCCGCTCTTGGTACGGCATCATCCGAAGACGCAATATAGTTCTAATAGCACACCTGATCTATCATCAAGTATACCGGGAGACGAGCTAGAAGAGGGGTTTCCAGGCCAAGAAGAAGAAGAAGAAGAAGATAACTTGGTCGATTCAACTGCAGCTCTTTTGTCGCCAGCTCCAGATACTACACGGCCAAATCCTGCATCAGAGAACCTCTCATCCATTGAATTACAGCTCTCAACCCAAATATCTTCTACGGGTATTGGCATTGGTTACAGCGCAGGCTTATTTGTACAATGCTCCTGTATTGTAGTCGTCTTCGCTATGCAAAAGGTTTCCAAGAGCTCAACTCTTTCTCTCCGAGTTGTACTCTTTATAATCGGGGCTTGGTGGTTCATCTTCACATTTCCTGCTGCAATGTGGCTGCGGCCAAGGCCTGGACCACCCTTACCATCCGGTGATCCAAGCGACCCAAAGGCCAAGCGGACCTGGCTTGCATACTTTGTTTATTCCTGGTCCTCGCTTTGGCGCACCGTCAAACTCGCTCGTCGATTAAAGGATATCACGCTTTTCCTCGCAGCATGGTTCCTCATCTCCGATGCCATCGCAACAGTTTCTGGGACTGCAGTACTATACGCCAAGACTCAACTGGGCATGCATCCTGCAGCCTTGGGGCTAATCAATGTCATTGCAACTACAGCAGGCGTTCTTGGGGCATTTACCTGGGCAGCTATCTCTCGATGGCTCGGTTTACGACCACATCAAACGATTCTAGCATGTATCTGCATCTTTGAAGTCATTCCTCTTTACGGACTTCTTGGATACTTACCCTTTGTCAAAAACTGGGGCGTAATTGGCCTTCAACAACCCTGGGAGATGTATCCTCTCGGCTTCGTATACGGGTTTGTTCTGGGCGGGCTGAGCAGTTACTGCCGATCTCTGTATGGAGAGCTCATTCCCCCGGGATCAGAAGCGGCCTTCTACGCCCTTTACGCCATCACGGACAAAGGTTCCAGTGTCTTTGGCCCTGCTATTGTCGGCGCGATCGTTGACCGGACCGGGGAGATTAGACCAGCATTTTGGTTCCTAGCAGTACTAGTCGGACTACCGGCACCTTTGCTCTGGTTCGTCAATGTAGATAGAGGGAAGGAAGAAGGCGCTAGACTGGCCGAGATCATCGAAGGGTTCAAGACTCAAGAGGGTGGGCAGGCCAGCTCAAACGAAGATCATGCGCTTTTGGCGAGTGATGACGAGGCTGATTGATTTCCTTTCTAGGTGTTGTTGAATGAGGGCATGGCGTGGCGTATTATTGAACATTTCTTGGCGTTGTATAAATCAGATCATACAGACAAAGTTAGGCCTTGTATCTAAGCCAGCGAATAGTTTATCACGGATGTTGAGGATAGTAGGCGGCAATACAATCACCTCACATTTATTGCTCGTATCTTGTTCCAAGTCAAGTACAGTTAGTCAATCTAGCGTTCAGGACACCTTCACCGTTTCTTAAGAGCTGAACTCGATTGTAAGATTTGGGCGTATTGGATATTGAGTATATGCCAGCCATAGCTGCGCTCACGAACCCTCCCGTTCTTCTTTCTAAAACGGATAAGAGGATTGGTTTGCTCATCGCACACGTCTAAATCCCCCTCTCATTTCCCTGATGACATACCAGTAACTGCACACTGCACCGACAAGATGACACATCCTCGGCCCGATCAATCAATTCACACAAAGCTCGCCCTCCAAAATATTTCTGCCACCTCTCACCACCAGACCGTACAAACTTCCGGTCTCAAAAACATTTTGGAGCCAATTATCCATTACAGGTATATAGCGAAATAAACACAAAGGTTGGTAAAGATGTACATGTTGTGTGAGTTGTACCTGCAACTTCCGGGTTGCGGGTACGACTCCTGGGCTGTAATCACATGTACATCTGCCAGGTTTGCTTAATACATTCATCCTTCGGGGTATCCTGGCTCTACTTTTCTTTTTGCATTTCAATTCCAAGTCAAGCGGGGTTTACTTTAAAGTGTCTCTGGTATTGTAACTCCTTTTGGTGGTGTTTATATGCTTTTTGGGGACTTTTTGGGCTTTCTTTGTTTACATCCCTTTTTGGGTTAAGCGAGGCATACGCACCTGGACTGGACTGGGCACTTGATGATTTCTACCAAGCCCCAGTGAATAGAAATTATTTTAGGTTATCTGTTCTCGTGAATCGCTGAATAAAGGGCTTTGCATGATCTCTGTGAAGTCTCGAGCCCAATACACAGATGTCTCTTCGCTTTCTCGAAACTCTCCGATGGGAATGACTTTCACGCCAATCCGGTTGAAAGTCTGCATTAAAGCGCTTTCTCCATCTCCCGTCATCACGATCCCGATAACCCCATCTTCCATTAAACATTCCAGGTCCGTCCCTGAATCCCCGACATAAATCGGATGTGGCGCTTCTTCCCCATTTACTTCTCCCTGCTTCCGCCAATATCCCAACAACTCTTTCATAGCCGCAAGTTTACCATCCGACGTTACAATCACCTCCTTCGGATGACCTTTACCATAGACATCGAAGCCCTCGAGCACACCAGCTGCATTAGGAACATTCGCCACAACGTCCATACCCGCAAGCCCAGGGCAAACCGCACTGACGACCCCTCTCACGAAGTCCCTCGAGAAATTCACCGAGACAATACCACACGCCGTCCCCTGACCAGCAGCCATGTTCCCGAACTCCTTAATGCCTTTCCTCCCCTCCACAAGCCCACCCATCACCGCATCAACCCCGAAACGATGCCATTCCCCAAGCGGCCACGCCTTAGGAGGACCCTTTATCTTGGTAGAAGGAGCCGGACCACCAGCAGCCTGATTTGCAACATCAAATCTCTCTGTGATTAAATCTTGCAGCATTTCCTGAACACCCCACTATATCAGGACCTTTCTCAACCCCTTAATCAAATATCAAAAAAAGAAAAGAAAAAGAAAAGACACACCTTCTGACCCTCCAAATCAACCCCAAGCCTTGCAGCCAATCCCGTTCTCACTTGCCTCGTATTAACCGTCTTCAAATCAACAGATGCTAGGATATCATCAACGATAGCTGCGTATTGTGCACGCTCATCCGTCGCCCCAAAGCCCTTAAAAATCCCCGAAGCGCTAACGCGGTCAAAACTTTTACTCTCTACATTTTTCAGACTTCTGTAGTATTCGATTTCTTGCTTCAGTGTTTTTCGCTCTTCTACCGTGGGGTGGTAATGAGCTATGTGGGAGGAGAGATCGAGGCTGTATGATGAGACAATAGTGCCCCATGCTGGTTGGAGGTTGAGACCATGGGAGGCTTGGTGGGTTATGGCTAGGTGGGCGAGGGTGGTGATTGTGTCTTGTGTTGTGATTGTGCCGTCGAAGTCGAGGATGATGGGGCGTTTTGTCATGGTGAGAGATGATTGGAAACGAATAGTGACAGACTTTAAGGTACTATGAGAGAATGGTCTGAACATCGATGAATGTGTTTGATCGAATGCTTTAGAACGTACCCAGGGGATTATGAGGGAAGAAGGAGGTCTCGGCTATGTGCATCAATAAAGTGGATTTTGGAACCCACAGTTTTTGAGGAATGTTTGCAACCTCTTGAAGAAACACACGGTCTTATATAAAAGAGTCAACAGAAACTTCTAAAGGACTTCTTGATTCCACACACTTAATACCGTGAAAAACAGGTGAATAATCACGTGGTGATATAATTTCCCTATATGACTAAGCGACTATATCTTCTCACCTGCACTCCTTCCTGCAAATACCACGAATTGCTCTCAGAATACCTCCAAAGGCATGCCTGCCTAATGCTCGTCTCATCTAAATGCATCCGAGCCCTTCCCACGCGTTGGATAGCATCTCGATGTCTGCTGCACACCCTCCGAAATGAGCCTCCACTGCGCAGCAACCATGTGTTCCCGCGTTCACCTCGCGTTCCGAATAATAGGGGCGCGAAAAGGAAAGCCTCTGCCAAGCTCGATGAGCTCCCTCAAGGCACCATCCCACTAGAGCCGCTGGCCCTGGAGGATCAGGAGCCTGCTTTGCCTACCGTGTTGCTTCAAGCGCGTAGTAATATGAGGAAATTTGAAAATTGTGTGCTACTTACTCGCGTTGGTGGGTTTTATGAGTTGTACTTTGAGCATGCGGATGAGTTTGGGCCGCTGTTGAATTTGAAAGTTGCGCCGAAGAGTACGGGTCCTAGGACGAATCCTGTTATTGTTTCAATGGTATGCCTTTTGAGCTTAGGCTGAATACTGGGCTAATGGGCGACTAGGCCGGCTTTCCATTTTTTCAGCTAGACAGATATCTCAAGATTCTTGTTCAAGATTTAAATCGATATGTTGCTATTGCTGAGGAATTTCGAAATGACCCTTCCGGAAAGGTTAAAGCTGGAGGGTTGTTGAATGATAGGAAGGTCACGCGGATCATTACCCCTGGGACCTTGATTGATGAGAATTTCATGGATCCTTTTACGAATAACTATGTTCTTGCTATTCATGCTGGAGATAATTCTCAAGAGCTGTCACAAGATCAAGAAATGGAAAATGATCCACCCATTTCTCCTCAACAGTCCGACATTCCTGTAGGCCTTGCTTGGCTGGATTTATCAACTGGTCATTTCTTCACTCAATTTACAACATTATCGTCCCTCCCATCTTTCCTTTCACGGATAGGACCTCGAGAGATTGTGTTAGATGAAGATCTCCAAGCATCTAAAGACCACGGGATTTTTACCGTCCTTGCAGAAGACCGTCATCTCATCACCTATTGCAATCCCCCAGAGGTAAAGTCCATCAAAGACTGGTCTCCTATGCTGGAATCACCAATAACTACACGGATCGCCAACGACTTCACCCCCGAGGAAGAGGCTGCTGGCAGTACACTCCTTCAGTATATTGGAGAGAGACTGCAAGGTTCGAATACGAAGCTGCAACCTCCTACCAGACAGCTAGACATGATGGCCATCGACAAGAACACCATGCGAGCTTTGGAGATCAAAAAGACCATGCGAGATGATTTGACTACGGGCAGTTTGTTACATGTAATCAGACGGACTGTTACAAAAGGTGGTGCAAGGTTACTGGATAACTGGCTAAGTATGTTTAAATTCTCTGCCTTGGACCGGATACTAATCTAGAGATAGGCTCGCCCTCAACATCTCTGGACGTGATAAATTATCGTCTGGAACTTGTCACCCACATGTTACATGATGAACTACTCCGGGAACGTATCATTATTCTCCTCAAGAGGAGTTATGACTCTCATCGCCTATTGCAGAAATTCGCATTCGGTCGAGGCGATCCAGACGACATGTTAGGTCTAGCTAGCACAGTACATGCAACGCAGGAACTGGTGACTACTCTCATCCAAGATAGTAGTGAAGAAGATTGCATCCGAAATATGGCTGCTCGAATTAACCTTGACGGCCCTAGTGAACTCGCCAGCCGGATCAAAGCAGCTATCGACGAGGAAGGAATCGTACAACAGCATATGATGGAAGATGGAGAAGTCGGGGACATACAAGCTCTTGCAGAAGCCATCGTTACCTCGGAAGGATCAAGAGAAGATGCCAACATCCTACCGAAAAAGAAAAAGAAGCCAACAGGCCTCAGGGAGTACTACTCCGACGACAACGAAGCTTGGATCATGAAACCAGTAGCTAGTCCGACTCTGGAGGGTCTCCACAAAGACCTAGCAAAACTAGGAACTGAAAAAGCAACCCTCGCCGAAGATCTTAAAACCCGTCTCGAAGCCTCAACTCTCACCCTTCGCTTCACCCCCGGACTCGGCCACATCTGCCACGTCAAGGGCAAAGACATCAAACGCGACCTCGCCGAAGGCCGCCGAGTTAGCTCCAGCAGAAGCACCAGCTCGTTCCACCACCCGGAATGGACAAACCTAGGAGGTCGCCTCGACCGCTGCCGAGACCGCATCCGTGCTGAAGAACAGCGCGTGTTCCGCGACCTTCGTGAGCACGTAATCCACAACATCGTCAAGCTCCGCCGCAACGCAGTCGTGCTCGACGAACTGGACATCGCCAGTTCCTTCGCCACATTGGCTGCTGAAAAGGGCTGGACGCGCCCGATTCTCAATAATAGCACTACGCACAAGATTATAGGAGGAAGGCATCCTACGGTAGAAGGAGGCTTGGAAGTCGAGGGCAGGACGTTCACTACAAACGACTGTTTTGTCGGTGATTCTCAGAAGATATGGCTTGTCACAGGTCCGAATATGGCAGGCAAGAGCACGTTCCTACGCCAGAACGCACTCATCACCATCCTCGCCCAAGTCGGTTCCTACGTGCCCGCCTCATATGCAGAACTCGGCATCGTGGACCAGATATTCAGCCGGGTGGGGTCAGCAGATAACCTGTACCGGGACCAATCGACGTTTATGGTGGAGATGTTAGAGACGGCTACGATACTTAAACACGCGACGCCGCGTTCGTTTGTGGTTATGGATGAGATAGGACGGGGCACGACACCTGCCGATGGGACGGCGGTTGCTTTTGCATGCTTGCATCATTTGTACCATGTGAATAAGTGCAGGACGTTGTTCGCGACGCATTTTCATGGGCTGGCGGATATGGCACGGGAAGAGGACATGCAGGGGGTAGGGTGCTATTGTACGGATGTAGAGCAGAATGGGGCGGCTTTTAGGTATGTGCATAAGTTGAGAGAGGGGGTTAATAGGCAGAGTCATGCGCTTAAGGTTGCGAGGTTGGCTGGGCTGCCAGAGGAAGCTATTGTTGTTGCTAGGAAGGTGTTGGAGAGAAATGGGGGATCTGTATGAATAGTTAGCATTGTGTGCATAGACTAGATCTTGTTGTATGTATAGGTATTTAGGAGAAAAGCGGTCAGGAAAAAATTAGAGTTGTTGTTTTTGGTCTTCAAGGAGTTACCTCCATTAAGGGTTAAAAAGCTTTTGAATTGTTCATCATAATGCTTGGGCATAGGAAGGGTGTAAATAGAAGAATTGAAAACACTGACCTTTTCTATGCTTCAGAAAACAATCAATCCATTTGTTTCTGCATTTCACTTCACTCAAAATCATGTATCCCAATCAAATCGCTGAAATGTGCTTCACGAGCTACATTGTAGGACCTGCAGATACTGCTCTAGTCGCAGGAAACATGCCGTTATGTTCAGCGATATCACGAACTTATGAAAGATCAAGACCGACTTAGTCGAACAAGCCTCCGAATCCTTCTCCATCAGAGTCCTCCTCACCACTCTTCTCTCCATCATCAGCGGGGGCTGCAGCAGCCGCAGCTGGGGCAGCCTCGGTTGCGGCAGCAGGACCGGCGGAAGCGTAAGCATCAGGGTTAGCGATGCGATCCTTCAATTCCTCTATCTCGGGCCAGCTGTACTCAGTCTCAATGGCAATGGCCAAAACCTTCTTGTAGCTGTTGACAACAGAGTGCATAACAGATGGAAGGGTTGGGAAGTTGGCAGCCAGGGAGATAGCAGCGATGGTAGTGATAGCGCTGGAGAAAGACTTGAGAAGCTGGGACTCCTCAACGTCGAGAACATCAGGTGGGAAAGTGTTGCCCTGGTCGTAGACCTGGGAGATACCCATACCGTATGTGAAGGGCGAGATGTTCAACATGTTAAGCAGGGTAGCCTCGGAGGCTCCGACCTTGCTTCCAGCCTCGACGAGCTTCAAGTCGCTGGTGATTTCAATGGTACCACGGGCAATCTTGGTTGGGACACCGAGAGCCTGGAAGAAAGAGGTCTTTCCGGGTTCCATACCAGTGTTACCAGCTGGGATGAAGACATCCTTAGGAGCGAGGGCACCAGCTCTGGCGGGCGCAGCAACCTTGTTGTCAAGAATCTTGTCACGGATGGTCTTGAGATCGGAGTTGGTGAAGACGAAACCGACATTGCCCTTGACGAAAGGAAGGAGGCGCTCGTACTCGGGGTTATCGCTGATGAAGCCCTTGACGGCACGACGGACCTGAAGAAAGCGACCAATTAGCTGGCTGTTGTGTTGGGCATTTCGCTGACGCTCAAAATATAATAGATGTATATCTCACCATGGTGTTCTTGCCCATCAAGACAACACCCTCACCACGGAGGGCACCACGGATCTCGTGCATCTGCTGAGAGCTGACATTGTCGACGGTGACAATGAAGATGCTGGTGTACTCCTCGAGAAGGCCCTTGAGCTTATCGAAGTAGCCGGCCTTGTTTTCTGCTTTGCCCCCCATATCTTCTTATGTTGAAGGTAGGATGTTTAAGGGTCAAAGAGTTGTGTTAATTGGGCGATTGTTCTCGTTAGGGTTGAGAAAAGTCGTTGATGTCGTAAAAAGATTCCAGACATTTTCGCGAATTCCATCTGTGCGGGTAGAACTTCTTAGCGCGAGATCGACCTTGATGTGATTGGTTAATATATCCCTCACGTGATATAAAATTTAATATTGGAAACTTTGAAGAAGTTGAGAAGTTTACAAAATTACCGTAAAAAGTAATTTTTCTCTCAATCTAATAATTACGCTCTTTTTATTTATGGCAAATATGCGCATGCCATATCAATGCATAGAGAAATGTGGTAATCTCCTCGTCGCTGCCAGAGGTTCCAATATCGAGCTGTTTAATCTCAGTGATGGCTCATGTATTTCTACATGGAAATGTCCCATCACTCATGGGACGTCAAAGGCCAAACCACCCGTCAAAGAAATCACTTCTAAGCTGGAGAATCAAGATTCCAAGTCATCGTCAGCGGATATTACAATCGAGACATCATCACCTCCGACAAAAAGAAGAAAACTTTCAGGTGGGGATGACCAAGACGAAAACTCAGCCAAGGACCCTAAAGAGGAGCAGAAGGGTGGCAAGAAGCCAACAAGAAAAGAGAAGAAGAAGTATGACTACAGACTGGACGCCGTGGCCAGTGGTCTTGAAGCCCCAGCAGTCATAGCTCTAGCAGTTACTTCAGATGCCCAGCACGTGATAGCCATCACAGGAGAAGACAAAAGCATCCGAGTCTTCTCCCTCACATGCCAGGATGGTGTCACGCGCTTGAACCAGCTATCTCAACGGCAAGTCCTCATCCATCCCTCTGAAATGAAATGCGTAAACTAATAAAGAGCAGAGTAATGCCCAAACGCCCCTCCGCGCTCACCATCTCAGAAGACAACACCACAATCCTCAGCGCCGACAAATTCGGCGATGTCTACTCCCTCCCGCTCATCCCATCACCATCACCACCACCAACCTCTTCAACTCCCCTCAGCACGCCCCAACACCCAGAGAAAGAAAAACCATTCAAGCCCTCCGCCAATGAACTAACCATCCACTCACAACGCAACCGCAAAGCTCTCGAGAATCAAAAACGCCAAAAGCCACCCCAGCCCCAGAAATCTGAGCCGGAGTTCGAGCATACTTTGTTACTAGGTCACGTATCTCTGCTTACGGATGTAAAGTTGGCGAAAAGTGGAGGCAGGAGTTATGTGATTACCAGTGATAGAGATGAGCATATCCGGATCTCGAGAGGAATTCCACAAACTCATATTATCGAGGGTTTCTGTCTGGGACACACAGAGTTTATCAGCCGGATTTGTATCCCGGATACCCGACCTGAGATACTGATTGCGGGGGGTGGGGATGACGAGATTTTTGTGTGGGAGTGGGAAAAGCAACAACTGGTATCGAAGGCGGATTTAAAAAGTACCGTGCAAGAATTCGTGGGTGGAGAGAAATTAGTGAGCAAGATTGCCGTTTCGGGCATTTCTTGGGTGAGAAGTGGGCAAAAGGATGTTGTGCTGGTGACTGTTGAGGGGTGAGTCTTTTAGAATCTGTAAATGATCCTGGATACACAAACTAATCTTATTACAGGATTCCAGCACTCTTCACGTTCCACCTTCAGGACTCCAACACGCTCCACCACGCCCAGACTCTGCCGCTACCAGGAAACGCTCTCTCCGTCGCTACAGTGATCGCCGCCGCTGCATCCGACGGAACACCAAGCAACCTCGTTCTCATTTCTGTCGACAGCACACATAAACCCGGCTCAACCACCGAGCTACGGAACAGCGACAGCACCGAGGAAGTCACCACCACTAGCCCATTCCAGGCATTTGTGTTTGAAGAAGATGGGAAGTTGGTGCAAGACTCTTTTGCACTCGCGACTGCTGAGGGAAATGATGTGGCTGAGGGCGCGGTTGGCGGACTGAGGAATCTGTTGTATAGTCTTGAGAATTTGCGGAAGAGGGATGGGGAAGAGAAGGGGGGTGGAAATGGGGCGGATGTTACGATGGGTGAGGAAGAAGCTGCGCAGCTAGAGTGATCTTAACTAAGATTTTGACATGTAAGAAACATTGCAAATCTTCTAAAAATCTACACGCACTGCACGGTAATGCTCGTTGTATGTCCATGGTCTTTATTCATTTGCTATACATACAATTGACCCAATCTCCATATACAAGATCTTTATTCGTCAGATCTGCTTCCCCTATTTAGCTGTGCATGGTATAGTCTACTCGTTTGCGTATTCTTCGACGGGTAGCTTCCCCCACTGCGCCTGCTTCTTTATCTTTGGTAGCTCCTTTCCTTTTCTTGCCCGCTTCTTCTCGACGTGCTGCTCTATTTCTTTCATCGTACTCTCCATAACCTCCCGCTCATTAGCTAGCTTTTCCAACTTCTTCTTCCGCCGCTCATTATCCTTGTCAAGCCTCTCCCGCTCCAGCCTTTGCCGTTCAAGCGTTGCCTGCTTTAGCCTTTCCCGCTCCTCTAGTATCTCCCGCTTCACCCTCTCCCGCTCTTGTTTCCTCCGTTCCTGCTGCTCCTTTCGCGGCACACCTTGAACTTGCTTGACTGTCTCGGATTGTACTCGGATTGCCTCTCTTTCAATAAGTAACTGCTGCATATGGACCATGTTCTGCTGATCACGCGCCCACTGCGGCGAGAATGGTTGCCCGCGAAGTTCTTCTCTCTCCGCAACCAATTGCTTTCGGTAGTTGAATACTTGTTTATCTAGTGCTTCCGCGACCGCCGTTCCCTCAACCTGCTCGACGAACTTGAGAGACCATGCCAGTCTGTGATCACTGACCCAACGGCTTCTGATCATGTCCATGGTGATGCCGGAGAGTGTGAGGGATTTTGTCAACTCTGGGGTTATGGGATTGCCGCGGATGCGTAGGTAGAGTAAACACTGTGAGACGTTTCTAAGCGCCCATCTGGGTCTACGGCTGGCTTCAGCAGCAAACCCCACTGCCATTTTTGTGATGAGAGCTTCCGAAGTTGGCCATAGGCGGTCGCTTGGATTGTTCGAGAATCCTGGGAATAGATGTGGCGGTACCTGATGGTAAATGGGGAGTCCTAAGACGTCCCAAATTGATTTGGAGCCAAAACGAGAGGAAGCGATCAATGACAGAACGAAGTTTGGGCATTTCTCGATGTGTAAACCGCGGCGGTCGTCCCTGAGTGGAAGCCAGATATGAAAGATGTTATATGCGACTTGAGCGTTACAGTAGCTTATGTTATTTAGAGCTCTCAAGATGATGCTCGTAGGCAGTTTCAACCCACGTTGGAGCATCGCAGTGAGGGTCGAGTGAACCGTTTCATATGCGTCAAGCTTCTGGAGTAGTTGAAAAACCTCCTCCGTCTTCGACAGCCACGCCTCTTTATGTCTCTTGAGGTTGTGAAGTAGGTCGGCAATGGCATCCGGAGCGTGTCCTCGGGCTTTAAAACCATTTCTGACAATGACTGGAGAATTCAACGCACCCTGGGTGATCCAACGGTCTATCATGATGATACAAATGTTCCGCGGCAAAATTGGACCGATAGGGTCGTTGAGAGCTTTGAATATTTGAATAAATAGGCCGTCATTAACATTGCGCATTTGCGCCACCGAAGATAGCCAGTAGAACCTCAATATGGCTCTGGCTTCTTTTGGTGCCGTCTGGATGGCGGTAGAGACATAACTTGAACATGACTGGACAAGCATGCTTGTCAATACATTGCTATGCTCCTCGAGGTTTTCAATGGCTCTGGCAAACAAAGCTACGGAAGTTCTCTGAGGAAACAGTATGTTCTCCGCAACGTCAACAGCCTCTATACTGCGATGAATGCCATCTCTAGCCTCGTCGACTAATCTATGCATCTCGATCCATTCCTTGTGCTTGCCACCTTGCTCCAATGATGGTAAGAAGCTGTGAGCACGACTGAGCGTGTATTTTACTGAATTCATAGCATCTTCTGATTTGATAGATAATCCGGACATGTCGGCTGCAGAAGGGCACTCATCAATTGCCCAGGACTGTATCCATGCATGAAGCAAAGGCTCGATACTTTCTCTCATAATTTGGAGCTGACGTGGTGACGAGGAGCAAAGAATGTCATGAGCCAGAGTCTGTACTTTTGAACAGATGGGCAGTTCTGATAGATTTCCAATAAGGGCGCTTATGACAGCAGTCTTATGCATACTCATTGGCACCACTTTTTTAGAACTTGTGATTCCATCCCAGAGCTCTTGACAGAATGCGAGAGCAAGTGATTCTCTCAAGGGTATATCCGGCAACTCATATCGATGAATATTAAGAGCCTTGAGGAGCGTATCATCTGGCACCAGGCCAAGTATGAGACCTTCTTTCAATTTTTTGTTGAGTTTATTGCAAAGTCTGATGATCCTATCATCGTCGCCTCGGACTACGGCCTTTCGCAAGTCGGACCGGAAGCTAATTAACGAGAAGAGTTTCCAGCCCGGTTTGATAGGTGCCGCGGTCAATGGGGGAGCTGCCACGAGATCTTCCACTGCGGATACAGATGATGCGGGTGCAGGAGCAGATGGCAACGATCCTGACCCTAACCAGTCCTCCAGGTACTGAAGCCACCCAGTTCCTGCTTCAGGCGTCGAGGATCTCGTAGATGGTGGCTCCCACTGAAATCTAGTCCTATCAACTTCTCCAAATATGTTCCACATAGGGGGAAAGTAGTATGCAGACTTCGGAGTTGATTCCGAGAGCTGAATGCCCATCCTTCGCCTTCCCAAGCGTCTCCGAGCTTCCAGTGGGCCTGGAACGAAGCTCCCATAACGTCTGGTAGACTTGGACAAACTGACGAACCGCTGGAAGGATGCGGAGAGTACATCGTCGGATATCCATATCGTTTCGGGGGGCAGAAGCCGCGGGTGCTGCACTGCTCGGCGGCAGGCAGGAGGGCAGCTCCGCATGGGCTATCGGGTTCGTTCTGACATGTATGGGAAATGCGCGCGTAGTGTCGGGATCAGGGTATTCGTACAGGTGGAAAATGTTGTGGGTACTATCGATGTGGGATGGATGTTGACTGCCAATGGCTGTAGGGAAAAGAAAGAACTCAGTGCGTGGAGAAGATGCCAAAAAATATTTGAGGCTGAAGTTGCAAAATCGCGAGTTTACTGTACTGTATAATTGGCTCGTGCTACCCCTGCTTTTCGTCCTTCCCGCAGCTGGAAATAAGCTAAGCTTAGGAACCAAATGCGCTATCAACACTCAGCGGGGAGTTTCATGCCTCCAGAAACATTTACTCCTTCTCAGCTACACATCGAGATCCACCACGAGGGATACATTACTATGGCTCACCAGTTTGAACCTCTGAAAAATGATCTGATCATCAGAACCGCATGGGGTGCGTGCATCTTTTCCAAAAGAGAAAAGAGAAAGACCTTGCGGGGTAGAGGGGTAGAAGGTGTAAACTGATGCGATTGAAATATAGGCCAAAAGGTTGAGAGACCCCCAATGTGGGTGATGCGTCAAGGTGAGAAACCTCCCATCGCATCTGAGACATATAAATAACATTCAATATAGCTGGACGATATCTCCCCGAATACCATGAAGCCAAGGGCAAGAACGACTTTTTCGAATGCTGCCGCTCCCCAGAAATCGCATCCACCTTGACTCTACAGCCCATCGAGAGATTCGCAGGCCTCATTGATGCGGCTATCATCTTCTCGGATATCTTGGTCATCCCTCAAGCATTAGGCATGACTGTGGAGATGGTTGATAAGATAGGACCGCATTTCCCAGAACCTCTCAAATCGCCCGATGACGGACAATATCAAAAAGTTTTGCAAAAGAAGGTTGATGTTGCGGCAGAGCTGGATTATGTTTATAAGGCTATTACAATGGCGAGGCATAAGTTGAAGGGTCGAGTCCCGCTGTTTGGATTCTGTGGTGCGCCTTGGACGCTACTATGTTACATGGTTGAGGGTGGTGGGAGTAAGCTGTTCATCCAGACCAAGACTTGGATCTATAGATATCCACAAGCAAGCAAGGACCTTTTACAAAAAATTGCTGAGGTCTGTGTGGAGTATTTGGCGTTGCAAGTTCAAGCAGGTGCTCAGGTCAGATCACCAGACCTTTTCGCTGTTAATTCATTGCTAATTATCGATACAGATCGTACAAGTATTTGACTCTTGGGCGGCTGAATTATCACCAGCTGCGTTCAAGGAGTTCTCGCAACCATACTTAGCATACATATCCGAGAACCTCCCAAAACGACTGAAGGAGAAGAACTTAGATCCTGTTCCAATGGTCGTCTTTGCAAAGGGAGCATGGTATGCATTGGATTCTCTCTGCGACCTGGGCTACCAAGTCGTTGGTTTGGATTGGCTGCAAGATCCTGCGGAGGCTGTTAAGATCAGAGGGAACAGACCTGTTGTGCTCCAAGGCAATGCTGATCCAGGAATCCTCTACGGAACAAGAGAGAATATCACCAAGGTATTAACGCATATGATTGCTGGGTTCGGTGGAGGAAAACAAGGCTGGATCTCTAATTTGGGTCATGGTAAGTTGCCTTCCAACTGACACTAATTTCACGTCTAACATTCAACAGGAATCACACCTGGTGTCAAACCTGATGACTTGAAGTTCTATTTCGAGGAGATCCATCGCTTAACCAAAAGTTAACTGCCTGTATCATGAACTGTTCATAGATGATGAAACATAAAAGCATGTCAAATTATTTGACCTCCTTCGAATAAACCCTCTCCTCTTCCCCAATATCCTCATTCCTATCCCCAATTAGCATCCATCCATTCCCGCAAATCTAAGCGGAATCAACTTACCAAACCTCCGGCTTCTCCTTGATAAACCTCTCCATCAACTCCCTACACTCTGCATTCTCCAAAACCACAACCTCCACCCCCCTTTGCTTCAAGTACGCTTCTCCCCCCAAAAACGTCTTATTTTCTCCTATTACGACCCGTGAGATGCCGTATAGGATACAAGCACCGGTACTGTTCGTTGCATTGTATTGTAAGCATGTGCGTGTAGTAGGGAATGAATGCTAATGGGCTGGGGCGTGATAACGAACCACATATCGCATGGCGAGAGAGTCGTGTACATTGTCGCGCCTTTGTAGGCCGATGCTGGCAGGCGCCCTGAGTTTTCTAGAGCTGCGGTTTCGCCCTGTTCGTGCTCATTCCATGTTAATTAAGGGGAGAGATAGGTAGGGGAGGTGAGGTAATATTAAGGGAGTGCTCACGTGGTGGATGGCGGAGCCTTTTTGGACTCGCATGTTATGGCCTCGCCCTAGAAGTTTTCCATCTTTTGATACTAGAGCTGCTCCGATCTTTGGTATGAATGAATGTCAGGGTCTGAAGTGTATTGTGTTATGGGTTTGGGGTGTTTTACGGGAACTCCGCCTTCTTTGTATCCGATCTTTGCTTCCTCGACAGCGATGGCGAAGCCTTCTTGGTTGTTCATTATGCAAAGAATCCTTAGCTAGTGAGTGTAATTGTATGAGAAAGATTGACACTCGTACAAGTAGGATTACGTTTGATGGCGGGAATATGTAACCTCTGGTGAGTATTTGGTTGTATTTGGATACTTCACTTCTAGGCTTTCCAGGTAGGGAAGAATTGAACTAAGGAAATATATTTGAAAAGATGCAAAGAATGAGTGTCGAATTATGTATACGAACTAGGATCTTCTAGCTTTTCATCTCTTCATATTCCACTCTATTACTGCCCCTCCCGTGGAAAAGAAAAGTAGTGTGTCATGATATCTAGAGATCCATCCTATCGATAAGAGCCACTCACCTTGGGTAAGAGATGGAGAGGAATCATGATTGGATAGATAGCCGGGGAAGCAGGGGTTTCCCCCTCCGTGCATAGGTCTAAATTCGGACGCAAAAAGAGGGTTACCGAGTTACCAAAGTCCATAATCTATTTGGCTATATTATTCTGTAAAAAATGAAGACTTTGATATCTGAAATGCAATAACAACAAGAATATATGCCACTTTCTATAGAAATCTTCTACGTGATTATATTATTTGATTATTTACTGTTGCCATCTTTGCATGAAGCTGGAGGCGAATTGCCTGAAGCGGATTGGTGATAAATTCTAAAAGATTCCATGGACGTCGGCTATAATAATTCCGCCTTCTCTTGAGATTCATTCACGAAGGTCAGCGTAAAACTTCTTGATTGTATTCTCGACATATATCCTCTCTCCCTTCCGATTACAGTCATCCTTTGATTGACTGAGCAGCCATCTGGACTTACAGCCATTACCTAATTCCAAGCGATACTGCCGACGTTGAAGATATTCTTGCGACCCCAAGCAAGGCCCCAGCCTCAGCCTTAGTCGTAGGTCAGCCAGCCCTTTTCGTTGCCTTTCTCGCAAACACCCCTCCTGCCAGCCTTCCTACAAGGCAAGACGTGGTTGCAAATTTCTACAGATTTCGGGATCGGAATCACAACTTTTTTCTCGCGCTAACATTGGTAATAAAGACGGCTTACACGCTTTTTCATATCACCCCTTCCCAGAAGACTCGGAAAACAAGCATCTCGGAGTCCGAAAAGCAGACGGAAACTTCTCTACACAACATCCTCCGTCAACACTTAAGCCGACAACATGGCTAAGGAGTCTAAATTCTACGATATTCTTGGTGTAAGCTGTTCCTTCTTATTACAGGAGAATACCGACTGACGACTCTACAGGTTGCAGCAACCGCCACAGAAGCCGAATTAAAGAAAGCTTACAAGATCGGAGCTCTAAAGCATCATCCTGGTACGCCCTGAGATCCAATATACTCTTCAGCGACATGAGCTGACATCCATATCTAGACAAGAATGCACACAATCCAGATGCCTCCGACAAATTCAAGGACCTGTCGCATGCGTACGAGGTTCTTTCTGATCCCCAGAAGCGACAAATCTACGACCAATATGGCGAGGAGGGCTTAGAAGGCGGTGGTGGGGCAGGTGGAATGAACGCCGAGGACCTGTTCTCTCAATTCTTTGGTGGCGGATCCGCATTCGGAGGTGGCGGCGGTGGTGGTGGATTTGGAGGCATGTTTGGTGGTGGTGGCATGCAAAGCCGCGGACCACCAAAAGCCCGAACGATTCACCACGTACACAAAGTCTCCCTCGAGGATATCTACCGCGGAAAGGTCTCCAAGCTCGCCCTCCAAAAATCAGTCATCTGTTCGTCATGTAAAGGACGGGGTGGCAAAGAGGGCGCGGTTAAGAAATGTGCCGGTTGTGATGGCCAGGGCATGAAGACCATGATGCGCCAGATGGGCCCTATGATCCAACGCTTTCAGACTGTCTGCCCCGACTGCAATGGAGAAGGTGAAACTATACGCGAGAAAGACAAGTGCAAGGTCTGCTCTGGAAAGAAAACAATTGTCGAGCGAAAGGTACTACACGTTCACGTAGATAGGGGTGTCCGAACAGGGCACAAGATTGAGTTCCGAGGCGAGGGGGACCAAACTCCTGGAGTTCAGCCTGGTGATGTTGTTTTCGAAATCGAGCAAAAGCCACACCCCAGGTTCCAGCGCAAGGATGACGACCTTTTCTACCACGCAGAAATCGACTTGGTCACCGCTCTTGCGGGTGGCACAATCTTTGTTGAGCATTTGGATGACAGATGGCTCAGCATCGAAATTATGCCTGGAGAGGTTATCAGCCCAGGTAGGTCTTGTATGGTAGCACTTTGATGATCCTCAACTAACAAGCTTGTAGGTACTCTGAAGATGGTTCGTGGCCAGGGAATGCCTTCGTACCGTCACCACGATTTTGGTAACCTCTTTGTCCAATTCGATGTCAAATTCCCCGAGAAGAATTTCGCGGCCGATCCTGCAGCGTTCGAAGCCTTGAAGAGTATCCTTCCTCCTTCAAAGACCATTGTTACCCCACCAGCGGATACAATGACCGAAACAGTTGACTTCGAGGATGTTGATCCCAGCCAGCAAGCACGTGCTCAAGGCGCAACAGGAATGGATGATGAAGATGAAGATGGACACCCTGGTGGAGAACGAGTCCAATGTGCCTCGCAATAAACTATAGATCTGGCTGCCAATGAGAAGTCTTCATTTCATGGGAATTTCTTTAGCATTTGCATTTGGATGGAGTGTCTGCAGGTGTTGTAAGCTTTGACGTGCATATGACCTGACGAGGGGGCTCGGGGCAAGTAATGAACGGTGCAAGTTCCGTTCCGGACCTTCGGGCCTTCGCGAACAATTCTCATGGCAGACATGGCCTTTGCACTTCTCGGGCCTTTCGTTTTCCTGGTAATATTGGTGAGAGCTTTCTTTGGGGCGTTTAGAGGGATACCTACTTAGATAGCATCAGAAAGATATTCTAAACTAAGAAAATCGGCGATTCTGCCTGTGATATAACCCCGATTACTAAACATGATACATTCCACTGGTGACTCAGTACAGTCCCTATATGAAGTAGATATCCAATAATGCCGTTTTAGCGGAGATATTGCACTTACGTACACAGCCCCCATCGTGGCGGCACAGTATTTCGGATTTGCTACGCATCGCTCGCATCGCGTCTCATCTCATCGGAATATTTATGAGCTCCCCACTCACAGGTCGCAAATATGGATTACTTCAACAACGTCCCCAATCAAAGCAAGCCACCAGAAGAACGACAGCCCTCATCCCCACCATCCGGTACCTCACCATACAATAATGTCTCCAGCTCTACTTCTCCGCCCGCAGCTCCCACCTCAAGCATGGGACCCTCAAGCTCCCCAGCTCCCCGCATCAGAAGGCGCAACCGCATGATAACAAGTTGCCTAGAATGCCGTCGTCGCAAACTTAAATGCAATAAATCGCATCCGTGCACCAACTGTGTGAAGTTCAACCGAGACTGTATGTTTCTGGCCCCGGCTCTGGATCAAGCCAGCCAGCTCAAACTCACGGAGATTAAAGAGAAAGTCGGGTCTCTAGAGCGATTGCTCGAGCGCGATGTGGCGAAGAATGCTCAGGCCCAGGCTCAGACTCATGATAGAGCGTTGCCGGATGATGCTGATGATGATCTGCCGGCGAATGAAGATGAAAAGGATTTGGAACCTACGCCATTGGCAGTTCCGGATGCTGCGTATGGCGAGGATGGGGATGATGATGAGTTGCTGGATCTGGGGATCCAGATGGGGAGGATGAGAATTACGGAGCGGATTGGGGGGTTCTTTAGGCCGAAAATTGCTGAAGAGGTTTGTTTGACCTTTTGTACTGTGTTGTGATTTGCATAAATGACCCGTAAGAGAAGTATCTCTTCTGGAATCGAAGGAGGATGAAGCAATTATTACTTGCTATATGAAACCCATGACACCAAGGGACTCCTAAGAACGCTCAAACCCTCGATATTCCTTTTCCATCCATAAGACTTTGGAGGAAGAGAACATGGCTAGTCCCATGTTGCCCTCGATGTTCAATCGGGATCGTGTATTTTGCTACACTTCATACCACTCTCGCAACATATTGTCAGCCCAAGAACAAGGCTAACCCATATTCCAAGCTTCAATATACCGTTGATAAGTCAATCGCATCTAGGAACAACGAGCAAGACACTGGGGATCCAGCCCCTCCTTTTATCGCAAACCCATTACCACCTGCTTCTGAATGGTTGAAGCCAGGCCCTTCTTACATTATGCCCTCATCTGGGTTCTTTTTTGGGAATACAAGCCATCAGGCTTCACTTATCGACTTCCTACCGTCGCGGCTGGCAGCAGATAGACTTATCAAGCAATACTTCACTTGCGTGCATACCATTGCACAGATTGTACATAGGCCAACTTTCGAGAGAGAATACGGTACCTTCTGGGATGAGGTTTCACTGGGAATCGAACCTCAGACCTCTGTACAAGCTATCATCTTCGCCGCTATGTTTTCGGGAGTCGTAAGTATGGATGAGTCTGTAATACTTAGGGATTTCGGTGTCTCAAAAGCTTCATTGATCGACAACTTCAAACTCGGTACAGAAACTGCTCTTGCACGGGCCAACTTTCTTAGAACTACAAAGATCGAAACTCTTCAAGCGTTCGTGATGTATCTTGTAAGTCTGCTTCCGGTAGAGACTCTCAATATCTTACTAACTTTGGGACAAGATTCCTCTTTGTAGAGCAGAGTTATCCAGAGCCCATTCTGTACTTCTAGGAGCTGCAATAAGGATGGCAGAGTGTATGGGACTTCACCGAGACGGATCGACTTATGGGATGAATCCTTTAGAAACACATGTTCGACGACTTATTTGGCATCAGCTTTGCTTTTTAGACATTAGAACATGCGAAGCACAAGGACCGCGGCCAACAATACGAAGAGATGAATACGATACTAAACTTCCCCTAAATGTTGACGATGCTGATCTTCATGCAACTGGCCTACCTCCAGCACCTGCAGATCGATGGACAGACGTCACTTTTTCTAAGATGCGTTTTGAGATATATGAAATGACAAGAACTATTTGGGTGGACAGACCGAGGATAGAGCGCCGTAAAATAAGTCTCACTGCGGTGCTTAGCAAGATCGAGACATTCAAAAGCAACATGGCTGCCAAATACGACCACATGATGGATGACAGGATACCAGTGCAGAAGTGCGCAAAGCACATTAAGGCCTCGCTTCTATCCCGACTATATATCATGGTCCTCCATCGATACCACAACTCAGTTGTCTCGCCCATGCCCGATCGACTCCGGAACATCATGCTTATGACCGGAACGACACATCTCGAAGTATCCATAGCATTAGAAACGCTACCTGAGCTTAGAAACTGGAAATGGTATCTAGGCGCTATGCAACAGTACCACGCGGCTTTCCTACTTCTCATGGAGGTCTACGCATACCCGAAACGCAAAGAAGCCGATCGGATATGGGCGTGTCTGGACTACATCTTCGAATGCGACCCCAACGAGAATCGCCACACAAAAGGCCTTCGAGTCCTCTCGGAACTGCAGCAAAAGACAGCTATCTACCAAAGTATGCGAGGCATGCGAGCGCCCGTGCAAATGAACAAGCATTTGGGGATGCGATCGCGCGTGCAAAGCGATTCGCCGCAAACTGCGGAAAAGGGGTTAGTATACGGCGTATCCCGGAGTGCCAGTGAAGAGAGCGAGGCAGCTCAGAGAATACAACAAGTGCCCGTTTCTGGTGGGGGATCTATATCTATTGGCAGGGCGCCGGTGCCGGATGTGGTGTTTGCGGGCGTGTCGAATGGAGAGTCGTTGTGGGCGCTTCCGACGCAGAGGAGTCCGGAGGGTAGTGATACGCTGAGCAATCCGGGACAGGAACCTATTACGCCGCTGATGACCGACGCGGGGACCGATGATTTGATGGCCGATATTGATTGGGGTGAGTACTATGCTTGGGACTAGAGTGTGTTGTGTCCGGATGCTGACTGTTTGATCTAGATGCTTTTGATGCGCTGTTCCCTGAGAATGGGCAGCCTGTTATAACGGGTCCAAATTTCTACTTCCCTAACCGTTTCCCCAGTGTTGGTACATCTGGGACATTTTGAGAGATTGTATGTGATGAAGAGGAGTTTGCATTGGGTAGAATACAATTGGTGTCGTAATCTAGGAGTAATGGCTTATGAAAGGCAAGGTGGGGGGGGGGGGGGGGCGGGGCATTGGCTCAGGGACATGTTTTGATACGCAATGTTACAATATCTGTGTTCGACCCACATCACCTCACTAATTAAAATTTCAAGAAGCCATATCGCTTGCAATGCTCGAAATAGTTTATGTCTCATAAGCTACTGGTGTACACAGAAACTTAAGCGCCATCCCAATGAACCCGAAATGGTAATACACTCAAGATGCCCTCAGCACCTCCTTTCTTCAAAATCTAAACGTCCAAATCCATCTTCTCTCCCAACGCCGTCTCTCCACCCTCAAGCTCATGCACAGTTACATATTTGCTAATCTCCTCCCTTGTAATCACCTTCTCGTTCAACACCGCAGTCGTACCCCTCTTGAATACATAGCTCTTCTGTTTCTTGCTCCGCTCATTTGGCTTAACATATCCTCTCTTCAACGTCGTCTTATCCTTTGTAATGACCGCCACATCGACATTCGAACCAGAGCCCAAATCGTTGAAGATACCAGCCTGAATTGCATTCGACGCCAGCGTGACAGCCTCCTCCTCCGTCATCTTGCTCTTCCACTGCGTCTCGAACACCGACATAGCCGCGAGGGAACCGCTGCCCATAGTGACATACGGGAGTTTATCCGTGCTACCGTGTGCGTGGACCGTGAAGAGACCAACACCAGTAGGATCAACACCTGCTACGACGAGGTATGCGCCAATGTGGCCCTGGTATCTGAAAAGGTGCTGCTTGAGCATAGTCATGCAGGTGACGACGCGGGGCTTGCGGCCCGTGGAGAGCGAGTGCAGCTCGAGTTGCGAGGAGATGAGCGCGGTTGTGAATTCAGTGTCTGCGGCGGTTCCTGCTCCTGCGCACCAGATCTGAGGGGCGATGTAGTGTAGCTTTTCACAGTTCTTGTCTGCTACTATAGGACCACTTGTTGCTCTGGTATCTGCGGCGATCTGCGAAGAACGTAATTAGCTATGTGGTTACGGGGTGGAAGCTTCAAAGGGCAGGGAGTGGTAGCTTGTTCACAAGGCTGCCGTGTAGAGCTCTAAAGATGGCACGTACAACTACACCTCCATCAAATATACATCCCACAATCGTCGTTCCGGTACTCGTCGCCTTTGGCAAGGGCACACCTCTTGCGTGTAACGCCGCATTGCGGGTATGGTTTGTAAAGTCGAATCCCGGCATGTTGACAACTAGAGCTTAGGGAGCCCCGTTCTGGATCGGTGTCGTGAAATAGAAACAGGCAAAATTCGAGATAGTAGGTTCGGCTGGTCGAGAGAAATTCGTGAAGGGTCGTTGATGAGTTTAGTTGTCTGGGTAGCTCGTCTCTCGTTAGGTAGGAAGACGTTACGAAGCTGAGCTTTGCCTGGAGCTTCAGGTCAAACGCGTCGTCCACGTGATGTAACCGCCAAATTATCGCGAGAGCTTCAAGGTAACCTCGAAATAAAGCATCATTCCTTGTAAATTTAATTTCTAAGTATTCACTTTTCTACAAACTTTAGGCAGCCTTGCTATCGACACAGGAGGATTCACCGGCCAAACAGAGGCCTCAGAAATCGCACCTTCCTCTGCTTTTGAAGCTCCGTCCTAAGACTCGACATCAACACTCGATGCGCGGGAGAATTTCATGAACTACCTAACAAACCCGCGAGGACGGAGACTTTGCGACAGTCATGGCATTTAGCTTCGGAAACCCGTCTATGGGTAGTCCTGCAGGAGGAGCAAGTGGAGGAGTGCAGAATGGCCAGGACCTGGAGGCAATACAAACAGAGGTATACTACCTACTCTCTTTATAAACAATATATGCTAACTCGACATGAGGCACTCGGATTTCTAGCTCTTGCAGGAGATGCAAAAGTACAACTGCTTCCTACGCCATGGCCTATCGATCAACTTCCTCCTCCAACTGCATCTCTCATGAGCATAGCTTCACGGCGGGGACTTATTGCTGCAGCGGGACCAGACGCAGTTATATTGGCGAGGACGAAATCGGTGCGGAAAGCTTTCGAGAGCAATGAGGCAGGGAATAATAACTTGAAGCCTTTCCGGCCGGAGTTGACCATGCCGATGCAGATGAGAGTCTCACAACTTACATTCTCCATCGACGAATCATACCTGGTGTTGTCTGCAGAGAATGGAGGAGGGTTGGCCGTATATGATGTCGATGCTCTTCTTAATGGCTCTACCAACTCGGCGTTTGAGTTATCTACCAATGGACAGTCTTTGAGAGCATTGACTCCAAATCCTACACAGGGCGAGCTCCTTGCGGTTGTGACTGTCGATGGAAACTTGATGATGGCCAATTTGAAGGAACGAAGCTTTGTCACAGGACCGAATGGGCAAATTTTGAAGGATGGTGTCAGTTGTGTCTCATGGAGTACAAAAGGCAAGCAATTAGTGGCTGGGCTTGGGAACGGTACTGCATATCAGATGACACCTGCTGGAGAAGGCAAAGGAGATATCCCAAAACCCCCAAACGTAGCTAATGGCAACCATAGTAAGTAACTCAGAGTCTAATATCCAATGTAAGGCCGTATGCTAACTTTGATAGTGTCATCTATCACCTGGCTTGAAAACCACGTCTTCCTCATGGTACATACACCTACACAGTTTGGCAATGACCAGGCACCGCTGTCAGACTTTCACCTCGTCACCCGACAACCACCATCCAGTTTTATGTTTCAGAAGATTGAAGATCCAGCCGGACCCTATGGTATGAACCGGTCACCACCGCATCACTTCCTCCTTCGACTGAAGGACTTCCCGCCGAATCTCCAGGATGTAATCTTTGTCACGTCATCCGCAGCCATGGATGTTGGGCTTTTCACTAGATCCAAGAATCCATTGACCAACACCAAACCCGCAGACAAGATATCTGGTGTTTTCACGATGACTGAATTCTCTGACGACTCAAAACGAGCTCAGCTTCCAGTATCTAGTTCCATGGGCGGCGATACCGCTGCGATCGGGCTTGCTCTTGATCTATCTAGCGATGAAAAGGTCTTCAAGCCTATTCCAGGTGATGACGAGATAAACGAGTCATCCGCGCCTTTGCCTGCTCTTATGCTTTTGAATCACGAGGGAGCTCTTGCTTCCTGGTGGTTCGTCTATACCGATTCGATTCGCCAGGGTACAGCTTATCCTGGACTCATTGCAGCTAGACGTGATGCGCAAACAATACAACCGGCTCCAGCTGCAGTACCAGCTCAGACGCCTTCGAGCTTTGGCGGAGCAGGTTTCCATAACACGTCTTCTGCTGGGACTGGATTTTCAACCATGAAACCAGCCACGACTCCTGCGTTCGGTGCGCCTGCAACTGGAGCGTTTGGGGCTCCTTCGGGTCTAGGTCAGAAGGCATCGCCCTGGAGTACCCCAGCAGCTTCACAGGCACCTCAAACTAGTATTGGAACGCCCTCATTTGGCTCAGCCTCCACAATGGGCGGAGGAACTGCATTCAACAAGCCAGCTTTTGGCACAACAAGCAGCCCGGCTTTTGGCACTTCAGGCATGTCAGGCATGCCTGGAAGACCGTCTGTATGGGGATCCGGGGGGTCCACAGCTCCTCAGGCAGCTTTTGGTCAAGCAAGTAGTCTAGCGAAACCTGCCACACCTTTCGGTTCATCTGCAAGTACTGGTACTTTAGCACCTACAACTGGGGGCTTTTCCGCGTTCGCGTCAAATGGTGGATTTGCTGCAGCAGCACAGAAGACTGGCGAAAGTGTTTTTGGCAAACCTGCTTCCGGCACCTTTGGCTCTCCAAGTACTTCTGCTGCTGCCGGAAGCGTTTTTGGCAAACCTGCTCCCAGCACCTTTGGTGCTCCCACTCCTGCTCCAACCAATAGTGTATTTGGTTCATCAAGTCAGAACGATAGCAAGGCGACTCAAGGCACTTTTAGTTCGGGTACCACCAGTAATCAGACTACTCCTGGCATATTTGGTGGTGGCGGTCAAACTACCGGAAAGCCTTTTGGCAATGGTTTTAATCTCGTTCCGTCATTCAAAGCCGACACTTCTACCAAGAACGGTGCACAAGAAACAGATGAGCCCAAAAGCTCTTTCTTCGGAGGCGGGTTTTCTAGTGCACTTGGAGATGCGGGCAAAAAGCCAGGTGCAGAAGTTCCAGTATCAAAGGAGACGAACATGGATTCAGATGATGTAGCCAAGCCAGAAGAATCTACAAAAGACTCGACAACTCCTTCTACAACCCCAGCTCCGGCCAAATTTCAGCAATTCTCAACAACTCCCTCGAGCCTCTTCGGAAGCACGTCCACACAGGCTCCACAACTTACAACTAAGCCTGCCACAGCTGGGTTTGGCTTTGGGCAACCGGCAGGTGACAGGCCTTCAGGTCTTAACTTTTCTAACTTGGCCAATGTTTCAGCACTTACTCCCAAGACACCGATCACGAGTGAACCAGACGCTCCCGTTACAATATCGGAGACCCCGGCGACGCCTAAAGTCAAGACGGAACCGGAGTCAAGTGGACATGGAGGTATTAGTTCTAATATCCCAGAGGCTCCGTTACCGCCTGAATCAACAAGTAAGACCAGTTATGCCGCAGGAGAATCGTCCGAATCTTCATTCTCTTCTATAGAAACTGACTATCCAACTCCTTCAGGTTCTACTGCAAAGCCGGCACCGAAAGTTGACCCAGCTCCTCCAGCTCCTCCAGCTCAACCTGACCAAAACGCATTGAAGCCAATTCCAAAAAATCTCATCCCTCCCATGGATGTCCCAGGTGGCCCTGAGGATGATGGTGGCAGTTCGGATTTCGTCACTGAAGACGACGAAGATGATGATAGTGAAGAAGGCACCGAGGAAGGAAGTGGTGAAGATGTTGCGAAAGACTTGAGCCCTACCTCGGAGGCGAACCAGACTCCTGGATTCACACCACAAAGCTCTTTCAACATCTTAAAGAAAGAAAACAGCAGTAATCTTTTCCAGAAAGTCGAAAAGCCGGGCCAGCCAGCCCCACGGATCTTGTTTGGAGAAGGTGTTTCAGCACCATCACTACCGCCCCCAAAACCGAAACAACCTCTAAGCCCTCGATCGCCAAGTCCTGTTCGGCCTGGTGCAATCCCTTCGAGACTGGGTCTGGGACGACCAGACCCATCTCGGTCAGTCAGTGCCCCAAGTACGGCATCGCAATTATTGGGGCAGAGACCAGGTAGTAGACCCGCCAATAATATTCAGAATACATATGCCTTGGCCATGGAGCAAAGTAAGGCCGACGAGAAACGTCGCGAAGAGGCTAGAGCTCGGAAGGAAGCAGAAGAGACCCGAGCTCTTGTGGATGAAGAGGATGATGACATGCAAAGATATCTCGCTGATGATCCCGAACTAACGAGAACATTGGTTGAATTCACTACCCATACTAACCATGCCAACCTAGCAGCTGTGGACAGCATTCCCGCCCAGGTTGAAGCTGTTTATCGGGATATCAACTCGATGATTGATACATTAGGCCTGAATGCCAAGCACCTCAGAGGTTTCATTCAAGCTCACACGGAGCAGTTCAAAGAAGCAGGTCGTCAGAGAGAAGATCTCGAGAATGAAGAAGATTGGGTTTTAGTCGAGATTGAGGACCTTAAATCGATGGTGGAGAAAAGACTTACAGAAGACCTGAACAGTGGTCGGGTAAAGGAAGTTGCAAGGAAATTGGAGACCTGCAGCGATCTTCAAAAGGATCTTATGAGACTCAGGGCAAAGCACGAGGATATCAAAAAGATTATCGACGCCCAGCGCGACCCAGGTCAGCTTGCACAAGCCCGTGCACAACCTTTAAGTGCCGAGCAGCAAGCTCAGCAAAATGATCTGCGACAGGTATACACCACGTTCCAGCTGCTCCTTGCAGAGGCCGAAGAAGGCCTAACTCTCCTCAAGACTAAGCTCGTATCACAAGCTACATCGAACGGCAGAGCTGGTGCAACTGCAGGTCCAACCGTTGAGGCCGTTATGCGGACCATTACCAAGATGACCAGCATGGCCGAGAAGAGAAGTGGCGATATCGATGTTCTCGAAGGCCAGATGCGGAAATTACGAGTCGGCTCTTCATTTAGTGCAAGTTCTCAAGAAGGCACGCCCTTCACGCCCCAGTCAAATCGACATTCTATGCGTAATGCAGGAGCCTCTACGTACAGCCTATTCCACACGCCTGAAAGAGAGACGTCACGCAACATGCGGGATTCCATCTTGTCCAACCCAGGCTCGTTTGGGATGAGTTCTCCTGCTCCCAGGAAGAAGCTTAGTGGGTATTCACCTGAGGAGAAGGCGCTTTTGAAGGCCAAGCTGGCGAGACGGAAGGGCGTGGTCGATAAATTAAGGAACGCGTTGCAGAAGGCGGGGTCAAATGTTAGGCTTATGGATGATGATCTGTAGGATATGAAAGCGTGGGCGTATGGGAATGAATTTGAAAATGGAAAAGCGTCATGATGATATTGGAGGGATGGCACGATTACGAAATATGTAGTAGTAGCTTAGTATTAGCATAGGGAAAGCGGATCTGGAATTGAGATGTATTTCCCGGACTTTTGAGTTGTCTTTTTAGAAAGGATTATTTTTGAGGCTGAGCCTTGCGATTTCATAGTGCCTGCCATCACTCCATGTTGGAATTACTTGCGTGATGCAAGTTAGGAAAGGACCTTTTGGCTGAGATACTGGTACCGCTGGAACGGTTGTAAGATCCCAAACAGAGCTTCTTAAATTCGCGCAGACAGCCCCTCTGCTATGAAGTCCAGTATTCTGTAATAGAGTTATAGTTAAAACGTAGGATCCTGAGGAAGCTTAAAAGTCCATGAATCTAATTCTTAATTTGTCACTTTCCAAGATATGCATTCGAACGTGTTTATTTATGGTACTCGCTTGGTACATACGGGCAATTGTACAAGCCTCTCAAGAGCTCACCACATCCCCCCTCTCTCTCCAAATATATACACCTCTCCCTTCCCTTCCTCTTCCTATCCCTCCTCCTCCCTACTGCGCACTCAACGTAAACGCCACATTGCCCGTCGACGCACCCCCCACACACGTACTACTAAACCCCCCCGTCGGACATGTCGCAGCCGCTGCACGCACACAGCCCTCCCAACGGCCCTTACTAACATTAATAGTCGCGCCCGCATCTACGGCCTTGAGCGTAAACAGCGCGGTTCCGCTCGATCCCGTGGTAGATGTTGGGGCACCACCGCATTTGACGATCGTGCCGGCTATGCCGCCGCAGATTCCTAGTTCGGCGACATTTTGGTCGTGCGCGACTATGGTGCTGTAAGGAGAGAGGTGTTAGAATTCCTGGAGTTGGGTTTGGGGTTTGGATGGCGTGGGGCATGTGGAGGGTAATGCAAGGGACTTACGCAGTGCCACCGGTGCATGTTGTTCCAGTGACGGCGCTTGGGTCTACAGTTGTTGAGGCGCGGATGCGGAGGATTTCGAAGTGGTCTTGTATGAAAGAGGGGGTGGTGTGGAAAGGCATTGCTGCAGCTGATGCCGCGAGCAGGAGAGTGATGAGGCTTGAAGTATACATGTCTATCTCGTATTGCTGTTTTTGGTCTCTTTTTTGAAAAAGTGCTTTTGTAACTGAGCTTTATTTAAAGAGAGAATAAATATGGTTAAATGGCGTAAAGCAGAACAGACGTCTAGTCTTTTAGAATTGAAGTAAAAGTAGAATTAAAGAATGACTAAATGACACCGATCACAGACCGTAAGTAGAGCAAGAGAAGATAGAAGTTTGGAAAGAGGGAAGAAAGATTGGACGGTGATATACATATGTAGCCGCCATTATGAATCGCACACTAGGACGTTTCTCCTTATTCATTTCTTCTCACGTGGCGATCATACAGCCGCATGCCCTTTAAGTCGTCTCCAGATTTCAATGCCGAGATCCTATTGATGGCTTCTGAAGTCTCCATGGGTCGTCGGAAAAATGACAGGGGTCAGTTGCACTTGACGCGGTTTGAAGTTCTGAAACAGGGTCAAAACTCTGCATCGGAGCAGGTCGAGACGAGACGAGAAGGTTACATTACCAAAAAAAAAGTCGCTTCACTTTTGATGATTTGCGATGACTCTCCGGTTGGCTATAGAAAGGGCGGCGGATCTGATATTTTTAAGTTTGAACTTTTCTGAATCGCAAAAATATGATATCGAGGCAGCGATTTGATTGCCTTTTTCTGTCTTTTCAGTCATTGCTCGGGTTCCTGAAAGTCAGAAATGGTTCAGTGACCTGTAGCTTGACTGCTTTCCCCTCAAAGATTATGCTTTGGCGAACAAGCCCTTCCAAAACTGTGCTTCCTGCTTTTCTGTTCCGTCGCCGTTTGGGTGACCCATCGTATGAGAGCGTCATTTGATATTCTGAGAGCTCATGTCTCATGAAATATGGAAAATATCACGCTTCGTCCGTTCCTTCGATTTGGGAGAAGCTGAACCATTTCCAAGTTCGGGTAGTTCTGGCAATGAACTTTTGTTTACGGCCTCTTTTTCTCCACCGTAGTGTCTTCTAGCCATTTCAGGGAAGGAATTCCAGCTCCAAATCCGTAAATTCGGGTTGAAATTTCCTTTCCAAAGTGGCACTGCCATCAGACATTTATTCCAGCTTCATTCGTTATCTTCAAGCTGGCCCAACAACGTCCTTGATGGACTTTGGGGGCTCTTCACTCGACGCCATCTTCTCCTTGAATTCCGGATTGTCCTCTCTGATAGATATCGGGTATCCATGCTTCCAGTAGATCTTCCTAGCGATCGAAGCTGTTTCTCTTTGCTGCGTTACTCTTTCCCTCTGTTGTTTGCTGACGCATAAAGCCGAATCAAGGGGTTTTATCCCTGGCTCCTTCATCACTGCAAGGGCGGCGAGCCCTAGGTAGCTATGGTAGATATCTGTGGCTGTTAGACTTGCAATACTCAGGGAAGAATAATAATGAACCTGGTGGATTTCCGGGATATTTTCCAAATCCTCCAATCCTGTGTTGTGTCTGCTCGAATAGAAAGCGACGAATGGCTTCAGCATTTACTAGTTTGGATTTGTCCTCTCCAAGCATCTGTTGAAGCAATTAGAGGAAAGTCTATAATGAACTAAAAGAAGCTGGCCTTACATCTAATGAACTCACAACCCAGAACGCATAACAAGTGTCAACACTTTTGTTGCAGCGACCATTAAAACCTACCAATTCTTCGTCTTCAAGGGACAAGCCTGGGACTAAGGGTGTATCGTTGTGGATGCCGGCCAAAGCCTCTCGCTCGGTTTTGTGTGGATCTTTAGGTTCGTCCTCCTCTTCTTCATCTCTGTATCCCACTTGCCTTGAGACAAGCCATCGAATTGTTGCTGGAATATTGGTAAGCCCAGGAAGTAGATCGCCCTTATTTTCAGAACTTGGTGAGGATGGTAGTCGATTGAGGAATGAGAACGACGCTATTGCACAATAAGTGTAACCAGCTGTAGATCCATTAGAAAACCGATTTTCAATAGGATGGGAATTCTCACCATGCGCCTCATGAGACGAACTTTCGGAAACTCCACCATCATATGTCTACCTTTGTTAGCCCCAATCCCTATCTTAAAACATAATATACACACCTGGCCATTCCTCAAATGTCCCACCAACCCCTCCACATCAATGTCCCCTTCCACCTTTTCACCAGCAGCTACATCTCCCCTCAAAATCCACCTCACAGCAGAAGCCACGTAACAATGCCTCATATCATGCCCACCCTCCACCTTCCCATCCACCGTTACCAACTCTCCAAAACTCCCATCCTCCCGCTGCAACCTCCTCAACCAGTCCAAACACTCCTTCCTCTTCACGCCCTCCAATCCCCCGACAAACCCCAAGCTCAAGATCGCAAAATACGTAGCCGGTAAATTCGCCGGATCAATATCCTCCCCATCGCCATACAATCCATCCGGATATCTATGATTCGGCGAGCCGCAGAAGCCGCCGTGTGGATGCTGGCATTTCAGGATCCAGGCTCTGATCTCGGCTTGTTGGGAAACGGGGAAGGTGTCGGGGCCTGCGGAGAGGAGATCGAGGGCTGAGAGGATGAAGAAGCCGAGGGTCATGCGCGAGGAGTCGGTGGATGTGTATTGGGTGGGTAGGAGGCTAAGGAGGCAGCGGCGCCAGTAGGAGATGTGTTTGTCTTTGTCAAGGTGGGGTTCTGATTCTTCCATATTGGCTGTATGATGAGATTATATAGGTTTGACTGAAATACTATTGTTCCAGAGTTTATATGGCTCAAGAATTTAAAGTTGTTGTTGTATAGTAGGGTATTTTGAAGAAGAAAAAAGGAATATGAGCAGCAATGTCCAGCTTCTCAAGATATTATTGTATTGGAGCTCTCTCAAAACGGATAGCGGCGGCAGCAGTACCTTAGTGTATACTTGTAAAGTCTTGGACCTGACCCCGACCCCGACCCTGAACCGAACCGAGCCGGAAAAACAATAAACCCTAAAAGCCACTTGGTCCGTGCACCATGCACGTGTCTGCGTTTTTTACTGAAACCCAGCCAAAGATCGATCATGCACTGAAGCCTTTTGATAAACATTTCATTCTCCGAACACCAAATCATCTATTGCACATCCGCAAATACTTATCTAGCTCCACTCTACTCTGCCATCTCCTTTTTATTATTCGAAACAGAAAAAAAAAAAGGGATAGGAAAAGAAGGAAAAGCAGACAGCATGGCGCTCATATCCGCCGCAACGATAATAACCTCCCTCTCGCTCTTCCACATAACCCTCGCCTTCTTCTTCCTCACGAACCCGCACCAGATCGCCGATCAGACGCTTGTGTTTATCCTCGGAGAAGCGATGGGCTTGGTATTTCTCTCTCCCTTTCCCAAAGCCTGTGCATCCTGGAAGAAGAAGAAGAAGAAGAAGAAGAAATGAGATAGAAAAAGGAAAAGAAAAAGACTGACGTTGTTAATGAACAAAAAGCCAGAATCCAGAACCTTCGAAACACAATCCGCGCCCCTCGCCTTCCTCGCTGCCGTCCTCTTGTTCCTGGGCGTCTCGGATCTAGTAGCTTGTTCGCTGCCCGAGGAGATATATTCCTATTTCTGGGGTTCGCAGAGTAATATTCCCATTCCCAATTCCTTTCCTCCCCTCCCCCCTTTTCCTCTCCCCTCCCACCCTCACTCTCAAACATTTCCCGTATATTTTACACCAGCTAACCCCCCAAACCCAGCCCCCGCGCGCCTCGTCCTCCTCTTCGCCTACACCTTCTACTCTTTTTTCTTCTCCGCCAAATCCCCCATGTACAGCAACACCCCACAGATATACACAGCTAGCAGCTGGGGCGAGGGCCTGAAGAACAGGGTGTTTTTCACGTGGGCGTTTGTGGAGATGATTACTTGGTTTTGGGTCTTTGTGACGCTGAGGGAGGAGAGGAGGGATGTGGCGATTAGAGCGCAGGAGCGTATGGCGGCGGAGGCGGATAGGTTATGAGGGCTTTGATATGATTTGAATAAATGAATAAATAAAAGGATTTACAGATTCATGGGATTGTGTTTTTGAACGAATGGATGAATGGATGGAGAGGAGATAATGCGACGTGATGATGTTTGATTTTCATATAAAGCAGCTTTCTTTTGTCCCGTTTTATTTACTTTACTCCAAACCCTGCTCTACTACCATACCTATACCTTCAGCCACGAAAGCCCAACAACAGAATCCCGCCAACTCTCCACAACATCTCCAGCCCAGAGCTCCAGATGCGATTCATCGAGCGAATCTCTCAGCTCACACAACACAGATACGTCGGCATCGGTGCCATCAGGGCCCTGTAACACACTATCCAGCACTTTATCAATCAAACCCCCTTCATCCAACCCCTTTTTAATGGCTACACATTTCTCTGCAACGGTTTGCAAGAGCCGCTGTGCCGCCGCGGCAATCTTCTGGTTCGCTTCGCCTTGGCTTTGGCTTTGGCTGCCAGGAATGTCTTTCGCCTTGCTTGAGAGGTAGACGCTGAATTTCGATGCTGTTTTACCGGCTTCATACCCTGTGTACAGTGCATGTAGTGTGCATGCTAGCGCAGGGACCGGTGCCTTGATATTCTCTACAAGAGACCGCTGTTCTTCCAGACTCTCGCACAACTCCTTGTTGTGCGATTCCAACTGCTCCGAGAATTTTTGATCGGCCCAGCGTTCGCGATCGCAGACATCTTGGATGATGAGGGCCATGGCATCGTAGCTCTGCCTGGTGAGTTCTTCTGGTTGCGTGAGGAGATCCCCGGAGGACTTGGGGAATTTCTCAGGGGGAGAAGCGAGGAATGATTGCAGTGCGGAGTGGGATGCAGCTTTGCCTCCTTTGTCTTCTGGGATTGGTTGCAAGAGCTGTGCCAACTTCTCCGCTGCGAGATTGATTCGCGTTCGATAGTCCTAGCGTTTGTTAGTAGATCATAGCAAAGGGAAGCCATAGCCACATACCGACGAGGCTGGTACAAATCTACACAGCTCCTCGAATCGCGGTCCTTGAGTACACTCAAAGTTCGGAAACGTGGCGTAATCATTCGTGTCTGAAAAGGGAGACTCTGAGGCTTCTAAGTTGGGTGCTATGGGGCAACAAATGAGCTTCGTTTCAGAAATGGTGTAACAAAACTTACGAAGGATATCGAAACCGCCATCAGAAGCACCTGATTCAGTCTTCGATGGTATCAGACCAGAGATTTTCCGGCTTTCAACAACAGACATGGCTGCTGATAAAGTGCGGGATAAAGTATCCAACACCTCCTTAATCTCAAATATGGAATTGTAGCTACCATGCTTATATGACAGCCATATATTTTTGCTGATTTGATCTCGAGAATTCCTATACATCTTTTGCTGCTTTTGAAGGCTCTCAATAGGTGTTCGGTATGGCGAGGAATCCGAAACGAAGTGTGAAAATGGGTGCGGGTGGAACGTCGATATTCTATCAAATAGGGTATATGACAAGGTATCAAGCTGGATCTGTTTGAGTCCAAGACGTTTATATGCGTGCATAGCCATCGAACCACACCCAAGGTAATAGTACAGACGAATTAGCAATAAAGACATTTGAAAATTCGGCTGCGAGTGTGTCAGGGCGTACTCTAGCAGCGCCGTAGCTTGCAATACATATGAAGCTTTAGCACCTGAGAGAGGTTCAGAGTCTTCGGTACTGGCTAGTGCTAGTTTGAATAAACACATAGCAGACAATAAACATAGATCGTCAGCTGGATGGGTATCTGTCGGTAAAAGATTCCAGGCAGCTCGTCCTCCATGGACTGCCGCAAGGTACGATTTCGCAGCATCTTGCGCGAGTTGTCTGAGCGACGATGTCGAGTATTGCCCGTTTGAGCCATTGCGGCTAGATTTGTACGCTGCGCCTGCGCGAATTTGGTATTCTGGCAGACTGCTTGTGAGAAGGTACCTCAGCTTGTATGTGTTGATAAGTTGAGTGATTCTGTTTGTGGTCTTGATCTAGAAAACAAGTCAGCGCGTGAGTACACGAGATATATTAGACGTACGTCTTTGTCCTCTTTGGTCTCCTCGAATATTGCATCTTTTAAGATAAGCTCCAGTAATTGTTTTCTATCCTCAACATTCAGCTGTTCTACGAAAGGTCTAAGGTCATTGTACGCTGTGCTCGCATTCCCATATTTCTGCAAGTACTTGATAATCACGGGGATTCTGTCATGAGGTTGAGCTTGGAATGGCGAGCTGCTGACGAAAGTTATTTTGACCAAGGCTAGTGAAGCGTTCCGCTTCCAGCTTTTGTCAATTTCGCAAGCTGGATCTAAGTGAGCTTCAACTTCCGCAATCACAGCGTCCTTAGGCCTGCAGCTTTGTTACTAAAAGCGTTTGAACATATTACGTATGTGACTTACTCGTGATTCCGCAGCTCCACAGCTGATCGTATAAACGCCTCCCACACAATCCAGTCACTCAACCCGGATTCCGAAAGCTGGCCAGACTGATCCTTAGTTCTTGCCCGTTTGAGCAAAGATTTGGTTGTTTCATACAGCTCTTGCCACTTTGCGGCATTTTCCAAGAGATTCAACTTGAATCTCCACAGTTGCCATTCGCCTTTTGCAACTGCCGACTCTGGTCCAAGCGTGGGATCATTGAGAAATTCTAATCGCTGCTCTGGTTTCCCAAGAGCTTCTGTAACTCTATGCAGAAGAAGCAACTCTTGTGGTGTCTGTAGTGACCGAATTGGCAGCTTCTTTGGATCCTGCCGGGATCGGGTTAACTTTGCCCATTGGGGACGTAAAGGAGCGTCGACTTACTGTGGCTTGTTTGGTCGCAGTTGCTAATTTTCCGATTTGGGCAAAGGCCAGCGAGCCCCATAATTTCCTCTGCTTCTCTGGATATTTCTCAGAAATCTATTATCGTCAATGAACTGTCCGTATCAAAGGGAGCCTAAGCTCACCGAATAGAGAAACATAGATGCAATGTTCCAAAACACATATGAATGATTACTTGAGAACGTCTTCTCTAGACTATTCGAAATCTATGACAGTATTAGAGTTCCGAACCCAGAAAGCCTTGGATTTCTTGGAATTTTCGAGCTCACCTGCTTAGCATGCTCCAAATCACCCTTTCTAAGACAAGCTTGAAAGCATTTCAAGCTCAAATCTTCATTCTTCGGCTGAGACTTGACACATAGCCATCTCAACTCCCCGATAATCTTATCCCAGCTCTCCTGAGGCTCAGGCAAGACCTCCCCAAAAGCCTCATCATACAACTCCACCGTCTCTAGTTCCGCAATAGCTTTCTTCTTCTCGGCCAACTCGTCTAGATGTAAAAGTACAGCCTGCTTCTCCGCTAATAGCGGTGATCTGGACCGAATATATATTTTCAGAGCCTGTGAACTTCAATGTCAGTCTCCTGAAAAAATGTGTTTAATCACGTGAGTGATCATCTCAGACGTAGAGATGAAGTTCAAAAGCAGAGATGCTGGAGAAGACAAACCTCAAAATAATCAGTTCGTTTCTTAGCTAGCCGCTTGTCAACCAGCTTCAGGGCTTGCTTGAAGTTGCCGGCGTCGATAGCGTTCCAGATGGGGACGTCTTGCCGATCTTTGAGCATCTGGTCCGCCATTATTGCCGTATGTGATGCCGGTTGACAGGTTCATGCGGCTCGCACCGCAAGAAAGTATTTCTAGAATCACGGGAGCGTCCCACAATCGGCGTGTTGTGCTGTGTCGTGGCCGAGGCAGGGTAGGAAATACCTTACCTTAGTGATGGTGGAATTTTGGTACAGTAGTGGTTTGACATGATTGATTGGACCGGACCGGTGTGGTGAGCCGAAGCGAGAAACCCGAATTCGGAACGAACAACTCGAGGAACTATTCCTAAACACTTTAACGCTATGCTGCCCAATGGGCATTTCCCATTGAGATGGATTTTGCATTTAATATGCAGTTATACTCGACTCCAATATATTTTAGATTTTCAGTTGACTGTTTTTACACGGCGAATTCATTCTCTCAATTTTGAGACCATCCATATTTTTTCATCCCCACCTTCTCCTCCATTAAAGCAAGACTACCCCAATAATTGAAAGATCAAAAGTCTCTTATCTCATCCCGTATAAAGATGCATGACCCGCTTCTCCAGAACAAGTTTTACGTCGTACCCTTATCTTACAAGATGATCATATGATACAAGGTCAAAGTCAAAGGACGGCTTCCTCCAGTCGCATCATCCATGTGGAGTCAAGAGAACCACGATCCCCCGCCTTTCCTCTTTTCTTCCCTTCGATCGGTAATCTATGTCATTGTCAGCGGCGTACATTGCAAAGAAAACTTGCAGAGCTGTGCGGAGCTCCGAGCCAGCCTCTGGGAAGAGCAAAGAAGCATAAATTGCTGAATGGCTTCAATGGAGGCGGCCACCAATGATCGACAAGTCTAGCTTATCATATCACACACAGCCCATGGAGGAAAGATTCCACGACTTACCCATTGCTTTTTGCAATCTCGATATGCCCTAGTGTCACATTAGCTTACCCGTTCCACAGGAATCGTGTATAAACAAGCGTTTCAAGATAAGAGTTTTGTTAACCGTAGAGAGAAACTGGCAGGAAGCACTCACTGGAAGTAATCAGTACACATGTCCCGATCCCCGCCGTTCCGGTGCAAGCACTTCAGACTCCTGTCTGCGGCTTCCTGACACGGGTCGAAGAACTTTGAGAAGCTTTTACTGTTTGTTCACATTCTCATCAGCTGAAGTTCGGTGCGTGTTTGAGTCGAGTCGCGTGATCAGAGACCATCTGAACAAGGAAATGTAGATTTACCCCTCAAACTTCTCACTCGTCTTCTCGTCCCAAGGGCCGCGTTTGGTTGGTGCGGGAGAGGAAGAGGGTGAAGGTTCGTCTTTGGACGACATGATTTGCTCGTGGTTTCAAGGTCAGGGGCAGGATTCAAGTTCAGCCTCGAGGTCGAGGTGAGGTGGTTGGCTCAATCACGTTCTGGCTGACCGCCCAGGAGAGTTTTTCGCTTAGTCTCGTTTGGGGTTAGACTACGGCTACTTATCAAGCGTTATCCAGTTGGGAGATGAAGGTGGCGTGGCTCCGTGGTATGGGTGAGGCATGACATCAACTGGTGAACTAGCTCCTGTTTTTATGATTCTTTTACTCGTACTCGTGCCAACATACTTGTACCTACTTACAGTAGAATATTGAATTGCTATCTTGTTGGCCATCCAATTAGTCGGGAAAAGAGTCTTTAACTCCCTTGAGTTAGGTAGACCCCGCATTTCGGGAGGATTCCGCCGAATGAACTCAAGTGTTTTTCTATTCTAGTCACTAGTGTCTGTCGTACTGTGCGGAGGTACCGACCGACGGTATCGTATTTGATTCTTGTAAGTAGTGTCGAGGCTCCTTATCAAGTGTTTCGTTTCAGTACGAGTCAGCAGTTTAGAATACAGCTAGTCCCAAGACTAATCAGACTAGAACTAGACGGAGGTATCGCCGCTGGAAAGCATGGCAATCATGCGTGGGTGGGTGTATGGTATGGTAGGTAGTATTCCGTTACACTGGCTAGTCGACCAACCAGCGGTGAAATGTAAATAATATAACATAACATAACACAACACAACACAATACGACAAAATACGACACAATACAGCACAACACAATATCGTAAATACATGCCACCAACTCAATTGCCTCGTTCTCCGCCGACGTCTAAAGATGGTTATCATCTAGTCCATTTACCTGCAGCATGCGTCCGTTAACGGCTGCTGCAGCTCTACCGCACGACGTTCTTTTATCGTTTCGTGTTCCATATCGGGTCATTAGATCCAGACGCTTTATCACTCCCCGCTCTGGTCAGCTTCCCATACCTTAGCCCTCCACACCAGTTCTCCAACTCCTTTCCTTTCCCTCCACTTTTGATTCTACGTGTCTCCACAATCGCGCCTGATATGTTGCGTTTGCTAATGTGTACCCAGCCTTGACCAAGGCATGTGCCAAAGTGCCGAACAATGACGCCTGCCTGGTCTCTGTGGCTCAATCTGATCTGCGCAGAGCCCCCCGATTGGCATCACGTCTAGACAAGCGCTGGATGGTTACGATGTGACCGTACAACACTATATCCATTTAGAGAAAGGAATTCCATACAACCCTCGCCCGCCGCGCACCTTGCATCCGCCATTCAACCGCCCCCTACTGTAGTTTGCCATCCTCCGAGCAATTGGTCCAGCCTTGCGGACTGGCCAGCTTCATTGTAAGGATTTTGTCCGACCTGTCAACCAGTGCCTCATTTCGCGTCGATAAGGTTGCTGTGCAGCGACGAACAGCGTGCAAAGTACCGTGGAACCGTCTCCATAACCACTCTTGCATCCATGAGTGATTTGTGAACGGTGAAGAAGACCCCAAAAGAAAGGTGTGGAGGCCGTCAACAAGGGCAGGATCGGATCAACAAGGACGTGCAAAAGTCACGGCTGATCAACCCGTAGCCGATTTCCTAGGTTGGACTGGATCACTACGTGGAGATATCCAACTCCAAGGAAGCCAAGCACATAAGAAAAGGTGTGGAGGATACAACAGGACTGCTCAGATATATAAAAGTGAATAACAGCTTCTTATCTATCGCAACGTATTCACCCTCATATTACGAATATCAACGCAATTCACTTGACTCTAGAACAAATTTCAAAGATCAAAACTTAATGTAAGTAAAGAAGCAACAACTATCCGTCGTCACCATCTTCAAGAACTTTGGCCCTGAACGTCTTCAGTTATCTGTAGCACTTGACTTGCGATACACTGGCAAGACCTTGAACTGTACGCCTCAAATTCCCAAGTCGCTATCAGACATTATCCCTCAGAGCGGGTAGTCCCTGTCATGTCTGGAACTAGTCCCACCCAGAATCATATCTTGGCGGACATCTAGCTTTCACACCTTCTTCATTCATCATCACTGGACTTGAATGATTGCTGATAGTTATAGACAGAACCAGTCTACCTACCAAGTACGCATCAACAAAAATGGCGACTGAAGGAATTTCGATTGGGGGTACCCCAGAGCGATTCTACTCCAACACCATCAACACACCTGTGGTCAACCCTTCCTCAAAAGAGACCCAAGAGAGTCTCAAGAGGTCCTTCCAAAAGTATCTTGCTTCTGAGCAGACCTCTTCTGGACCGCTCTTCATTCCAAGCAAGCACCTAGCTTACGAGGAACCAACGTACATCCACACCATGGAGGATATTGGATACTCCGCCAACAACGGCGTCTCTCCGATGGCTGTCTCAGAGCCTTTCCGACTCTTTAGTGAAGAAGCCGTCGACGTTATGAGAGACGAGATTTTTAACGTGGAGGCCGGAGATGAGTATACTTATGCCTCGAACATCGCTCCGAAGCAGCTTCGAGGCTATGCTCCTCGGTGAGTTAATTTTGTCCCCTCCACGCTTGACATGAGTGAATGCTAACGTCCATAGCCATGGCAAGTTTACGTTCAACGCTTGGAAGCACCCGGACACACTGGCCATTATCTCCAAGATCGCTGGCATTGAAGTTGTTCCTGTCATAGACTACGAGATAGCCCACATCAACCTTTCGGTGCCGGGAAATAAGAATGAGTTGAGTGGACCCGCAAATGACGACGATGATGCTATTGTCGGATGGCATAGGGATAGCTATCCTTTTGTCTGTGTCTTGATGATGAGCGATACCACCAACATGGTCGGAGGTGAGACTGCATTGAAGACAGGCACAGGAGATATTAGAAAAGTTCGCGGTCCATCTAAGGTAAGACGCATGTTCATGAAAAGTATTCCAGGTCTAACATGACGCTAGGGCTGTGCCGTTGTTTTGCAAGGCCGATACATAGATCACCAAGCCTTGAAGGCGTTTGGTGGTCAGGAGCGCATCACCGCGGTCACTTCCTTCAGACCAAGAAATCCCCACGTTCGAGATGATACTGTTTTGAACACCGTCCGACCTATCTCGAACCTGCCAGATCTCTACAACCAAGTCATGGAGTACCAGCTTGAGAATGCAGAGGCCAGAATTCGCGGTATGCTGAAGGACGTTCGTGATTCTATGAAAGCTGGCACCACGGATGTCAAGGCTATCAAACACTTTCTGGACTTTGAGATCAAGGCATTGCAGGCCGTGGACGCTGAGATTGTCGAGGAGTCCATGGTGGTCAAAGGACATTTGCCACCAGTCTGCGAGTCCGCTAAACGCAGGAAATCGGAATAGAAATTGCATTGGGGTTTGACGGGCCATTCGAGTATTTCTCGTTGTATTGCACGAAGCGTCGCTTAGGCAAGATAGGAATCTTTTTAATTTGGTGCTCTCGATGGTAACCGTTCTCTTTTGTCGCAGTGGGAGCCTTTTTCACATTGTGTTTGAATGCTTATTGCCTTGGGAAAATATGCGTTGATTTTCTTGCTGGGGTTTCCCTTATTTAGCGATTGAGCGTAGATAGTTACTTGCTTGGAACTGAAGATTCACCTTCTGCATACTGAGAAGAGTTCGGTCCGCCAGTGTGAAGCTCGAATGGACCCCTCTTAAATAAGAGGGTGTCTTGACATGTGTTTTGGTGGGACGCGGATGATGTGCCCCCCCATTGAAAGCTCTCGCGCAATTCGCCGATGCATTGCCACGTAAGGCGGATGACCTTAAGCATTTGATGCTACACGGCAGTCGTTTGGGATGGAGATAATCCAATGATGACGTCCTTGGAAGACATCATTTAGGAGTGTTAGGACCCAACAATCATCACTGGCGGATACCTACAAAAGGATAGAAAACAGGAAATAGGGGATGAGAATAGCTGATAGCAATTGGTTTTTCGGAGCAAAAGCGATGAGCATAATGAATATATGATTAATGAGTTATCGTCAAGTATGGCTACCACAATCGAGATTGATAGGTGGGAAGCGTGAGGTAAAATACAAAACATAGCTCCCGCAGGGTGGACCAGGGTTATCCAGATGAAATTATATATACTGGGAGCCCCTCTCCGGTAAGAGTTTTGAACGGGTCCGCATAAAGGCCTCGTTGCTTTGAACATGACTGATTAGTCACCTGCACTTGGAGGAGGATGTTGTAATGTCGTAAATGCTGCTTAATACGATAAATCGGAGGTCATTATTGAAGCTTGACGTTGGAATGGAGATAGGTGATGTGATTTTACCCCGCGAGCTTAAAAAGCCTAGTGGAAGTTTTGGAGCTGGTGGCTTACATAATTTGATGCGGCTGGTGCCCAACCTGGCCTGGTGAATCGACATTGATTCACAGCCTTTCATCCACTTCAAACACAAGAACATATCTGGATGCCTTTAACGGCACGCGTTTGTTTCTCCCATGTTCTAACCGCCACCCACACCACAGTATCACCAGTACGATTGTACTGATCCATACCGGTTCTGGGCTCCTCCTTACTCACAGCGGAAACTTTATCCGCCTTACTCCTACGTTGGCGGACTCACCATGGCTCCGCCCACTCCTGCATCGGCCTCGAGGCATACCGTAAAACACGAAGCTCTCGTTCAGAAATCTCTTGTACGAGGCGCAACTCCCTCTGCAGTAGACGTGGGAGCGTTTGCCGCGGAGACTACAAAGAGTGACCAGGAGGTGAGCTTTGAAAGCCAAGGCGGCTAGAGTCGTATGCTAACTCGACGATGTAGCTTGCCATTACATTCAAGGCAGACCTTACAAGTATTCGGAGCTTGGTAACATGTTCGATATGCGATCAGTTGCTGTACGAGCCTTGGACTTTAGCTTGCGGGCACACGTACTGCTACTCCGTAAGTCTCAGCCGTGCAAGCCTTCATACTTTATATTAACTGTAATTGCAGTGCTTGTGCAACTGGTTCATTCCGAATAAAAGAAAGAAGTCATGCCCTGAATGCCGGACCCGCGTCCAACAGATACCAGCTCCAAATTATCTTGTAAGTACCAGCCTCACTCTACAAGGGCCCAAGCTGATTATCCTTCCAGGTAAAACAAATGGTTGAAGTATTCACAAAACGGGGCGAGCTGATGCCCTCAGACGAATCTATCGACCAACACACACAAAAACGTTCCGAAGAAGTCGCAGAGGTGGACCGAGATAGAACTGGAGCTAAAGGGCTTTTTAAAGGAGCATTCCCTGTAGCACATGGTGGACATGGAGGCGTATGGAGGGACGAAGCGGATGACGTTTGGAGATGTCCCGAGTGTAACTTCGAGCATGAAGGGGGTTAGTTATTTACCAACCTTTCTTTAAGCTTGCCGCGCTGACTTGTCTACAGGGCCCGCTTGTCAAAACTGCGGATTTGAGATGGATGATGAGGACATCGACTACGGCTTGTACAGCGACATCGACGACGATGCCGATATAGAGCACATGGATAACCTTTCTCTCGACATGGAAGGCGAATTAGATGCTGAGTTTGACCTAACCTCCCCAGGAGCATATCTCGACATGCATATAAATCATCCCCGTTTTCACACCAGGTTCCCTAATCATATGCCACGGCCGATGAGTTATGATACAGATACTAGCGGAATGTACAGCGATGCCGACGATGATGAAGAAGGCTCACTGGACGGATTTGTTGCTCCGGATGACGAAGAAGAGCCAGGGCGGAACCCAGTCCGCCAGCCCTCTGATCAGCGTGCCATTGTTACAATTTCAGACGACGATGACGATGACGAGTCTGATGAAGGGGGTGCTGTCTCAAACCGAATGCCACGACGACGGGCCCGGGCTCATTTCAGTCCTACCCCTTCGGTCGTTACAGTGACCGACAACGGTGCAAATGATTCAGATGCTGGTGATATGAATAGTGAAATGCTACGGACCGCCGGATGGAGCCCATTAGATCAAGGGAATGACAGTGAAGTCGAAGAACAATTCGCATTTCGTGACCGCTACGGATACGAAGATTCTGATGACGGTCAATCAGATGAAAGCGATACGGAGACTATGGTTGGCGGCGATGAAGGCCGATCACGGGAGGATTATCCAGAGACGCCAACATATGATGGCCCGCCTTACATACCTCACGAGCACATCCCAGATAACTACGAAAGTCTAGATGAAGATGCGGATGATGATGATTCTGAAGCTGGAGATTCTAGTGTTTATGATAGGGATGGAGATACCGAAATGAGCGCCTCCCCGAGAGCTAGCCGTAGTGTAAGTGTCAATACTGACGGCTATGGCGAGCATACCGACTATCCTAGTGGTCCAGCAGACGAGTCAAGGTCGGAGCGTAGCGTTAGCCGCGTAACAGATGACGAACCGAATCCCTACGGAGCCGAGGAGTATCTCGGAGGTGTGAATCAATTTCATGACATTGAGGACGATGATGATGAGTCTGACGACCCTCGCCCGCCCCCACGGCGCCGACAGTTTGATCGGTTCAACCAAGGAGTAGCAATCCAGCAGCAATTCGATCCTCAGATCAGTAGGATGTTTGCAGATCATCAACAAAGCTTGAGAGGAGCTCATGATCCTGGTCGGATGGTCACAATGGCAGGTTTGGGTGAGCGAAACAGACGCACGACGACCTACCGCAACCAAATTCCACGTCGGAATGATCCGCTGAGAGGTTCTCGGTCCCCTTCCGCGAACAGAGTCATTGCTTCTTCGAACCGGCATTCACGTCCGCCCCGCCAATATATGTCGAGGGGTTACAACTAGTTATTTTGGTTCTTGACAATGCTACTAGCAAGCTTGGTGTTTTGGGGGAACGGAGTTCTGGCAACTTGAGAATACCTGGACAAGATCACTTATGAGGCGTTATCTAAGGTCAGCATGGCTTTGGCCTATGAATAAATGAAGCATAGATTTGTATCCAGATTTGGTTTGTGGTAATAACCTTGGACATGCAAGTTTCTCTTGCAACTACTAATTAAGTGATTGGCTTTTGGATGTTGTCCAGTAGCCGTAATGAGGAGCTTAATCAACCCATTTGCCTACAATCCTCAGTGTTGCATATGCATTTTTCAAACAGGTAACGTTACGACTTGTCAACAGTCCAGAGATGAGGTCGCTCAATCCACGGCTTGAAACTAAAGTTGACAGTCATGTGCTTGTAGGCGTCAAAATTCCGTCGCCATGGCTTTAGAATCGCCCTAATCCGAGTCGTTGATAAGCTCCTTGCGTCGATCATCAACCTGTTGGCGAGGCGAGCTCGGCCGGTCGGCAGGAGATAACTCGAGATACATCCTCAGAAGCTTGGCCTTGTGCTTCACACGATACGCTGCCGCAACAACTTGATAAGATGGCGATAAGAGATGTAACGTTCCTGGGGTATTGGTGGGGAAGTCCGTTAGTGTTCTCTTACTCTTATACCTCCTTATACCTCACCAGCAAGCTTCACCGCTTCAGCATTTTTCTGTACTGTAGGCTAATATGGCAGTTCCAGTCCAAGAGAATGAGCTCAAGAAGAGCATTACTGTCGCCAGCATTCCGGTCGAGAAATCTGTTACGCTGGATGCGATCAAGGAAATTGATGAGGAGGTCCAGTATGCTATTGCCAAACATGAATCTTATCTCAACCCCTGGTGCAAAGAGTCGCTTCTGCTGTATCTCTGCCTGCTCGTATCATTCCTAAATGCCACCTCGAGCGGTTTCGATGGTAGTTTGATGGGTTCCATCAATGCAGATCCACAGTACAAGTCCTTTTTCAAACTCAAAGAAACTGGAAGCGCAACAGGTCTCGTCTTCGTCCTCTACAATGCCGCCTCGACCATCGGATGCGCGTTTGGTGGTCCGATTATGGACTATTTTGGACGGAGGAGAGGTATGCAATCAGGGTGTGCTTTTACATTAGCTGGCGCGGCGTTGGCAGCTGGTGCGCAAACTCTTAGTCAATTCAAAGCCTCTCGGTTCTTGCTCGGCTTTGGTATTATCCTCCAGACGCTGTCGGCTCCTGTCTACGTGACGGAAATAATCCCACCGCAGTGGCGAGGCAGACTGGGCGGGTATTACAATTCGTTCTACTTTACGGGTTCCATCACGGCAACAGGAGTTGTCTACGCTACTTCTCAGTATTCCGATACGTGGGCGTGGAGACTTCCACTTTTGCTGCAGGTTGGTCCTCCAGTGCTCGTCTTTGTGGGCTGTTTCTTCATCCCTGAATCACCGAGATGGCTGGCTTCTCGAGATCGTATGGATGAAGCGGCTACTATTATATACAAGTATCACGGCGGACCTGACAATGAAGTCGCTAAGCTTGAAGTCAGGGAGGTGGCTCTGCATGTCAAGCTTAGTAAGCCACAGACACCGTGGGAGTACATTCGAGGCTTGTGGGATTATAGGGAGTTGTTCAATTCACACCCTGCGCGTTGGAGGACTGGGATGATTACGTTGATTACTTTGGCTTCGAGTCTGTCTGGGAACTCTATTTTGACGTGTAAGTGGTTTCTCGCAGCAAAGATTACTTGGTTGTGACTGACACGGCAATAGTTTTCCTACCTACTATGCTAGCTTCTGTCGGCGTTAAGACCGTCCGGAGGAAACTACTACTCACCTTCGCTTCCTCGATCGTCAGTCCGGCCTGCTCTTCATTTCTGTATGTTTGTTTGCACTAACTCTCAAAAGGTATCCTGCTCGGGTGCAGTAATCGGTTCCGCCACAAACGATTGGATCGGACGACGAACACGGTCAGATTCCCCTTCCCCCCTCCTCCGCAATCATCGCGCTAACATCCCATAGCTTCGTCTGGGGATCCTTCTCCCTAGCAAGCGCTCTAGCCCTCGTCGCCGGCATGTCCTCACAAGTAGCAAGCGCCACAACAGCGGGTGACACGCCCTCAAAGGCCATCTCTAGCGTCGGCATCTTCTCCATCTTCCTCTTCGGCTGGATCTTCAGCTTCGTGTATACACCGAATCAATCGCTGTATTGTACTGAAGTGCTGAACCAGGAGATCAGGGCAAAGGGCATCAGTCTGCATGCGTTGGAGAGTAATCTCGCCACGATATTCTTTACCTATACTACTAGCATTGCGCTTGGAGATATCAGTTGGAGTAAGTTAACAGTTGATTACCTTTTTCAATCTTCCATCCCATTCCTCCCATTCATTCCCCGGATGATTTCAAGAGTTGTGTGTGTTAATTATATTGAATTAAATTAGAATATTATTTCGTCTGGATCGCAGTAGATTTCGTAGCCGGCATACTATGGTTCTTCTTCGGCGTCGAAACATGTAACCGCACAATCGAAGAGCTGGATTCTTGTTTCGAGGCACAGTTCCCGCCGAGAGCGAGTTGGAAACGCACGAAGATTGTTAAGGGTGAGAATAATGAGTTGGGAGTTGAAATCGAGGGTGTTAAGGTGTGAGGGTGGAGGCGTTGCGGAGAATTACTTACGTGAGAGGAGAAGGCTTGGTTGATTAAGGATGGATTGCTTCGACTAGTCAAGTCAACACGTAAAAGCATATCGTGTTGACGGCGATCAATCACGGATCGTCATTCCGGAGGCAGCAATGTAAATTTCTGGGAAGTTGCTTCGTGAGAGCTAACCGGCACTTTGTGCGTACACCATACACGTAGGGCGCGGCGTATTAGATGCGGATTGGCCGACCGACACATCAATGTTCTGCTTCGTGAGAGTTAATCGGCACTTTGTGCGTACACGTAAGGCGCGGCGGATTAGATGCGGATTGACCGACTGACACATCAATGTTCCATTTCTGTCTGAGATCTGAATAGGCTTTTTCAAGGCTTCTATTGTCAATTGAGATTTTCCGTCGGGCCTTCTCGCTCAACCAATGCGTGCCTTGATATAACCTATGCCTCACTAGGAAACATATGGAGTCCCATATGACTTACTGTCGTCCGGTAGTCTGGTGACAATTGCTTCCCTTCCATGACTCAAAACTCTCTCACCATGGCTCACCTCTAAGCAGTGGCACGTGATTATATGCTTCGAGGATCGTTGAACTTGAGCTCATACAATGTAGTGTTTTAAGATATTTCCCACAATCTCATTGACTAACACAAGTGACAACTGGTGCATTTATAAGCTTGTTCTTGATTTAGAAGCGTACTTGATAACTAAACTACACAAAAAAAACTTCTAAATCTAGGAAAACATCTCAGGGGTATCATTTTACAAAATGAGCTGGTAAATCTGACATAACCATCAGGCACACATATACAAAGCAAAACAAAAACGTTTACTTATTAACCGCACAGGATAAACCCGGCCACAACACAGTAATCCCAATTCCACCTCCCCGCACTCTCCAAATCATCAGCATTCAGCATCGCCGTCCCCTCATTCATCAACGTCTTCCAGACATAATCGCGCCATGGAATAGGCCAGCTAATCGTATCCCAGTACCGATCCTTGAGACCCTTGTCGCTCGCTGCCTTGATCTGGTCTTTGACGATCTGCAATTGCTTTGAGCTGAATTTCCCGCCCCAGAGACGTCCTACTGCTTTCGCGAGGGAGGTCGAGGCGTAGTAGGAGTTGGTGGTGTTGTATTTGGGGTCTGAGATTGAGGCTAAGGGCGCGTCGAGGAAGATGTCCCGGTATGTGGAGTTGGAGATTATGTCTGAGTACTGGGCATTTCCGGATGCGACGATGGTAAGGGGGCCGGGAGTTAGAATGTTGTTTGTATATGTAGTGAGGTAGCCTTTGTTTCGGAGTGGTTCAAGGGCGGCCAGGACGATGGGGAAGAGGTCTGCGCTTGAGGATTTGAAGTCCAAGAGCAGAACGACACTTTCATCTGGTTGCGTTTCAAAAACTCCGACTGGACGGTTTTGGTTCTGAGAGTCTTCGTATGCTCCCAGCTTGTTTTGGTTGTCGAGGATTTGTAGAAGGGGGTCGAGGTAGAGGTTGCTTAGTGTCCGTTGTGCAGTGAGGGATTTGGACGAGTGGCCGACGAGAAGGACTTCTTTGCCGTTTCCATCGTGGCGGACCCAGATGTCTGCTTCGACGCCTACGCATCCAACTGCTAAGGCTTCGTAGAGGGGGACTTTCCTGTGATAATCGTTATGACTATGTATTTGGATAGGTGATATGTCTCTGCTGAAGTCTTGAGGCCAAGGTGATAGCAAGCGTAATGAGTCACTGGGCCTTTGCCAGTTTTTAGTGATTGATTGGAGACCATTTGAAGGCGTCTTTGGTGAGAGTCGCTTGATCAATGCGATCACGAGAGCGTACCACGTCCTACGAGCGAAATTTAGCTTGAAATACAGCAATGTAATGTGTGACGGGGTTACAAACCCCACAGCGATGCTTGCCAAAACGCATAGAATGAAAATTATCAACAGTATGCGATTGCGGTAGGCTTTTCGTCGAGTTGCAAAGCCAGATCCAGGCTTGTATCTGAGTTTTCTGCCGACTAAGGACCTCCAAGGTCGGTCACCCTTAGGTTCATCATATGATGACTGAGAAGAGGAACGAGATCTTGTGGGAGGACTTAAATCAACAAGATCAACAGGTTGTTTGACTCGTAAAAGTTTCCTGATCAAAGTTCTGAATCCCATTATTGAGAAGAAGAATCCTCGGTAGTCGTAGAAGTCGAAGATACTGAGTGCAATAGGACAACATATAAGGGTGGACATGGAGTGATAATATATTTAGACTTACTGACCGAACACCTCTCATGAGATCCCTTTCTAGACCACTTGTGACTAGCAGGTACGACCAGCACAGCCCATAACGGTAGGAATTTTGCCTGGCCCCAACGTTGGAGCAACGGCGCAACACAGTTTTGGAACCACCCAAGTGATTTCATTGGCTAGACCGGAAACAAACATATTAATTGGAGGATTCAGCCTCGAGCTTTCGGGGGAGAAGATGCATAATACCACTCGTACTTGACGTTATATATCTACTGCAGATATTAAACTCACTTGAGGGGGTGTAAGCAGGCTCGTCCTGGATAGAAAAAGCGGCACTCATTTTGGGGCCTTTTGATGTGCCACTCGACATGGAACAATCATAATTGGCGCTGCTTTTTCGTCCTGTCCAGTACGGGGCAAGGCTCTTGTTAGTGTGAATATAGAGATCTGTGTCTCATGTAGCCAACCACATGTACCCCTGGTAAAACAATCGGGGTGTACCCGTAACATCGGACCTTTGTCCTAGGCAAGGCTAAGTTTCTGGGGATAAAGGAAGGCGGCCAGGGGTAAGACGCAGCAGCAGACCGTGGCTTAGGTGGAATTGAGCCTCAGATCTGCATCTACATCACCAACAAAACGGGGCGGATGAATCCTTCATATGGCAACCATTGGCTACTCATAAACATCCGAAGAGGTTGCCATTCTTGGACAGAGGACGGTCGAAATGCTGCTGCCTGTCTTCCATCACAATAGCAGTACGTACCTATGCATGAAGAGTCCAATCGTAGTGTGTGTGGCCAGTGTCTCAATTGGTAAGTGTGTGCGAGTGCGAGTACTGCACGTAAAGGCATAGTACAATGGTAGGATACCTAATAAGGTAGGTAAAGATCCTTTGAGCCGCAATTATTCCTAATAATACACGGTAGACAGTATGCGGCATTACTGTAGTATTTTAGTATATTATTAGATATAAGATGGGTAGCACGACACCGTGGCTTGTGTTCAGCTCAGCCTGAGGGAAGAGGAAGAGAAGAGAAGAGGGAGGGAGAAAAGTAATCCCGCTCCTAGGCTGCATGTGATAGGTCATGTGCCCCTTGAAGGCCGTGATATTGGAAATCTTGTTTGATCTCCCTTCTTTCGTCCTTCGCGGCTCAATTTGTTTCTGTTTCTGTGTCATCCAACTTGATATTTGCGTACCTACCTGACTGTGGAGGCAAGTAGTCTTGCCTTCTCAGCTTCGTGGCTTTACCTTGCATCGTTTTGGAGGTGAAAGTTCTCCGATGTACAGCTGGGAATGCTTGCTGGCTGGTTGTTCTATTTTCTTCGTGCGTTATATTATCATCTCTAGTCGCTTGAGTCTTCTCTTTTAGTTGTCTCTGTCGTCTAGTCGTCTCTGTCGTCAGTTCGTCATGATCTGGTTACTCTATGTGGACAAAGTCACGTGCCGTGTTGTTCTTTTTGTGGGCCCGGATTATTCCTACATCTGTTCGTCCGTATGTATCTATCAAAACATTCCAAGCAGAAGAAATGGATAAGTCCAAGCTTTTCTCGATGTTAGTAACACATAAACTTCCTGGGTGGTATGTGTAATTTATATATGAGGGGTTTTAATATCAATTTTGTAAAGTCTTTGCTCAGACGTGTCTTACTTGCCAGACTACTGAACTAGTATGATATGTAGATATCTTGAAAGAAGTACTCACCTCGAGGTCCTGGAATTGTCAAGTATAACTGTCTTTTAGAATATTAGCAAGCTTTCAGCTTTCAAGTCAAAAATCGTCGAGTTCTTAGGTCGTACTTTCCGAGGCCGTGATTACATCAGAGAAAGTCAGTTTTGAAAGATATAATAGATATAGTAAATCCAACTCAAACCTTGCTCATACATCCACATACTGCATAGGGATGATACATTATAATTCAGCGGTCGTAAAGAAACTATACAGTGTAGTCATTAGGGGTCTTCTCCTGCCGGAGAAAAATCTAAAGTCTGGCATCCAATTTATCTTCACTGTGCGAGGTGATTTTTCTGTGATGTGAGGTTTAACTAGGTGCTATGTCTAGTACAGGGGAATCACCCAACCCAGACACGCTTTCCATTTTTTATTCATCTTCCTCCTCACCTACCCCCGAAAATCCACGCCGAGTATTCGAAGACTTATCTTATTATTACAACTCTAGCATAGAGAGTATTAATTACTTTGAAATTGAGTATGTGATTCAAGTATCTCACGCTGCATTTTATAATTATATTCTTTAGCTACGAAACTCGAGAAGCATTTAGGGTTTGCAAGACTGCGAAGCCTACCATGGATCACTCTAACCCAAACAGCAACGCAGACAGTGTTCCTGGTCAGCATCATGCAGGCGTGCCAATGTCGAGTTCTCAACAGAGTTCCAATCAAAGTACTCCAGGTCCAAGTGGCTCAAGTCAGAGTCCATGGAGTCCAGGACGCTCCCTTTCAGGGCCTCCTCCGCCTCCATACAATAACTACGCAGTACCATTCCTACCGAGTCTAGCTACTCCGCAAACTTATCCCCAAATGAACCCGCACTACCATCCGCAACACCACCGGCAGGCCCCAGCCTTTCCGCCAAACCATACCCATAACAATTCGCAATACCAGCAGCAAAATCAGGGGCGAGGTGTTCCGGACAACTTTTCCACACATAGTCACTACTTTCAGTATCAATATCATGCTTCAGCTCTTCCACAGGTTTTCCAACACGATACACCGCGCCACCAGACTCCAAGTATTTCCCAGAACAATCAGTCTCCGGTGGCCGGTAGCAGAGCAATTCGTGAAGAAACCCCTGCGTGTCAAGGTTCTTCTCAGCCTGGTGGAAACCATGACCTTTCTATCCGATCGAAAGCTGAAGCAGTTCACCCGATGGCCGCCGGTAGCAGAGAAAGTCAGGAAACACCCCCTACATCCCAACGTTCTTCTCAGTCCGGAGGAAAGCATAACCATTCTGCGAAATTGCGAGCTGAAGCAACTGCTTGCGCGATGGATGACATGCCTTCTACAAACCAAGGTCCTTCTCAGCCCATGGGAAATCATGGGTTTGCCATTCAACATCAGAATCAAATCGTTCAGCCGAGCACTCAACCCCGTACCCCCCCTAACCATCAACCTCAGATGGGACGCAACAAATCCAGGCACGGTATACCACCCAAAATCCCATGGCCTTCTCCACCTGCAACGAACCGTAATGCTTCTCTACAGACTGTACAGCCACCTCCAGAAGACTTTCGCTCAGTAAATCATTGGAGTAAGACGGCAAGCGAGCAAAGCTTGAGGAAGGCAAATACTACTGGTGTGCCAAATATGAAATCATCACAGCCCCCCGAACAACCATCCTGCGCTTCAGTATACACACGAGCACATGTCAGAAGTCCAGGATCCCAGGCGCGGTCAGAGCCCTCAATAGGTTGGATTAGAAACCTTGAAACCGGATTGGTCGATTTGAAGGAGACTGTCTCTATAGATCCAAATTTGGGCACGCGTACCGATCGGTACACAATGGGCTTGGATCCACGTCGATATATGCCAATGTACCGCAATGGCAAAACAGTCACCTCGGAGACCCAGGTCAACGACCTAAGCGTTTGTAATCCGATCGTGGGAGGCGACGATTCAGAAGAACGCATACACATAAAGAGGAGTTTGAGCCCGTTGATGTCTCGCTTAGATCTTCCGCGGACAGCTTTGGCCCCTGATCCAGTCTACAATAAACCAAGTCACGAGTAAGCCCAAAAGCCCCTGAATACTTCAGCTGCTTGTTAACCACCATCAATAGCGAGCCTTCTTTTGCACCACCAGCAACCTCAGCACCGATAGTGCCTGCTAGTCCAAATAAGCTGAAGAGGAAGCGAGAGTCGAGCAAAGTAAAGGAGGCAGGGAATACCCAATCGCATGTGTGAGGACAACACTCCAGGCCTCTCCCCGTCTATCTTGTACCCGCCGCTTACTAACTTTGATATTGGCTTAGTCTCATTAAGCAATCTGAGGATAAAAAGTTGAAGTTGAAGCAGCCGGTGTATGGCACTGTCGAAAACCGGTCAGAAGCCCTTTTCTATCCCGGCTTGTCGTCTTACCTAGAGATTTACTAATGAGGGCGTAATAGGCCTGTATCATGGTCTAATAAACTGTTCGACAGGGACTATGGGTAAGAACATACCATGTCCAGCCTTTATGTTTGATGGCAGATACTAATTTATCTTATCTCACTAATAGTAAAGATTTTCTCCCTGATCCTTTTAGCCCTTTGGAGGATCCATCACAAGCCAAATCCTCTACTAGTTCTATGTCGCGAGATTGAAGAGAAATCCGAATATCCAATGTCTAGTATTCGTTCGCCCCATGTTCGTTGCTAAGGAGAAGAAAAAGGTGAATGAGCTTTGAATTGTGCTCCTATCCAGGTTGGCTTATAACATAACTGACGCAGCAGCTAGAAAACTTTCCGAAGCGATTTTTGTTTCGGTCACGTCGGCTGAAGGAGAGATTGGATATGCGTAGATTGATTCGTTGTTTTCCAAAAGCAGACTGAACTGGTCTTTTTCCTTGTCTTGTCTTTTTCTCCCTCTTGTTTTTATAAAAGATATCACTTTCGCGCTTTGGATAGGTGCTGTTTTTTAGGTTTGCGTGTAAGTTAGGGAACTGACATGTATATTGATATTGGTTCAACCATTTGAAATACTCCACTACAATGAATGAGAGAGACATAGGTGTGCTTGCCTTTCTCTGGCTTCCATTTCGTAAGAGTATTAAACTAGTTTAGTTTTTACGCAAAGGGATGGATGGATAGGAATATATTAGAACCAGACGGACACTTGCCGAGACCAAGGAATGCTATAATGACGCTTTAGAGATTGAACGCCATGGGAAGCAAGCCAGCAAGTGTGCAAGTGAAAAGGATAAGCAGGTAATGAACCGAATCTTCCATAAGTCAATCAAGGCATTTTTTCTTCACAAGAATCAGTAATCGTCAATATAATGAGTAAAGACTGACGAAAATGATAATTTCTGCAAACTTCACAGTTCAAATAGTATAGCATAGCATAGCACAGCATAGCATAGCGCGTCATAGTATAGAATCACATTGCGACTGAAATATACACCCTGCCCACTTCTCTCTAGATGTGAATGGCAAGTCCAAGTCCAAGTTGATTCGCAATTCCCTCCCAAGCCCCTTTTCCCAACTGCAATGAACGCTAAGAAGATTCATATGTCATTCATACGTAAACCAACCAAAAAAACAAGCAAATAAACAAGTCAGTCATCCATCGATTGATCCCCAAACCCATAGATAAGTATAAGAACCCCTCTCAAACCCAAGACTTCTTTCATTCTTTTTTTTTCAGATGCAACGTCATGACATTTATTCTACGGTAACGGACTTAGCCAAGTTGCGCGGGAAATCTACGTTCAGGCCCTCGGCGACAGCGAGCCAGTACGCCATGAGTTGCAGGGGAATGACGTTTAGGAGGCCTTGGAGGCAGTCGACTGTCTTGGGGATCTCGATCTTTTCGGCTTGTCCGGCTTTAAATTCTTCGTCGCCTGGGTTGCAGATTACGATTGGCTTGCCGTTGCGGGCGATAACTGTTTAGACGTTAGATACTATTCTGGAACTTGAAATAGGGATATGAGAGGGGGAAATATACCTTGTTGATAAGCGTTCAAAGACTTGGCGAAGATATCATCACGAGTGAGAATCATAATAATTGGCAGGTTCTCATCAACCAGCGCCAAAACACCGTGCTTTAGCTCACCAGACATAACAGCCTCGCAATGCAAGTACGAGATTTCCTTGATCTTGAGCGCACCCTCGAGAGCAGTAGAGAACTGGCTGCCTCTGCCCAAAAGCAGGAGGGACTTCTGGTGCTTGAAAGTGCGGGCACAGAGCTCCTTGATAGGCTGGTCGAGCTTGAGGACTTCGCGGATTTGCTCCGAGATGTCGCCTAGGCCTTGCATGATGGCCTCGCGTCTCTTTTGCTTGGATGCACGGTCTTCGCTGAGGGATAGTGCGAACATGACCATAGCGATGAATTGGGATGTGTAGGCTTTGGTGGACGCAACACCGATCTCTGGGCCAGCGTTTACGTGGACACCGCAGTGGGTGAGGAGGGAGATGGAGGAGCCGACTACGTTGACAATACCGACGAGCAGGGCACCGCGCTCCAAGCAGTATCTCAGGGCTTGGAGGGAGTCGGCAGTCTCACCGGACTGGGAGACGAAGACGCAGGTGTCGTCGCGGAATACGGGTGCTTGCCTGTCGAGGAAATCGGAAGCTAATTCGACGGCGATGGGGATCTCGGTCAACTCTTCGAAGATACCGCGAACGGCCATGCAAGAGTGGTAACTAGTTCCGCAGGCGATGAATATGATTCTTCTGCAACGGCGGATAGTGGGCATGAATGCCTTCAGGCCACCGAGCGTAACCACCTTGTTCTCAACGTCAAGGCGACCTCTCATGGTGTTGACGACCGATTCAGGCTGCTCGAAGATCTCCTTCTGCATAAAATGTTCAAACTTGCCCTTCATGATCTCTTGCAACTCCATCTCGATGGTCTGGATAGTTCGGACATTTGAGGATCCATCAGCTTTTGTAAGTCTGTGAATGTTGAGGGAACCTTCATGAATGTGCGCGATATCATCATCCTCAAGGTACATGACCTTCTTTGTGTGCTCAATAATGGCCGAAGGGTCGGAAGAAAGGAAGAACTCAGTTGGCATTGGTGCTCCATCATCAGTCATGAAGGCTCTGGATTGCGAGCGGTGGAGAAGAGATTTGTCTGGGGGAGCGAGGGAATTGCCAACGGACAAGAAGTTGCCAGTAGCGGACTTCTTGAGCGCAGCGTTCTGGGATGCTTGCTCAGCTGGAAGGGGGGTATCCTCAGTGAACTCGACATCAACAAAGTCGACCTTCATTCGCTTTTGTGTTCGTACTCCAATGACTAATGGGGACCCCTTTCTGGCAGCAATAACTTCGTGTGGGTAGTGGACAGACTTCATCAAGAGACCGAAAGCTCCCTGCAACTCCTTGATGACAGCCTTTGCCAAATCGGTGAATCCCATGGTTGGGTGCTGGTCGTAGATGTATTTCGCAAGCTTAGCAATGCATTCTGTGTCGGTCTCTGTCTCGAATCTAAAGCCCTTGGCAGCCAGCAGAGTCTTCAATTCCTTGTAGTTGGTGATGATACCATTGTGGACAACGGAGAATTCCCATGTGGGATCAGATCTGCATTCATCATCAGTTACACGTCTGCCAAGAATGTCCCAGGTGTATTACCTGTGGGGATGGCAGTTGAGACGGGATGGCGGACCGTGGGTGGCCCATCTAGTGTGTGCAATACCGGCGTGAGAATCGAAGACCTTGGTAAGATCTGGCTTCTCTGTTGCAATGAGCTCCTTCAACCTGGCCACCTTGCCAACCTCTTTGAATGCAAAAACCTCATTCTTCTTGTCACCGTCTACCGCGAGACCGGCAGAGTCATAGCCACGGTATTCGAGACGGGAGAGACCGTTGACGAGGGTATCGAGAATGTATTTGCGGTCCTTCTCGACCAAGTAATTGATGCTGTATATATTAGCATGATGCCCTGGTCCTCCTCGCAGATAACTTACTAGCCAAAGATTCCACTGTTGCGTTGTGTTAGCAGCTGTCTGGGGTGTGTCCAGGGGCTGAGGGGTATGTTTACTCACCACATCTTGTCTTACGTGGTTCTTTGTAGGCGGGGTAGCGAGGGAAATCGTCTGACAATGGGCGTTGGGGTTTTGAGGGACTAAACGAGTGGTTGCAAGACTGATGTGCGAGAAGAAGACGGAGGTGTGAGATGGAATAACGGGGATGGAGGGAGGGTTCAAGTAGAAGAAGTAGAAGGCCAAGAAATATCGCGTTCAAAGCTTTGAAGTTCGGCTAGGATTATGAAACCGGTAAGGTTGGGCGGGCAATGAGAAAGCGCCACTCCACTATCTGGTACGAGACGAGTACTGTAGGTAGAAGTAGTGCATGGCAGAAAGAAGTCACAAACAGATTGTGGCTGGAATGTCTAGGCCTATGAAATACTGAGTCTGCGTATTTCTTCTACTTCTCCTGGCAAGTTTTACCTGAGCTGAAGTAAAAGGGGCCAATAGCGCGAGGCAATCCACAGTGTTTCACGAGAAGATGAACCCCAAAGCAACGGTCAGCCGCAGGGGTATAAGGCAAAGCCACACACTAAAGTTATAAATAGCATCCCCTCCTGCCCGTGATCGTCAGGCACAGGCACTATCGAGGAGGCTTAGAACCTTATGAGAGTCCTCAACAATACTTCGTATCTGCTATCCGTCGTATTCAATACTTCATGGAGATCTATGACGCTATGAGCTGAGTCGGTGATGCCGCGCTTTACGAATTCTTCGACTTTGATCAAGGGGGTTTCAATAGTCCTTTGAGCAGGGGAAGAGGGGAGGGTTAGAGGCATAGACATTGGCGTGGGAGGACAACGAAAACCTTTGGGACGGGCGAGAGAATGACAAACATTTCTTTGTTGTTTGAGTGCACGTCTGAAGGTGAGTATCACAACTAGCCGCTTTCCGATGTCTATGTCTATGGAGAAATGTGGCACAATTTGGTCAAAGGAGAATATGCCAATTTACACAAATCACTGTTTTCAGAACGAGCACCTTTCCGGAAAGATCTATGCATTCCATACGGTGTTTGTGTTGTACAGTGTCGAGCCTACGTTCAACCATATGCCATAGCGCCAAGCAGAAACAAACGCTTCATATCTAGAGTTTCTGGTACTCCAGCTTACCCTCCAACTTCTTCGATTCTGCCACCTTACGGACCGCCTTGTTGAAATCATCTTGGTTCACAGCATCTCTATAATCCTTGATCGCAAAGAGACCACTGCAAATATTAGCTGTGATTTGAGGTAGTAGGGGAAAGGGAAACCTACGCTTCAGTAACGACGTTTCGTAAATCAGCTCCATTAAGCCCATCACTCATCTTCACAACACTTTCAAAGTCAATATCACCCTCTGTAACCACGCCAGCAGCGTGAATCTTCATAATCTCCAAACGGCCGACCTCGTTCGGGAGAGGAATTTCAATTTTCCTATCCAGGCGCCCAGCTCGCAGAAGCGCAGGGTCAAGGGTATCGGGTCTGTTCGTAGCCATGATGATCTTCGTCTTGCCCAAGTAATCGAAACCGTCAAGTTGATTGAGAAGCTCCATCAGTGTCCGTTGGATTTCACGATCCGCTGATGTACCTTCTGAAAATCTTCGTCCTCCGATAGCATCGATTTCGTCCATGAAGATGATGCATGGCTCGTGTTCCCTGGCGTATCCGAACATTTCTCTAATCAGACGTGCGGATTCTCCGATGTATTTGTCGACGATGGCAGAGGATACGACTGCGACTGATTAGTAAATGCCAGTGATGAAGCATCTTTTACATACCCTTCAAGAAATTGGTTTCTAGACCGCTAGCCACAGCTCTCGCCAACAACGTCTTTCCCGTACCTGGAGGTCCATACAACAAGACACCCTTCGGAGGCTTGATACCAACTCTCAGAAATAGCTCCGGGTTCTTCAATGGAAGCTCGATGACCTCTCTCAGTTCCCTGATTTGCTCATTAAGACCTCCAATACCACCAAAGCTAACCTGACCGGGATCTTCCAAAGACATATTGTAAACAAGCGGGTCGACTTCTCGGGGCAGCATCCGCATTATTGTGAGCGTAGTCATGTCAAGCGCAACTCTCGTCCCCTGCTTCAGCGCCACCTTGTCGACCTTCGATCTGCAACCAACGACATATCGGGGTCCGGATGAGGCTTTGACGATGACTATCGTGTAAATGTTAGCTATTGTAGATCGGATGGTTGGGGGCTCGGGAGGTCGAACATCTCTCGTCATCAAGCTGCTTTAGCACTTCCCCAATGATCTGCCCAACGCTTTGTAAAGCTTTGATATTGTCCTCCGTATGGTCGAAATCCTTCTGGAGGCCTTTGATGTCTAACCGTAACGCCTTCAGCTTTGCCTCCCATTCTCTGGATTCTAGGAGCTTGTTCTTGAACGACAAAAGCGCATGGTTACGCTCCTCGTCGGCCATGTTGCTTTAGAATGTAAAATTGAGAGGGAAATGGGGGTATCGCAGAGGAGGAGGATAAAATGGGTTCGTCTGGATTATGGGTTGCTATGTGAGGTTGGAAATGTGTTGGCGGGCTTGATACTTTGTATCTTTGTAGACGCGAAGCTGTCGCTGCCTCATCTAGCAAGGTTGAACTTCGGCAAAAGCAATCTTGAGCAGCTGCGCTATCACGTGCGCAGGGTAAATATTGCTCACATTTTGGCTGCGAATAAGTTTGGAATTGACAGTCGGTCTTCCTTCTTTGCTCGCTTTTGTGAGTCTACATGGTGTTCCTGTATTATCAAAATTCTTTAGAGCTAAAAAGAATAAAATCCATTCTGTGATATCTCTGTATAGTAGTCTAGTGATGCTAGTCCTACCTAAGACTCAAATATAGACCCTAGTGGTTAATTTCAGGTATTATTGGATTAGAAAGAAGACTTTAGAAGTAGGTATATATATCAGAAATAAGAGTATTGCACCCAAAACCAGCAAAGTGAGACTTCGGACTATTTGTGGAAGCTTTTGCGTTGGTTGAATGCCAGTTCTTGTATTAGAGCTTATATGAAAAGAGACCCTTTGAGGCTCTAGTAACACATAGCTCGGCATTTATATATGCACCTAGCTCAAAGGGATTCGCATCGAAATGTTTAGCAAACATGATGCCATTACCTAGGTATTGCCAAGAAGTTCTGTAGAGTAATGCTCGGAATTCAACAGAGCCCCCAACTCTGATATATACCAAATTGTAGAGTTGCTTCATGCCATAGCGCCAAGTTGGGATTTGCCTTTTGATTAGACCGCAGTAAAGAAGAAGACAATTCGAAGAAAAGATGAACTACAAAACCCAACGGAGTAGGCAGGTAAGGCTGCAGGCGGGAGTGACCGGCTGATCCTACCTGGCAAGTGGAACAAGAAGCGTCAATAATGTCGGCCATACTTCGTACAGTGCCGTGTCCACCGCGAGACTTCACCCCACCAAACTCAACAAAAGCCCCTCCTTCACGGTCTTTCTGTCCAAACAACACACCACAACCACGACCACCACCTAAAGCCAGTACGTCTTCCATGCCATTCCATGCCATCTTATCCCATAGCCAATCGAAGAGATTGAGCTTCTCCATTAGAGATAAGCTACAGCTCCGATCGCGTTGTGCGCATATCGCTCCACCACTCCACTACTACGTTTTTCTCATGACAATCAATTTCTTCTTCAACCTCTAATCTCCAACCTCAAACTGACGACTTGTCTTCCAGCACATAAACATTACCTGCAAACCACTACATAAGGTGAGAGACCCCTCCCCTTCTTTTGTTCCTGCTTTTACTTGTACCCTCAGCCTTTGCTAACAATCTACCCCGCTGCAGAAAAAACATCATCATGGCCATCACCAAGATCCACGCTCGATCGGTCTACGACTCTCGGTAACAAAGCCTTCCTCTGTTGATTGAGCCTACATAGCTAACCCATCTCGAGAGGAAATCCCACCGTGGAAGTAGATGTTGTCACCGAGACCGGCCTTCACCGAGCCATTGTTCCATCCGGCGCGTCTACTGGTGCGTATAATCGATCCCATCGTTCCCAGACAAGGCTGATTCAAGTTATAACATAGGCCAGCACGAGGCTGTTGAGCTCCGTGATGGAGACAAGACAAAGTGGGCTGGAAAGGGTGTCCTCAAGGCCGTCGCCAACGTCAACGAGATCATTGGCCCCGCTCTTATCAAGGAGAACATCGATGTCAAGGACCAGCCAAAGGTCGATGAGTTCCTGATCAAGCTTGATGGAACCCCAAACAAGGGAAAGCTGGGTGCGAATGCCATCCTCGGTGTCAGTTTGGCTGTTGCTAAGGCCGCCGCTGCCGAGAAGGTTCGTGGCACCATTCTACTTATACAGTCGTGCCATACTAACTGATGTAGCAAATTCCCCTCTACGCCCACGTTTCCGACCTCGCAGGCACCAAGAAGCCATATGTTCTCCCTGTCCCATTCATGAACGTTCTCAATGGAGGGTATGTATCAATTAATACTTGAAGAAGTGCAAGAGTTAACGAGATGCAGATCCCACGCTGGTGGACGCTTAGCATTCCAAGAATTCATGATTGTGCCATCGTGAGTTACCTGCTTCGATTAAGATCTTCATTATACTGACCCTGCATAGATCCGCACCCTCCTTCACCGAGGCTCTTCGCCAAGGTTCTGAGGTTTACCAAAAGTTGAAGAGTCTTGCCAAGAAGAAGTATGGACAATCTGCCGGTAACGTCGGAGATGAGGGTGGTGTTGCACCAGATATTCAGACCGCCGAGGAGGCTCTCGAGCTCATCACTGAGGCTATTGAGTCTGCCGGATACACTGGAAAGGTTCACATCGCCATGGACGTTGCTTCTAGCGAGTTCTACAAGGAGGATGTTAAGAAGTACGACTTGGACTTCAAGAACCCAGACAGCGACCCTGAGAAGTGGATCACCTATGAGCAACTTGCCGACCAATACAAGGAACTCGCCACCAAGTACCCAATTGTTAGCATCGAGGACCCCTTTGCTGAAGATGACTGGGAGGCATGGAGCTACTTCTACAAGACCTCCAACTTCCAGATTGTCGGAGATGACTTGACTGTTACCAACCCTATCCGCATCAAAAAGGCTATTGAGCTCAAGTCTTGCAACGCCCTCCTGCTCAAGGTCAACCAAATCGGTACCCTCACTGAGTCCATCCAAGCAGCCAAGGACTCCTACGCTGCTGGCTGGGGTGTTATGGTTTCCCACAGATCTGGTGAGACCGAAGATGTCACTATTGCCGATATTGTCGTTGGTATTAGAGCTGGTCAAATCAAGACTGGTGCACCAGCCCGATCTGAGCGTCTTGCCAAGTTGAACCAGATCTTGAGAATCGAGGAGGAGCTTGGTGACAAGGCCATCTACGCTGGTGAGAACTTCAGAACTGCCGTTAACTTGTAAATATGGTTCAAGAAGGGGGATTGCATAATGCAGAAAGAGATGTGAAATGGTTGATGAGAAATGATGCATTCCTCTGGGCACTGGGCTCGTAGTTTTGATAAGAAGCAAAGAAACAGCAATTAAAAATTGATGCACTTAGTCGAGACTTTTTCCCGATGTGATTTGTGCCGAAGCCTCGCACTAAAAAGCCTCAAGTCAACCAACTCGTACGATTTGCAAACATGCGGTAAGTAATTGAGCTCTTTGGATTTTATGATTTATGGAGACAGACAAAAAAAAGCAAACATGTAAAGAAAGAGGGTGAAATCGGTGCCCAACGGTATCTCTCGAAATAAGATGAAAATGAATTGCCGGTTAAAATTTAGCGAAAGGAAACCTACCACCTTACCTTACCCTCCCTCCCCTCCCTCTCCCGCAAACAGCCCTGACTCTTCCTTCCACACGACACACAATCTTCCCAAACATCCAACCAATATTCCAAAAAACAAGAATCTCGTCTTCAAGCCATCGCAAAACTAGTCGCGCAGACTCTACGATCAATTTACAGCCGTCAAAATGCCTAACAAGTGGGGTGAGTGGCCACAATCCCTTCACGCGTTATGATTGTTTCCTGTGAAATCCATCGCCCTTTGTACTTTATACTGCGTTTCCACAACCCTACGACGAGAATACGTCGCGGTTTGGTTGTAGGATCGACCTTGCAGGACACTATGCACAGTGATGAGTTTTTGGGCTACATTTGGCTGACCGCTACTCAACCGAGCAGATGAAGAAGAGGACAGCAGCACGCCTCCCTCCTCGCCCCCGGTCGCTGCCACTGTTCGACGTAGCAAGTTCGATGATGAAGAGGCTGAAGATAGCGATGTATGTGCCCCACTCTGTATATCCAGTAAGCCAGCTGCTAAATCGCGAATAGGTTCTAGATAGCTGGTCCGCCGCCGAGGATTCCGAAGTCGAACGTGAGAAGGCCAAGGTCGTCGCAGAGAAAAAGGCCAAGGCGGATGCGGAGGAAAAGGCAAACAAGAAGTCCAAGGCTCAGCGCATTGCGCAGAAGCAAGCCGAGAAAGCACGAAGACTCGCAGAGGAGAGTGAGGATGACAGCAGCGAAGAAGATGAGGCTGCTCGAAGGGAGCGACTGCGACGAACCGAGCAGGAATCCGATCTGAAGCACGCGGAGGACCTGTTTGGAAACATCGGTATCAGCAACAATCGCAAGGCCACTACTGCGGCGAACGCTGTTGTAGTTGACGCGAAAAACCCCAACTCTACCGTAGATCTTACTGCGCTGCCTCTCTTCGACCCCAAGACCAAGCTCCAGTTCGAGAAGATGCGCGATACCCTTGTGCCGGTCATTAGCAGCAACGCTAAGAAGGCTCAGTACGTAATCTTCTTGCAGGAGTTCACTAAGCAGTTGGCAAAGGAGCTTCCTAGCGATCAAATCAAGAAGATTGCTAGCACTCTGACTGCATTGGGCAACGAGAAGATGAAGGAGGAGAAGGCTGCCGAGAAGGGAGGCAAGAAGAGCAAGGCCCAGAAGACAAAGGCTACTCTGGTTGCGAACAGAAATGCTACGGGTGCTGATGTCAACGCGTATGATGATGACTTTGGAGAGTAATTTTCCCTGCTCCAGATGACCTGTGGCCTTGTGCTGATAATATATAGTGACGATTTTATGTGAACGGGTCCCACGATTGCAGCTGCACTTCTGCTTCTCCCCAGATACCCTCCACCCCACCATACCATACAAACAAGACGCGCCCTTTCCGGCCTTCACACATATCGAGTCACAGCAAAGTCGGAACAGCATTCAGTTCTCGGCGCAATGGGTTAAGCACCCCGCCATTCAAGATACAAACAGGCCCAACTTGCCAACACGGACATGAGGGGTTGGTGGATAATTGATAAAAAGGAGCGAGAATGGGAGAAGATCACAGGGGCCTTTCTTTTCGGTCAGACGGCATATATTATGAGATGCATATGCATATCTTTAGAATGCGTGCTTTGCTTGTTTTGTCTTTACTCGGTATCGAGTTTCTGCTTTGCGCTTGGAGTTTGAAGCACGCCTGACTGCGAGATGATGAAAAGAGAATGAAATAACACGCATTTGCACCTGAACTGAACTTTTTGATATGATACTGTGAAGTTTTTTTTTAAACCCTACGTATTTATGTACTGTGCGTTATCACTCGAGTTGGGTGTAACTTGAAGCTCGTAATTCCCGCTTCCGCGTAGCTCTGCTGTCCCGCCATATAGATTGGATCTTCATACAAGGAAGTGTGTTGATGTCCATCCCGCTTAAATTTCTTATGCTTATCCCGATGCTAGTGTTATAAATATGGTAATCAAGAGGAAGTCTATGCTGTGTATTTACTGTTTTTAGAATTTGTTGGTATTTTGTATGTGCTTAGCATCTGGGCGTAGTACTATCCCATGAATAACACACTCTACATGAAATACGAATGATTAACAGGCGTTTCAGTCGTTACGATAGTAACGCTGAGAGTAGCAATGAATTCCTGTCCTTCCTATTAGGCCATGGAATCTTACAGCTCGCCGCAAACATTGAAACACTCCACTTTAAAATCATGGAAGAGGTGTCTCCAGGTAGACAGAACGTTATCAACTTCTACCGTCCCGCTCCAACTGACACGCTAGATCTTTCGTACCGCTTTCACTGTCCAGGATGAGAATAAGTTATTTGGAAAGAGGTAGTCAGCTAGGAAAGAAGGGGATGAAGGTCTCTGAGAATAGAGATCCCGAGCACAAGCTGGCTTGCATTAACATTGGTCTCAAGTGAAGTTCACTTGAAGATACTTACTCAGGATGCTGATCAAGTTCGGGAAATATCAAAGAATCATATCAGAGAATCGAATATTGACTTTAAGCCTCGCATCTTCTCGGTCCATACTACTTCACTTGCAGATCTCATGTCTCTAACCCGTCAGTCCCCTAAACCCCGAACACAATACCAGATTTACTGTCCCTGCACTCGACCCTCTCAAAAATGTCTAGTTTTCCTATGGCTTTTCCACCTTTATCACTTTCGCATCGGGTGTTTACTGCCTTTCATCTTGGGCGGATGCACTAACACAAAGCTGCACGAGTTTGAAGATCTTCTTTCCAGCCAGAATGTTGCGAATGAAATGGCGATGAAGTGTATCTCAGCATACTCGAGAGTAAGTTTAAAGACTCCATTCCTAAGATGTCAGCCAGTCGGCCGGTGGCACTACCTTATATGAATCAAAGACCATTTTGAATATATTCCGAAGGAAGTTTCTTGTTAGTCAAATTCGATGCGCTGGAGGAGTGCTAAAAATTAGCGGTCACAAGCCTAAAGATTTAGCGGCAATACGCTGAAAGTCAGCCCTTTTCAACGCTAACTTTGGCGACCTGGCTGATTTGTAATGGGCGGTGCACTATTCTTAGGTGCGCCACGGTGGCGTTCTCGAAACCTCCACCAGCGTCTACCTCCTTCTTGATACTTCCAGAATCGTCGAGTTGACAACTCGTAAGCTGTTGATTTATCACTTTTGGATTGCGTCTTCGTAGATGCCTATGGTAAGTTTGGGGTATATAATGCCAGCGTAGAACACCTAGAAATTTTCTTTTCATCATTCAGAATCACACTCATATCTCAGATCCAACTCAAATCTTCATCATCTTCAAGATTTCCTCTACAAGTCTCAAAACCCCTCAAAACACCATCAACATGCCTTTCTTCCCTCAAGCATACCTCTCTCCCGAGGCTGGTCTCTTCCAAATCCTCTCAGAGCTCGACCAGCCTCAGCAAAAGACATGTGTCCGACGCCAGACACCCCGAACCTTCACCCCGAGATTCGATGTCACTGAAACAGCCCAAGCCTATGAGCTTTTCGGTGAAGTCGCAGGCCTCGAGCAGCAAGACCTCTCCATCGAATTCGCCGACGCCCAAACCCTCATCGTCAAGGGCAAGACCGAACGCGGACCCAGCACCACCCAAGCTCCTGAAGTTCAAGCTACTCAACCCCAATCGACCGATGCCTCGTCAGAGAAGTCCCACACACCTACCGTAGAAGATGCTGAGTACGATGAAGCCGACACTCCTCTTGCGACTCCCGCAAGCACTGCTACAGTCACCGAGACCCCATCTGAGGAGCAGAAGCAAGCCAAGGCACCAGCACCAAAGCCCAGGTACTGGGTCGCCGAACGCCGGGTCGGGACTTTTGAGCGGAGCTTCTCGTTCTCGCAGAGGATCGATCAGGATGCTGTTGAAGCCAGTCTGCACAATGGTGTTCTCCATGTTGTAGTCCCCAAGTCGCAGAAGTCGAAGAAGGTCGCTGTCAGTGTCAACTAAACTGCATCTGGAAATTCGGGGTCTTGAAACGATTATGGGTTTTCTGGTCACTTGGATAGCATAGCATAGCAAGGCGTTTAGGATTACATAGCGCAACGATAATATAACTGTCTGTTACTGAATTTAAATTTTGTCTTAAGAGTGAAATGAGAGGTCTTGACTCACTATATTTAAAAAATGCCAATTTACTTCTCTTCTGATTCGAACGGACTTATGCCTTGTGTGAATATCAGACACGTTCCTTCACTTACGAAGTGAGAAATCTCGCCGTTGTCTTTCTGTTGTGTATTTGTTACAAGTTATTTATAGAGTCACGAGAGGTACTGTACCCGTCCGAATGCGGAAGTCACCTATCTCCGGCGCCGCATTCTTTCCTCCGAGCCAGATCATAATACAAGTATTTTATCAGACCTATCCAGTTTTGAGAAAGTTTCTTTTCATCTTAAGTCTTCTAAGAAGCTTCATCTGCTGAAAGGCTACCCTCAAGATGCGTCGCACCAAAACAACCAACCTTACGACTTTCGTTCGACCTACGGCAACCATGACCCTCTCATCGCCACCTGGCTCCTCTCCCATCACCACAATAACGCTTCCTCCTCGCTCTACCTGGACATCCGGTCTTCACTGGCATGAGACACACACGGAGTTCCTGCGCGTTATATCGGGTCACGCATGGGTGTCCATTAGTGGCATCTCGCAAATCGTCTCAACGGCAGACGGCCAACTAGTGGTCCCCAAGTTTGCAAGACACGAGTGGCGACGAGCAGTAAAGGGAGATGGAGACACATTTGAGGAATCATGGCATGAGGAAGAGATTGTAGTGGAAGAATGGACTGATCCTTTTGATGGGCAGAAGGAGTTGTTTTTTCGGAACTTGAATTCAGTTATTCTTGACACGACCAGGCACCCTAGTTGGTGCATGGATTTGTGGCTTTCTCTTCAGCTGTTTGTTGTTTTCGCAGAGCTAGATAACTATCCTGTGTTCTGGCCACTGAGTACTGGGCATGAGACGTTTCAGTATTTGGTTACGCATTTTGTCTTGGGGATAGCGCGGGGTCTGGGGAGGTTGTTTGGTGCGAGGGGGGCTTATGAAGAGTATACTCCTAGCACGCTTGTCAAGAAAGAACGCTGAGAGTGATGGGATTGAGATATTACTAGAATTTTTGAGCAAGTGCGCAAGTGGCTCAAAAGACGGCGATCAACTATTCCCAGAGCTTACCTTATTTAGTCAGTTTTGTATTACACTGCATCACACTATACTATATTAGGCAGTTCCGAGCTCTATGCAAGTAATCTTACTTTTGTTGCAGGTTCCCATTGTCTTTATTGCTTCATTTTATGTATTTTGGGTGCATTTATTTCTAAAGGCTTAGACAAGTCAACCTGAATCTTATAGAGCTCGCATTCCTGCTTGGAAATTGAAGCTGCGAATTTTACAATATCCTTACACTGGGCTATTTTGAGAAGGCACTTGTCAATATTATTCTGTGTTACCTCGTGCTTCTCCTATCTAAGAACCACTTCTGCTTATATTGCCTCTTGTGTAACCACGTAAGGAGTTATTTCTGATCGCCGGTGGACCCGCACCTCGGTGCCCACGGAATACGTTGAATTTAAAGACACCTCAAATCTGTGGTTATCTCCGTTCGACGATCCATTGAAATCTTATAACATACTCACCAATATGGGCCAACTTGAATCTCTTACACCCATCCCTGGCCTTGAGTTACGCGAAAAGGCCATCTTAGAGCCGTCGTTCACACAGGCAGGCGTTCGAGCAGCTCTTACTCCGGAGCAATCAAAGGCTTTCGATGACTTTCGGGAATTATGTAGGGAAGGTGGAGTTTTCGAGGAGCCCCTTGGCCTTGAGGACCGGGATTGCCGCGATGGAATCCACGACGACGCTACATTATTGTAAGTTGTGTATGCCTCTGTATTGGATCGACATGTTGCGTACCTAACTCACTGTTTTAGTCGCTTTTTCACTGCTCGTCGCTGTGATGCTGCAAAAGCACACGAGCACTTCAAGGAAGCCTTTAAAATTCGGAAATCAAATGAGATGGTCGAATTATACAGGACTATAGACCTTGAATTATATGAAGAGACGCGATTACAAGTCTGTACTCTTTTAGGTATATACTGATTTCCGATTAACACATATTAGTATCCACACTGGACTGGACGGCGAGACAAACGCGGGAATCCTGTCTGCATCTTGGATCTCTCACCCGCGTGTTTGAACGCGGCAGCTGTGGCCGCCCACAAGTTATCATCTGATGCAGCGGCAGCATATACACCACAGCCAAAGAGCCCAGACGCAGCATCACTCCATGTGCGCAGGGCATATGCGATCCACGATCACCTGACACGATTCGTGATGCCTCTTTGCTCTGCTGTACCGGATCGACCTAATCCGGAAGTACCGATCACGAAACACATCATTATTGTAGATGCTACAGAACTTGGAGGGCTCTTGCGCGGGTGGAAGCTGAAAGAGTTTGCGCTGGAGTTTGATAAAGTCCTAAATCATAGCTATCCTGAGATTTTGGAGAAGGTTATCGTATGTTAAGAGCTTGGATCTTATCTTGATTTATAAGCCAAAATCCCTCTCGTAAAGACCCAAATGCTAACCTCCTTCACTCAATTAGATCGTAGGCACTCCGTCTTACTTTCCCTATCTTTGGAGCTGGGCGAAACCTTTACTCGATCCCGTAACCGTTCCCAAAGTCCGGATCCCGAGTGCGAACGAGCTTCTCCCATTGCTAGAATCATACATGCATATAGAAGATATACCGCGAAAGTACGGCGGCGAGCTCAAAACAGAGGTAGGTATGATGCCGAATCTAGACAGGAAGATAAGTGAGGTGCTTGAATGGGCGCCATCTTCTTCAGAGAAATCGCTTCCCCCGGGACCGCTGCACTGGGTACATAGCCCTGGTGGTTCGAAGACGGCTGTTGCTGTCGGGGTGGTAAATGGAGAGAAACGATGCCTTGAGTTTGCAAGTATTCGATGATTTTATTGAGGGGGAGGTCGAGGATGCGGAATATAATTATTTGTAAGGCAGACAGATTTTGGAGATATGTAGAGAAAGCATAGAAGGTGGAGTACTACTGTTCTATAAGTTGAGAGGCTAAACAGAACGTGGTCAGGTGAGCAGAAAAATGACACTATACATTGATTGAGATGGCCGGATTGATAACCTGAGGAAGATCCTCGAAACGCTATAAAATCTGCATATCTGTATCTATCCTCAGTTAGGGTATGTCTTTAGCTGTAAGAAAAGACAACGGTTTAGTCACGTGTTGGGTTAGGCTTGCGCTTGAGGCTGAGAGCCGACCCGTCACAAGCTTGGCAAGCGCGACACCACCGATATGACAGCTCGAAATTACCATCCCGAGGTCAAACAATTGCGAGTCTGCGAGGCACTTCGCTTTGGCTTTCGCTATCGCTATGAACCGAATGGCCACCCGACTATGCTTGGGTATGGGATATCCACCAGCTCGTGCCCTTGATTTGGACTGAAGGCTAGAAGGGCGAGGCAGAGGATCTCGTGAATCAGGGAAGGGAAGGAAAAGGTTTCACGCTAAAGCCCTGATGTTCGCTCTCCTTCTCCCGTATGTACGTGTACAGCCTCCTTCAACGCCTTGTTGGCGTGGCTTGCTGTGCATAGGCGACACTACTACTTGATCACAAGCACGAAGTGAGACGACGTAAAGTATCCTTCTCCTCCACTTCTACGCATAGCACTCATCATCTGAAGACCCCCCCCGCCCAACTACCTCTTGAACGCACCAACAAACTACAGAGGGCCTCACCGCAGCCTGGTCTCGAACCCATACCTTCCAGCGATCACGATGAATCCTCCCTACTCCGAAAAGGAGGGTTTTCCACAGCAGCGTAGAATGAGCGACTCGGATGCCCCATCCTACACACCATTCCGTACAACATTCGCGTGTCTCTCACTACACCAAAGCGATCGTATTCGAATGATGCAATTCCGCCCCGAAGACGTTTCAGCCACCCGAAGCGTAATTCAGCGCCATTGGACTAAAGGACTACAAAGCGAACGAATATACAGCGCCTCATACGAGTTCAAGCTGAGTGGCTATCCTTGGTACGGCCAAGGTTCCGATGCCATTGCATCACGAGTCGTGGTACGGGAGATATTCGCCTATTTGTTTAGCCAGGGATGGATATTACATTTGAGTACAGATGTTAGCAGGAGTAAGTATGACAAGGATTCGTTGATATTTAGAAAACAACAAACGCCGCCCCCACCTAGCGAATTTATTGCTATAACTTTCAACCAGGGGGACCGGATGAGGTTGATTGGTGCACCTAATGCTCTGCTTGCCGACGTAAGGATCTTGTTGAAAGAGATGAAACTCCTGCAAGCCGAAGATTGGAAAGATGGAAAGCTCCAAGCATGGGAATATAAGATGTATGGATGGCCATGGCATGCTACTGGCGAGGTACGTACTCCGCTGAGGGAATATCCTTTTCTGCGTAGATTTAGGAGTTGAATTACCCCTCTGTCCTTCTTTTATTTCTAAAACAACATTGCTGACTCCGAGTTTTTGACGGTTAGGAGACAATGACGACAAGATTGCTGCTGTTGAAGTTATTAGAGACGTTGGAAAGCAGAGGCTGGAGTGTTTATGCTAGTATTGACCAGACCACAGGAACCGAGGACTGCTCTGAAACAGATAGCTGGTATGTAGTTAAGGAACGGGGGTGGGTTGAGGGGAGTGCTGTTTTCCATCGATAGGAGATGCGGATAAACTTTCTCCTTTGGATTATTACGTATCATATACCCCGATGTATTCAATAGCCCCATTGGCATCTTTCAACTAGCTCTGTGCAGTGTGCCGAGATCTATGCATTTTGAGTTATCTTTGATGCTTTTCTATTAGATTGATGGCATGTTCCAGCCGACGGGGCTTCCAAACGGATGCTTGAGGTTTGAAATGGGGGTTGCATCAGACAGCCCAGGCTCTCCACTTACGATGGCCACATATTCTCCCCTCAAAATCTTCGTATCGATTCCTCTCTTTCTGGTGCAATAGTCGAAAATATCATAAGCGAGGGCAACTAGGGATTACAGATAGGGGGAGGCTTGCCTTGTAAGTCTAGTAGAAATAGTCTAGAGAATCCTAACCATGCTGGCTCCTCTTGACTTGACTCCAAACCCAGTGGCACATTCACCAAAGAAATCTATGAATAACAATGTTTGAATGACATGAATACCACACACAGTCCAAGACTCTGTATAGCTCTATACATTTCTATCACAGTATATCTATTATTTCCTCTGGCTCAGAAACAAGGCGACCAAAAAAAAGAGACCTGCAGGCTCCAAGTCCAACAGTAACCAACTCAAACTACTGTACACCCACGATTAACACCACAACCAGCTATACAACCCCACGAATCGACCAGCAACACACAAACATGCCCATTAAACCAAACACAGACCCCATAATGGGCAGAGACAGCACGGCCGAACCGGGCATTCCGAAATCACTGCGCTCGCACATGTTGGGCAAAAGGGCGCTATCACTGGAGAAAGTCATCGAGCTGGCTACGCAAAGTCATCCCGGGATGACTGATAGGGAAGTTGTTAAGGTTATGATGAGTGATGTGCGGTCTGATTGGTTGAGGTCGACGCAGGTGAGGGTTGAGGAGGGGGAGGGGTGGGTGTTTTTGTGGAGGTGGGTTTGAGGTTGTTTCAGGGTGGGGGAGTGGTGGTTTCTGGGAGGTTGAGGATACTGAAGTAGATAGGAAGGTGGTATAGGTGCGAGTAATATATCGTACTCTGATTTATAACGGAATTACTTCATGCTGTTCGAGATTCATACTAGCTCCCGCGCAACATCAGGCATTTTGAGGCCCTGGAGGCTAGAGCTTTACCCCTGCCAAGGCTCGCTAAAGATGTAGAGCCGGAGGGAGGAGTGCCATGAACAATATCATACCTATATAGGTTGGAACTAGATGTGTGTATGTGTGATGGCGTGCATTAGGAGATTGTACCTAAGTAGAGGTGCATTTAATTGGAATTTAAGAGATCGTCACTATCGCAATCAAAGCGCTTGATTAGTACCCACCAACCCTTTATAAAGTAGGGCAGCTTAGTCAGCGGCAAGCTTTTCCGTACGTGTACCTCTCTACGCGCCCTGCCAAAGGAAGGAACGTAGCACTACTTTCCTTGACATCGAAAGTACATACCCTACCTCGGGTCTCCAGTGTGCACATTCGGCAACAAGTTGCGGCGGCCTATTAGACGCCGCTCGGACACTGTGCAACCACCATCACCACCACTTCTTCCATCTCCCCACCCACGTGCAAGATGGCTGAGCTCGAGAACAACATTGGGTTCTGGGGTGGCATGGCCTTGCTGATTAGTTCTATCACTGGACCTGGGTTGACTACAAGTAAGCTCCATGAAGAAACTCTTACATTTCCCTGAAAGATATATACTGATTATCTCAAAGTTCCACTCCTATTTCAACAGGCAGGATGGGTGACGTTTGTGACACCTACCGAGTCCAATTGAACAGCTGACAGCTGAAGATGAGATACAGCCCTACAATCACCTTCCTTCTATTCAGCGTCGTGTCGTGTTTGGCTTCCCTCTTCTTGATTGAAACAATGTCCACGATTCGCGGCAATGAGTCGTTCCAGGCAAACGTCGAATTCAGCACCGTCGCACATCTGTACCTAGGAAAAAGGGCACATATCGGTATGCAGGTGATGTTATTCTTAGCATTGCAAAGTGTAAATATTTCTAGCATCATAATATCAAATCAGGTGATTCAAGGACATATTCAGCGGGAGACACGATCCGAACTGCTAATATCAAACTGCAGACTATGGATTCTATCCTCATCCGTCTCTTCCACAAGACTTGCGCCGTTAGTTTCATCGAGGGCTGGGTTTGTGGTTTGTGGTCGAATGTTCCTGCTGTTTTCGAACATTGACTGACGATGACTACAGCGACCGAGGTTACTTCCTCGGGTTCTCCTTTTGATACGTATATATTATTCTCCTTTGGGTATCTCGTAAGTAATTTTAGAATGGGGGGCATGGAGATTTACGTGCTGATTGAACAGATTTCCGCAGCTATGGTTCTCCCCCTCTCGGTGATGAGTCTGGTGCAAAACATCAAGTTTCAGATTGCTTCTGTTGCAACATTATTCTTTGTCATCATTGTGTGGATATACATTTTCGCCAAACACGGGCTAGAACAAACAGTGCCACCAGTCGGGAACGATCAGAGCACTCTTATAGGATTCGTGCTTGGTAATTTCGCATTTGTGAGTCTGCATGCCAAAACTATTACAGGCTTTGCTAAATACTACGATTCGTCAGATTACTACGATCCCGTCATTCATCAACGAGCTATCTCGGACAGTCTCGATCCATAAGACTATCGTTTATCCAATAATCGTCTGTGTAATCTTATACGTTATCATTGGTTTGACCGGGGCTTCGAGTTTCGCTATTAACGACTCCTCTACTCTTCTCGCTACTCTGAGCGCCTCAAATGAGAGCAGAGTACTAACCACAATTACCGACATTTTGTTTCCAGTTTCTGTTTTGGTGACATCGGTACCAGTATTTAGCATCGTAATACGATACAATCTGGTTCGAGGCAATCTTTGCTCCAATCGTAAGAGTCACTCTCCCTCTGCTATCATGGAAGCTAATCATCCGCGATTCCGCAGGTTATGCAATACTGTGGGCCAGTGTGTTGCCATGGCTCATTATAATCCCACTCCAGACGAAGGGGTTCCTAGTTATAATTATGAACTGGGCATCTTTGATCTTTGGCTCTACCACCAATTTCATTATACCACTTGTACTCTATATCTCGTCGAAGGTTTACTCCGCAAGCACATCAGATGCTACAGGTGAGTGGATGATATGATATAATAGTCAGAAAATACCACTGACTCCGCATATAGGAGGTGATGTATTTATTCTTCATAGCGAGGATACCTCAGCCTCAACACAATCACCTCGACGGTCCCATCAAACTGCAAATTCTCGAATAGTGCCCGAACTTCTGACGTTTCCACCGGCGGAAAACACCCAACTACCAGCGCGCGAAATGGCCACTGCCCCTATTGTTACCCTGAATGAACCTTCAGATTCGCGGCGTAGTAGCATCTTGACGAACGAGCCTTCCGATTTTAAGAAACCCGGGACTCTGGAGACTGGGGAAGTAGAGCTAGAAGAATTTGGAGCAGGCAGCTCCTCATCAATGCCCCTTCGGGTGGTTTACTCTCCAACTGTCTCGAGAAGACCCACTGTTGGCTCATCATCCCATAGCGCGCGGCCTTCGTTTTCAGATCTAGCCGTGGTCGAGAATGACCACGAAGGGGAGAAAGCGCCGTCTCCAACAACAGCGGTCTCCTTAGAGGTAGCTTTTGGCCAAGAAAACCAACCCGTGAGAAGGAGGAGTTCGACTTCAGCCACTGCTAATACGACAAGTCAACATTTGAGCACGCCTGCTTGGCTTCTTCCCTCGCCCAGAACTTCCAACCACCATAGTCGAAGAAATAGTCGCAACAGTGCATCCTTAGAGGCTAATCTGTCTGAGATACCGCCTACAGCTACTCATTTTGTAGCTCTTCCGAACAGAAGATGGTTGAAGTCGATAGTTATTGCCAAGATTTGTCTGATAATTGTGAGTTGTTGTGTGGTTGGCAATATAGTATATTCGTAAGTCACCCTTCACTCAATATACAGGCTCTCTAAACCGAAGACTAACAATTCTTCAGCGCTGTTGAATCAGCTATGGGAAACGATCTACTGGGATAATAGAGAGAATATTACTTCACCCGCCCCTTTTCTCGCATGCACACCACGTGATATCTATCCATCCTGTGCAAGTTTGCGTCACTTCCCATTTCCTTCCCATTATTTACCTAATATTGGATGCTTTGTAATCCTCCTCCGACGTTAAACACTATCAAATCAAATCAAATCAAATCAACACCAATAGACCACACCGTAAAAAACCAATAATCCATCTCACGTCCTCACATCATCCAGTCTATCACACAGCCCACTTCCTTCACTCTTTAACCAGCATCCGATTCGATCAGCATCTATGTACGGCAGAGCTTAACACATGCATGTCCTACTTCCTCTATCTCCACGCACGCTGCTGTGCGCACAGTGTCCTGTTTGAGGAGCAGCGGAGGCGGGGTGTATAGTATGGTTACTTGTTGTGGGTATCTATCCGTAAAGGTAATGTGATGTGATGGTGGGTGTTCGTAATGTGGTACTTAGATGAACGGTCTACTTCTGAAGTTCTGGTCCGTCTACGAGTACTTCCGCAGAGAAAATCCATTATTGGGCTGTATCTGAGTAAACCATTAGGAAGTAGGGAAGTAGTATGAATTGACGGACTATAAGACAGTGCCTGATCTTGATCTCAATCATAACCATAATTATTCACAGCTCAACACAAGCAAATCGTCACGCAAGACCAAAAAAAGCCCTTTTTTGGAGTCAGGTGCTCTTATCTCCATCCATTTAATCATATCTACTCATCTGCCATCGCCTCCCTTCCATTCACCCCCCCACCACCCCATCGTACCGGAAGCGCAGTCCTCGTTTCCATCCGGATGATTCCTCTTACATACATACATCCATCCCGAAACGCATGCAATCGCCAAAAAAAAAAAAGAATACAATGCAAACATGAATCACTCTTCACTCAAATATACCACGCTGCGCTCTCCCAACACCCGCAGCAAAAACGCGCAACGAATCCGGGGTATAACCTCCTCTGCTGTTGGAAAAAAAGACATGGAAAATTCGCAGGCTTGTATGTATAATGTACAAAATATGGTATGGTATGATATGTAGCGGTGGAGATGTATGGAACAAGGATAAGGGTGTGAGGGTTCATTAGGTATTACAATATTCGATGGTATCGTTACGAGCTAGGCGCCAGTCCAAAGCCGTCTCTGAGCACCGGCGAAGCGGTTCTGGGGTTGTATTTGGTGTGTATCGTGACCATGGCTTTTACTCAAAGAAGGATTCATCTTCTACGAGACCTATTTTATCTTTTTAGCAAGGGTGGTCAATTATCTCGAGAGGTAGGGGTAACTTACGCCCGTTTTGATTCTGATTCGTGCTGTTACTGCTAGGCTTTCGTTGCCCAAGAACGTTTCCCATTCCAAACATACTACTCTCTCTTCGCTTGGTTTTGGTTCCCTGCGAAGACTGCGCACCTTGCGTTTGATATTGCCTGTGAGCTTCCATGCCACCGCCAAATTGATCATACGCTGGACCTGCTAAGGTAGGGGGTGTGTTTCTGCCATACTCCGGCCCGGCCATAGTCGGAAAGCTGCTAAGTTGTTGCAGTTGTGGCTCATATGATGGCTGGAGAGGTGTAAACCCGGTATCATATCCAGACTGCTGCTGTTGTGATGTGTACTGTTTTGCGTTTGAGGAAGGAAATGACGGAGGAGCTTGTTGAGGTTGTGGGAAAGACTGCTGGTCGTAGGATGGCGTTGGAAGATCCTGGAACTTCTGTCGACGAGGAGAGCGAATGTCTTCGGGTGTCAATGGCGGGGCAGATACGGTAACTTCGACAGGGGATCCGGCATGATTGGAAGGGTCCTCGCCGAAAATGCCTTCATACTGCTGCAGGAAAAGTGCAAAAACAGGAGCGGGGATATTGAGTGTCGGAGAGAAAACAATACCGACATTACGAACCGTCATCTTGTTGGTATCGGAATGATTGATAATGTTGATGAGGAAACCAGACAAATAGCGTAGAAGTGCATTATTTGCGCGAGGTAATCTGAATACGAGCCCATTCAATGCGCTGATCTTCTCATTCACATCATACAACTCCGTGACCGCTAAGAATTCGAGATGAAGTTCCCTGGTCAAAATTGTTGTGGGCAGCTCTCTGAGGTATAGTTTCAACAGCGATGCAACTGCGTGGATGTCGTAATACTGATCATCCGTGATTAGGTTGAGATCGCCTTCCGTGTTGAAACGCTCGCGGAGCTGCTTAATGACCACATTTGAGCCGCTTAATCTGAAAATGCCCTCCTCACCAGCAGCATTCTTTGCGTCTAGATACTCGATACATCGATAGACTACAGCTGGTAATTCAATATTGACGTCAGCAGGATGGTTATACCTCACGGCCTCTCCCAGAGGTGAACCAAACACGGGTCGGATAGGTCCATGCTGTTCAAAAGCCATTTGTGATAGGTTGGTGGGCGAATCACCGTTCGCTTCTTGGGAGTCCGTGGAGACTCGAGGCTTCGATCCAAATCCGAAAAAGCTTCTCTTCCTTTGCTTTTTTTCATCTGCGGCAGAAGGGGCTAACATATTCTGCTTGTTTCCCCAAAGCCCTGCATCCTGAATTACCTGGGCATTCTTTGGAGCAGAAATGCTCTTCGACTGCGGCACTTGAGACATCGGATCTCGTTCGTGACCATGCGTTGGTGGAGAAGGTGTTTGCGAGTTCTTTGATTTCACCCCGTGTGGAATGCTACCTTGCTTTGTGTTCTCATAGCTGATCCCACGCAAGCTGTCATCATTAAGCTCAGGGAGAGTCTGGCTCCTATCTGGTGCGTACATCTTCTTTTTCGACTTCTTGCCACTTATGTGGTTTGACCCCCCAGAACTGGTCCGAGCATGATCACGGGGTGGATGCTCCTCGTCTTCCGAATCCTTGTAATCGACGTACTGGAGCAAAGCCTCAACCCACTGGTCCCGCTCTAAATCGCTTTCGGCGCATAGAACGTGTCTTACGAGACTGGATGAGTCCTTCCTCTTGGGTTCAAGAATCAGGAACGCATGTCGATACTGATTCTCCACATCATCAACGTCGCCACGTGACGGTGATTGATTATCTGGGTGTTGCTGCTGCTTGCCAATCTGGGCGTTCTGGAGTTTGATCGTCCCGAGATGGGGTCCACCTGGGGACTCATAATACTTGAACACGGGGCCGTCTAGGACAAAGAATCGAGCCTTCCATCCACCAAAGTTCTTGCCTCTCTTGGTCAGGTACCCATTTTTCAGAGGCCTACCGCCTGGGCCGGTCTTGACAGGGCTCTCAGTGGCTGAGTCAGGGGATGTATCCTCCGAGTGCGTTGACACAGTATTAGTTGACAGATATTTGCATATTTGCAGTGCTGACTCGGTGTCCATCGGCGTGTTCAAGATATCGTCACAATATTTGTCCAGAGCAGCTCGTCTTGCATCGACCTTGGCAGGAGAATGGCCACTGAATAGCGACTTCTCGGGAGTTTGTACCGTGAACGCGGAAGACTGCTTCAAAGACTGGTCAAGTCGGCCAAGCGATGCTGAATCTTTCTCTACCCTCCAGAGCTCCTGGCCATTGGACCTTGAAAAAACTGCAAGTGTGAAAACGGGATCTTCTTCGAAGTTCTTAGGAAACATCAGACTGGATCTGGATGGTTTTAGACGAGAGGAGGCAACCTTGACATCTATAGATGGAAGGGCATTAGGTGGCAGTAACAAATCAGGGAATTCCTCAGTGACCAGTCCTCGGAATATAGAGGGACTAGTATTGATCTCCTCATTCTGGCTCCCATCAGAAGCTGCTTCCTTTTTGGCAATCGTCAGAGGCTTTGGAGACACGAGCTGCAACGGCTCACTCTTTGGATGCCCAGGTGATGCTATTGAAATTGGTGTGTTGGGTGGCAACGGGATCGGCTGTCGGGGAGCTCTTGGGGAAAGGGGAACTGCACCAGGAAATGCGCCCATACCACGCGGAGACAATGGAGGCGAAGCCATTGATGAGTGGTTCGAAGGGTTCCGAGGCAATGGTGAACTCATACCTCTATCCATTGGCCTAGGGCTTAGAGGAAGTCCTGGACTCATCAAGGGTGGTGACATAACGCCAGATACTTCACTGAGCATCCCGGCCAGAGAACCAGTATTAGATTCAGACGGAGACAAATGCCGCGATCGTGCGTCAGGTGGCGAAATCGGTACAGTTTGCCGGGGACTTATGGGCATAGGGTCTGCTGAGACTAGAAATGCACCTTCTTTGGGAGTCGCTGGCTTTGATTTCGGCGCACTTTTCACGCTGCCTTGGGCACTCTTTTTCGAAAGGCTCCGAATTTCAGCTTCTTTCATAGCAGCGATTTCACGCTCTCTATCATCTTCTTCCCTTGTTTTCCGTCGGCCGCGTTCAGGGAATGCAGGTATGTCATCCACCTCCAAAATATCATCATAGTCTGAATCGGAATCATCATCGGCACCAGAGGCCTGGCGGAGGTGGGAACTCGGATTATTCTGTTTTCCTAGATTAAGAGGTGCAGGAGGTGCCTTGCGGGGAGGCGCAGGGAACATCCGTAGGCCCTCGTCAGGATTGGGAGAAGGCTCAATAAGGGCTAGGGATGGAGTTTGACTCGATATTGGAGCTCTTGGGGGTGGGGCATTAGGTGGAGGGCCTTTCGGTGGGTTTGATGGGAGGCTCCTCGACGGCGGAAGGGAAGCATTGTAGGGCACCTCACGTGCAATGTCAGTCTGCTTTCTCTGTTGTTGACCTGCTTCAAATCCTGCCACGGGTGCATCAGGGTTATATTGCTGGAAGGCGTGCTGTGTTGGTGATGGCATTCTATGCTCGGCTTCGACCATATTGGACAGCACTGGCAAGTTTACTTGGTGCTGGACTGAAGGTGGAGTGATCGGATATGGCGCCAGGGCAACGTCTATGGGCGAGTGTTGGGAATCCTCTTGCTCGGGTGTATTCCTCAAACCTGCAGAAACAAGAGTCTCGACACGGCTAGGCTTAGACGTCTTCACAGCCCCTGGAGGATCTGATGTTGTAGATCCTGCATCAGATGAAATTCCATTATTTGAATCGACCGGCGAAGGATTTGAGATCTGGCCAAGACTATCTTTTAGTTTCTTCCGATATCGTTCTTTATCCTTCAGGGCTCGTTCAAGGTCCTTATTCAGTCCTAGGATCATAGCCCGTTGCTTGTCTACCAAACGCCATAATTGAGTATTCTGTGCCGTTTGAGACTGTTTCTCCTTCAGAAGATATTGTATTACAGCTTCTGGAGACCCTGCTGCGTGTATTAGGTGTGCAATGTCCGGAGAGCCTGCCCCGTTTTGATCCTGGGAGCCTTTATGTGAATGTCCACCAGATAATGATGATATCGCAGAGTCTATTGAAGACGTGCGGGGAGGTGCCCTAGCCATATCGATACGATGTTGAGGAGCCGTAGCGGCGATTGGGGGTCGCGTGCTCGACGGGGAACCACCTGGGGAGTTGGGGATCAAGACAGGATCAGATACGCTTCGTGAGGGAGCATTCGGATTGTGCAAAGGGCTGCTGTATCTAGAATTGACAGTGAGCATGTTGAGCAAAAAGCTTCCTAATTCTTGAATTACCTAGATCTGCTTTCGTCAAACGATTCTCTGTCTGGTGATGATTCTCCCTCGGATCTGTAAAAGCTCTTCTCAGAAGCTAGAAGGTCATCTAGACGCTCCTTTGGCGATCGAGGTTGTTGCGGAAGGTCGTTCGACGAGACAGACTGATCGCCGCCAGTTCTGATGAAGGTGGTTCTAGTCGGAGTAGCACTAGTAGGTGGAGATATAGCGGTCGTGCTTGTTTGTAAAGGACTGGGAGCAGCCTTGCGGGACCTGTAAGAACAATCGAGTAAGCAAACAGAATCGGACCCAGAACAGAAATGGGCGTGAAGGTATGGCGTACCTCTTCCCTGACTCTGACGCCGGCGACGAATTATTAGAAGGGAACTGGACTTGGGGGCGCCCTATAGTGGGGCTGTCCTGAGAAGTAAACTGCTGCTGCTGCTGGACATCTTGGGCGAGATGATGCGACATTGCCCGCGGGCTGAGACTACACTTCTGATATGTATGCAGGCAGGGAAAACAGGCTCGCGCATCAATTGGTTGGCATCCGGGCAGACAGGCTCCGGGTTTGCCAGGGAGAGCAAGGTGGAGTACTGTAAGAGACGCGCTGTGGATGCAGATGTGGTGGCGCTTGAGGACAAATCTGGACAGCTGCTGTGGTGCTGGGCGTTGCTTGCTGGGTTGGGGGGTGGGTTTCGAAGTTGCTTGGGTACTCCTGATTAACGTCGCACATTCGCGGAGGGCCGTTCAGGCGCAAATCTCGAACACGGATCGAGCGCTGCAATAATAGAATACTGTACTGTACTGTGCAGTAGAGACAAGCAAGGAGCGGGGGTTGGTGAAAGGACTCAGTAGGGAGGTGCGTGGGCAAGTGATTCCTTTCTTGGGTTCTTGGGTATCGTGATATGCTGGGGTGACCGTTGACTGTACTTACCCGATTCAGGTATGTACGGTAATATAAGGTAGTATTCTTGCAGGTACAGTATGTACAGTCCAGAGAATTAAAAGGTAGCACACCTCACGTCAGCCATAACTCGTGCGCTGTATAGCATATTAAGGCAGTGATTGAATGCAGGCCAAGGTCAATGGAGGTGAGGGCGGAGGTGGAGTTGGGAATTATTTATTTTCTGTGGCCCGTGGCCCGTGGTAGCAACCAGCATCTGGGGAGATTACTTGAGGCTCGAGTACACAAAGTATGGCGGCGACGCGGCGGTCTAAAAGAGGGAGTGAACCGGGGCAAATGCTTACAGTACAGTAGCAAGGCAAGGCTATCTAATCAACACTTAAGCCTCGATCTCTTTGTCTAAAATACCGAAGCAGGTAGAGCTCTATACTGAAGTTTGCCTTTCTCTTGATGTTTTGATTCTTTACTATAAAGAGGCGCTACATGTCCGTTCCGATTTGTTGATATAATACCGGTACAGTAACTGGAGTTCTCCGTGCCCACGTATCAGCCTCGTGTCTTTTCCTTTTGGCCATCTGCAGCTGTCAGAACTAATGGTAATCTAAAATCTAAAATCTAATAACGGTTGATTGGTGGTAGCAGACGCCATAGCGCACTCTTAACTACTAAGGTATCGTTCTGGCGAATGTGAAGAGGCACGGCGGGATATTTCGAAAAACTACTTATACACTACTTTAATGACACCAATGTCCTTCGAGCTGTCGTACCTCCACAGTACTCGAATTGAAATAGGTTCACTGCAGCAGGTATATGGCTATCTGCATACTGCAGGACACTTATCAATACCTCTGCAGGTACTGGTGGTATGTCGTGGGATGTCTGTCACCATGGAAGCCGAAATACTCCAACGTTTAAACACAACCGATAACCAAAATGATAAAGATTAACGGCCGGGTTTGATCTCAACTCAAGGACCGATTGCTCCTTCAACAATCTAATCCCTCAAAGCAACATATCATTTTGAGGCCCTCGACCTCCTGCTTAATTAAGATCTGTCGAAACTTTAGGTAAAATAGTAAGTTTGACAAGAGAAAATACTAGGAAACGGTGAAACATGTTTTCGAGTCTGCACAAAGCGTCTAGGTGTCTCGGATATCCCATTTGGCCTCGAGGAACAAAGACAACCATAGACTTCATGCATTTGATATAGGGATTAATCTTTTGTTGCTATACGTGAGCAGGATATTTAAAATCCTGTACTCCAAAAAGACTAATGTTACAGTACTTCGTATACAGCTGTACTTGGCAGAGCGCTTGTGGAAACATCCTCGAAACAAGCCACCACATGCTCGTGCTCGTGCTCGTGCTCCTGACAAAAGTCCGAGCCGAAGTATATTTTTCTGCTGTATTTGATCTCTACTGTAACTTCTATAAAAGTTTGATATTGGAGATACGGAGGTACAACAAATACTAGCATTTTTTATGCCCGGCCTTCTCTTTCAAAAGCTGGGGTTAATTGAATAGCTGCCACACTCACTGACTACCTCAAGCTACCTAGCCGCTTTCCCAGCTGCCGTTCCGCACATGGACGATCCAAATTCCCGACCACCACACGCATCTTCACAGCAGGCGCTGTGGTGGGGTCTGGAGATGCTTCAAGAATAGCGGTGTGATGTGCAGGGCCTGTACATACTTATGATTAAGGGAGATGCTTGCCGCAGTGTGGAATTACCCCTGAAACCCCACAGACGCTCATTGGAGATGTTGCTTCAACCCCTGAGTCGACAAGCGAGTTGACGTTGAAACAAGAACTCGGCAAGTGCAAAATAGAAATAGATATGTACGTGTACGTGACGACGTCTGCAAAGGATCCGGCGTAATTTTGGATAAATCATGAGGTACCTAGGTACGTATCTTCCTTCTTTATTTAGACGACAGGCGACAACAAGCATTCGACAAGAAAGATGCCTCCTCGCTTCCGCCGAAAGGCTATCAAACCGCCCCCCCATCTAGATATTACCATCCATCGCAAAGAAATGTTACAGGCCTTCTTCAGAACAGCTACTCGTAATTTCCGGCAAAAGCCCAAAGTCAAAGTCATAGTTCGATTTATCCAGCAGCAGCTCTGAAACCTCATCAATCAACCGCCGTGAACCTCTCACACCGATATTTAGTGGCATACATCTCACAAGCGCCATTCCAGCCATCCAATCAGAACTTCATATTCATACCACCCTTTTCATTCGCTCAGCTTACTTCACTCTTTTTAAGCCTCTATCCCCGCTATATCTGCTAAGACATTGCAGCTTCGGCTCTATTTTTCACATGGAATTAGTAATTCATCAATCACTTGATACATTTCCAAAGTTATTCGAGTAAGAATCTGCACAAGCTTCAAAGCATTCAGACCAATCACGGTATCGAAGCGTCCCTTTCTTCCACGTCCTCATCCAGTTGCCTTCGTATCGTGGTCCCTCAGCACGCCACGAACATCTGGCCCTAGTTGCCGGTATATCCTTCGAGATATACCAACCACTGGCCACTGAGATTTCCATGACCACCCCTTCGGAATCACCGCTGCCTTCCGCCCGCTGCCCAAAGTCAGCCTGGCCATGGATCCGGCTCATCCAATGCTAGCAGACCGCGGAAATATGTATACGGTAAGTACTTCGCTGGCAACGTGACATGAGGCAGTTAATATGAGCAGCTGGAAATGACCAATATGGTACGTTAGCTCCAACTCTTCGATCCAATGAAATATTCTCCCTTTTCTCCCACCAACTTGGCTAGAACAACGTACCTTTCCCACTGCACGAAAGACGAACAGTGACGGAGCTTGCGATGTGTGTAAAAAGGTTTCGAATAAACAGGTTCAGCAACTATCCACACTCCATGTAGGCGTTCGTGGAGGTCACATGCAGTACATGTACATGCTCCTGCAACTTCACGGGAGCATACAGCTGTCATTAGAAATCTCCAATCGGCAATCGATGTTGCATGCACAGTGCACACTCCCGAGTCCTGATCCGATTGATGGAGAGGTCCAAATCCTTCGTCAAATGCCCTCTTTTGTTTTGGGTTTGGCATGCATACCCTTGTTGAAGAGGGGACGTTTACATTGTTGGCAAGCTATTCATACAAGCTGGAAAGTTGCTTACTTCCATTCTTAAGGCCTTAACCCAAAATAGGCCTCAAAAATAGGCCGATATTCACATCAAGTGAAGCATGACGCTGACTTGCTCTATCCTCTAGATTTCTATATACATGACACTTTTCATTCCGTGCTTCTAGATGCAAATAACAATAGAGCAAGACAAAGACTATTCCCATTGCGTTGAGTAACGCAGGAATAACATTCATTAGGCTGCCTGCGAATAGCAGCATGACATATTCCAGAAACTTCACTGCTTCACAAAAACATATATTCTATTGAGTCATGATTGTCATCTGTCGGTCATTTATTCACCCCCACATTCGGTCAATTTTCAAACTGCTGTCAATCAATCCCTACTACACGACGAAAGCAAATCAACATTTCATACAGGCTCCAGCTGTTGAATACCGCTCAAACTCCAGGACAATTCTAGTCCAGTCGCCGCCATAAGACGCTTCTTCTTGACATCTTGTTCAAGCACTGCCAGATATGGCTCAGGCAATTCAGTGTGTGGATTACTATTAAAACCTCCCTGTCTCCCTAGGACTTTTGTCATACCCAACCTTTATCATATAGAACTCGTTAGTACCAAAGTAAACCCAAATACTATGTAAACACTTGCTCCTCCCCTACTTCTCGGATCCCTCATTCGTTCGCCTATAGCGAAATCCTTCCATCATATCTCTCAAATCCAACAAGCAGACGACACTATATATGACTCATCATATTCACTTCAATATCATATCACCTACACCCCCTCGCTACATTTTGACATATACTTCCATACTACTATAATATAACCTATAGTATACTAGATAGGTAGTCATCTCTACCATACATATCACTCTACCCAGACAGACAGCCTTCACAACCAGCACACCATAGGATAGGAGTGTGACTTATTACTAAACCGGTTTACTTACTCCTTCCAGCTCTACACGATCGTCTCATTTTAATCACTTCATCACTTCATCGCAACATTCAGTCATCGACCCCAACGAACAAACCCCTTTCTTGACACTAACAGCCAGTAGATGAATCTACTACATACATCAAGCGGCTCAGATCTGGCGGCGTTGCGCGCGTGCTTATGCCAGCCAACGATTCTACTAGCCAAGAAGGATATTTGAGAATGATGGATGGGTATAATAGAGGTTAGATGTTGGATGTTGGGACTAAGCGGGACTTGACTTAATTTGAACCATGGAACCGATTCACGGGTATATTTATAGTAAGTACTAAGAGTAGGTATGTCGTAGAAAGAGAGTGGGTGAATCTTGATATGTAACATTATTACACTAGCCAGTTTCCAATCTTGTATAAAGGAGAATAGGAATAGGGTTTTTGGCGTACACGGGAAGAACTTAGCCGTTCTACAGATTCTCCAACAGCTGCTTCTCTTCTTCGTTCAAGACCCTTGCAATCCTTTTTGTAATCCACACTGATTAAAAGCTCTTCTTCTGAGAATGCATCCATTCGCTCCATCAGCTCCTTTGACCTTGAAACATCAACAGAATGAATCCACGTATTCTTGCCATTCGCTGCGGTCTCTCCCATCCCCAGCTCCATCATTCCCTCCCTCCTTCACAAATTGGATATTGTGTGACGTGGGCCCGCCCTGCATTCTCGACTCCCTTACCAACTCCCAATCTCTGGCCAAGTCTCTCCTTTGCTTCGAAGCCCGTTTTGCCACATCGGCAAGTGTATTCGTTCCCAATCCTTCAAATTTGCTCAGATCCGCCAAGAGATTTCTGACGCCATACCCAGTAATCTCCTCGATCCACTTATCGATGGATTCGTCACAAGCAGCAGCCGTGGCGACATGAAGGCCTTTGAAGACGAGCGTGTTAGTGACCTCATGACAATCTTTCGTACGATAATCGACGGACGTAGCTGTGGATGGTGGATCTGGAAAAGGCCGAGCAATTATGACTGGTGGCTGTTGAGGAATGGGTTTGTTTGGTGCGCAGGAATAATAGTGATGATGAGGAGCGGTGGTGTGAGGAACAGAAGGTTTTGGTGACTGGTGTGGCGGAGGTGTCGGAAACCTGTTTGGTTTCAATGAGAATGGAGGCGCGGACGGTCTCTTGGTCGGGTCCGCAACTGGTGGCTGCTCCGCATAGTCTAAAATATTGCGCAAGTACCTCTCCTCAAGAGTGCTGTAATTTGAATTATCTTCGCTAGGTTTAGGCTCAAAGGAAGCAACTAGCTCAGCGACGGGATGAGATGGCACAGTTTTAGTATTTGACCGTCGTGGCTGCTGGATTGATTCGTTAGCGGCATCGCTCAGCGCAGAGTAGCATTGATTGCATCGAGGTGGTGGCGATCGTTGTGAAGGTTGGGGAGTTTGAACACGTTCAACAGGTTTGGTAGCTGGTTTGAAAGACGACTTTTTGTGGGGAGCATGGGATGCAACTTTCTTCGGAACATCGGAATCAACATCATCACTTTGTGTGTCTCGGTCAACTCCATACCTGAGAAACAGTGGCCTTTTGGGAGATTTGTTTGCGGTGGCTTCTCTACCGGCTTTGCGGGTTTCGTGATCGAAATGATCAGGACAATGCGTTGGAGCGACAGGAAAGGTCTCACTTCGCCTACTGGTGAGGGGACCTTGCACATCATTCGCACTTTCCGTGCCGTGAGCCTGCGACTGCTCCTCGCCTGCTAGGGTTTGTATTGCGATATTTGAGTCGTCGACCACATCACTTGGTTCAGCTGTAAGGGAGGTTTTTGGCTCGGTCTGTGCGGCCATGTCTGAATCCTGGGCGCGCTTTTGGAGAGAAGTATTAGCCGCAGTCTTCTCACGGATGTATCTTGTATCTGTCCATGTAACCCCTGTTGGACGCTGAGGTATCTCCGGTGATGCTGCTAACCGTGAGTGTTGTGTCGTCTTTAAAAGATTATGGAGTACTCACGATCAGCCTTCTGCTTGCCCTTTTCTCTAGCCGCCGTTCTCTCTAATAGCGCCTTGCTGGGACCAGTCACGAAGATTGGTTCTTCGATTGGTTGGTCCGTCTTTTGAAGCCATGGGAGAGGCTTCCTTTGGGGTGTCTTGGTAGCTGGAGGAGCTGAAGGGGCTGGCCGTGAAGGTGAAGCGTAGATCTCACGAGGAGGCGTAGAGCCGATTTCTGCAAATTCAGATGAAGAGTGTTTCGCTATTCTCTCCCTTTGATGTTGAGCATAGGGGTTTTCGTGAAAAGGGGTATAAGTGACGACTGTGCTTTCAGCACTCGTAGAAGCGCTAGAGTGATCTTGGTTACTGTGTAATGGTTTTCTAGCTTTCTCCCCTGACTTTCTCCGAACCCATTTGTCATCTTTGGGAGGTGTGAGTGGAGATTGAACTGTGGTCGGCTTATTTGGAGGCATTCTTCTCTGTTGTGCGGAAGTGACAGCGAGGCCAGCAGCCTTGAACTCGGCGTGGAATGGCTTCAGCTCCACAATGGTGTTTGCTGAAATGGTTGTAGCAGATGGAGATGCAGTGAGCGATTGCTTTGGATTTGCACGAGCAGTTTGCAAGTAAAGGTTAATTTCTTTCGTGAACTTCCTTATAGCTTCCTTCTGGCTTGGAGTACGTGATACTGTGTCCGAGCTAAGGGATTGTATAATAGATTTGATTGATGGAGTTATGCATCCAGACTCCTTGACTTGCGATGCGAGAGTATTGACGGTCTCCCAGAAGGCGGGATCCTCCAGGTTCGGCGGCTTGTTCTCCTTTATAGCTACTACAGGCTTATCTGTGGAATGACGAGTAGCTGCAACCAATCTTGCTTGAGCTGGCTTATACTTGCTTCGAGTTTCAGTGGAGCTCTTCGGATCAATGGTATCAAGAGTCTGTTTTACTCCTACGGGTTCACCATCACAAGACTCGCAACTCTCCACAGGAGAGAGATTTTGGTTTGAGCTAGTCAAAGGCTTCTTCCCTCCCTGTGTTTGCTTGGACGTCGTCCAGTACACGGGAACCTCGGTAACTGGCTTCAAGCGGGAATAATTCTTTCGGTGATGTTTATGTGTTCTGGTGGTCCAACTGCCAGCACCGTCTGTGCTCTCCGTAATAGTTATACCTGTGATGGTGTCCTGCGGGATCGAAAACTGGTTGGATCCTGGCCCAGCCCTAATTGTCGAAGTACTCCTTTCCGTATTTTCTTGTCCGGCGAGGTCTGTATTCCAACCAAAAGCTTGTATCTTGTGCCGAGCTCTAAGAGAGACACGCCTTCGAGCCTGTAGAGTAGCAGAGGAGGAACGAGAAGTCCGCCGGCTAAGGGGTCTATGTCGTCGAACCCGAAAGAAGTCCCTTTTCCGGTTTCCGAGGGAAGGTCGAGCCTGAGAGATACTTCGACTACGCGCAGAAGCGCGACGACTTGATGGAACGTGATAAATTCGCGGCAGATGATGATGAGGATGGCCCTTCCAATGAATATTCAGGTCGGGCATCGTGTGGATGCCCGGTAAGGATGCATGTCTAGGATGATGGAGTAGAGTTGTTCTTGTCGCGTGGAATATGTAATAAGGACGCCGTCTGGTCGTACCTTCCTGACTTGCCTCCTGTCCTCGAGCATGTTTTATGGCGTCACATCGAGCTTTCTTTATTGAATATCTCTAATTCCTGGAGCAGAATACATGTCCACCTGTCTCCGGCCTTTGCGGAGAAGGTATTCTATGGCACCAAAATCTTTCTTGTCCAGGCCAATGCTCTTTTCGAATTCGGTCCTGCTCCCAAAGAATTAGCAGATGCTCTAAAGAGAACTAGAAATTCAACGGAGCGAATTGCACAACTTACCTCGCATACGACTCGAAATGCAGTCTCGTGTTCTATGCCGATTATTTAGATGAAAGCTTCAAGCTGTACATTGTAGACTCACGGCTGGCTTTTTCCTGCTTTCTCGAAGACATGTTCGGTATAGGGATAAGACTTCTCTTTGGAGTCCCGAATGCTTCATTGCAAATGTTGTCCTTCGATGCTTGTGGGTTCAATTAAGGAAGAGAGGACAATGATGAGTTTTGTGATGTTAGGTTTTCAAGAGCGGAAGGTGTTCCGAGGTCAAAGCTCCCCATAATTGAACTCCGACAACACAGCACAACAACACATCTCCTATAATATATACCTATCTATACCTAAGGAAAAGTATTTATACAGGTGGTGGAGTTTACCTAGGCGGGACCTGACCACTCGATTCCTTTAGTCGGGTGTTTGAGGAACAAAACGTACAGTACCTAGGTAGGTTTCGATCTCCCATATCTGCACTTGGCCTTGTTTTCGAAGCCTGGACTCTTCGCGGCTGTACTGTGATGATCTCAAGTTGAATGATTGGAAAGCCTCATTTCGCGGGACGTAAAGTTGAGATTGGGTGTAAAGCTGTAGTACTCAACTTTGTTCAACGCTAAGATGCTCTATGCCAGGTCTAAATTCCGATACAAAGCTGTTCAACTCTCTATTATTATATCCAACATTCTTTCCATTCGCACTACTCCTTCAAATTGCGCTTCAAAGCCAGCTGTAAGAGAAGGTGAATAGAGAAGTACTGTTCGGTTCAAGATATGCACGAGGAAATATATAAACACCTAAATCTCTCAATGCGGAAATAGCAAAACATGTGGAATAGTAACAGGGGTAGCTATCAAAAGGTGGGGTATGCGGGGCGATCCGACGACCGGAACATCCTTCGAGCTCTTTCATCTCAATCATTGACTTCTTTCACTTTGAAAACCCTTTTGATATATGTCCTATGATACTGAGAATAATGCCCTCATTCTCTGTATGTTACATCCCTCTCTATTGTGCTCCAACTAACAACCTCATGACAGCGACTCATCCGCTTCCTAGCTAAAGACGGCCGAACCTACTATGGCGATGCCATCCTGCCCCACGGCACAGTTGATATCGCAAAGGCGACACAAGCTAAAATTATACGCGGAGAGATATTCGGCAAACATGACGTTACGGATCAAGTAGCTGATATACGAAAGCTCCTCGCCCCGCTTGCATTCGAGGATGTAAAGACAGTGCGGTGTTTAGGGTTGAACTACGAGCAACATGCTAAAGAGGTATTCATTTCATTTCGTAGTTCCCAAGATCAATCCTGACCATATAATAAAACAGTCCAACATGCCAATCCCCAAATTCCCCATATTATTCGTAAGCTCCCCCCTCTCCCATCCATTCATTCCCCTCAAACACATATATACTAACATCATCCACCGCCAAAAAGTACAAACCCATAACCTCCCTCTCCGGCCCCACCGACCCAATCCCCATCCACCCGCTCGCCCAACTCGGTACCGGCCTAGACTACGAATGCGAACTCGTCGCCATAATCGGGCGCACGTGCTCCAACGTCCCCGAATCCAGCGCCCTATCCCACGTCCTCGGCTACGCCATCGGCAACGACGTCTCGCACCGCGACTGGCAGCTGAAGCACGGCGGCGGGCAATGGTCTCTGGGCAAGGGCTTCGACGCCTGGGCTCCCTACGGCCCGGGCATCGTGTCCACGTCTCTCATCCCCGATCCCCAGAATCTCGAGATAAGCACTAGGCTTAATGGCAAGACGGTACAGCGCAGCAATACCAGAGATATGATTTTCGGCGTCGCGAAGACGATTGCGTTTTTGAGTCAGGGCACGACGTTACTGCCGGGGGATTTGATCTTTACGGGCACGCCGCAGGGAGTGGGCATGGGGAGGAACCCGCAGGTATGGTTGAGAGATGGGGATGTGGTTGAGGTTGCCCTGGAGGGCGTGGGGGTTTGTAGGAATAGGGTTGAGTTTACCAAGGGGGAGACGAAAAGTAAATTGTAATCATAAGGAAGAGCTGGTATATCTTATCTTATTACTCAAGCTGGTCCATCCATATACCTCCTGATGAATGAAATGAATCACGAACACTACTTTGAATTGCTGCTAGATGGATACTGGTATACAGACATATAGGTAGATTCAAAACATAGTATACTGTAGAATCCCAGATCTCCAGATACCTCTGAGAACAGATCCACCTGCACCTCTCTTTCCGTTTCACCATTAGATATCAAGGGGAGGTAGGTATTACTGTCTAGCGTGAATGTAATGAATGAATGTACCGGTAGCTCAATTGCTAAAACACAGACAAATGCAGATACAAAGACGGCGCGACGAGTAAACTCAGAATGTCTCTGTAGCTTGTGCTGTACCACTGGGGTAGACTAACATAAGGTAACTGTATCCGCAATACACCAGGCGAGTTTTCCGATTCCAGCTTTTGTCTATACTACACCATTTTTGAACACATCTATCCTACAAAAATAGACTCCTTCAAAGCATCTACCGACCACGAGCAGTCTTCTTACTCCTCTTTGTCGCCTTTCCAGTTCCATTCTGCGCAGTTGTCTTGACCTTCTCCAAGACCTCGAAATCATCAGCACCAGAGCTGCTGGACTCAACCACTTCCTCTTCCTTTTCATCGTCCTCGGCAAAAGTAGGTGCCTTGCGTAGAAATTTGCCGGCGATGCGGTCGAAAGCCCAGAGGGGGACACGGATGAGAGCTGTATCTTTGATTGTTGGCCTTTCGAGTTCGTTGGGCTAGAACGAGTTAGTTATATATTTGAGAGGGAATGGGAAAAACATACGTCGAGTAAGTACTCTTGGGCCTGGCCATCTTCATTTGCCTGCTCGAGGTACACGTTTCCAGCTGAGTCAACGACAAGAATCTTTCCGTTCTCAGCCACAACACGCTTCCTAGGTCCAGTGGCGCCAACAGGAGGTGTAGCAGCAGGTGATGCCTTCGCAGCCTTGATGCCCTTGGTTTTCTTCTCGGATTTGTTGTCCTTCTTAGCATCCTTCTCCTGCATCCTCCTCTGTCTTCTGTTGATGGGTTGAGCAGAAGGATCCGAATGATCTGCGGCAGTTGAGACGGGCGGTGTCGAGGTGCCATCCAATCCAGGAATGTTCAAATTATCACCCCAAGCAGCATGTCTCGCGAATCTGATATATCTCCCCACAAACTCCTGCTGTCTCTTCCAGCTCATGTAAAGCGCAAGCCAATGTCCACCTCCACCAACAGTAATAAACAAGCCAGTCAACACCATGCCAAGACCAGGTCTGAAGCGCGCATAGTAGTAACCGGTACCCTTCCACTTGGGGAAGCCATTGCTGAGGAAGTGATCGTAGCGCTCTCTGCCAGAGCCTCGAAGAATGTTAGTCACTATACCCAGGCGCGCAAATCGGTCGCTAGCTGCTTTGGCTGCGGTGGCAATCTCTGTTTTGGATGGGCCTTTGGAGACATGAACGCCTGGCTTCTTGCCTTTGGGTTTGTCCTTGCCAGTAGATTTCTCAGCAATGAATTGTTGCTTGACTTTATCGGGGTGAAGAAGACGCGACTTCTTGCGGTAGGCTTTGTTGATTTCGTCTTGGTTCGCAGAGGGAGTGATATCTAGGAAATCGTAGAAGGAGATGCCGGGTCCTTCAGAGGTCTCGACTTCATCTCGTAGACGGAAGATTTCTTGGTCTGGGGTATGAACTGTGGTTAGTTTGGGGTTTGGGCAGCAAGAAATGAATTGTCAAACGGCAACTGACCTTCTTTGCTCCATGCTGCAACCACGGCAATCAAGGTAGCCAGTACGGCCACGGTAAAGAAGGATACCCTCATGGCTGTAGGTGGTATCGCTGGCAGTGGAGGAGACTTTGCAGCTGGTGATGTGTCTTCTTGCGAGAAGGGCAACTTTTTTTTAATTAAGCAGTTCCTGTCCTGTGGATTACAAGGGGTAGACCCGCTTACGGTACAGACAGCACAGTAGTAGCGTTCAGTCGTGCATCGGTTAGGGGCAAGTGGCCTCGCTGTTTCCACTGGATGGCGTTGCCTCCACTTGGCTAAAGGAGGGGAAAGGGAAGTCGATGCAGCAGCAGTGGGCTTGCTTGTTAATTCATGCTTTGCTTAGGTAGGTATCTACCACTACCTATGGCAGCCATGAACCGCAGGCCCAGATACAAGATATAAGCAAGTGCGGCCGACGCACACAATCTCCATCTCTATTTTCCCCGTCGCCTGCTTGACCTTATTCTGGCCGAGGAGAAGAGCAGAGGTTTCGGATCTCACGCCGCCTTTGACCTACGCCCTACTATGCCGATGCCGATGGCCACAATCCTGAGCTTTCTAATTTAAGGCGCTTTTCCCTTTCCGCAGGGGTACGCGGAAGATTGAGCTCACCCCCTGAGCCATGAGATGAGATCTCGCCAATTATTTCGAAAATCACTTCAGCAGTCCGAATAATCTAGTTTATTACCTCTCTGCGCCCCCAAAAGCATCACGCCTCTTCGTCACCAAGAGTGATACGAGGTGAGTTGCCTACCTGTATTTAAGCTGCCTAGGTACTGGTGACGAGAGAGCTGACGGAATCCTTTTTCACTTTGAACAGATCTCGAAACTAAAAAGTACAATAACACCTTCGTACCTTCCAACCCCAACTGCAATTCACCACACCCAGCCAAACCCGACGTGAACCTGCCAGATTCACACTGCCAACATCTCCTCAATTGGTATTATATTAACCTCGACACCCTTCCTCAAAACTCTACACAACCTCAACGCGATGAGCGGGCTACAGATCCCCATCGACGTGCTCACGTCACGCCTGAACCTGTCCGATAAGTTTGCCAGTGTACGATCGCAGTCCATCACTGGAAGATTTGCCAACCTCAAACCCATCTCCGAGTTCCTCGACCTGAAGAGGCTCTCAAAGCCCTCCAACTTCAGCGAAGTCCAATCAAGAGTCAACTACAACCTCGGCCATTACTCCAGCAACTATGCCGTCGTCTTCGTTATGTTGAGTATCTACAGCTTACTCACAAACTGGCTGCTCCTGTTCGTCATCATCCTTGTCGTTGGTGGCATGTGGGGAATCGGTAAGCTGGAAGGCAACGATCTGGACGTGGGATTCGTTCGCGCGACTTCGTCGCAACTCTACACTGCGCTCCTCGTCGTGGCAGTACCTCTCGGCATCTTTGCCTCACCAATTTCAACAATTTTATGGCTCATCGGCGCAAGCGGAGTCAGCATTCTAGGACATGCCTCATTCATGGACAAACCAATCGATGAGGCTTTTTCTGGGGAGGCGGTCTAGGTGGTCGGCCGCGATCTCCCAAATCTGTGCCCCCATGGGGAAGACCACCAGGGGCGAAGGGGAGCAAGCAGAGAAAGCAGTGGGAGCGGGAGCAGGCGATGTGGCAGAACGAGGTCCGCGTGGAGGAGCTCGATAGTGACGATACAGATACACAAGGCGTTGGGTTAAATTTTGAGAAAAAACGATTTGCTAGCGATCCACTTCATTTCACGGGGATAGATTTGTCCTCGTCTTCTAGGGCGCGAAAGAGTTATACTTATGACACTGAGGAGTCTTCTTCTGATTCGGGAATATCCGAGGTGGAGGGAACAGATGCATTGCAGATTGCTTTGCGCGATAAGGAGGAGGCGCTTGTACAGTCTGCGCTTGCTCGGATTCGGCGCGCACAGGCAAAGGGGAAAAGGGAGGTGAAACTTAATCAAGATGAACTGGATGCATTGGAGAAAAGACGAAAGAGGATGCAGGCAGCAGCAACGACTAGAAATAGGAAAGGCAGTGGTTCAAGTGGTGGAAGTGGGAGTGAAAAGAGACGGCGAAGTGATCGTGACCGAAACCTCATCACGGTGCCTATTGCACAACCAAGCAGCCGGAAGGGAAAATCCAAAAGATTGGAAGAGATTCAACCACATCCTCCCGCAGCCGCAAATCCTCCTGGAATGTTGGTTGCTGGACCTGACGGACTTACTTATGCTCCAATTGGCCAATATCCTCCACAAGGTACTCGCAACTCACCTACTCGACAACGACCAGCGTCCTCTGGCCATTCACGCGGCGATCCACCTCCACAATTAGGCTACCCAACAGGGCCCTCTAATAGACATTACTCTGACGGCATGCGTCCCACCTCATCTTCCAGCAGCAGCTCTCGCCGTCCCTTACCAGACGAACAAAGCTGGCTACCAGCTCACTCACGCCGCAGCTCAGTCTCTTCACAATCCTCCGTGTACCAAACCTCTTCCGTACAGCTACCGCCCATTCCCCAACAATACAGCCGGCACAATGTTTCTGGCCCCGAAATTGCCTACTCATCTCTTCGACGCAGTCCGCCCGAATTCAAATACCCTGCTGCAGCCAGTGCCTCAGATCCCACACTGCGCAGAAAGAGCTCGCATCGTGACGAACTTGCGAATAGCGAGAGCAGCAGCGATGCGGAAGACGACGAGAGCGATGATCTGGGGAATGGGGTGCAGGTGTATGTGGAGGAGAAGGAGAAGGAGAAAGCTGTCGTTGCAAGGAAACCTGTTGGTTGGAGTAGCAGGAGGAAGGGGAAGAGATAGGGGTGGTTTCTTTGCATTGCATGCCATGGGTTTGCAACATATAGATTCTAGTGCTTTTTAATGGATCTTTCTTTGTCTCGCAATCCAAGTGGTTTATCATAATTGTGACTTGTCTTATAATAATATTCCCCTTATCATCTGTTCTTCCACGACGTCGAGGAGAGTGCATTTCCGGCGCCAAGTGATTGGCAGGGACGGGATCGCCAATTGCGGGGAAGTACAGCAAAGGGTGGCGCCGCATGATATAAAACTTGATTTCAGGCTTCTGACGTTATTTCCTAGGCTGCCTCATAAGTGATCGACCAGTGTTTCATTTCGGGAATTCGTCGTGATATGGCGTTTTGTTTACTTTGCTGCTAAAGATCGGCCGCGTTCTGACGTGTAATCGTGTTCCCAAGTATTCCCACCATTTCCATAGGGCAGGCAGGGCACGGATAATGTGTGAATGTGAATTTGCTTGGTTGGGATCCTTGTTGGCTGCCTTGGAATTTGCATGGATGATATTGATTCAGTCGTCATTTTGGATATGTGGTGCTGGTGATGCCTTGTTTTAAGGGTCGCATAGATTGCATTGCATTGCATTATATCATACATGTCTGAGGCAATGATTCAGGGAAAGGGAATGGATATATAATAAGCTGGGTGGGTATCTGGAAATCTGCTCGCTCTGCCCTCGCACTCCAATAATCTCAAACAAACGGATTCCAAATCACATCTCTCCAACAAAAACAGACGAAGCTTCATCCTACATCATATCACATAACCATCAGCCAAATTCAACATGGCATCCACAAACCCCGGCAACTTCGCCAACCGCCCCACCGAAGAAGTCCGTGAAATCGCCAGCAAAGGCGGTCATGCCTCCCAAGGCTCAGGCGCTACCTCTGCGTCCACCACATCCGACAACCCGGGAAACTTCGCCAACCGGCCTACAGAAGAAGTGCGCGAGATCGCCAGCAAAGGGGGACAAGCTCGCGCAGCGCACTTGCGCGAGGGCGAACCAGAGCCAGAGTTGGCGGGAAATGGCAATCCGGGGAACTTTGCTAATAGGCCGACGGAGGAGGTTAGGGAGATTGCTAGTAAAGGGGGGCAGGCGAGAGCTGCGCAGTTGAGCGAGCCAGAGCCAGAGTTGGCGGGGAATGGCAATCCGGGGAATTTTGCGAATAGACCGACGGAGGAGGTTAGGGAGATTGCTAGTAAAGGAGGTCATGCTCGAGCAGCATAGTGAGAGGAACTGGTGGCGGGAAGTGGAAATCGGATTGGGGAATTTTGCGAATAGAGTGATGGAGGAAGTTAGGCAGGTGGGCGGGTGCGAAGGTGGACGTGTTTAAGGTGCGGAGTTTGTATGGTTTGATGGATTGATGGGAAGGTGATTTTATGAGCCTGGTGGTGGTTGAAAATGTACTTTGGTATCGATCAAATGTTACTACTTGCTGTTTTTACTTTTTCTCGTGATTGTTTTAAAAGCTTCTGTGTTCGTGAACTGCAGAGGCCTTGTGTTAAATTATGGTAAGCTGTTGCACAATTGCTGTTGTTGAACGGAAGGAGGGAAGGAGTTGCTGTGACACTCTAGCCATATATAATGCGTGCTTGCTCATTTGGGACTTGGGGCGGTGAGGTAAGTGCGTTCTTGGACTTCATCGATTTTGGCTCTCACCAGACTTCCGCAACCTCAGTGGGTGATGCTGAGAGTATGTCGATGCGGGGAGTATCCTTGATTGCCGGTTTCACTGTAAGATGGTGCGTTTGCTATTTTGTTTGTGAATACGGAACGATCAAACTGCGTTATGAAATTACGATTGAATTGTGTTATAAGACTTTTGCTCTCTTAGAATGTCATTTTGCCCAACCTGTCTGCAGAAGTTGAAGTTGTTGGTCCAGAATTGCTGCCTTGTATGCGTTTCACTTCACACTTTAAAGAAAGGGTCTCTTGTGAATTTCGTTTCATTGGATATCTAGCTGCGTAAACCACGACCATGCATGGATGTTCTGTTCTTCATTTCTCGCCCAAAAATATTGTTCACTAGCCCAAATTTCAAACCCTTAGCGCCATTGCACCGACATCCAAGCCCGACTCTCTTCCACTCCAAATCGTTGTATTCACGAGATACCGACCGCATGACTGAAGACCTTCTGAGCAAGCTGGCTCAAAAGCCTTGCTTTGTCCCCCTGCGGAAGATCGGTAAATACTTGATATACTGACTTCCCCTTCGCATCCCTCACAGCACCCATCCTATTGCCCGCGACAGCACCAGCAACCATCCCCGGGAAATTCGCCATGATGAAGCCCATAGCACCACCACTCAAACCACCCACCACACTCCAGAACAAACCCGTAGGCTTTCCCCCACTCTCAGCCATACCCTCCTCCCTCAACATCTCTTCAAACACATCGCCAAACTGCTCGTTCTCAAACTTGGTCTTCTCCTCTGTATTCTTCGCCTTGAAGCCAAAACTCGACCATGGGAAACCACCCGGGGCAGAGGCGTCGGCCCCAGGGTCCGGGATATCCTCCTCGGAATCGAAGGCTGTGGATGCTGTGGAGGCCCCGCTGCCGAAGCCGTGGTAGGTGCGCGCGGCGTCGTAGTCGTGGCGGCGCGTAGGGTCTGAGAGCGTGTAGTAGGCGTCGTTTATGAGCTGGAATTTGCGGGTTCGTTCGGGGCGTTCTGGGGAGTCGGAGGGGACGCGGTCAGGGTGTGTCCTGAGTGCTGCTCTGTAGAGGCGTTAGCTTTGCTGGAATTAGAGGGTTGGAGCATTCGTGCGTGGAGGCGAATAATGGGAAATACTGACTTCTTATATGCATCTCTGATTTGCTGCTGGCTTGCTTTGGTTGTGATCCCAAGAGCGGCATCTGGAAGCTGTTAGAGCTGAGTCTAGTTGAAGGGGGGCAAACAAGGCTATTTCACTTACAGTAATCGATGCCTGACATGATTGCGGGTTTCTTTCTTTGACCTGCAGTTGTGGAATTGAAGTTATATTCGCAGCAGGAATTTGAATAAGAGTTTAGGGTATCTAGGTAGAAGGAGGATAAAGCTGCTCTGTGATAATAACTTGGGAGTCTCGAGGGGGTCTTGTTTTTGAAACTCGTGCGTCACCGTGGCGTTGCAATTGTGGCTTCATCTCTTGGCTTGGCTACGGAGGGCTAGATCTTGAACAGCCTAGCGCCGAACATTCTAGACCTCAGAGCATGTGACTTTCACGTGCCATAACACTGCTGCTATACCCAGGGGTCCAGATCTAGCGCTCTCCACCAGCCCCTCCAATTATAGCGGTGAAGCTCATAGCTTACCATCAGCCTGCAAGACAGCTCAAGAAGACATCAACTTTTCACTCATAGCTCCACTCTGCCCCTCTCTTCACTCAGCATCTACTTATTACTCATTCCCCTCAGTTTGTAGATCTGGTCTGAGCCAACCTCACAATCCCAAATCTGACGATCAATCCCTCCAGAAAGGCCGATATCGATAGCTAAGAGCTTCTGAAAGATGGGTTGGTTTGACGGCGGATCAGAAATTGGAGGCTCCCGCCACCACCACGACAAACACAATTCGCATCACAATAGCAGTAGCAGACACCAGTCTTCTGGCTCGATTTTTGGGAGCGGGGACCATAAACACAATTCCTCTCGCTCGTCCTTTTTCGGTGGAGATCCAAAACGGAACTCTTCACGCTCTTCTTTCTTTGGTACCACCACCCCCCTTCTCTTCTCTCGAGTCAGAAATTGTACTAATATCATCATAGGATTCGGCGGCAGTGGCGGCGGACATCGATCGTCCTCTTATTACAAACGCTCACCCCGAGGCGGATTTGTCAAGCGCGTCTACTCGCGGTTGCGCCGCCTCCTGCGCGACTTGCTCTACTACATGAAACGCAATCCCATAAAGGTCTTCGTCTTGGTTATCATGCCGCTTGTCACGGGGGGCGCTCTGAGCGGGCTGCTGGGCAGATTTGGGATCCGACTCCCTGGTGGGCTGGATAAGATGTTTGGTGGTGGGGCAGGCATTGGGCGCGGACGAGAGGGGGGAATGCAATTCGAGAGAAGCAGCTATAGAAGCGAAGGTCCTCTTGGTGGCATGGGCGGCATTGGGAGTGCCATGGGAGGACTTGGTGGTCTCGGAGGTGCGATGAGCTTGGCGAAGATGTTTATGTGAACAGGGAGGTTGGTAATGGGAATAAGTCATGATCTAAAAGGAGTGAAGGACAAATTGAATTTATGGAGCTGTGGAGGAGTTCGGGATACCAGGTCTTTTAATGAATACTCACATCGGGGGCCTTTTCTTTAGTTGTCATTTAATTCGAAAATGGGAGGATCTTGTCAAGATAGTTACTAATTATTGGTTATTTTGTAAGAGAATATACGTCGCAACCCAGTAATTCCTGCTACCTTTAGCCTTTGAGATTATGAAGCTATCCGTTGGTGAATAGGTACCTACATACCACATGTTCTAGATTTTCCAAGCCTGTTAAGATTTTTTGCCCTCTTGCTTTGATTGGCATAGATAGCCTTGCCGAGTACATCTTCTTTTAGATATTATTTGCTACTGTTGGCAACTAGTCATTCATCTCCACTCCTTGCAGGTACAAAAAACCCCACAATGGCGGCCCAAGTTCCACATCTACAGATCTAGACGTTTGGATCTTTCTCTGGTCCAGGTTTTGTGACAGCGGCATTGAAGTGCTTTTCGGATAATTTTTCCCGCCTAGCACATGCGCTAGCCGTAACGGGGTGCCCATGCCTCAGGAGCAGTCCAATTATATACACACACGCACGTATATGCTTCAAAGTATATGTCGATGATAGTAACTCACATAATGCGGGTATAAGACATGATCTAGCCAATGTACGAAGAGTCTCTCGATAATGCTGGAAGCACATTTCTGCATCATGGACAAAAATATTGGGCAATATTTTTATAAGTCGAAGGCCAGGAGATCGACAATTCGTCCGGAACTTCTCCGCTGACACAAGTGGGACTATATAACCGTTCTTAACATAATCACGCAAGTGAAGATTCTATTATCCATATTGCCTTCACTTCAAGTATCCATAATCCAAGTATGTTTTAGGTTTTTAGCTACATCGAGTAATTGATTCACACCAGAATAACAATCTTTCCCACACAGTTTTGGGCTCTCAGAGCCTCGAAAGCTTTTTTGGCGTCTGCCCATGCAAAGACATTGATCTCTGGGTGCAGGTCATGTTCTTCTGTCAGAGCGACGGCTTGTTCCAACATGACTTTGCTGTTCCCCAATATTCCCTTCACTGCAATGATGTTAGCCTTGGTCCGAGATACCCAGCATGAAGCAGGGCTTACAAGTTTTGGCACCAAACAAGAGGAGTTGTACTAGATCGGATGGTTTGGACTCGGTGAGAAAGCCAATCATAACTACTGTACCGCCTTGTCTGGTTGCTTGTAGCGATTGTTCGACCGTCTGCGCTCCAGCTACATCAATCAAAACATCAACACCTCTTTGGTCGGTCAATGCCAGTGCCTCGATTGACCATTCGGGGGTCGTCTTGTAGTTAATGACTTCCGATGCACCGAGCTTTTTGGCACTCTCGAGCTTCTCATCTGAGGATGAAGTCGCAATGACTCTGGCACCCATAGCAGCAGCATACTACCTCGATTAACATGAGTATAATGTCCCACCAGAGCAACAGCAACAGTACTGACCAATATAGCAAAACAGCTAACCCCACCCGTGCCTTGGGTCAGTACCGTCTTCCCCGGCCCAACACCCCCCGCCAACAACGCATTCATCGCCGTCCCCCCAGCACTCACCATTGCAGCCGCCTCTTCAAACCCCAGATTCTTCGGTTTCCGGACCACAAACTCGTCGCTCACTACAGCATACTGCCTCAGTGTACCCTGTACTCCACCACATCCTAACGTGTGATGAACTTTATACCCTTCCACATCACCATCGATCCAATCAGTGTTATTAACCAGCAATACCCCCTCGCCGATGCTGTCAGACCAAGTGCTATTGGGACCAACGGCCTCGATGGTTCCGGCGCCGTCAGCGCAGGGTGTTAGGCCGGCAGAAGTGCGCGCTGTGTAGAGGGGTGAGTCGGCGACGACAAGGATGTCGCGGTAGTTAAGTGCTGCGGCACGGATGCGGACGAGTACTTCTCCTGGTCCTGGAACTGGGATTGGGAGGGTGTTGAGGGTGAGGTTGTTGAGGAGGGTGGGGGAGGTGTGGGAATGGGAGGGGTCGAGGACGTGGATTTGATATGCTTGGGACATTTTCAACCCTTGACGGATGGGAATGGATATTGATATGGAGACGAATGAAAGTTTGAAGATAAGTCGTTTATATACAAGTTCCACGGTGAGATGGGCTGGAGAGAATTCTTGTCTTGGGGACTGCTTTGAAATCACCAGTCCAGGGTCTTGTTTGTGATGTTTGAAAATGCTGGAACAATGAGATGAGAGTGGAAATTGAAAGGTACTGCTTTATAATCCGTGCCAGTCATGAAAGCATGGAAGACTGTATAAGGTCCTTCCCTACGCAGGTATGCCCTTGATTTGCCCCTGTTTAAGCGAAGGAAAACTAGACTATTCCCAATGCAGGGTACATGCACGAGCAACTACTGCACACATCAATCCACCATGAACTTAATGAACACAAGCAGAAGCAACTCCTTTCCATGGCATGGGAAGTCCACAATCACTTGGCGGCTTCTCTTCCATTCCCCTAATCAAACCACTGATAATTACGTCAAAGAATTGACTACCTTGTCTTGCAAGGAACTTCTTTTCCCTGGATTCCGGACGCAGACACGAATATGCCACATCCTGTGGAAGAATCACACAGAAAGTACCAATGAAACGCCAGGATTCTTCATGACAGTATTCGAGGGACCGAATGATTTCGTGTGCTAGACCTGTGATATCAGATGATATGCCCAACAGGGGCGTGTCATTGGGCTCCGTTGGCATTGGCACTTCCAAAGGTACATTGAGGCCTCGCAAAAGAATTTCCCACATGGTGAGAAGAATTATGCGTGCTGTGTCGTAGAGACAGACTGTCTGTGCAGTCCATATGCTGTCATACCAAAGCAGAGTAGGGAATATCAGGCCCGCTGAATCTTTGGTTATGGTAATTGATGGGTCTGGGGAAACCGCTTGGCAGGATTGAGAGTGAGTGCTGCTCCATTCCCGCCACCAATCATTTAGATGATCGAGCAGGCCCTCAATCTCTCGTCTGTGACCGGAACATTCAGATGAGCCAGCGGGGCCGTGCTGTAGCACATCTGCCAAGATCCCAGCCGTATCACAAAGAATGTCTATGAGATAGTCTGCAGGCATTTTGGATTGCGGGTCATCTTCCCACGGAACTGTCTTCCACTTCTACATTGTTGTTAGGACGGCACGTGAGCGGGAAGTGAGTCTCACAGGTTGACTGAGGAAAGTCTTTTCTCGAGTTATGATTGCCTTTGAAACCTGCCGTATCTTGATCAGCCGGCGTAAATCAAGAGGTGAAAGATAAGACTACCAGTATGCATCGGTGCTCCAAAAACATGCTTCTTTCTGGGAAGTGCTTGTATTGACTCGGACCCCGTATCTCAATTAAGCGGCTGAGTCCATCCACATGCATTCTCCACCCAAGTCCCATACGTAGGCTGATCAACTATACTTATCAACAGGATTCTTATACATGGCAGTGATCTCTGTAAAATACCTCGTACATGCATAGCGCGGTCACGGAAGCCAACATTGGAAAGTTTTGTTTGCTTTTCTCCTTTGCCAATTCGGCTCTTAAGTCCGCAATTGATTCCCCGTAAAGCCGGATGGCTTTCCAACACATCTCTGGTAGCGCGTTGTATCTACCGAAGAACATCGAGGCAAGCGCTTGTAGTGACTTAGGTGATTGCTTCGCCGCCTCGTGAACCCACCATGTATCTGGCAATTGGCCGCAAATGCCGGAGAAAGTGGCATCGTAACGTGCTCTGCCAGCAAAGATCTTGCTAATGAGAAATGAGGTTGAAATATGCTCCGAGAATGCTATGAGCGGCAGTTGTATTGGGACAAGACTGGCTGCAAGTCTCTTGCTCCCTGGTATACGAGCTGAGTGGTAGACTACAGGTAGTGATTCGTGCCGGGAACGCAGTTCCTCTTGCTGAACACGTGATACGCGCTGCGAACGCTCAATCCTCGAATTTTCGTCCACGAACGTGAATCTTGGCTCGTAGCCCTGGCAAGCTACGCCACCACTAACGCACCGGATACACTTTGGCTGCGTCTCGTCACACCGGACTCGGCGGGATTTGCAAGTCCGGCAGCCTTTACTGCGAGCACCCATTTTGTAAAGTCAATCATCGGACGAAACTGAAGAATGAGATACAAATCATTTCTCAACGTTGATTTGGAAAGGGGATGGAGGCTTTGATAACATCGAGGATTCGTAACCATGCATCGAGTTAGCCTCGTGCAAAATCCCTGAAACGGGCTAGCGTTTAACCCCTTTCTCAGCTCGCGTAGACAAAAAGACCTTTGGAAGTTCGCTCTCATCCCGCCCCCGCACTTGGCATAGTGCTATTAAGTTTACCATTAGCAATCATTTATTCTACAGTGGTATATATACTTGCTTGTGTTCCATGTTTCCTATTCATGTTTTGTTCAAAACCCGGGTACCCTTGAATTACTAGCAACGAGTTCCATCCACCTACCCATGTCACCATGTCTGCCGCAACTGCAATAAATGCCCGGCTTAGTGAAGCTTGTAAATCACTCGAGATTCCAGGAGTAGTCGCCATTGCCAATGCAGGAGGTAGAGTGATCTATCTCATTTTCCCAACATATTTGACTTCATCCGTACTAACGTTTTCAACTAGAAACTTTTCAGTATGCAGAAGCTTTCGGAGTTAGCTCACTAAAGCAAGGAGAAACGCACAAGTCTCTGACATTGGACTCAACATTCTTTCTCGCATCAGCCACAAAATTACTAACAGCTATCTCGGCTTTGCAATGTGTTGAGCGAGGCCAGTTGAATCTTGATGAAGACGTTACTCATTGGCTTCCTGAATTGAAGGACCTGGAGATTTTGACTGGATTTGATGATGAGGGGAAACCAGTGCTGGTCAAGGCTGTGAATAAGATCACGTTGCGGTGTGTTGCTCTTGTCTACTTTTTGACCAAGCACCATTCTTGAATGTCGCTGTGAAGAAAATTGAGATATGATCCCTCGGTAGGACTTGACTAATTCTGGTCTGTTAGTCACCTCCTTACCCATTCTTCCGGTTTGGCATATGAGATGTTCAACCCGCTGCTCCAGCAGTGGCGACAATCCACGGGTATTCACCTGCCAGCCAAGAAGCTACCAGTAGTCGAGTTCTATCATGTACCACTACTCTTCGAACCGGGTTCTAGTTACATTTACTCTAGTATGTTTCATGTTTAGCATTCTCGGAAAGCAATTGACAATGTACAGCTGGGTTCGACTTCGCGGGCGTAATAGTCGCCAGAGCAAACTCCATGACACTCAACGCATACATGGAAAAATATGTTTTCCAGCCCTTGGGCATCCGGAACCTAACACTTGACCTCGACTCCAAGCCGGATGTGCTCGCTCGCCAAGTCGACTTGAGCATGCGAACAGGTGATACCCATCCGGTATTCGGCACAGCAATAGATTCATCCGCGTCCCTGACTTATATCCCACCTCTGAATATGGGTGACAGCCTAGAGGATGCTTCTGGGGGTGGCGGAGGGTATGGTAGCTTGCTTGACTATAGCAAGATTCTGAAGAGTCTTGCCGTAGATGACGGGAAACTGCTAGCTTCCGAGATGCTTGACGAGTTGTTCCGTCCGCAACTGAAAGATGCTGCTGCGGCTAAGTTCAAGGAATTCTTGTCTATCAAGGAAATGAACAACATCATGGCTGGTATGGGAGTTGGGGTCGATGCAAACCATTCTCTTGGCGGGGCTATTGTTTTGGAGGATGTTCCTGGCAGACGGAGAAAGGGGACCATGACTTGGGCGGGGTTGCCTAATGTTTACTGGTGGGTCGACAGGGTCACAGGCACTAGTGGTGTCTTTGGAACGCAGATCCTTCCTACTGGAGATGAGAAGTGCATTGAGCTGTATAGAGCATTTGAGGACTTCGTATACGCAGCTGGGAAAAATTAGACAGCGAATTCTGAAAATTAAGAGCAAGCGAGATGCTTTTAATTTGAACTGGTGGAAGGAAGCCTTCCACCGGGATTAGTAGGTAGAGCTAGCTCTTGATATAGAATACTTCTTATCCCTTTTTCTCCGTAGACTTGACTAGATCTTGTCTTTCAGACTTTTTTATTTCTAGGGTCTAAGATTCATTTTATCATCTTTTTAGAATACAACTATCAAGCATTGTAAACCAGCTTCAATCATCCAACCGCTATAAAAGCAACCCATAATTCATTCGAATCGCAAAATTCCTAGTTAAGATAAGCCAAACACAATTTCCAAACATCATAGCTACGTTACATAATCTCATTGCTTCTAACCACGAAAGGAATCTTCAACCAACTATCTAGCTCACATGTTGCGACTCTAAATATGAAAAGTACTATTGGGACAAGCGGTCTGGCACTTAAGAATAGGGTTGACGAGTAAAGAGATCGAGTTCAAAGTGACATAGATATGACGGGTTCTTGTCGGCCTCCTGCGTTGCCATCCTCAAGTGCTAATATCCACAGGAATATATGTAAAATTGAGGCCACCGACTTTATCGAAATCCCGAAGTGATGAATATCTTTGAATATTTGACTAACAAATATAATTGAGGCAGAGTTGTCGCAACTTGACATATCATATTACATCGGAAGTTGGCTAGCTACTCAGGGGCTCGCTTAGAAATATAGGGGTCGCCGGAGAACCCGCTCGCTAGATTACAGTCACCATGCAATACCCTACAGTACAGGACGGATCCTAATTTCAACGCTCTCATAATTAAAACCAACCGAGGCTCACCAGATCAAGTTGTTCTTTGGAAATCAGAACATAGAAGAGTCATTCTCAGATCCACGGCTCCACGAGTAGGGAATGTGTTAGCCTCTCCTATAGTGGTTTACGGCCGTCTCCATACCATATCGCTATTACTTAAAGATGCCTCGGAGTAGATAAAAAGCGGCACCAATGTATAATGTGCTAGGTGACGTAGGACATTAAAAGTCAATCATAGTGAGAGTGTTGCCTTTATCTATCTGAGCCTCAACATTACTACAATCAAGTTTGGAAAGGGACAGTTCACTCTGGCGCAGAATTCTCATGATCCAATGGGCAACGGTGGCCCAAGAATCAGCTTTTACTTTTTATTCCATATGTATTCTGAACTTTGCCGTACCTTCTGAGCGGTGCTATCTCTCCAAGCTGGGTCACATAGTCTTGTTTGCTCTTTAACTATCGCCACAAGCACTTTCCTAATCACTTCCCTGTCCTAGTGGCTCTACACTAACCCAATTATAACCTTCCAAGTCAATCCAATCGTCGTTTTCAATGCCCACCTCATGCACGACTATTTCCTCCTCCACCTCCACCTTCACATCCTTCTCTCCCTCTTTATCTGCCTTCTGGTCCATCTGCACTGACTCGTCTTCACTTGAATTCCGGGTGGTGTCTATTGCCCCCGGGTTTCGAAGACTCTCATTAACCAGCCAGTACGGTCCGCCTCCAGACCATGATTGAATCCGAACCAGACTTCGCTGCATACACCCGACTGCACTTTTATGCGTCCACCGATGCTCATGAGCCGCTGCCGAGTCTAAAAGCTTGAATATGCTTGGACAATGCTGACATTGAAGTCCATCCATAATCGGGAGATGTGGGTGTGGTGCCAGACCGTTCTCCACAACCGGGTCGGGCCGATAAGAACTCCATCCTAAGTTCTTGACAAATTCCTGGAACATGTTCTTTTGATTGAGAGTCCATTTCGCGTGCTTTGTACTGCAGTGGCGCGCTATTTGATTCTCTGGGATAGCTCGCATACATTTGCGATTAGTGCAGACCATTATTTGATATTTCATCTCGATATGGATCCAGCGAGTCAAGGTGACGGGAATTGAAGTTGGGATTGCCATATCTGCCATAATTTATTCACAGTTCAACTTTGCTTACGAGGAGGAACCGGTCTTTCTTGTACTTTACATAGCTTATGCTATAATCCAATAAGGAGAGCAAGTAAAAGAAGAAAGCCATGTCCCAAACAGATAAGCCTCTGCGCTTCAGCCCTCCATTCCTCCCTCCATTACTCCCTCCATTTCTCTCTTGATACATCCCTCCCTTCATTCGTCCACTCCTTGCCTGTTCCCCTGTCTATTTTCTATACGCCTGACCTTGTTCTTGTCACGACGAATAACAAATTATTCCAGAAACATGCCATTAGTGCAAGCTTCACCTCGAATATACTATCTTCATCGATTCGATAAAGCTTCCTCTCTGTTATTTCGAGTTAAATCATAATTTAGATAGAGAGCTATCGTCACAAGTTACGAAAACGATTTGATTCTGTAGATTCCAGAGCCCGAAGACCTTTGCATAAGCTTATCAACGTTCGGAGATGGTATCCCAAGATCTTGACAGCACAGTTCTAGAAGAGAAGGTAACCTTTCCCTCCCTAGGGGGTCTCCGGTCTGCCAAATCAACACATAGACTTAACCAGATTGCTCGAGTCAGAGCAAAGGGGGTTGGCGATCACATTTCCCTTCCACAATTAGTGGTATGTGGAGATCAATCTGCCGGGAAAAGCTCAGTCCTCGAAGGCATCACAGGCATCCCGTTTCCTCGGCAGGATGGTGTTTGCACGAAGTTCGCCACCGAAATCATCCTCCATCACCACGAGAAGACAGCTAGGATTACAGCCACAGTGATACCCCACGCGTCCCGCAGCAAAGAACAACGAGAGCGCTTCCTAGCTTATCACCGAGTGTTGAGCGACTTCTCAGAACTTCCTGGCATTATAACTGAAGCAGGAACCTTGATGCAACTCCGAGGGTCGGGGGTGGATGACGGCCTTACATTTGGTGAGGATGTGCTCCGAATTGAAGTCATAGGAAAGACTGGACTCCACCTTACAATCGTAGACCTGCCCGGTCTCATCTCGGTCGCAAGTGAAGAGCAGACCGAAGAGGACGTCCAACTCATAGGACGATTGGTCGACACCTACCTTCAGAGCTCCAGAACGATCATTCTCGCGGTCGTTCAAGCTAATAACGACATCGCTAATCAAGGCATCATACAACGAGCGCGGAAATTTGACCGAGCTGGGCAGAGGACTGTTGGGATTATCACCAAGCCAGACCTGATCAATAAAGGAACCGAGGGTCGTATGGCTCTCCTTGCTAAGAACGAAGACACGACTAAACTGAAGCTTGGCTATTTCTTGCTCAAAAACCCCAGTCCCGCCAACTCGAAGAAGGCCTTACGTTAGAAGACCGCAAGCGACAGGAACTCGATTTTTTCTCCTCGCCCACGTGGAAAGAGCACCGGCTCGATCCATCTCGGCTCGGCGTCACTGCGCTCAGGGAATACTTGCAAGATTTGCTCGACGGACACATCGAGAGGGAACTTCCAAAGGTTCGAAGCGAGATCAAATCGCTGCTCGCTAGCACGGAAGCCCAACTGGCAGACCTGGGGGATGAGCGGCCTAGCGCCGCCCACATGCGTATGTTTCTTACCCGGCGTAGCATGGAGTTTCACGGCCTAGTTCAATCCGCCCTTGACGGGAACTACCAGGAGAGGGATGCGGACTTCTTCAGGGACAATTACACAACCCGTCTCCGGGCTGAAGTTCACCGACTCAACGGGTGTTTTGCAGCGGAAATGCGCGAGAATGGTCTTAAGAGGAAGTTGTCTGAACTGACTTCACCTGAGGACTCTTCAGGTCAAGAGTCGGAATTTGAGTCGGAGACTGGCCCACTCCTAGTGACCCAGCAGGAGCTGAATGCCTGGGTGAAAAAGGTAGCTCTCTAGTCCGATGAACTGTCGATTCGCTTACGATTCTGACCCTATCAGACCTATCTTCGTACTCGTGGTCGCGAGCTTCCCGGAAACTATAACCACGTGTTATTAGCGGAATTGTTCTTTGAACAATCAAGTCGTTGGGCAGGTATTACAAGAAGAGCACCTCATAAAGCTTTTCGAAATCACCACAGATTTTGTTAATGGTGCAATGGATCATGTTATTCATGAGGAGGATATGCGGCGCGAGATTGTCCTGCTTGCTAACAATAGATTGGACGAGGGGAAGAAATTAGCTAACGATGAGCTGCAGAAGCTCCTCGCTGATGAAAAGCGCCAGCCTATAACTTACAATCATTATTACACAGACAACATCCAAAATGCCAGGGAGAGTTCAATGAAAGACTCCCTGCAAAAGGCTATGCGGGCCGCAGTGGAGAAGGACTGGAATGGCAAATTCCATGTTAGTAACACACCTCTTGAGCTGGAGAAAGTTTTGGCATCTCTCCAGAAACGGGTTATTGTCAACATGGATGACCAAGCATGTGCGGAGGCTATGGGAGGGCTACAAGCTTACTACAAAGTATCCTCCTCACACGTTATTAGCAAGCTCCTTTCGCTAACCAATCTTAAGGTTGCTATGAAGACATTTGTGGATAACGTATGCCGTCAAGTTGTTGAGCGCCATATCCTCTCGACACTTCCTGACATATTCGCACCCACGACAGTGATGGAGTTATCCGAGGAGGATCTTATCCGAATTGCTTCGGAACCAGCGAAGCAGAGGGAACAGCGATCAGCTCTTCTGATGTTAGTACAAGGTCTCAAAGAAGGCCTCTTAGATTTGCGAAATTGAAAGTCTGGTCTCAAATCTTGAAAATGTCAGATTTAGAGTTTCCTCTACGCACCACCTATTTACGATGGCCTGCCTAATATTAATCGGCACTCGAGACTGAATTAGAAATTTCCAACTCTCTTCATCCTGCTCTCTTTAGCTTAGATAAATACTCATTAAAAGCATTAATAGTTTATAGCTAGCGCCGCATATAGATAGAGAGATCCCGTCTTCGCTAGCCCAGCACTAGATACACTCCTAGCCATATCAAGGTTAATATATTACAGAGTGTTATAAAGCAAAACAGCTTAAGTGATATAATTTGCTGAATTACCTTATCTACATAGTAGAGCGAAGGATCATTAATATTTATCAAGGGGAGAGGGAGAGTATCTATATTCTAGTATAGCTTAGTAGGAGTATTTACCCAGCATTAGCGGTTGAGTTTTGACACGTGATGTGATATATAAGGATAAATGGGAAATTAAAATCAGAGAGAAAGGGAATATTTACCTAGCTAGGTATATGGAGTAATAGATGGGGAGAGAGAGGGAGAGGGAGAGGGAAGGATGGAAAAGTACAGGTTATATATATGTATGTAATTCATACTCGAAATTAGATATTCCGTTGCTTATGTTAATACACCGTTTGCTGCTTTGCTTTGCCATCCCCTCCTTTCCCCTAACGCCGAAAACGCTTTGAAGCATTAGTAAAGGTCCCCGTATTTCCATAACCAATTGTCAAGCCTTGTATCCTCATATCCTTACAACTCAATCTGCACTTGATCACCATCGTCGTCTCCATCTCCAAAATCATATTTATCTCTCCCCCAATCAAAAGGATCGCCTCCGGGCATGCAAAGTCCCAACCGCCAGAAATAATCCCGATGCGCGAAGAATAGCTGCCACATCTTGTAGCGTGCGGGGATGGGGATACCCCAGCGCTTCTGCAGAATTACAACCTCCTCGTAATTGATATCCGTATCCATATTGATTTCCATGCCAGTTTCCCCTGCTGCTGCCTGAAACCAGGACCCAGACCCATCAGCATCCGCCCCAGCAATACAATTTGAATCCTCATCCCCAAAACACAACCTGATATCATGCAGTCCGGGTTGTAATTCCGATTTCGAAATATGGATTTCTCCTGCATGTGGCCGGTATCCCCATTCCTGCAATGGTAGCAGTGGAACTGGATCATCGACATGCGTGACACGTCTATACCTCCCATGCAACAGCTCTCTCTCCCCATTCAGCTCAAACGCCTCATCGATATAATCCCTCAACGCCTCATTCCCCACCCTCGGCTCCCCAAACGTAGTAACCACCGGCTCCCAGCCCAAGGCCTCGAACTCCAGCCCCGCGAGCGCAGCAACAGCACCTCCTAAAGAATGCCCCACGAGCTCAACTTTGTAATCCGGGTATTTCTCCCGTATGCTTTTGAGGTGAGGCAGCACAAACGGACGCGTGTTTTGCCACGAGGTCCAGAATCCGGTATGCACTGTACAGTTTGTACACTCCGATTTCTCAGGAGCATCATCCGATCGACTCGTGTTCCCCGAACCAGGATACGGTACGTATTCCTGAGGAACAGTACTAAGATCGATAATCGTATTGGTAATACTGTACGTCCCTCGAAACGCAACTATAACCCTGCCTCTGCCGCCTTTCCCATCCCCCCCAATACTCTGCCCCCCACTCCTACCCCCGTGATCCAAAACCAAAAACCCACAACTATCACTCAATAGAACCCCCGTATTCCACGTTCCCACGAGTTCGTACCCCGGAAACTCATCACACCTACTCGCGCATTTGAACGGTGTCGAGATACCCGTTCCCGTTGTGCCGAGACAGTATGTTATATCTACGAGGCGGGATAACTGTTCGAGGGATGCGAAGAGGGTGGCTGTTATGTTTGGAGATGGAGGATGTGGTCGTTGGGAAGGCGGGGTTGGTGTTGTGAGGGTGATGGAGAGGTGTGAAAGGAGGATGGTGAGGATGAGACTGAGACTGAGATGGCGGCGCATCGTATGGTCAAAGGGGCGTTTACATGATTTGGTTATTTTGTAGGTTGCTCGTATGTTAGGATGTGTTGAAGATATCGTCATCTTGCAAGCCACATTCACAGGGAGGAGACAAAGAAGCGCGCTAAGCTCAAAGAAGCGGGGCGGGGAATCAGATCCGCTCGCTTTTGCAGCTGTGAATACTACTTAATTCTATATTGGTTGATAGCATACATCTTTTGTAGCTAGGTACGGCTTGCGAACATTATTTAATTCTACGTTATTATGTATCCCATTGAGCGGGTAATCCCATCTTCAGATTATATATTTCCTCTGCATCTCCCGGGACGCCTTTTGCCAAAATCTAAACGCCTTTGATGCAATATCAACACCAACCAACACCGTGCTTCTTCAATCATCAGCATCATATTTTCCCCTCGTTTGTACCCCAAAACGCCTTGCAGTCCGTTAACATATGCATCCATAATAACCCAACTCCAAATATAAGCAAAAAATACCCCTCTCCTGACTTATACCATCTCTCTTTGGAAATGCTGCACAATCAATCGTTCAATGTCAAGAACCTTGTATGGCTTAGGTAGAAACCCCTGCATTCCACATGCCTCTGCTCTAGATAGACATTCCCCGGTTATGTCTGCCGTGACTGCAATGATTTTCGTTGCCTTTTCGCTGAGCGTTGCCAGCCCCAAAATCTCCCTCGTGGCCTCATAGCCGTCCATGTTCGGCATCCAGATGTCCATCAAAATAGCGTCAAACTGTTCACCGATTGGTTTTGAAAGAGAGTTCTTGAAATGGCGTACTGCTTCTACTCCATCAAATGCGATTGTGACGTTCGCGGTCGAGTACCCAAGTTTACCCAGTGAACCCACTGCAACGTTTCGGTTGATGGCATTGTCCTCGGCAATCAAGATATTCAGCGGATACTCTTCGTTGAGTTTGGGATTAAATGCCGTACGCTTGGGAGATGATTTCGGAGGACTTTTACGGGATGCAGGCGCCGGCGATGCGGTCCTTGATATCCCATCCAAGGACATCTTGGATTCGGTCCCCGGGGAGGGAAGATAGGTTTGTTGATGGCTCAAAGGCGGAGTACCAACAAGAGGAGTATCCATGTTTTCTGCATCCAATAATGAGATAGGTAGACGGACCAAAAACTCAGATCCTCTCAACGGGCCGTCAGTATTCGACCGTTCCAAGGTAATATCACCACCTAGGTTCTTTCGTACATGCGCTTTTGCATTGAATAGACTGAGACCTAAACCATCTCGAGATCGACTGATGGAAGCGTCTTCTTGGAAGTGAGGCTTGAAAAGGTTGCATTTAGATTCTTCGGTAATACCACATCCTGTATCCACAACCCAGATTTCGATAATCTTTAGGTTTTTGCCCAGTTTGATCGTAATGGTAATAGATCCACTATCGGTAAACTTGATAGCATTGTCGACTATCTTTTTCAAAGCAAACTGTAGATGGTGTTCATCCGTAATGATTATTCCTGGAATGCTAGATTCAATGTTCAGATAGACCTTTCTATCCTGAACTTCACCTCTCGACCCTGTTGTTGTGACTTCGAATGTTTCCCCCGAATCGGTTTCGGTGTGGACTTCACGAGTTGGATGCCCACTTCGCAAAGCCTCAGTCACCAAGGTTCTCATGAAGTCTCGTGTGACAACGAGTCGGTGATTTGGGCTCAACATCGATGACGTGATATTTGGACTGCCCCTTTTTTCGTATGTTGGTGACTGATAGTTCAGGTCATTTTCTGTGGTACCCAAAGTACCGCACTCCCCGCATGAGACTGGACTATCATCGGGGTAGTATTTACGCAAGATCTCTGCCTCTGTCATTGTATACATACGCTTCAAAGGTGGGCCAGGATGAAAGTTGGGTTCCTCCGGTTCACCGCGTTTCCTGCTCATATACGAAGATTCCATTCTCGATTCTGGTATGGGACTTTGCCTTTGAGATGAAGATGCCTCTGATATTACAAAATGATTCGAGCCTTCACTAAGGGTAGGTGTCAAGGGTGTCTCTGGCATTTTCAGATCCATATCATATGCATGAACGACGTTGTCGGCAGCCTCCACAGCGCGTTTTGAACTATCTATAGATATATGAGCGAAGAAAAGAGGAAATTAGAAGACCGACTCACCCTGCACGGTCTCGATATGGCCTTTGAGATCTTTAAAAATCTCTCGAACCATTTCACTCTGTTGATGTTGATTGGCTATACAGTCCAGGACTGTCGAGTACATGATGTCGAGCATGCCTACCACACCCTGCATTGGTGTTCTCAACTCATGAGAGAGGCTTCGTGCGTATGGCTTCAATGACTGTGAAGCAGTAATTGCCGAGAGTGGGATTATTTTGGCAGGCGTTGACGTTGGGGGTGCCACATCTTTCGCAAAGCCTCGACCCTCGAGAATACGCTGTAGTATCATATCCTCAAGAGAATGAAGAAACATCTCAATGAAGGTCCAGCCTAACTTCCGGGCCTTCGCGCCCTCTATGGACCAGGTCACACCAAAGTGAGCAAAACATTTCCCTTCGCTAAATAGCGGTACACCGATAAAGGCCTCGGATTGTTCCCATGGTAAATGGGGAGCTTGCGGGTTGTTGGGCGTGATTTCGGCGAGCCTCTCGGGAACGATGAATACTTTATCATGCTTCATGTGTTCACAAGGAGTTCCAAAGGCATGATATCGATAATCCCTGTAGAGCTCCTTCACATCCGCCCCGTTATTGACATAGAAGGCCACTCCCATTAGACATGAGCCAGGTTCGCCAAGGGGGGGCATTTCCACAGCACTGTCCTGGTCGTCCACAAGCATCCTCTTAGCAACAAAACCGCATTGTGAGCCAGTGATATCGCACATTTCCTCCATCAATATTCCCCAGAAATCATGAGTTGATGCATTCCTTAGCCTAGCTTTAAGATCGATGAGGCGTTCTGTAGCATTGCTCTCAGCCAAGGGAAAGTATTGGCGTAGTACGTCCTGGAAACCTTCGTCCCCTCGATGAACTACAGTGTTTCTTGCGAAGTCAGGAAGACAAAGCGTAGCTCGGTCGATTATATAGTCTGGCGATGATTCCTCCGTTCCTTTATCCATATCCTTCACCCCAGGCTGCCGCGCAGATTGGAATTTTGTGTCTCCAGTCCGTTTTCTTGCTCGCTGTCGATGTAGCCTAAATTGACGAGGTCCAAAGGGTCGTGTATCGAAAGTGTCTGGGTGATGGTGTATCTCGTGCATCCCACAATGCTTGTTCTCGGTCGTGTGAGGAGCATACAGTGCTCCAAATTGCGACATGAGAGACGAACGACTGAAAGGTTGACCGGACCCTTCTGGTGGCATGGAGCCGCAACTCCCTGGCACTCTGGGTTGGGGGTTGGAGTGTTCGGTGATGGTGAGGTCGGCGGAAAGTAGAAAGGAAAGGGAGGATCGTATCTGGTCTGGAGGTCTGAAGGAAGGCTCCGGTTCAGTTCAGGTCAGGTCAGGTCAGGTCAATTCAGTTGATGAGATGCGGGCAACGATAGTGATAGTGTAGACAGGGAGCAGGACAGGGTAGGGAGCAGGACAGGGCAGGGACAGGGGAGCGATGATTGGGGGCTCTAGACGAGGGGCCTCGACCTTGGCTTGGATATGGTGGATAGGATTAGGGATGGGGATGGTGATGGTGGTTTGCCTCAATACAGTAATAGGGAAGTTTGATGTAACGGGGGTCATTGATGGTGGTGGCTGTAAGAAGGAGAAGAAGGAGTTGGTGTAAAGGCCAGTACAGTTACAACACAAGTACAGCACGGTAGCAACTGCAGGTGAGGTGAGGTGAGGTGAGGTTGTGTAGGTGCAAGTTGCAAGGCCTCAAGCTACCCATGGACGGACACTACCTGTCCTGTTTACCTCTACACCACAGACTACCTACCCGGTACACGATGAGATTCTAGACCTTCCACCAAAACTACCTTACCTACCTTACCTACCTTACCTATACTCTCTCCTACCTGGGTGGCCTAGCTAAGCCTGGGTGAGCGTGTTGGGGCGTGGGTCTCGAATTCCTCTGCCCTGTCCTATGACTATGAGACTACTGTAATGGGAGTCTGAGGGCGTCTGGAGGGATTGCTGTGGGACTGATTGTGGGACTGAGTGTACTGGTATGGTACTGTACTGTACTGTAGAACTCTGGGAAGGCTCCATCTTCGATCCAGGGCAAAGATCAACGTCACACCTTGCCGCAAACGGTGTCAGATCAACGGCACGAAAGGTACGTACCGAGGTCTCTCCAGTCATGTCATTGGCTGATGGGAGTGGAGCTATCCGGCTTGCTGCAGCTGATCTGCACGGTGGCATCTGGGCCTGCGCTCTAGAATGCCAGAGACCCAGCCAAAGCGCTAGGTACTGTAGTGAGTAAAAGGCCAGGCCATCTACTTTGGGCGTAGAACTCAATCCCGATGTTGATGACGAGGAGGAAGAGCAGTAGTACTAAGAAATGAGCTTGTCCTACACCCCATGATACACATAAAGCCAAGATGGAACAGGAATCATCCAAGACGGAGAGTTGAGATGAGAATCCAGTACAGTCTACTTCCTACTTCCTACTGTATACGCCACGCCCACTCACATCCCATTCCTCATCTTCTTTCACAATGCTACGCCGCCAGTCACATGTATTTTTTCTCCATGGCCTCCGGAGTATTCGGGAGTGAGTATGCAAGCCACCAAACTCGCACTGCTTGTTCCCAACACCCCGAGCGGTCTAGACATGCCGAACTGTAAGCCACCGACTCGGGAAGAGGCGCGCGGTGCACATTCCCGAACGCTAACGCGGAAAGCACGGCAAGGCTGTCTGTCTGTCATACTAGCTCCTCTCCGCTTCTCTATCTGTCCGTAAAAGGGGTGACTGTTACCATTGTTCTCGCCTTGAGATTCATTGAATCCATCATCATCGTATATGATATGACAATACAGCCCTTCGTTCACGACCCAACGACGAGTACTAAAAGGAAGAGGATATACTCACGGCCTTATTGTACTGCTTTCCCCCCATGTCATTCCCCCCCCTCCGGTCTCAACGCCCGCATATAAAAAGGGCGCCACCTCATCAACGATTTTTATGTTCACCTGATATAAAAACACTTGCCTATAAGCTATATATCATACCAAACATAACAAGATAAGGAAATGCAAAATCAAAAAGCCGAAACAGAAGCAGGAAAATGTTTCACTAAAGACCTACTTCAGGTTTGCGACTAGTCTTCCCAATGTAATTTTACGCTACATAAGGTCAGATGCCTTCATTAGCACACTCGGATCTCGGAGGCTTGTCAGCTTATAATGTTATGTTTGAGTGGATTACCGGTAGTATACACATACATACAAATGTACCACAACTGGATTAAGTACTATAGAAACTACGGTTGAAAGACCAGCCTACGCATGGACTCAATCCTCAAGATCCACTGAGATCCTTACCTCCTCGAAAGAGCTCTGGTAATTGTCTGAGGCTCTGCTGCACCAGCTGAATAACGATTACCCCACGTGAACCCCTCATCCCTAGGCACGTGACCACTACGAACGACAGGCGGTGATGCGTGGCAGAATGTTCCAAATGACAGCATCTCTCACCAAAGATTCAGTTGAGCCTCAATTTTTGGAGGACAACAATGTCACCAAACCACGTTCAATCCCAAGATGACCAACAACTACAATACTGAGCCCGACCCCTCGTTCATCAAGCATCATGTCTATTCGCGTCCTACTTCGCGAATACCCCCACCGCTCGATTGCTCTTGCAACGCCGACTAGCGCACTGATATTCAGACATAGCCCGTCAACAAACGATGCTATTTCAAATGGCTCACTCACCTCGGCACACTCAGTACAGCCAAGGACTTCTATAGACAGCACGGCCACCGCTAGATGCATGGTGGAGTTTGTAGACATATCTACTGCCGACCTCAGCGATTATCGAACCTTAAGCCCGCTTCCAGTCCACGGCACGCTCGGCTTGATAACTATCGACAATCATATCTTTATATGTGTCATAGAGTCTTGCCAACGTGTGGCTACTGTGCGGCCTGGGGAGACGGTCGAGAGGATAGGCGCTGTGCAATTCTACTGCCTGAACAGTTCGGACTATGATAATATCTTTAGTGATAACTTGGATCCATATTCGACAGAGGGGCAGGACTATGGAGGGCAGAACCTAAGTCGCAGGGAGCCGCTCTTGGAGCATCCATGTTCTGAGCTACGGAAATTGCTGGGCAATGGGAGCTTTTACTACAGTACCGATTTTGATCTGACGAATAGACTACAGGATCGGTAACTGCAATTCATGCTGTTATACAGCTAATTTGCTGATTTCTCTAGTTCCACTGATGCCTCAACAGCCGATATAGTTGACCTCGACGAATCTTTCCTTTGGAACTCCTACATGATCGGTCCTCTTGTCAAGTTTCGGTCTCGCCTTGTTGCACACGAAAGAAAGGCACTGGACAATTCGCGGATCCTAACTTCTGCAATCCGAGGATTTGTCCTTACCATCACCATACCATTTGCTTCGGCACCTCTCCGAACTACGAGAACGGGTCTCCCCTCATCTCTTACACTCATATCACGATTATCATGCCGCCGAGCGGGAACGCGGTTCAACAGTAGGGGAATAGATGATGATGGAAATGTGGCAAATTTCGTCGAGTCGGAGACTATATATTGGAGCCCGTCTGTAGTTGGACAATCAGACCCCGCTACAAATGAAAGGCCGTCGGGAATATGCTTTTCATATGTGCAGATTCGAGGTTCTGTGCCAGTTTTCTGGGAACAGGCTGCTGGTTTGATTCCTGGGCAGCAGAAGATAAGCATCACTCGATCCGCCGAAGGCACCCAGCCAGCTTTTGACAAGCACTTTGGTGAATTAGAGCAAAATTACGGCTCAGTGCATGTGGTAAACCTGTTGAGCGAGGTGAAGCCTGGCGAGGCTGAGTTGACAAATCTGTATAGGTATGGAGTCAGGCATTCTGTTCTCAACCACCCAGGGGAAAAAGGTTCGAAAGACCATGACCTTCTGAGAGAGACAGAATTCGACTTCCATGCCGAGACAAAAGGGCCAAATGGTTACGAAGCAGCTAGCATGATTCGGAGACTAATTGAAAACTCGGCAGATGGCTTTGCATACTATCTGTCTGAGGAAATGGAAGATCCTGTTGAGGAAACCATCCAGGAGAAGCCTCGTCACAGGACAGTTGTTGTACTGCAGCAGGAGGGCGTCTTCCGGACAAACTGCCTTGATTGTTTGGATAGAACAAATCTGATCCAGACTATCATTTCTCAAATGGCGGTTGAATCCTTTCTGGGTCATCGAGGAGAACGTGCAGCTTCAGACTTCTGGATGCGACATTCTAGCTTATGGGCTGATAATGGTGATGCTTTATCGCGAATCTACGCAGGGACAGGTGCCCTCAAATCGTCTTTCACCAGACATGGCAAAATGTCACTAGCAGGAGCCATTGCAGATGCACGGAAGAGCGCCACTCGGTTATACATCAACAATTTTGCCGATAAAGGGCGTCAAAACACTATTGATGTTCTGCTGGGTAGACTGGTTGGGCAACCTCCGGTGCATCTGTTTGATCCTATAAATGATTATGTGACTGCTGAGCTTGCAAAACGAAGTGCGGAGTATCAATCCTCTGAAAGCATAAATATGTGGGTCTTTAGCCTTTACTTCACACTCTAATGCTGACGAGCTGTCTAGCTGGGCTGGAACCTTCAACCTAAATGGCCGCACCACAGGCGTTGATGAGGACTTGTCTTCTTGGCTTTGTCCCGAGCTTCAATCTTCTCAGCAGCAACCTGAGATTGTGGCTGTTGGCTTTCAAGAAATTGTGGAGCTTAGTCCGCAGCAGATTATGAATAGCGACCCTACGCGGAAGCAAGAATGGGAAAGAGCTGTCAGGAAGACATTGAACCGCCATGCCCGTGCTGTTGGGAGCGAGCATTACGTACTTTTGAGGAGCGGGCAGCTTGTTGGAGCTGCACTCTGTATCTTCGTCAAAGCTTCAGTACTACGAAAAATCAAGAACGTTGAGGGTAGTGTCAAGAAAACAGGAATGTCTGGCATGGCAGGCAATAAGGGTGCTGTTGCCATCAGGATGGATTACGCAAACACTCAGATCTGTTTTGTCACTGCACATCTGGCGGCAGGTTTTGCAAACTACGAAGAGCGGAACAGGGATTACAGTACGATCCACCATGGTCTTAGATTTCAAAGAAACCGGGGCATTGGTGACCACGATACTGTGATATTTATGGGAGACTTCAACTATCGCATTGGACTTGGCTCGGAGAAAGTCAAGCAATTGATTAAAAATGGGGATCTTGAGAGTCTATACGAAAATGACCAATTGAACTTACAAATGGTTGCTGGCCTGACATTTCCCTACTACTCTGAATCAAGGATCACCTTCAACCCTACATACAAGTACGATCTCGGAAATGACAAATACGACACATCCGAAAAGGCTCGAATACCTGCTTGGACAGATCGTATCCTTCGAAAGGGTACAAATTTGCGCCAAATTGATTACAATTCGGCGCCTCTTCGATTCTCAGATCATCGCCCAGTATATGCAACTTTTCAATGCACAGTCAGCATAGTCAACGAAGATATCCGAGAATCTCTCAGTCGAGAAATCTACGAGAAACGACGTTCGGAAGTTGGTAGCACCACGGCCAATACTCATGGCGATGATACAGATGACGAAGACCTTATTGGTTACGAGCCTATTGAACCTGGTCTACCACCTGCGAGCTCGGATCAGAGAAAATGGTGGCTGGACAATGGAAACCCTGCCAAATCTACTATCAAGCCGCCACAGAATGGTTTGATACCAAATCCAAATCGCCCTTCGAATCCGTTTACGCCAACGGAGGAGCCAGATTGGGTTACGGTTCCTCGAATAGGGTCTCGGAACAACGCCAATACAAAATTCGACCCTCCACCTGTCAATCCTAGACCGACCACGAATGGCACACGAAAATTACCCCCTCCATTCGACCCAACAGGCTCATCTAGTGGGACACTGGCGAAGAATTTTTCTCAAACATCTCTAAAAGATGCACCTCCGACATCAAGACTCGCTTCGCAGCAATCGTCCGATCGACGACTTTCTAGCTCCACAACCAGTTCTACGTCAAAGAAGATTCCACCACCTATAGGCCGCAAACCGGTCCATCTTACCTCATCCCCGTCTAGTACCTCATCACCAATGCTTTCCGCAGTCAACGGATTTGCGACCATTGCACGCGCAGAAACACCTCCTGTACAACCACCTCGACCGACTACAGTTGATACCAAATTTCCACCGCCCCCTCGACGCGCGACGGGACCAGGCAATGCTCTAGGTGCCAGTTACGGTAAAAGAGACATTGAGGATAGAAGAGAAGTAGGCCACCCGCCACCTCCGCAGCCCAGGAGACCAGGAGTCGCAAGCAAAGCCGTCAATGGCTCAGAAGGGCCCTACAATGACGGCGGCGGCCCAAGACCAAACCTGCCACCTCGTAGGCAGACGGATGATCTATTAGCCGATGACGGCGAAGAGTTGGGTCTAAGTAGCTGGAAAGTCTTAAAGCCAACTTGATTCTATCAGGGTACTGTATAAGCATTAATGAACGATCGGTCTTTTCGGGACGAGCGTCGAGGTTGGAATAGGCAAAAGTCATCTTGGATTTCTTTCCCGAGGCGGGAATGGGGCAACGCAATAGGGACGGATACGTTACATAGAAAGGAAGGCTACGAAAATGAAAATTCCATGAATGATGAATTAGAAAAATAGAGCACAATCTACCATTCATGCACACGACATGCGGCCTGGTCTTCTCATAACTTTTTTTTTCCTCTGCAGTAAGACATGTAGATCTTTCCCTAATCACTACTCACCCATCAGTATCTAGAGCCGCATGAGATATTAATAGATATCGCAACCTAGCTCCAGACATGACGTATAATCATTCAACGAGAACAATTCATCAATCATACATCTGAGTCCTATATCTATCTCATGAGAAGCCAGACAATATATATCGTCTACTAGCCTCCATTATATCAGAATGATATAGGAGGAACCCACATCTCAGCTCCGAGTTCTTGATATATTCCTTCCTTCCCCGTCAATGCTTTAGAATGAGCCGCCTGCCTACTATAACAGCGAGGAAAGGATGCTTGATACAAAGAACTTCGTCTCCGATCATTAGATGAGATGCATTTACATGTAAAAAGGAACGCAGTCACATGAACCGAAATACAGACATGATTTAATCTGCTTGTCATGTCATTCAGCTACCTGCGTAAAACTACAGCGACAGATACGAAGCTGACTAGTAAACTGGCAATCTGGTATGAAGGACCCTAGTCCCTCGCCTGCAAGCAGTAGCAGGGGGAAGAAGGCCAAGCATCTGAAGACAAACATAAAAAGTGAGAGTCATGAATCATAGTAAAAGCGCATCCCATCCGATCCTATCCGTTGGGACTGTCTGTAATCAGAAGCAAAGTCAACGCTACGCTTCGCCAAGCAGTTTTCTTATTCCCGCTGAGTATCACCGCCAATATCAAGACAAGAATGAAACGTCCAGCGTACACTCCTATAACTTCTTGCTTCTTGTCCACCTGATTCCGCTCCATGTATTTGACTGCCTGTGGGGCATATAGCCCGCCCGTACGCCTTCAACGCCAGCATCATAGTATGATGTTACAAGAGTAGCACGCTCCCTGTAAACAAGAATGAACAACCAATGTGAACAACAAAGACCATCGTCCATTAATCCATGTAAAAGTCTCCCTTCAGGATTCGCTCTTGGAAAGCATCGGGCTGCTTTCTCGCAGGCTTGGGAGGGGTCTGAGCAGGGACCACCGAAGGAGGAGCCGGCATCTCACTCACGCTCTTCTGGCGCTCTTGGGCAGGCTGCTTGGCAGCAGAGGTGGGGTTTGAGAAGCTAGGACGCTGAGATTGAGAGACAGAGCTCTCAGCACGGGATCTAAGTTGCTCAGACCAGTTGAAGCCACCACCTTCACCTGGACGAGCGGAAACGGAAAGGTCAGAAGCTGTTCTGGGCTTTGATTGCGTGCTTGCCTGATATGGTTGATTCTGAACTTGGGGAGGAGTGGTACCCCCGCCGTTTCCGGACCCCGAGCGTGAGCTCCGAGGACCGGATGGAATTGTGGGAAGGGCTGGGGCTGTGGTGTAGGAGGAAGATCTCTTCGTACCATTTGTGCCTGTGCCTGGGCTACCCCCGGGCTGTGCTCGGCGAAGGGCCTGGGTTCCGAATGACATGCGGCGAGCGAACGGTGTGTTAGGGTTGCTGCGGGCGGGACCATCTTCATCATCAATAGCATTCTCATCGATTGAATCTGAGCCAGCAGTTGAGATACTGCTTCGTCGTGCACCCATTGGAAGCTGTTGTGTAGGTGATGTTCCAGATAGACCGAGGGTTGAGATGGACATGCGTCGGCGTTGGTCTTGAGCTACGGCTATGGTGATGGGACCTGGCAGGGCGGCCGTGGGAGCCCCGGATGTGCTATTGGACCTGCCTCCGAATAGGTTGTTGAGGGTCTGCTGGGTGACAGAGCTGCGGCGTTGTCGAGGGCCTTCGGCAGGAGGGCTGTTGCGGTCGTTATTGGACATTATGGAATTGTGTTGTGTTGGTTGATATCTCAAGTTGTTTGGTACGGGCAAATGGATTGCAGGTTGATGCAGTTATGGATAAGGAGGTTCTTTGGATAACTCGGAAGTTCGTTGTTCAGCTTCGGGGGCGGGGCCAATGACGTGGGGGTTCAGCACGGTCGTTGTGGTATTTCTTTGTGTCCTGGAATGATGCCCGTTTGTCGAGATGGCAGTATTTGAGTGGTTCTTTGTGGGTATTTCGAAGCCCGGCGAATGGTGAGAATGGATCTCCAGATTAGCAGTGCAAGTTCGTAACAATCGTAATTAGGGGTTCGGAGTGCAGCTGGGTAGAGGAGTTGTGATGTAGTTGATGGGCATGAAATATGTAGAAGAAGAGAGGGGGAAGACGATAGATATATAGAATGGATTTGGAGATGGAAATGTATGGACCACTAATTAAGGTTCTTGACCCAACTTGCACAAGTCAGGGTTCCATTTTAGTGGAGACCTTTACTTTACGGAGTACTTAGCCTTTCACACGCTTCAAGCTTCAGCCAGTCAACAATCAGTATTTATCTTCTTTTGTGGGGCCCTGCCCAATCCCCAAAATGCCAAGACATCTCTTTTAAACCCCAGAGTTTACTTCTTTCACTCCAATTGGCTGACTAGGCGAAGTGTCCCTATTTTCTGCGTCATGTCTACTCTCTCCCCCCTTAATAAATGTTAAATCATGTAAAGTCCCCATAATACGTAGCATCCAATGGAACTGAATGGCTAGAGCCCTTGCTGTGAAGGGTACTCGTACGGGGGTACACCACTACTACTCATTACGCGGACGTGGTCTGTCAGATGTGGTGTGGTGTGGGAGGGGAGGGGAAGGGAGGTTGACGACTTGAAGTGAAGTGTGGGGTAAGAGCGTCAGTCTAGTACCGTTTCGGTCACAAAACCAAACTTCAACGGAAACTTCAAAAGTCCCCCCTCCCCTGCTGTTTCGACGACGCCTCAGCCGTTCGCTGGGAGCTTGGATCGTACCATCTGCTCTTGCGATCGTGAACAGATCCCTACCTACATTAAGTGGCCTGAGTTCAGGACAGCTGCATCCTAGGTGCTGAACCTAGGTAGAAATTCAACATGGTTCCATCCAAAGGGTTCATGCGGGCACCCGTTAGCCCAACTTGTACTTGTGAGGATGTTTGAGTACCCGCTAGACTCGGCTTATAGATGCTTGATACCTACCTATAGGTAATTTACACAGCATGGATGCCATTCAATCAAAGTCCACCAGTGCCGGTTTACAGAGCGCTGTCGATCAATGATGGGATAGGATGAATAGGGTTGAACTTGGCCCAGAGGGTTGCACCCTTTCCTGGATAACTCACATGCTGTAACTTTAAACGAATCTCTCCGCATTTGCATTCTGGTGATTGTGGAACCCTTTTACCATTGGCTACCTTGCCATCGTACCATCTTTGCATTTGGTTTTCTCTTTCGTGTTTCTACTTCCAATTCTTCCTGTCGCTCGGGGCTTTTTTAGACGTTTTCACAAGAAGGTCCGATCATAGTGTTGGATTGCCAAGGCGCAGGAAGTAAACACTCTCGCCATAGCCTTTGCTTTCCATGTCTCAATGGAATTATCCAACTGTCAATCTTGAGGACCCTTTCGAATCATGCCATGTACCACCATATTCTGCAGAGCTTAATCAATTCCGAGACAAGCCCTGGCATGGTATGATCCGCCGGGAGATAAATTTACTCCCATACTTGCCTAAACGAGTGGGTTACATACTTGATGACTGCCATTCGTCATCTCCCGAATAGCCTGGCGATCCGATCGAATATTGCGTATCAGATCTAAATGGGTACTACTGCTATTCCCGAACTCCCTAAATGAAATGTCGCGCTCATAAGCACGTGGAACTCACATAATGCTACCTGCTGGTATCACAGGGGTGATCACTTCTTACTAGCTAGTATGTATTTGGTAAGACTTGACTCTGGTTCTGGTGTTTGTGTTTTTGATGTGATGTCTAAGACTAACGAAGAGGTGATGCCTCTGTTTCGCTTATTCATCCGCACTAAGGTCACATGACCACAAATGCCACATCCCGACATTACCTATACACAGATAAACCCTTTTCTCTCAGCCAGTTTTGAGAAGAAAATTGTATTCAACAAGAAGTAACAAAAATGAAACAGAAATTAGAGTAAGATATCCCCCAGTTCCCAGTTGCCCTGCTATGTCCTACTTTATTCAGTTCAAACGTCTTTTTGGTTGATCAAACATCATCTATCTCATCTATACGTTTCCGTAATTTTGCAATATGATCAGGCGTCGTCTTGCAACAACCACCCACAAAGATCTCTTTCCACACTCCTCGATCCCTCGCTCTCTTAACATTCCCAAACACCATTTCATCCCAAGGAACCTATCACAATTAATTCATCATCCACAAAGGAGAGAACAAGCACAACCAACTTACCTCACTCTCTTCTACCCCCTCAATCTTCTCCCATTCCTGAGTACTAGTATTATACACTTCCCCCCTCGTCCCATCCGGATACATAACTAAAGCCACCTCGCCACTTAACCCTAACTCACATACCGCATCCTCAAACTCCCTCACCAACCCCTCCACCTTTCCCACCCTCGTACAATTCATCCCAACCCCCCTGGGCCTCCTCCGCTCTCCCCCAAGCATAGCACCTACAACCTCCCTGATAGTACTCCCATCAGGTAACCTATTCCCCTCCCCAGGAAACACACAAGAAATCCAATAATCCCTCTCCATGCCCTGTGGCAACTTATCCATCACTCCCCTCACAGCCAGCACCTCCTCAAGTCTCGGAATCGTCTCGAAAGCCACAAAATCTACCATATCCCAACACTCCCTCTTCTCCTTCTCATTCTCATCTCCCTCCTCTCCACTCCCACTTCCACCTCCATTTCCACCTCCACACCCAAAGACCCTAATCCGCTCAGCATGCCACTCTCCCAACTGCACCACGCTCCTAAACCCCTCATCATACACCCCACTATACTCAGCACCCGGAACCATCGTCGCGCCATACGCGCCCAAGCTTAACGCCACCTTCCCTCTTCCCCTCGAGCTCCCTCCCCCAAAACTCGCCCCCGCAATCCCCACACCCCTCCTCATCAACCCCTCCGCCTCCCCCCGTCTCCCAATCCCCTCATCGATAACCCCAAACCCCCTAAACGAAACCTGATACGTAGCGCTAAGCACCACATCCGCGCCTGCGTCTACGAACGTGCGGTGAGCGCACAGCAGCGTTTCGCGGCCGGAGGACGTGAGGAGTAGGTGTGAGGACCAGAGGGGTGTCGAGGCGTCGAATGTGATGTTGTATGTGTCGGTTAGGAGCGTGCCGAGGCCGCCGTCTAGGAGGTGGATTGCTGGCGAGGTCGGGGACATGGTTTGTGTAGTTTATAGTTTCATATATAGAGTAAGATGTAAGGTGTAGTGTAAGTAAATAGGAGAGGGATGAGATGGATGGAGGGGTGCGGTGACGTGATTTTTTCGCCAAGGGGTTTTTTCGGGAGGCGGAGGAGGGAGATTCCGAAAATAGCTAGCTATTATATTTGGTATAAGGATTTGAGCTAAGTATTTCACGACATCTCTTTCACCCTTAAGACTAAGCACTACTATTTTCTTTCTTTTTCTAATCACGTGGTAAGAATTGGTCACATGACCCGCCTCCCTTTCCACTCTTTCCCAATCTGGACTTTCCGAAACAAAGCTTTGATTAGCATTGTAATAGGCTAAGATAGTACTCTACGCTGTCCACCCGCTGTAGTAAGAAGTAGGTATAGCAAAATAATAATCGTTAGTTAATCAAGATATATACCTGGAGCCATGCATCTTTCTCCTTGTTTTCCTCATTGTCCCAAGGAGGGTAAGCTTTCTTAAAAGAAGTCGGTAATATGTTCCAGATGATATCTTTAGATTCCGCTCTCCCCCCTCTTCTTGACAACAAGTTTACCGAGAACAACCTACCTAGACAAATGAATTGAATGCTCTAAAGTGTGATGACAACCGAATCTGATTCAATTGCCAAATGTATTTTTTCATCCATATGAAGCCGCCTTGAACAAATCTACCGCATTGGTAGCTCTCGATCCAACCAAAGGTATTTAGATCAGACAGCGCACCCTTTCACAACAACACCTCCAACTTTGAAACTTCAAGATAATCCCCCCAACTGTAGAGCAAAGCAAATCGTCAGCGGACTCCATCAATACACTCAAGATGATAACCTCAAGACGTCGAACTGTGCTAAGAGCCCCGACCACCCCACGACGATCAATCAGGCCACGAGGTCCTTCCACACCGGTGGCTGCATCAACCCCAGTCATGACACCCGTCTCGCCTGCAGCATCGCCCTCTATGATAGTGAAGTTAAAGTTGAAAATGAAAGGGAAGCCTAAGCAGAACGGCCCCAACTTCTCGTAAGTACCGATCTATCTGACTTGATAAACCAAGAAAGCTAATATCATTTCAGTTCCGGCTCCGGCCATCAGGTCGTCACAATCCTTGCTGGCAGCGGAGAGAAAGAGGAGAAATTCATCGTCCACAAGCAATTTGCCTGTCACTATTCCCCAGTCTTCAAAGTGGCATTCGAGAGCGGCTTTATTGAAGGCCAAACCCAGACGTACAAGCTTGACGATGTTGAACCCAAGGTTGTGCAAGTACTGCTACACTGGCTCTACACGCAAAAGCTTGATATTGAAGTGGCTAGAGAACAAGACAGCCAAAACTTCTTGCACTTAGAAGAGCCGTTCATCCTGGCAGTCTCACTTTGGGCTCTTGCGGACAAGCTTCTTCTCCCAGGTCTCCAAAACGAGGTCGTCGATTGGATCGATCGTGTGTGTAGGGAAGAGGAATATGCTCCAACCCACTGTCTGAAGCATGTTTACAATTGCACTGGAGCGGGTAGTCTGTTGAGGAAGTTGTTTATTTCACAAACTGCGCACTACATTCCTAGCAATTGGTATACGACACAGGCGAAGGATTTCCCGCAAGAGTTTCTCATAGACTTGGCAGAGTATTTCTCGACTGAATTTGCGGCAAAGCACACGATCGAAGCCATGAAAACCTTCTACAACCAGGTAGAGTTCTCTTCTTTGAACATATGATTAAAGCTAATAACAGGCAGGAATGATCAGCAAAGCCGGCAAAGACTGTTTTGTCCAAATTAAAGGGAACACGGACGGGGTTGAATTTCTGGAAGACGACACATCAATGTCAGGATATTATGGGATTTAATTTGAGACTCATGATTATAGGCATAACGCCAAGTACGAATCGCACAATGAATAATACTTGACCAAGCACTGCAACTCTCACACCATGATCCGCCGTGAGCCCAACTGCATAATGAAGAGACTTTAAGAAAAGCCTCAGACTTCCGCTTTCGCATCTCATATCTGCCCGCCGTTCCAAAATATAGTGATAGTGAATTTATTCTGAAATTCAATCCGAAAAGCTCTACAAAGTATATAGATCGCGGTCCTATATTCAGTGCCCACACCTACATATCTTCTCTCCAGAACTACGGAGATTCACATCCGCCAAACAACCATAGCGACACACATTCTAACATTCTGCCACGACGAATGGGCCAATAAACACTCATTTCTTTTTATCATCAGAAACAGCCATCCACCACCAACATACGGAATCCAGAACAGTCATCTCCAATAAACAAAGCCCTCACAGCCTCAAAGCCAAAAATGAAAATCCAAACCCCCCGAGTTCTCATGAGTCCTAAGCCATAAACCGCATCAACTCACGACCGTTGAAATGTCTATTCATCAAGTTCTGTGCTCAAGAAATTCTACCGCGTGCATTCGGGGCGGGATGCGATGCTTCTGGACCTCGCATAGAGGGCGGAATGTGGGGGCGTCTCGGTTAAGCCCCTTACTAACTTCGAGATTGTTAGAAGATTAATTGAGATGCCTGACTCGCGGTGGATAAGAAAAATGACCGGCACCAGCTTATAATGTATCAAGCGGAATGGAACATGAAATGTTGATGATGATAAGTGCTCCCTCTATGTCTAGCATGGGGATGAAAACTATACTTAGGATTATGAGATGGAGTTATTCAAAGTAGCAAGGTGGAAATTGGCAAGGAGAGTGGGATAAACATGGTTCGTGGAGGCAGCACTTACTACGCGCATAGAAGGCTGCAAGTTCAAGCATTATTCACATCACGGAAGGTACGGAAGAACGAGGGTTGGAAGGTATTTGTATTAAACATCTATCATGAGAAAGTAACAAGGTGAAAGGAGAATTAGGAGATGGAACCACGTTAGTAGACGGGTGTGGGTCCAGATCCATGTCCAGTAGGTCCAGGGTGCCAGGAAGTCCGCTTGCTTTCAGGTGAGTAGTGAGAGAGCTTGGTGGTAGGGAGGGGAGATTTGGGAATTGTGGACATAATGGGGATGTATGCGTACCTCCATTTCCATGTTCAGGACTGCGAAGAGTATCCAAGTGTGGGAAGGGGGAAGGGGGAACGGAGTTGGGTGGTCATACGTACCTTTAATCCAAATAGATAGGAACCGCTCTGGAGTCTGGGGTATTTGAGTACATACCTCACGCAACAAAAGGGACCTGGAACTCAAGCAATATCCACCAACTTAAAAGAGAACATAAGAAGGGAGAGTAGATGCCTAAAAAGCCCTGCCTCAAAAGCAAAGTCCAAAGATGAAGTAAACCCAGGCCCTGACATTCTAGTCCCGAATGTAATCCCATCGCGCCAATGGAAAAACAATTTGCGCTCCATCCCACCCCACCAAGCCTTCATGCAAATGATGAACAAAAGCAATCTAACTATAGCGACACCTAGCTATGTAAATATGCTTCATGTTTGGGTATCTACAACATTTCCTCATCCTCTGCTACCGTGAATCCTTCTGCGTTGTGCTGGAACTGCTGCTCAAATGCTCCGTACTGATTCTCCATCGCCATCTGTCGTTGTTGCAGCAGCGACTCCCAGTCACCACCAACGTTGGGGTATTTGTGCATATCTTCTACCGTCTTGTAGACTGGATCTGTCGCAGGAGTGTAGGTGGGCCCGCCGACTTCCGTGCCGAAGTGCGAATAGACGTCCTTTGAAGGACGTGCAGATGCCTCGTATTCCCGGGCAGCAAGCGTCTCATAGCCAGACGCCATGTATGGTTCTGCATTCTGCGAGTTGCCGGGCCAGCGTCCATCCCCGCCCTGAATGGGTGTCATGGGCATGGTGGCGCTGGAGTCGCTCATGTTGTCGCTGTCCATACTCTGCATATCTCCACCCGCCCGAGACATGCGTTCCTCCATTATCTGACGCTCATATCGTAGCTTCGCCATGGCTTCTTCCTGCTGGAAAGACGTGGTGGGCCAGTTGCCAATATCATGAGCTAAAGCATGTCCGCTGTAGTCGGGTGGGCAAATTCTCCAAAGCTCGACCAGTCGCATTTGTTGGCTTGGGTCTGCGGTCTTGAAGAGATCGATCTGTGATGGAAAGAGAGCGTTCGCATCTACCCCATGTCTAGAAAGAATGATCTCTGTCGTGAGTTGGTCGGTCTGCGGTGGTTCGGAGGCTGGTCGAGAGGGCTGTTGTGCAACGACGTGAGCAGAGTGGTGATAATGCTGGGAGATCGAGTATGTGATGGGCTCTTCTGCCGGCAAGGGTTCCGGTTGAGGAGCAACGTATGTGTTATTGTGAAGATTCAAGTTGCGGGAGAAGAGGGCTGCGAGATCCTCCTGAGTCGCCATCGTAGCAAGGATGCTGTCCTGAAGATGTTAGATTGCTGAACTGTTCGAAGAGATGCAGCCTACCTTGCTGCGAAGGACTTGGAGATGATCAAGTGTAGCTTTGCAAAGAGCCAGCGTGTGTGAATGTATTGTAGATGCCTGGAATGGAATGATGGTCTGAAAATGGGAAATGAGTAAAGTCAGGTTATGCAGATGTGCAAGAGGATACTTGAAGAAGCGGGGCAGTGCAGACTTTGTAGACAGTGCAAAAGAATTGTTTTGTTTTTGTTTATATTCACTATGCTATGAGTTTGTACTCTGAAGGAAACCGGGAGTCCTAGGATTGGGATTGTGACGACCGTGGGAGTCTGGGGGTGCGTGATGCTGGGGAGAGGAACGAGGACAGGAGGCGAGCACGAAGCAACAAAGTTATTTATAAGGTTGAGAATGGGCAATAGCTGAAGTGCTACAACGGTATTCTTTGTGGTGTGATGTGGTGTTGTTGTTGTAAAAAGCACAAAGGTTGAGGTTGAGGAACGAGGTTAAATATCAGCGCACCGCATTGCATTGGTGCAAGGACCTCCGAGTACCCCTCCCTCCTTTAAATGACGGCCATCTTATTGCACGGGAGACACCCATTTCGAAACCGATTTGGTGACTTAGCGTTGCACCAAGTCTCCATCCTGACCAGAGACTTCCAATGGTTCGAGGACACGAGGGGACATCTGACCCATTCTATCGACTATTGGGGCCAATAACCATCTCAGGCTCACCGTCTATTCGACTTCTACAGAACTCGAATAAAAGGAAATAATAGTCTATGTCTGCATTGTGAAGATCCTTCTTTTTATTACTTTTCCTTCCTGCGTATCACAGATACAATAAGTCCGAATCGCAGGTTGGATGGCTTCGAACAGCCAAGGAGAGAGAACAATACATACAGTACACACGCACACGCATTAGACAAAGTAAAGCTTATCTAATCTACCACGTGATCCTACCCAGCCCAACTATCATTTTCTTGCCTTGCAGCCCTAAGGCCGCTATGTGCCTTTCCGCGCTAAATCCAAACACGCGCGCCATCGTGCCTGGAGCTCCAAAAGTGCAACAGACAACAGAGCTTCAGCGACCTCTTCAAATTCCCATTCATCCTCAACTCTTGACCCTCCGCACCTCCCAACCAACTCTAGAACATCATGGTAAGCTTTAAACCCCGAGACAACCTACTCAAAGCTTGTGAATCCACCCCAAAGCTAACTTCCCCCAGACGTCAATAGGTACGGGCTACGATCTCACCAACTCAGTCTTCTCCCCCGACGGCCGGAATTTCCAAGTCGAGTATGCAGTCAAGGCAGTAGAGAACGGCGGAACGTCGATTGGAATCCGGTGTAAAGATGGTGTTGTGCTGGCGGTGGAGAAGATTATCACAAGCAAGCTGTTGAAGGCTGGAGCAAACAAACGTATTGCTACGATCGATAGACATGTTGGCGCTGTATGCTTCCCCCATGCTTCTACTGAAGTACGCATTCATTCCCGTAACTATACTGACTTTGCCAGGTATCATCTGGCCTTGTACCAGACGGAAGACACTTCGTATCCCGTGCACGAGATGAAGCAGCAAGCTGGCGTTCAACTTACAAGACCCCTATTACGACCAAGGATCTCGCAAGTAGAATGGGCGGTTACCTACAAGCATATACTCTCTACTCTTCCGTACGACCGTTCGGCATTACCGCAATTGTAGCAGGCTGGGATTCTGAGCTCGAGTTGCCCGTGGATGGTCAAGTAGGAAGCGGACCATCGATCGGTTCAGGAGGCAAGGTTGAGGGCATGACTTTTGGCGGACCGGGTCTCTATATGATCGAGCCGAGTGGGATGTACTGGGGGTATGTGAAAATGTTCCAGGGGTTGTGAGACGGGGCTGACTGAGAACCAGATACTACGGTGCCGCAACAGGCAAAGGACGTCAAACAGCCAAAGCCGAACTCGAGAAGCTAGACCTCGCTGCTCTGAAATTAAGTCTTCAAGACGGTGTCAAGGAAGCCGCAAAAATCATCTACGTTGCGCACGCCGACAACAAAGACAAGGAGTTCGAGTTGGAGATGACCTGGATCAGTAATCTCGATGGACCAACAAAGGGTAGACATCAGGAGGTCCCAAAGGATATCTTGGAGGAGGCTGAGAACTTAGCGAAGAAATATTTGGAGGGTGAGGATGATGAAGAGACGAAGGATGATGATAAGCCGGCTGAGGGAGACAAGATGGAGGAATAGTTGAAGGTGCGATGACTACTACCCTGTACCAATACCAACCATATGCAGAACCATGAAGGCCGAGATGGCAAAATGACATAATGGAGCATTTGAGTTTCTCTGAAGCAGAAGATTCTACTCATGGTCCATACATACCATCTTGACGGGAGCATAAAGCTTAGAGTTAGGCTTCACTCTTCGCATTTATGAAGCCGAAACGCAAGATTAAATATCTGAATTTAACATGTTCTGAATAATTTTCAACCGGCAACCATGTTCAATTCCTGCTGTCAAATATCTGCAATTTTCCCCTCCTTTTCCGTCTCTTTTGTAGGAAACCAACTAGGAAGTTTACCACTTCTAGAATTATTAATAGCGTTCGGGGCTTATTAACTACCTAGGTATATTCCATGGAATTTCGAAAATTACCCGGGTTATCCCTATATCTAGGTATCTATTCCTCTTATATATAATGGGTGGAATAGACACCCGTAGAGGCTCTGGGTAGTACCCAGGCGTCCATAATTGTGTCATAGCAACCAAGTGTAAATAAAACGTTAGTTAAGTAGGTAATAACGGGAGGAGTGCGCTTGTCTAAGAGAATCAAGGGCTTAATTTTACACTATACGAATAATGTTTCAACAAGTCTGCTTGAGGTTCTGCTAGTTTCCCCGCTCGAATAGCTTCTTAGCTGAGTCAATAGACGATCCATTGTTCCCAGAAAACACCTAACAAGCATTGAATTCACAACCCCTAGAAAGACATTCAATCTATCGCAAAGAATGACTCTAGTATGTCAGCCTAAGGGTTCCAAAGACACAAAATGGAATCTCTTTATCAATAGTCAACTTTTGTCTTTGCGATTCAGAGCGCCCCCCGCACCCACCAGCTTTGCAGAGTTATTGATCCCACTCCCTGACAAGCTTTTAGACTGAGATCATTTGCTATTCTACGAGCATGTTCAATATCGATCCTTATTCGCGAAGGGGACCGCGATTTTTATATCAACAAGCCAGACAGCCTTTTGGTCCTTTTGGCCCTTTTAGCTGCGGGCAAATGCTTGATAATGGCCAGTTCCCTCAGTTCTTTCGGTTTGACCAGGCTTCTCAACAATATCCACATCTTGCACAAGTTCAACAGTCTCTACAGTCTCTACCACAGCCCCGCTTTGATCAATTCCAACAGCCTCCGCTGTTCCTACCGACTCCCATCGGAAGCCCTCCTCCTCCACAATACTCGCAGCGCAACCAGCCCCAACCTCAGCAGCCGGTTCAGGGGCTCCAGCCAACCACTGAAGCGTACGTCTTGACTCGAACAAATCTCCCTGTTGCGGCAGGGGAATCTATTCCACCTCAGTATCCCAACTACGAGCAACTGGTACCAACAATGTTTCAACACAATGGACTGCCAGTTTATAGCTCGGTACAGAACATGCCACAGCCCCTATCTCGCCAACCTTCAAGACACAATTCGCCAGCGCAAGTTCTTAATTCTGTTCCATTTATCCCCCGGAGGGCACCGGTCTCGCAACAGCCCTCCAGAGCCAACTCACCAATACCAATCCTTGACCCTGCAGCTCCATTCGGAGTGATAGTACCACAAGCCAACATAGTCCAGGGACAACGCAGACGAGAGGTTATATTCCACATGCTACGCCATGCTCATGCAGGTCCCGGGAGCACCTTCCAGGCTCAGCACACGGAGGAATTATACCAAGACATTGGAGATCCAGGACTGTCATCCTTAGGAGCAGAACAATGCCGCAATCTGCGTGCAGCGTTAGGTAATAACAATGCACACTACGTTCTCTGCTCCCCAATGCGTAGAGCGATGGTCACAGCAGGTTACATATTCCCTGACTGGGATAGGCGGAAATCAAACTTCATTGCCTGGGACAAGCTCCGAGACTGTCCACCGCCCGGTAACCGCTACAAATTCACGAGAAAGGCTGGAGAAAAGCGCGAGAAGCTACTTGAGTATCAGCGGACTGTTTTGAATTACAAGCCGTTTGATTTGAGGCTTGTAGGGTCTGATTGGCATAAGGATTTTGGGCAGATGAACAGTCAGGGCACGAGGGCGGAAGCTGTGCGGGCGGATCTTTCCAGGTTTAAGGATGTTGCTATTGATGGTGGAGAATGGAATGGTGTTCAGTTTGAACCTCATAGAGGGAGTGGGAATATACATGTTGTTATTCTTTCACATAATAACTTTCTGAACTTCCTAAGCCATCGGGATACACTACCTGGTAAGTCTTTTCCCCATTGCCTCAAGCCGTTTTCCGTGTTGCTAATAGTAAACACAGAACACAGTTATGGTAGTTTTGGCTTTCTTCAATGCCGATCGTACACATTTGCATCGCCTTTTATTGGAATAGATGGGATCGAAAGGCATTCCTTTACCGAAACAGCAGAAAGCCAGGCAAGGATGCACCCCAAGGATTGGAGGCCGCTTGATGGGAGGGACTGGGAGAATACGGAGAATCGCAGGCGGATTTCTCAGGGATGTACAATGCAGTAATGGGAATCAGGGTAAGAGCAAGCTGAGGAATCTTTTAGAAGCCTTAACTTTATACAATCAAACAAATGCATTCCGTCTTCATGGTTCAATCACTTGAAAGTCAACAAAAGATAATCTTGGTTCTACTATGATTTCTAACGCTATACTAGCTTCAGATTAGCCCCCAATGATATTTCGTACTTATTGGAATTCTAGGTGTTGTCATATTCTATTATTGAGCAAGTGATAAGGGGCTCCACCAGCTCTGAAATATATCTCATAAAAGCTGCTAGCAAGCTGTAGACGATAATAAGTATCAACGAACATTATATTTTTCGGATGCATATATGCCGTCCACCCAAAGTACTAAGCCCTTCTGGTACCAGATTGATATCGCGTCCGAGGAAATGGGGGAGAGGTTTCCCCACTATTTTATTTCATGGCTTTGGCGGTCCTTGCCTTCCATCTTGACCCTCCAGAGATATTCAATCCATTACAGCAATTAGATGAAACTATCTAGCATAGGTATCCTGCTTAGATAAGCAAATACTCAGACGTTCTTTGCCTCAACATTCTGGTTTTTTTTTTTCCCTCTGTCAATTGTTGAACGGTCAACTCCCTTCTTTTCTTTACCTCGCTTTCCATCTACACTCCTTACCTAGGTACTTGCAAGTTATTTGGCACAATGTATCACCCTCCGCCCCCGCCGCAAAACCCCTACTTTGGTGGCCCTACTCAATACTCTCAATATCCACCGTACCCACCTTATCCACCTTACGGGCATGATCGATCACACAGTGGTCCCCAATTCCCGCTTCCTGATGGTGGTTCGGGAGTGTATCCTATGCATCCAATTCAGTCGCCAGCAGCAGCTGCCGGACAAGGCCAAACCCTTCCTCTCTCACAAGGGCCATACTATCCTCCATATGCACAGCCGGGACATGGTTACATAGGAACACCTCCATGGATGGCCCCTGAACCTTTTCCGCGACAAGAACAGATTCACCCAGCAGCATACAGGAATCCTGCAGATTTCTCCGCTCCCCTATCTGATGCCACTACTCCTATTACCGGCGCTTCAACTCCCAACGCTACGAAGCCGCAGAGAAAGGAGGCAATCTTTCACATGCTATGTCATGCTTACGTATGTTATACCTGGTGATCGCAAAGCGACTCCCGAATATGATCTGACTGCATGCAGGCCGAGGAGAAAGTCGACGTTCAAGACCCATTTCTTTCAGAGGCCGGCAAGAAGCAATGTGCCAATCTGAAACAGACATTTCCTTATATCAAGGACGTCCAATACCTCTTCTGTTCACCCATGTACAGATCCATGGAGACAGCTACCATAGTGTTCAGTAGTCGTCTTAATGAACCGATGGTGTCGAAGGGCTTTCCATGGTCTGAACTCCGCGAATGTGCCTCATCAGAAGACCCAGAGAAATGTAGGCCCGTCTCAACTCCGACTGACACGGGACATACACTCGATGAGTTCAGAAAGCGGGCGGAAGACAAGCCGTTCTTCATTGCTTCCGAGCTTATGCAAGCGGGATGGGAGACGAAGAACAAGACTGATGATCCCAAAGATCGGGCTAAGAGAGCTGATAAAGTTCGTCTTGATCTTTCTCATTTTGCAGAGATTGCTTTGAATGGTGGTGTGTGGAAGGGAATTCGAATCGACCGTCCAAGGGGGAATGGTCCTGTTCATATTGTCGTCATCTCTCACAATCACTTCCTTAATCTTCTCACTCATCGAAGCAATCTTCCTGGTAGGTCGATTCCCTCCCTCAGATCAGAAGTATTCATACTCAGACTAATGCATTTCAGGCATCGATACTCCAGATATTCGCTTCAGCCCCGTCCAGTATCGCTCTTACCACTTCCTACCAGCCGCAGCTGATGGATTTGAAGGTTTCTCCAAGAACACATTATATGAGACGAAGGAGAGCAAGGCGAGAAAGCATATCCCAGGTGCTATGTCCCAAAAGGCTTACAACGAACAAGAACTCAAGCGGGAAGAAGCACGCAAGCAGGAGGAAGCACGTAAGAAACAGGGAGCATACTACCGCAGTCAGCAAAGTGATAGCTGTTGTGATTGTTGCATCATACAATGATTAGAGATTGGTTGGATAATAGAGCTAGAGCTAGAGTCTAGAGAAAGGACGCTTTATAAATGTGACTAGTTCTTCTTGCCTTCATACGAAAATCAGGCTTTTCTAATGAAACTCTTCGTAATATAAGCTTAAGTGATGTATTAATCAAGAAAATCAATGCCATTTCCCAATTTTATAACTATTACATTCAACCATTGTTTAAACTCTCCCCAGCTCAATAGATCCTACGACCAGAAAACTGGTTTGGGGGGAAGCTGTGGGGAATTTAGCAGACGCTCATATGTTCATTTATTCACACGATTCAAACACATAATAGAGCAACTCTGACGCCAACGAACTATATACATCTTATTACAAGATGAAGCGAATCCATAATTAGCACCTGCGCCCGCCAATTTACATAATATCCCAACCCGGCACTAGCGTAAACCTCCCAGAGTACTCTCAAGCATCAATGATGCATAACTTATACATGTATTAACAGGAAATATCCTACAAAATCAATGCAGTCTTGGATAATCAAGAGCTGCGACATCTCAGAAAGGAAAATCCAATACCCCTTCAATCATGCTGTCTAACGTCCCATCTTCTATGAATGATCTGGAATGTCTGAGAAGCCACTTGCCCTGTCCAACTAAGTCAAGCCTCGGGTGAGTCCCTGCAAATTATATTATGCAGAATATCTCGAGGGTTCTTGATTCCACATAATGCCCTACCCCAAGTTTATTCTTCTGGCTATGCACAAGCAATCCCAAGATGAGCCGAACCTACCCATTTCAAATATTAAAATGAGTAAAACAGAAAGAAAGAGAAAAGAAACATATCTAAAGCGTCCGGAATTCAAAACTACCTTCCAAAAGAATGTAAAAAATAAGTTAGGCTAGGACACCCCCGAGCAAGCTCGACGATAAATTCTTAAAGACACCTAGACCAGTACACCATTACACAGTTCACACTTGGATGTATTTTGAGATATGTTTATTCGATTATATATACCCACTACCCTACCCCTTAGGTCGACGGCTTGGTGAATGTGCGGCCGCTGTTTTTGACCTTTTCTTGAACTTTAATGCGAAGTGCAACAAAACGTTTAAGTTTCCTATTCGGGATGGATATTGGTTGCAATTCACCAATCAGCGAGTTTCTTATACTAAGTCGTGGAATGGAATGTGAATGGATAGTCGAATAGGGAATGAGAAGTGAATGGAAGGGGTTAATGTGAGAACGGAACGGCAGGTCGACAAAGCTCGCTTATTCTCGGTTAATCATATCCCCCTTTTCACATCATCTAAGGTACCTTAGATAAGGTACCAAGTGATCCACAGCCGCGGGTTATTCAACTGCCCGTCGAAGACGAAGCTGGAAGAGAAGATGAAGCCGGGAATGAAGACGTTGAGATTGTTGTTGTATCGCACGGAACATTTTTGAAGGAATTGGTACCGGCGATGAAGGATAAATGTAAGCGTTGGATTTCTGATGCAGTATGCTGTGGTTCTTAGGAGTATATGCTAAGTGGGACATAGCGGAATTGTTTTGAAATGCGGAGGTTAGGACATATGAGCTTGTTAGATCGGAGCAGTGGGACGCGTATCAATTGCAGGAGCTTGAAAGGTGCGAAGACCATCGGTAGAGAAACGATAAGGAAGTTGGGAAATTGGATGGTATGAAGTGGTAATTAGTTCTCAGATATTTGACATTGCTAGCGTTGAGCTTGGATATCCATTCCTCTATGCGCGATAATTTGCAAAGCCTCACTCGCCCGTTCGCATAAGTTGGGGCAAAGTACATGTCTTACTTTAACATTGCCGGACGTCTATCACCAAGGAGTAATGTCAACGAACCTGTGATACTAAACACTGTGAAGACTTAAGCGTAAAACCTTTAGCGCTGTTAGGAGCCAGAGCAGTGTCACGAATTGGTGAGACTGCGATTTAAGACACTAAATTTAAAGTAGCCGAGGGAAAACGAGTTACGCAAGCCTTGCTCGGTTCCGGAGCTTGGTAGTGGATGGGAAGAATCACAAAATACGAAAAATAAAGCAGCTACAGAATATCACCCATGTACTTCAACTCACATCTTATAGCAAAGTCACAGGTAAAGGTCAATTTTAGGGTGAAATGCATGAAAATTGCTACCCTATTTCCTGCACCGAACGAGTGTAACGAGAAAGTATTTTTATATAACAGGCCTGTTCGTAGAATAACTGCCATAACGTATTAACATGAGAGTGTAGAAGTGAATGAATGAATGACAGATCCAAAAAAGGAAAATACAAGAAGTGAGAGAAATTGTCGTGGCCGTATATGCGTATCGGTATGGCGGGCTCAAGAGTTGTATGTGGGGTTGACAGATCTACAACTTCTCAAGAACATCTCTGGCAACGTTCTGCAGAGCCTGGATGTCGCGCTTTTGCTTCCAGCAGCCTTGACCACGGGCACCACAGCGTGGCAATGGCTCGGCAAGAGCATCGGCAATTGCCTCAGCTGCGCGCTTAACCTTCCAGCATCCCTGGCCTCGTGCTCCACAGCGTGCATCCGCCTCAGAGACAGCCTCTCGCTTGATCTTCCAGCATCCCTGTCCTCGTGCTCCGCATCTTGCCTCTGGGTTGGCTTCGGCCTCTGCGGCTGAGATAGCTTCGCGCTTCTCCTTCCAGCAGCCTTGTCCACGAGCTCCACAGCCTGGCGCTGGTGCAGCATCTCTCTTCTCCTTCCAGCATCCTTGGCCTCGGGCACCGCAACGGGCATCAGCATCGGCTTCGCGCTTGATTTGCTTGATAGCGGCGGTCTCGACGGCAGAGTCGTCCTCGAAGCTGAGACTGGCGTAGTATGCCTCGGGGTCGTCCTGAACGGCAGCGACGGTCTCGGCGAGGTCTCGTGTAAGCATGCGGGCTTTCTGGCAGGCGCCTCCGGCAATGTTGCATCGGGCTTCGATCACATCGACGGCGGGCTCGGCGAGCGCTTCTGCGAGGGCATTGGCTGCGCGCTTGATTTTCCAGCAGCCTTGGCCGCGGGCACCGCAACCTGGCTCGGGGAGTGCAGTGACGGCTGTAGTAGCCGCCAAGATGATGACACAAAGAGTGTTGGTGAGTTGCATATTGAAGGTTTGCGTGGTTGTACTGTGAACGTGGTAGTGTTGAAATTAATGGAACGTTCGAACGAGTGTTTTTTGTAAGCGTATGTGTATTCGTGTAAGAAGATGTTATGGTATTCGTGTTGTGAGTGTTTAAGGCAAGGAAAGAAGAGAAGGGAAATATCAACAAGATCGTGGACTTATTTATGTTCTATATGTTGGGTTTGTTCTCAATAGTAACAGATCTGGACTCGGGGGTTGGTCTGTTCAATAGAAGAACCTCCTATTGAGCCCCAAATCGGGCGAAGGCGGAGTGAACAACAACAAAGCTATGTGTAGCCTCAAGGACCACGGAAAACGCGATGCCCGAGAATGGTCAGCACTAGGCCATATACATTTGTGCATTGTAGATTGCCATCAAAGATTGCAATGAAGGAGTATCTGGTGGTGGAGCTCCTGATTGAGGAATGGAATCGGCACGATCTTTAGTGAATTGGACCTTTGGGTTTCAATAAGTCATTAAGCGATGGCCCAAACTGAAGCGTGTTGGGAAGATGCACGATTCACTTTCCTCAAAACGCAATACAACGAATCAGCACTCGAGCTAGAGGAACCAAGTCAGCAGTCTTGGACCAACTGATCAATTCCCTGTATTCGAAAGAAATCTATCGGAACATTTAACAAAGGAGACATCTCTATAAGAGCTTCAATGTTGTCCTGGCTTAAACTTTTTGGCCGTTTTCTATTCAACCCCCTAAGCGTCGAATTAAGCGAGTTATCAAAGACTTCACGACTGATCAGCCACCATAACAGCAGGATAAATTCCGAGATGAACAATGAACTTCCAGAACGTCGACGACCAGTTTTTCGCCGATCCAATTGACAAGTGCTGAGCTATGTCCACGATAAGGACTTAGGAAAGAAGATCGGACAAATCTCAAGCGCAGTGGCGAGTAAATCAAGTTTCGGCCATTCTAGACCCTTTTAGCAAAGGAAACATATTGCGATGCTTGATAATCCGACTACTCATTGTAGACTGTAGACCTTGCCGTTGAGTGTTTGTAGTGTGAATATGGACGCTTCAACACAGTGGAGGTCTAGAGCCCACAGCCTAGGCGCAATTGCCCGCTTCAGAGGACATAGATATCCCATGGAATTGGGATTCCTACGTTATACTAGACATATTGCACTTTGGTAATGGGAGCTAGTGCAATGTAAATGAAGGAAATGGGCTTCGCTGTTGATTATCACAAGATTGCCAGATTACTTACTAGACATATCATGTACACGTACAGAACGAAGTAACAAACACGCAACAAAAAAATACGATGCATGAAATACACACTCATTAGAGCACTAACTATTTGAATATGCTAACGTCGCACTTGAGAACGTCCTGCAAGTCTTGCAGAGCTGCCTCGGATCACATTGTGGCCGCTCACTTTTCCAGTCAAATGGAATCTAGAGATTGCTGGGGAATCATCGGAGTATAAGCAGGTTTATAAATGGAACGAATACATGCTGCACGACAACACTTGAGGAATTCCTCGTAATAAACAGAAATACTTAGTTGACACGTGAATGAAGGAAGTTGCGGATGCGGATTTTTATGAAGATACCGGTATCGCTTGTCGCGTCAGAAATTTTTGAGCTCCCGCGAGTTGCCGAAAAAAAGGCCGAGTCCCAAAACGGACAAGGCCGCTCCAAAACACCAAGGCGGAACTGCTCCATTTGCTTCAAACTTCCTCCCACCACCTCTTCAATCCTCCAAACTCCTTCCTAAGTATTCAAGATGTTGATGCGCAGCTCTGTAAGGTCGGCGCAGGTATGTATTCAAGCTCACTACTTTCAATGCCTCATTGTTGTTGCTAACTCCACCTTATCAGAGCCTTCTGCGAACCGCCCAAACCTCCTCCTCTGCCGCTCGTTCCTTCGCAACTGTCCAGAGCGACATCTTCAAGCCGACCAAGTATGGAGGGAAATACACAGTAACTTTGATTCCTGGTGACGGTATCGGAGCCGAGGTCGCAGAATCTGTCAAGACAGTCTTCAAGGCAGACAATGTCCCCGTCGAGTGGGAGCAAGTGGATGTCTCGGGTGTGGAATCGGGCGACAAGCACTCAGAAGATCTTTTCCGGGAAGCCGTAGCATCTCTGAAGAGGAACAAGCTGGGATTGAAGGGTATTCTACATACACCTGTCGAGCGATCCGGTCACCAATCTTTCAACGTTGCTCTGCGACAAGAACTCGACATCTACGCCTCGATCGTCCTAATCAAGAACATTCCTGGCTACAAGACCCGTCACGACAACGTCGACCTGTGCATTATCCGTGAAAACACCGAGGGAGAATACTCAGGCCTCGAGCATCAATCCGTGCCCGGTGTCGTCGAATCCCTCAAGATCATTACTCGGGCAAAGTCGGAACGCATTGCGAAATTCGCATTTGCTTTCGCATTGGCAAACAACCGCAAGAAGGTTACCTGTATCCACAAGGCTAACATCATGAAGCTTGCGGATGGTCTTTTCCGCAATACCTTCAACCAGGTCGCAAAAGAATACCCCTCCTTGGAGACAAACGATATGATTGTTGATAACGCCTCCATGCAATGTGTATCTCGACCACAACAATTCGACGTTATGGTTATGCCCAACTTATACGGAGGTATCTTGTCGAATGTTGGAGCTGCTCTTGTCGGTGGTCCAGGTATTGTACCTGTTGCAACATGGGTCGTGATGTGGCTGTTTTTGAGCCTGGATGTCGTCATGTTGGTTTGGATATTAAGGGCAAGGATCAAGCGAACCCAACTGCTATGCTTCTCTCTGGATCTATGCTGCTGAGACATCTCGGTCTGGATGAGCATGCCAACCGCATCTCCAAGGCTGTTTATGATGTGATTTCAGACGGGTAAGTGAAGTCTTACACATAACTTATTCTTTGCTAATATCATTTCAGTCAAGTACGAACTCCCGATATGGGAGGCCAGAGCAGCACGCATCAATTCACAAGGGCCGTTCTAGACAAGATGGAGTTGGCTGGTTAGAAGTAGAGGGAAATTGTATAAAGAAGAAGTAGACAGTTGGTTGTACTCTAGTATGCATAGGGCAGGTGCGCGCAAATCTTTCAGTATACCCTTATTCGAGCGGCGCCAGCTGCAATCTTGCGTTTTGATAGTGTCCTCGGTATACTCCAACTCTCGAGTCCATGTTGATCTCCGTATTTCCAAGAGCTCAAACTCCTCCTGGCGTCTCTTAGTGGACAAGAAGCACGTTACTTTCCCAATAGGTACGCTCTGGGGATGTCTCAAAGTCACGTAAAGGAAAAGTACAACGACGGCAAAAAGGTAGCAGCATAGCCAGACTTTTGCCTCACGCTCTCTATCTTGGATATCATAATTCATACCCCATCCCAAACGCCTTCCAATGCAGCAGCATATCCCCCGCCTAAAAAGCAATATTCCTCTTCCTCCCCGTATACTTACTCGAACTCTTGACTACCTTTCCTTTCCTCTCCATCTGCTCCTTCTTCCCCAAAATCCACTTCTTACTGCCCTTCTTAACCTCGCCCCTCTTCTTCTCTCCATACTTCTTCCTGGCATCCACAACATCCACCCCATCCATTCCCTTCACCACCCCCGTAATATCCCCTCCTCCCCCATCAATGTCACCTCCACCAACGGTCAAAACCAAATAAGTCTTGACACTCTTCGTCCCCCCTCCATCCTCCAAAATACCCGCCCCAAAACCAGCCTTAATCGCCGCACCACTAATCATCGTCCGCTGCTGTTCATTCTTCGGATAGAACTGGCAAACCGCACGTCCCCCCCTCTTCAAACTAGCATACAGCCCATTAAAAAACCGACTCAATCTCCCCATCACACTCACCTCGCTACTCTCCGCATTACACAGCCACTGAATCGCACTAATACTAATCGCAGCATCGAAACTGCCTGCGCGAAACGGCACCCCCTGCCCAATGTCCGCGAGTAGTAGGTCGCCCTCGACGTCGCGTTCCAGAGCCGTGGCTAGCATGGACGGTGAGATGTCCAGGCCGATCCAGGTATGGGGACCGTTCTGGGAGGCGGGAATCGTGGAGAGTATCTCGCCTGAGAGCCCGGAGCCGCAGCCGACGTCGAGGATTAGGGAGGGCGTGGGCAGGGAGAGGAGTTCGAGGGCGCGGTGCGTCATTTCTGCTTGGATGTTTTGGATACGCGAGGAGGTGGTGTATTTGCGGGCTTCCGTGTCGTTGTAGTGCAGGTCGGGGGGGCTGGAGGTATGGTATGTTAGAGTGAGGGGGGATTGATGGGTCGAGGGGAAGCGTACAGAGTATCTTCGGGGCGAGACATCGTGGTGGTTTTTATTTGATTTTTTTATACAGATGAATGGTTTATAGTTTGTATGTGTTTCTGGTATCGACCAGGAGATTCTTTGTTTTGTTGCGTAGAATTAGACGGACTTTGAATTACATGAAATTTAACTAATCGCAAGTATAGCGGTGACTTTTTTGTGACCCTCTTTTTCTGCCCCTCCTCACCGCTAACAACCATGCCATTTCCAGCTTCATTGCGGCCACTTCACCACCTTCTTTCCACAACGGCCATGCAATTCTCATAGTTCCAAAAGAAAACACAATGTGGATCTTGCCGCTCGTCGGGTACATTGGCCTGGCCATCGGCTTTGGCTTCTTAACCCTCGCTATTGGTATTTTCCCCCCTTACCTCAAAAGACCAGCTTGCCTTGCCATTTATTAATAGATGAACAAGCTTCCGGACTCTACTACCTCGCCGAGCTCGTCGAAGAACACACCGTAATCGCCAAAAACCTCCTCACCCGGCTCATCTACCTCGTAATCGGCATCCACATCTTCCTCTGCCTCGTCGATGGCTTCCCTTTCAAACTGGCCGCCGTGAGCATCGTCTCGCATGTTGTTTACTTGGGGAATATGCGGCGCTTTCCAGTGGTAAAGTTGACCGATCCGCTATTTTTGACTTCTTGTGGTATGTTATATACTCCCTCTCTTCTCCTCTCTCTTATGTGTAGATTGGTCGTGATGGAAGGCTAATGAGAGACAGCACTTGTACTATTTAACCACTTCATCTGGTTCTCGCACTTCTCCGCCCCTTCCACCTCTGCCCCACGCTCCCGCTTCGACATACCTGACATGCCAACTTTCACTGAGATTGCATCTTTCTTTGGTATCTGTGTATGGATGGTTCCATTCTCGTTATTTGTGTCCTTGAGCGCGAGTGATAATGTGTTGCCGACGATGGGCAGTGAAGAGCCTGGGGGAGTGGACAAGAATAGAAGGCAGGGGATGGTTAAGGTTATTGTTGATATGGTGAGGGATTGGATGGGAGAATTGGGACGGATGGCGGGGTGGAATAGGCCGGATCAGGGTTTTTGATTGACGTCGTGTATAATTATGAAGGGCAAAGCAAAGGCACTTTTGGGCGTTGGTGGGATAGGAAGGCTAAAACGAATCAAAATGTCTATGCATACATGGTTCACTTGGGCTAAGCTTGTTGTGGTTTGAGTGATAGATTGTGTGCTAATGCAATGTAATACCAGGTCCCAGGGGTATCTTCCGTCTGCCATATCCCTTCATAACACCTAAAGATTAGTGGTACATGTGTGTAAGTGTATAGCAAGTAAGTATAGCAAATCGTCAAAATTTTCATCCTGTAGGAGTTCAGCAGGTGGTCAAAGACTTATTGTCCTCTCAGTGCCCTTGACTCACCTCTTGAGCTATCCTCAAACACTCATCATTTTCCTTACTCGATATCCTCCATGCGACCAGCAAATACAGCCTCCATCTGAACGGCGATGGTAATGGTGTGCTCCTCGATCGAGAGCATGCTGGCAAGGATGAGTTGTTCAAGTTTCTCCCGCTTAGTGTTCAATTTCTCGAGCCTGGTCCACAATTCCTTTTGATTCTTAGTGCTAGAAACGCATCAGTAATCGAAGCCGCCTTGAAGCTGAGCGAGCTCCTAGGGAGTAAGTTGGGTTGGAAGGAAAGGAGCGGTCGAATTTGAAGTCAGATGATCAAGGGAGAAAGTGGGCCAGCGGACCTCCTCGACGACACATTGGGGAAATGGCGAGAGTGCAGCGCAAACTTACACTCTACTCTTTCGAACCGCAAACAGGGTATCGATTCTGGTCTCAACTTCCTTGACTCTATTGTCGTAGCTGTTCTCAATTGCTTTCCGCTTCTTGTCTCGGCGCTTTTTGCCCTACAGAACAGCAGGTTAGACAAGGATATTTCTGTGTGAAGAAATCTTTTAGTTTCTCACATCATCTACCATGCTTTTTGCAGTCTTCAACATGTCCACCGTGTTTTGTTCGGTCGAGACTGGTTGCGAATCTTCCTCGGATTCACTTTCGATGGTCGATTGGCTTTTGCGTGGCTGGCGAGGGGCCATGGTGTGAGTTTGTAGGAGTTTCTTGAGGGCTGGATAACTGTAGTACTTCTCACCAAGTTTGGTTGTGAACTTGCGTTCGGGGAAGAAAGTTCGAGGGATGAAGTATAAAAGAGTAAGAGGCGCGTTGGCCAATCAGATACTAGCGCGCTGTCCGGCCCGCCTTCACCGATTTTTTGAGATTCAAAATCGCATCTTTTTCTCGATAAGAAACCCCCAAACCCAAATTCCGAGCAAGCTCTTCAACCACCAAGATGGGACTCTCGGAGGGAAAAAAGTAACAACTATTGACTCCTGATATTTGACTCCATATACTGACATAAGCTACAGGCGCATTAAGCTTTCTCACGACCCAAACAATACGGCATGGACCAACGACTCTTCGAGCTTCGGCCTCAAAATGATGACAGCCCAAGGCTGGCAACCTGGAGCCCTTCTCGGCGCAAAAGATGCCCCACACGCCGAATTCCACACCGCAGCCAATGCTTCCCACATCCGTGTCATGCTCAAAGACGACAATCTTGGTCTCGGAGCCAAAATCGGAAGCGGGGTCGGCCATGGGGAATGCACGGGCTTGGATATGTTTAAGAATATTCTGGGGAGGCTTAATGGAAAGGAGGAGGATGAGATTGCTAAAGAGCAGAGGTCGAGGGACGATCTTAGGAGGGCAGTTTATACGGAGAGGAAGTGGGGAAGTCAGCGGTTTGTTAAAGGAGGCTTTTTGATTGGGGATAAAATTCAGGATTTGATTGATGGGGAGGCCGATCGGTTGAGGAAACTAGGAGATGAATCATCCAACTCGAATGATACTAGCTCAGAGTCCGAATCTGAAGAAGAAGCCCCGGCCCCGGTTGAGAAGACCAAAAAGTCCAAGAAGCGAAAGGCTGATGCAATTGAAGAGGCTCCTGAGGTTGTCGCTGTGAAGGTCAAGAAATCGAAGAAGAAGCGGAAGTTAGAAGCAAGCTCGGAGGATGCGGAAGAGGTTGTAGCCAAGAAGGCGAAGAAATCGAAGAAGGATCGCAAATCGAAAGGAGAGACTGACGACACTTCTGATGAAGCAAGGAAGAGACGAAAGAAGGAGAGAAAAGAACGGAGGAAGGAGAAGGAAATTAAGAAGAATAGGAAAGAGAAAGACAAATCAGGATCCGAGGAAACGACGAAAACGTCCAAGAAGAAGTCGAAACGAGAGAAATCCGGCCTTGAATCTTCAGAGTCTTCACAAGCCACAACAAAAGAAAACACACCAATGATACCCACTCCGGCCCCATCAAGCGGGACCTCTACCCCAATGATGCAAGGACGACATGCTGTTCGGTCCCGGAACATTGCTCAGAAGCGTTTGGCGCATATGGATATAGCGTCATTAAACCAGGTAAGCTCTCCATTCCAGGAACTTTCGGCTCAATATGGGTTACTGATACTTCATAGATTTTTATGATAAAGTCATAGACTAGACTTAGACTAGACCTATACAAGTACTGTTTTGATATCCAGTTGAAGAGGCGACGCCTAAACTTAGATAAAATCTGAAACCACGGAGTCTAGAGTCTCCTAGAACCGATACAACTTCCTGCTTTCTGTATTCACTGGTCGGCACACAACCCATATCTCGCGATATCTTTCTTTCATCTTACCGTCAAAGTTAATGTCAACTTCAGGTAAAACTGTTTACCGACGAACATTTGTTTTTGATGGCAGTTTCTGCGAGTCTTAGAACTGGAAATCATACTCACAGGCGCCAAACTTTAATTCTTCCTTCCATTTTCAGTACCACCCGGCGCCAAGCGGCATCCAAACTCATGCCTTCTCCAATATCCTCTCATTTCACTGTATCGTTCGCCACTTTCCTCGTGTCTCTCAAGTGAGCGGGGAGTGCATTAGCTTGGTTTTGTTTTTGCCATTGCCCATGCAGCACTGTTATCACTATGGCTAGACGGTGTGGAAAGCCTAGTCATGTGAGACAAACGGTCACAGATATTCATTTGTGCTTATTTTGAGGGTCTGGAATAGTAAGCCGTAGCTTTAAAGAAACCGGTGTACTTTCAACGAAGGGAGAACAGGGATGGTGCAATGTTCTATGCGATGATGATCCTCTTTTCTGTATCAAAAAGTTTAATTCATGCCGTCCAACTCTAATGTCCCGATTCCCAACCCAATCCCGATTTCATTCGCCATCCTCCCATGCCAATAATCTGTCTCTAGCAAGACACCGAGAGTCGATCCAACTATCTGGTCGTACGTACACATCTTCATCTCTCCTCATCAATACGACTCCAACCTTCCCACACTACATCTCATACTCATCCTCCACACCCATAAAATCCTGCACACGAACCCGAAACATCTCCTCCGGCCTCCTCACCGGGCCCATCTCCAGCAACCCATCTCTATCCGTCCCACGACCACTCCCCCTCCCCACCCACCTCTCAAACACATCCCTCTCCCGCATCAGCGCCAGCCCAATGTCGCTCAACAGCTCCTTCCCCATCTCTCCCCGCTTCGCCTCAAACACATCTGCGTCGAGATAGAACGCCACCTGGTGCGCTAGAAGCCGTCGTATAGCGCTGTCCGGTGCCGTGTGCGCGCATACGTAGCCCCAGCAGCCCATGTATAGCGAGTGGTGCTCGCGGCGGATGGAGACTATGGCAGCCAGAACATCGTTTCGGAGGCGTGGGATTAGGAGCTTGGATGGGACGTTAGTTTTATGGTCTTTCTTGTACGGGTGATTAGGGGAGAGCGAGATGCTTTGAGCACAGAACGGTAACATATTCCTGAAAAGAGGGAAGAGTGGAGGGGGAAGTTTGGCTTACAAAGTCGGCGAGGACCCAGAGTTCAGCGAGTGAGCTGACTTGGACTTTCAGGGCGCTATGGTCGTCGTTCGGAAGTGTGAGGTCCACCGTCTGCGTGTACAGCCAGTAGACCAGGAGGCGGACGGCTCGGGTGGTTGTGTGCTAAGCTACGATCAGTACGTTTCGGTATTGAGGGATATACAAGGCTAAGGTAGACCATCCAGGGAATGGAACAAGAACAACATACCTCGAGCCCATAAACCTGCGTTTGTCCCTCAACAAACGGACTATTGAAGGCGGCGTTGAAGACGGGCGAGTGATGGCATGCGAATTCCTTGTGTACGACAAACACTTCGGACGTATTGTGGACTTTCAATTTGACAAGCTCTTGTGGCTTCCTGTTCCAGCATGTTGTTTTAGCTCTATTCCGTTCATTAAGGGAGGATGTTTAAGTATATTTTATTAGTTGTTTGGTTATTGCTTACCAGAATCCAGGTTCCTTATTTTCCATTTTAGGGATTGGTAGTCTGCTTTTCCGCGAGGAGAAGCGTCCAAGTATAAGCGCTTTGATAGGCGCCATTATTTGTGTTTATGTTTTGTAGAGTTGGTAATAGCAAGTTTAGATATCGATCGGATTTCCTTGGTGTTATTGCAGGGATGCTATGTGGTTGTGGGTAGAAGGGGGTGTTTTATAGCTTCTCGTCCGGGTTAGGAACTTCCTTCTTACGGCGCGGAGTTACAAGTATCATTCACCAAAGTTAGGTGGAAGGGACAATATTTCATTCACTCAAAAGTTGTTTATATGGATGCAAGTACTTAATGTATAACTATTGTTGCTTTCATCCCTGCGGGACATTCGCTTCCCTGGGACGTTTGCTTCCCCCGACTGTGAATGAAGCGAGTGAAGGAACCGACTATTAGTCGAGTAACGGTAGAAGTACAGAATCATAATCGGTAGCCGATAACGGGGTAGAAAGGGCAATGTCACAATACGTTTCCACTGGGAGTTATATGAGTAGGTGTATTGTTGGGTTCACAGAGGCAGCAAAGGTCACGAATCACATCTTAAATCTTTACAATATGAGGTATCAGGCAAAGCTTCATTGTATCGTAACTCATCCCACAACCCCGCGCAAGGTATTCCAAAGCAAAGACGAAAGCTGACATATCAGTCATGGTATCTATAGAACATAAGAAATCGTTATGACCAGGCATCTATATATACAAAGAGGAAAATTGGTAACAAATCCACTACCAGCTTCATAAAACAGGTTTTACCAAAAACTGATTTCATTGGGGGCCATAATAAGGCATGTTCTGTGGTGAATGTTGACCATAAGAAGTATTACTTCCAGGTGCACGACTCATAGGCACTTGTTGGAAATTCTGCGCGGCATTTACAGCCATGGAATCATAACCGTAGCCGGAATCATTGATGCCAAGCATATTCGTGGTTGAATAATTTGAAACAGCAGCCGGGGCAGACGTATAGTCTTGTGGCATGGAAAAGCCAGAGGCTTGATTGGAGTTGTAGCTCTGATCAGATATCTGATGAGAGAAGCTGGCGTCTAAAGAGCCATAACCGCGAGATAGATCCACCTTATTAGGCTGCGAGAATCCAGAATTGGCAGGTGCAAACCCCTTGTTTTGGTTGACATGGCTAACATTACCGGAGTCGAGCGACCCAAACGCCCGGGGTTGATCCATCTGGTGGACGCCAAAAGCATTTGGGTTAGAGTACATATTGTTTTGAGCATACATGGTTTCCTGGGTCATTGGTGTAAAATTTGTAGATGATCCAGTGGTTTGGTAGTACGTCGAATGATTGAATCCCGTTGAAGGATAAGGTGAAGGCATGGGGACATGGGGCGAGATGCTGTCCATATTAAACGGACTAGCAGATTCCATTTTTTCCCTACCCCCAGGAGTTATGGGAGTCAAGATTTGCTCCACCGGGCTGATGATTGTGTTGGCATCAACATTTCTTGCTGCAACAAGTTTCAGAACGGGTAGACTGATGTGTTCCATGTGTTTCGCCAGATGAACTGTCAACTTCTTCCATGTCGCAAAGGATCTCCCGCAGAATTTGCAAGGCTCATCCTGTGGTCGATTCTGCGTTTCATGGTGGCACTGTTCTAACATTCCCCACGCTGGCTCAGTCAACCGAGCCTTCTTGATAGCGGCTTTGGTCTTTTGCTTCGGCTCTGGAAGCTTGTGCTCCCGAACAAGATGTTGCAGAAAGTTATCTTTGCGATAGCAAGGGTGTCTGCAATCCTCCACTTGACATATCCACCATTCCAAGTGACGATGGCGCTCATTCTCATGTCGAACCCAATCAGCCTTTCTCTTGAAGGACTTTGGTTCCTTGCACTTGTCGTACGTGCAAGTAAATGGCTGCACGTCTTCATGAACATGTTTCGTCCAATCTGAAGGCTTCTGAAACTTCTTGGCTTTAAAACACAGTTGACACTCAAACTCGGCTGGAAGATTGCGCGTTGGGGGCATTGGGACGCCCTGAGGAAATGTTTCCCCATTGAGAGCACCTTCTCCGGGATTGGAGTCATTGTCGGAAAATTCTGTAACAAGCTGCAAAGGTCCAGTCTGCTCTGCGTCGCGCGGCTGGCCCTTGGCGTCTAGCAAAGTAGCACTTCCTCCTAGGGATATGCAATGACGGCCTGCTGCACAGTGCTGGTTTCCAATGGCTTGCGAGTGCTTGACCCGTAGATCAAGCAGATTTTTATATCGTATTTCTTGTTGGTGTGCAATCCTGCTTACTAGCCAGTTGTATCGAGGGTCCATGTCACCATTCAAACGCCGGACATGAGCTTTGAATCCTTCATAATTGGGTACTATAGGATCCGCTTGCTCGTCTGATTCGACCTTCATGTCGGCGTCGTCTCCCTGCTCGTCGTCATCATCCTCATCCTCGTCCAAGTCCTTCGGTTCCGCTTGCTTTGGTTCGGGTTCGATTGGCGGTGAAGCCAGCGTGGGAAGTGGTGGACCTCCCTGACCTCTCCAGAGATCAACAAGGCCTATCTGGCCCACCTTCTCTTGTGACGTCAATTCACTTCTGCTTCGAGCGCGCTTGATCACAGATCTGATACCAAGATGATTTGGGCTCCTGGGGGAAGTCGCCGTTGCGCTGACTGATCCAGAACGCGTATGAGTAGCTCCCACGGCGGCGAGGGGGCCAGCCATATATGCAAAAGCTGTGTTGATGCTCGGCGTCGGGCGTTTGCCAAAACTCGAGGTCCGCGGTGGAGGCGCCAGAGTGCCCTGGCTGTTCTGTCTCGAATGGGGCATTGCGTGAACCTCTTCCGGAATGTTCTGTGTACTTCGAGCACGCTTCAGCTTGCTATCGCTCCTGTTACGAACGATATTTGCTATTCGATCAAGCCCTTGGTCAAATAAGCTGTTCTGACGAGGCCTTTCGTATTCTTTTGACTTGCTAATTGACAGTTTCTTGAGGAAACTGCCGTCCGCAACTGCATCGAAATCTGCCAGGCTGGGCTCACTACGCCGCCGAGTGCCCCAAGTGGCTGCACGTGAGGCAATGGAAATTGTATCCGCATTCCGCTTGAATTCTCGAATGGCATCGTTTGATGTCGGGGGTTGAAATGTGGTTGTCAGTGCGAACGGAAACGATGGTGCGTCGTTCCAATGGCGAGGCTGTTTCATTAATTGCCTATCGGCCTCGTTGAGAGGGGCGCCATCCTTTCCCTCGGGGTGGTAATATACTTGACCCTCAATTAATCTGTTCTCATGTACACTTTCGGCGTCATCAACCAGGGGTATATTATTATTTTCCTCAGCAGCATCGCGTCCAGGGCCCGACTTCGATTGTTGGTACCACTCCTCATTGTTCACAGGAAAATAGGATTGGGCAGGCTTTTCATCATCCGCATCACTACTCCCGCCAGCTTGAGACCTCCACTCCTGGACCTCGATGTTTTTGTTTTCAATGCGCCGCCGTTCTTCTTGTTCTTTTAGATTCGGAACTTCTGCATTTGAGATTACTTTGCGTCTTTCCGGGTCCAAACCCGATTGGCGGGTCCTGTCATTCAACATCCAGGATCCATCTTCGTCTCGCAGAATATGTGCTTGGGCATGCATCATGTTTGGATTTGGTAATTCGGCACCAAAATCTCCCATCTGGTTATAATGGCCAACAGGTTGAACAAAGGCTCCCAGTCGACTTTGTTCGTGGTCTCCCCATTGAGACACAGTGACATGCGGACTACGCTCGAGATGGGCCATGGTGCTCGGCTCAAAACTCTCCGCGCTTGTATGACTGCTTCCACTTTGATCAGGAGTCAATTGAACAGTCGAGTTATTTGCTGGAATAAGAGGGTCAAAGGCCGGAAATTGCGAGGTGTGTAACTCGTCATTCAATGGGCGCCGAGAGGTTGTTGTGTTCGTCTTCAGTTCATTGGCAATACCTTTTGGAGATGATATATCCGGCACACTGCTATTTACCGGACTTAGCGGGTATGTTGATGCCGTAAAGGTCTCGGTCGATGGTTTGCTTTCGAGTTGAGGTGGGAGGTCTGGCAGAGAACGGTTGAAATCAGGCGGCTGGTAAGTGTCGCTCGAGAGAAGATTCGAAGGGAGCGAGTCAATTCTACTGAAATCTACCCCGAAAAATGGATCTTCGATCTCAATCTCGCTGAGCTCGCTCTGTTGGTAGGTACTGTATTCAGAGAAGCTGTCGCCAGACGTGCTATTTAGGTTATTCGACGGACTCGTGGAATTGCTGTTGATTTGAGATTGGTTACAGGGAGATAGATAATTGTTACTGAATGGCGGATTGTTGAAAGGTGTACTGTTCAGCCCCAGGTCGTCGACGAGTTCTCGTGATTGTCGAGGGTCAACAGAAGTAGAAGCAGAGTTGTAAGTTGTTGAAGACATCTGTGGGACAGGTGCAGGAGGCTATGTACTCCTGAGGAGCTTTATAAACTGTTGCACTCGCAGGCCTGTCCAAAGGTCTTTGGGGGTGGTCAGTAGGCAAGCAACCAGGAAGTGGTCATTGTGCAGCCTTGGGGATAGGTCGGAGTGTGCTATGCAATGCTTCGTATGCGGCGCGGCTGGCCAGTGTACAGGCCAGGTGGAGAAACAACAGAACAGGTGAAGCGCTGAGACGAAGCTGTAACGACGTAAAGATACGCAAGATTTCAAAATGGGACTGAGTCTGAAGAACAGCTTTAAAACAGTAAGTTGAAGAAGATCGAAGGAAGGCCGCTGGCGCAGGAATAAGCGTAGGGATGTACTTCGTAAGAGAGAGGAGAGTGGGTCACGATTGCCGCCCAGAGGCTAAGATAAGATGGGATGCGATGGGATGTGAGTGAGGGGGGGCATCTGTTGGTGTTTTAGAGAGACGAGACGCTTCAAAAAGAACGCCTTGTGCTTAAGCCCGTCAACCCAGATGCAAGAAAGGGCTCGAGAACCACAGACACGACCATCCAAAACTGCTGCTGTGGCAGGCCATCAGAGCTCGCTCACGGTGAGAACATGCAGGCACCTCACCTGGCTGACAAAATCCCTTCCATAGCGCCCAACAGCGCCGAGGAAGGCTGGGAGAGAGCGGGTCTGATAGGAGGAGGCTCAAATACAGTCTGCTTATGACAGGGAACGGGCAAGGCAGACAGAATTGAGAGCAGAATCAGCCCCAGTCCTACCCTACCCCCAAAGCTCGCAAATCCGTGGCTGTGCACGGCGCAGCGATCGCCATCATTTATTCTTCGACCCGAACAGTCTCTGATCCATCATTGAAAGATGCTCATGCTTTGCTATTCCCCAGAGATGGCATCAATTAATCAATGGGTGCGTTTAGTGAAGATTGTGGCCCTAGGTAAGTACCCTAGGTCGATATCAATATCAATGATATCCTCAAGCAAATAGAAGATATCGCATGGAGCATTCGAGCTTCCTATCTCCGTTCCGTTTCATGAACTACTCCATCTCTTGCAGTCTGCAATTTCTCAGAATCCCATAGTCGGGGTGGACAGCAGAAAATGTCCCAGAGAGGCACAGCCTCTCCAAAAGCAGTGACCGATTTCTATCTCCGCAGCAAGTCTTTTGCGCTGCCCTGCCCCACCTTGGAAATCCACAGCCTCGTGTGTTTCATCAAATCAGAACCAACCACTTTTGTGAAATTGTTGCATTTTCTTTCTCTTATTACATTGATTCTGACCTCAGAGTATGACTAGAGGTAAGCAACAGTATGTTTCACAAAGGAAAAAAAGCCAGCCCAAATCAAGGCCAAGCTCAGATCAGAAGCCGTTGCCGATTCAAATCGCCCGAGTTGCCTTAGTTTACAAGTGGATTCTTATATAAAAGAGCGCTTGTGTTGTTAGACGCGCGAATGGAGAATTCCGTCCCTACACTAGCAATATCAAGTGGAATTTCAATACTTTTCATTGCGTTATGTCTCGAGCCTATGTAGCCGAGTGCAGGACACGACTTCTCAAGTGTTAAGCTTCCCAGTTCAATAAGCTTTTCTTCGCCAAGGAAGATCCAACGTGTATCTCGTTGTGCAGCAGTCATGTTTCTTGGCATAAACTTCGGTTGAAGATTGCTCTTCAAAATCCATTATTGATGCCGCCATAGTGTTCCTTTGAGTTATCGACCAGTCAAGTAGGACGGACCTCATATGACCCCTCACTTCAAGCCGGACAAACTCGCAAAGATGCGGGGATCTACATGCGGTGTGAGTATATTTCGTTCGTGCGTATCCCCAGAAACCCCACTCTTCAACCTCCACAATGTTACTTGAACTCTGATGGCACCCGAGATCTGGCCTCGGTATTCGTACTCTTTGATTGAAAGTACTGGAAATATGACAAGAACTAAAGTAATACCGCCAACGGCTGGCGATTTCGATGCACTTGAGGCGATGGAGCCTACTGAATATGCAGCGAAAGAGAAAAAACTTGTTCGAAAAATAGACCTCAGGCTCATGCCTTGTCTCATTTTCATGATTGTTCTGAAGTACACCACCGCCTCAGGTGTAAGCTGAAATTTTTGACAATAATGTTTAGCTATCTCGATCGGAACGCACTAGCAAATGCCCGAGTTCAGGGAATCGAAAAATCTCTCGGTCTTCATGGCGACCAATTTAATACGTGCATCTCGGTTCTCTTTGCTGGTAAGCAACCGTTTCTTTCTTTAGTCCATCCTCAAGTACTAATTCATTAGTAGGATATATCGCGCTTCAGATACCCTCCAACGCCATATTAGTTCGGACGCGGCCAAGTATTTACTTGGTAAGAGGATATCTGCCGTATTATTGATTGTGGTTCTAATTTTTTGCTGCCCGTATGCATGGCGGTTTGGGGCATCGTATCTGGCTTAACAGCTGCGGTGCATAACTATACTGGCTTGGTTCTCGTCCGGTTCTTCCTTGGATTTGTCGAGGCGTCAGTACCAAGCTCAACAATATTTTCATGATTGCTGATACGACCCAGCCCTTATTTCCCTGGAGCTCTATTTCTACTTTCGAGTTGGTATACCAGAGAGGAATTAGCCTTGAGAACCTCGATCTTGTATGCTGGAAGTCTTCTTTCGGGAGGCTTCGGTGGCCTTGTTGGAGCAGGCGTCCAAGCGGGTTTGAATGGATCGCGTGGAATTGTTTCCTGGAGGTGAGTTCTTCTTGGAGACTCAATGTCCATATTCTGATTTCACTGAGATGGCTCTTCATAATCGAAGGATCGGTTACCGTCTTTGTCTCCATATGCGCTTCGTAAGTCTTCTATGCACATAACATCCAGCAATTACTAACGTATTCAGGTTCATCATCCCAGATTTCCCGCATACGTAAGTTGATTTCCCGGGGCATGATTGATTTTTCTACTGCGGGTGTTTCAGGGGCGTTTAGTCTCTTAAGAGCTTATTCCTCTCGAGAAATTGTCACTCGGGCTTTAAAATTCAGACAATACTGACTACGAGATGTTGATAATAGGACTAGATGGTTGAGCCAGGAAGAGAGAGCTATTGCCACGAAGCGGCTTCAGTATACAAGTGGAAGCCATGACACTGAACGTGGCTCGCTTTTCTCCGGTGTCAAGATGGCTGTCATGGACTATAAAGTCGTAAGTTGTTGCTCGGAATATTTGCAAGAAACCCCAATATTGACTTACCTCTCTTCTCTAGTGGCTCCTAGCGTACCTACTCCCCTTTCCATTATTTTACACCATCAACTAATTCCTTCCAGGGTGATAATCATAACCAAGACTAGTGCCGGTGCAGTGACATCCTTGTACATCTCTCCACGAACCTTTAATCCGCATCTCAAGTACTCCGCTGATAGAATCGTCACAGCATCCCCACGCTCGTCGCGACCTTCAACTATAGCCGTGTTGATACTCTCCTCCTCGTCGCTCCTCCTTACGTCTTCGCCACCATCATTGCTCTCGCAATCTCCTATTCATCCGACAAACGCCACGAGCGTTGTTTCCAGTAAGTCAAGTTTTGGTCCCATGCCGGGATTTCGTGGCAGTCTTAAGCTCTCTACTAAAACCCCCCGCCCCAACGAAAAGGCCAAGCTAATTCCATGCATAGCATCGTAGTCCCCATCTTCTTTGGCATGGCAGGTTTCATAATAGCAGCCTCCACCACGATTCTCGCAGCACGGTACCTCAGTTTATTCCTGATGTTAGGAGGTGTCTATGGCTCCTATAACGTAGCTCTCGCTTGGATATCCTCCACCCTCCCCAGGCCCGTGGAGAAGAGAGCAGCAGCAATCGCCCTGGTCAACACTGTGGGGAATATAGCCCAAATATACTCTCCATATATGTACCCCAAAAGCGACGGACCTAAGTATTTGACAGCTATGATTTGCAATGCGGCTTTTTGTCTGGCCTGTATTGCTGTCACGCTCGGATTACGTTGGTGTCTCATGAATGAAAATGATAAATTGCAGATGCTCGAGGTACAAAGCGCTGCGGACGCCGCGGATTCCGATGGTGTGAAAGCCACTCGAGAGGAGATTGTTGATGTCAATGCTGCGGGCGGGCTCGTAGTCCTAAATCCTGGATTTAGGTATGCGCTCTGAGGGTAGACCAGAAAAGTGTTTTGTCGCATGCTGGTCTGGCGAGAGGCATTATGCGAAGTCAGTCAAGTCAGGCTGTTCCACCTGTGTCGTCTGCTGTAACGCTTTAGAGGTATTGGGAGTCATTTGTTGCGATATTAGACGAGTAGGATATCCTCACTCCAAGCACCTTTGAAACCAAACCAATTCAGATCATCATCCATCTCATCCACGAACGCAATCTCGACCTGCGTGATCTTTAGCTCGGCGCCGGTGTTAAATCCAGCCTTGGTCCTGTCCTCCTTTCGCGCTTATTTAGACTGGGAATAATTCGAGGTAGTAAAAAAAAGGAGGCGTACGGAAAGGGTAGGAAAGGCTAGGAGAAAAGAGCATGTATAAATGCATTGAAAGTTAGATGAGTTTGGCCATGCTGCCCTCCAAGGCTATTTCAAGAGTCCGGGGTGTAAGGAATTGTATTTCTAAAGGAAACATTATACCCGGATGGAAATCTTAAGTGAATAATGTCTAAACCTCCGGAAGAGAGTAGCCGCTTGGTCTACAATTACAGTCAAGGTACGCAATGAGAAGAGCTTCTTCGGTAATAGCAAAGCTTCACCCCTGAAGAAGTTGGACAATATGCCAGTAGCCAATTGAGCGTGGATGAGACTTCACCAGAGCCAAGCCAGTAGCACATACCGAATTAACGATATACATAACTTCCAGCTCTCCTAATTGCCCAAAAACACTAGGTGATTCAAGAGCTTTTGATACTTCAGAGTCCCAAACGAAGTAGGAGATTCTCCTCATTGAGAATAAGAGGATGATACGTCGAAATAGTGAGTTCTGGCCTAGCTACGGAAAGGTTGTAGGTAACCGCGAGAAATTTTATGAAGCACTAAGTGTATAATTGAAGCTTATTGTGAAGGAATCCAATCGTGATGTGTTATGCAGCATTCTAATAAAAGAAGTACCCCTAATAGAACGTGTGGGATTTCCTTTCCCAATTGCAAATTATAGCCAAGACTATCTACAGGCTACCGCGCGCCGTGAAGCTCTTTGCCAGCCTTCGCCGCTGAAATTATAAAAAGAAATGTCGCAATGAACGCAGAAAGATCGGGAAGATCACTGCCAGTTTTGTTCAAGGACACTTTATCAGCCCTATGTGTCGTGTCATGAGGTTGAAACCCAAGGGGTCTTTCTGGAGTCTCATGAGATCCTGATGGATTCTTTAGCTGCATATGCAAATACATCCGAAAACAATATATCTTGGGCCATTTTTATTCGGTTTCGGGACTAGCAAGTATTCTTCGCAGTAGCGCTTACGTTCTGGACACTTTTTAAGGTAGCCAGAATCCTTCAGCACTGCAGCAGAAACCCATACAGTAAACTTCAGACCTCGTGCTTTTAATGGCCACGTGGAGAAGTGGGAATTGCTCTGCATCTGTGCCGTCTCATGTGCCACTCCTCTACATGCCAACCCCACAAACTAGATTGACTTGAATCTTATAAATAGCGTCAGGTTTATTTATACTCGATTTTTTATTAAGTTTGACTGTCCCATTATAAATACAGTACTTAGCTTAGATATATAGAATCCGGTAGGTCTGACTGGCTCTTACCCTAGTATAGATCCTCAAATCTATAAGATACAAGCAATCTTGGAGTGAGCCTCTAAGTTGGGGCCTTGTAATGGTCGGATTTGAGCTCTTTAAGTGATGCGGAATATACATCTATGGAGTGAAAACAGGGGGATAATCAGACTTAAAGAAAAAGTGAGTAAATACAAATACGAAAAGCCTCTTCTGCCAATAAGATTAATAAAAAGGCTAAAATCAATGAATCGCTTTACACATCTCACAATATCTAGGTATCATACACTTAATGATTGCACGGAGGATCACACTTGGGACACATTATATACTGATAGCGCAATATGATACCAATTCTGGAACGAGTATGCAGGTCGCTAGAAGTAGATTGGGCAAGGGATGGATGATGTTGCATGACTCTGTAGCCAGAAGATGGTGGTGTACTCGCACCCAACTTGCTTGGCTAGTCTAATCCTACTCGCTGAATACTTGTCCCCATTATTATTATTGGTATAGAAGATAGCAAGTAACCATGACACACACCAGAGAACGAGATAAAAGAACAGGGAAGGGCTTGCTGGAGCTGAAATTCCAAAGGAGAACCAAATTGTAGAACTATGCACTCTTGACTTCTCACAATTCCACCTAGGTTTGTGACTTGTATGACCAGCGCGTTTCAAAATAGACCGCAGAACAATGATGTATGCAGCCTTTATTATGTTGTCCTTGAAGCCTCGATGAATTAAGAATCGTGATCTGAAAGATGAGGCGAGAATAGTACCGAGAGCATAACGCATGAAACAGTTCAATCAGTTAGGGTCCAGTCAGATAGCCTTCTGGTAACGATGCTGAGCTCAGGCTTAATAAGCAATACAGATTCCCCAGCTGATACTTCCGAGGATTCTAATTTTAGAGGTTCGAAAAGAACCTACGGTATGACAGCAGTGTTTCGATATTGTGCAACCTTGAACACCTGGCGTTGGTCTAGAGAAGCATATCAACAGAGAGAAAGACTCCCAGGATAGCTGCAGCCACGCAAATATGCAATCTAGTTGCATTGACGCTCGAGCTGAGGTAATCACTATGCCGAGCATACCCTTCAATCGATATTGAAGGTCTCAACCCCAGGACAAATTCCGCGATGTGCACAGTTCCGTCCATAAAAATACGACTAGCTCGTGGGATAAGTAGTGGACAATACCCAGGAAAGCAAGTTTTCCTTATATTTGCATACTGTGTTCCTTATTTGCCAGCATCAGCATTATATGACGGGATTGGAGGTTTGGGATGTCTTCTCTGTCCAGGCGGGGGGAAAGTCGTTGAAGACTCCAAAATAGAATAAACGGTGTAGTTGGTGATTAAAGGTGGGTTGAAACATATCTACCTGTGAGGCATCGGGATCTGCCCGCAATGGTCAGGATCTACCTTTAGGCAAATCTCGTGGGCTCGTGGCAAGCTAGGATGCTCCATATGGGAATTTAAGGCGTGGTGTCAGTGTGTCACCCCTTGACCTGCTGGAGTTGTAGATGATCGCCGTACATGCTTCTCTGTGCCAATCGGAAGCTCTGCTCTGGCACTCTTTAGTGGAGTTGGGCTGTCAGTGGCATTCCCCGAACCAAACTCGCTGAGTCGCTGTGCACCTCTTCGAGCCCCAACAAAAAGGAGGCTGATTGAAAAATCTGTCGGTGTCCCTTTCACCCAGTCAAGCAGCTGCGATGGCTAGATTATTCAACAGCTTGTACAGGAGAGGCAAGTCCCAAGCTCCTCGGGACCGACCGTTAAGAGGTTGACGATTCAGAAGAGGTTAGGTACGATGAGTATTCAGCCATCAGCTATCCACCACCAACAGCCCATCCACATTCCTAATCTAACACTGGCGGAAGCATGCTCCCGGAATACACCTACGTAGTACTAGTAAGGAAAAAGAAGGTTCGGAGGCGTCCACCGGCGTTTGACATGACAGCGCCAGTCTCTCTCTCTCTCTTAGTCTGAAATGATCGGAGCAATACAAAAGATCTTTCCCAATTGCTGGGGCCTGGTCATGTGATGCACCGAGGTAACGATGGTTGGAGTTCCAACAATCATTGATGGTTGTCTCACCCTATGCAAACGTACGGCGTGCGCATTCTGTAGCATTGACCCTAAAGTCTAGTGGTTGCGTGCGAAATACTGTTGCAAGCTGCTATACGTTCCGTGCAGCCGGAAGTATAGCCGGAAAAGCCCACAAGTATATATTTCGGTATGATATGATTTGCTTGCCTCTTCTCGTTGATATGCAATAGCAGTAAGACGCTATTACTCGATGCGTGGCTCCCTTGACTTTTAATGCATGATTCAACGCGCGCGTGGCATGTCTGCACTGACTCTGCAGTAGCCCGGGGGAAGATTGTATGAGATCAATCATCAACGTCTAAATATAGACAGGCATCCTTGTCTCTGGAAAGCGAACATCTAAAATTTGCTCGACTACACTACCTGGCTGTCCTGCAATTTCTGTAGAGCCCAACCCAACTTCCAACAGAATGAAGTCACTGGGCCACTGGGTGCGAGTGGGCAAGAAGTGCTAGCTTCGAGACCCCAGAACCATCGCCGCTTCGGGATTTGTGCATCATTGCTAGCTGCTCGCTTCCTATGTCCCAATGCAGAAAGCATTGGTATCAGCTACTACTCTAGCCCAACTTCACGAATATTGCCAAGGCATCTCGCATCCATTATTCATACGAACAGTAGCAAAAAAGACATACGTTATTTCATTGTATTAAGTAAACCTAGCCTACCTTAGGCGTGGGTTTACTCTAGCTTTACGGAGTATAGCAACCCCCCGGTGAGATAGATGGTCAAGGTCATTGACCAAATGTTGCAAGCGATGTGGATCGACGACCCCAAGCAACGACCAGGGTTCCATAGACGTGGGGAATCTATGATCACCTTTAGCGATATCAATGCAGGATGAGTTCTGAGGTACCTTAATTTCCAGACTGCTTGAAGCTATGAGTCAGCGGCGCAAAGCCTACATGGGGTATACCAGCTGGGGATAAAGGGGATAAAGCAGACGGAAATACGAAGTAGGTAGGAGCCTTCGACTTGACAGTATCAGTAACAATGCTTGCCACGGGCGGATAAGGCGCCCGAGCGAGAGGACCCCTGAGGCTAGAGGCCTGAACTGTGTGAGATGGGATGGGATGAGGATTGGGAGAGACTGGGACTGGGATCAGGATGGCGTGGGGCAAGAAACAACCATAGAAAAATTAGTTAATTCCAAGGGTACCTACTGTATTCTTTCTTTCTACATCCGAGCAACAACACTACTACGTATTGTGGTTGCAAAAATCCAAAAGAAATTCTGGCAGATAGTGGGGGTTGGAGAGAAGAATGCTCTCTAGCTGGCTGCAACGCTGCTCGATGCTGTACTCCGTATGGTTCCCGACTTCTCCATACCTACTGCAGGGCTCATCGCTGCGGGTGCGGATCATTCATAATTCTGGGTCGTTTGTATAGCAGCAGCGCAACTTTGGGACCTGGGTCGTCCGCTGTCATCGGCGAGTGAAAGTTAGTGAAGCCGTGTTTGGGCTAGCTTTGGTTTATGGGCACCCCCTAAAAGCCCTGTGGCGCAACACTAAAAAATGACTATCGAACGCCGATGATCTCGCAACGATCACAGTGGGCTCTCTCTGTGATAGCCCCTTTAACAGCGTCCTAGCGGTCAGCTGTCAGGCCCTCTGGCGGCTTCAAACTTCAAAGCCAGGCTGACTCCCCGGGCCTGAGCAGCCTGCAACTGCCTGGAGGCAATTCGGTGAGCTCTGTACGGAGTAAGCGTAATACACTGATGGGATCGCTAGTGTGAAGCCCGCATACCTAGGTACTGTACTGATTCCCAGCTGGCAACTAGGACCATCCCATGTATCTTTATATCACGGTAAGCAAGTCCATGGTTAGAGCCTCTCAGACTGATCCTCGACGGACCTGACAGAGCATCGTATACGAAGTACAGCATCAGAATAGAAAAGTGGTGCGCCAGGGGGTCAAGGATACAGGGCGAACCGTGCCAGGGCTGGAGCTGGTCGCGCGTGCTTACAAGCATCAAATTGATCCGCCTCGACGTTCCAGTAGCTCCCCCCCAGGGGGGAGCTAGCACTTAATGTTACCCAATCTCGTGGCGTCGCAAAATTCAAACCCTCAATGTTGGTCTCAAGTCCCTACTAGGCTCACAGATACTTGAAGATCATGATATGCTTCCTCTGAACCTTCTCCATCTTCTTCGCCACCACCATGATCCACCACCACCACAAGTTCTATCTTGAAACTTGACGGAGTCTTGTCCAAGATACAGTCATTGCAGGTCTTTCATGTCTTACTCTTCGTCATTGGAATCTAACGTCCTCGGGTTCTTTCCTGGCGCAACCAGTCCACCATAAAGATTACAGCCATACCTATGCTGCAAGCGGCGTGTAGACTTCCTCTCCCATTCGCTGTGCTGGTTGTTAAACTCCCCACGAAGACTGCTTAACCAAACTTGACTGTCCTATCTGCCACCTGCAATTAGCACTTACATCAAGCCACCCCGCTGTCGATTCGTCTCCGCACCATCACCTTGGAAGAATACACAAGACAAGTCCTTGATATCCCCTGAAACCGGCACCCATTTCTGCTTGTACTCGTTCCCGCCAGCCTGTGTCCCGCCTTCAAACACCAATGATAGTGCTGCGCCCAACTTAAATCGACCTCACAGGTTTCTCCGTCAGCTCGCTTTTTGAATGCGATTATACGAGGTCAAGTTCGTCCTTGGCCCATATTGCCAGATTCAACTTCTCAAGAGGAGTCAAACTAGATCCTAAAGAATTCGAGATCGGGGAAGGAATTGAAGGCGAAGACTCTGTCGGGCATGTATACGGAAGACGCTCAAGCCATTCTTTAGAGCCTGATTCGTAAATCCACTCGCATGGGAGTCAATCGCAATTGATGGCAGTCTCGGTTCTAACACCACTTTATTCGAAGCCAGACATGTGGAATCTGAATGATTCTCCAAATACATTCACTTCTGCCGGAACTGAAGCCATACGAACTTCTATGGCATATCAATATCCCTCGGCAACACCTGGTTTGGAATCTTCGAATATGATCCCGAGTTTTCACCACCCTCCTTCAGACCACGCACAACCAGATTCACCAGATTCAACAGGCATCCGAAACACAGGAACTTCAGCGACATCAAAATCATCAAAGATAAAAAGATCAATGTCCACCCCAAATGTACGCGGGCAGGCGACGGCGGAGGCAGCCGCACTTGCATTGTCCGCAGATAAAAGGAGAAACAAATTGGGCTACCACAGAACCTCTGTCGCGTGTGGTAAGCACATCTACCAAGTTCGATGCAACAGATGGACTGTCGCTGTGTGGAAGAACGACAACTGACTTCAAGCTTAGGCCACTGTCGGAGACGGAAAATTAGATGCATTCCCGCTCCAGCTGATGCCCAAAACCGCTGTTCGAATTGTATTAGGTTGAAAAAGGAATGCAACTTCTACCCCGTTGACCAGCAGCCAGATCCTAGACGTCCCGATTCTCAAGCGCAGAGCGGTACTGGAAGAATCTCCGAAACATCGTCGCCTTCGACATCTTCTGGTCAACTACCAGAAATTTCCTCTTCTCTGCCGTACCCCCCTTTGAACATGCCACCTATTCAAGACCTCGGAGGGCCCCAGATGAAGCGCCAGAGGACAGAAAGCTTTTCTCCAGAGAACAAAGGTCAGAGATCTCTTGATCCTCGAAACAACAGATTTCCTGAAAAGGTTGCAGTTGTCACATCATCCCGCAATTTCGACTACAACCAAGGTACCACCAACTGGATGGCTCCTGATGCTTCACCAAATACCAAACACCAGACTGAGATGCCCCAATCTTACTGGCGGCCAAATCCGCAGGATTCACCTCTCACTCCCGCGTTCTCCCCATTCACACCTAGCTTGCAGATACCACCACAAAACTGGCCAAACCCTCATCCAGAGCATAGCCCACGAGACGATTCAAACTGGTCTGCACCACAGCGTTCCATCTCTTACGGCAATCTGGAGGGCTTACAAAATCACCAACCATATGCGCCTTACACAAACACACCCGCAACTCCCGCCACAGATCATTACACCACGAAACCCCGTGGGCAACATTCTGGGATGTACCCACCTCCAGTTTTGACTCCAACGAGTGCCATCACAGCCCCGACGTCCTCGTCAGGATACGAGGCAGTTCATCATCCTCACTCTGCAGGCCCGTTGCCATCCGCTCCATTCCAAACATGGCAACAACCTTACACGTATCAGAAGCCTGCTGGGTCTGGTGCTGAAGGATATGGTGCTTATGCTCCTCAGGAAGCACTTCCTCGTCCGCCTGGGTATGCGGGACAGGCGCATCCATCTCAGCACCAAGCGTATGGGTATCCCTCTCCAACGGCTGGAATGTACTACCCGGGACAACCACCAGGCCGATGAGGAAAGCGTTGGCTTGGCTTGTAAATAAGGGGGATTCGAGGGAGGTTGCGAATCTCGGGGCGTTGCGAGAGATTGTTGGTCGCAATACTTGAGTAGCAAGAGTTGAAGGAAGACTGCTTAGGCTAAAGGTCTTGCTGAAGAACAGTCACAGATGGGAAGGACCTCCGTCAGTGGTGTATATTGTACCAATAAATAACGCTTTATGACTCTCTACGACCGACAACGTGCGCAAATGAAGCGTTGATCTCATGGACAAAGTCCGGAGAAAGACTTGTTGAACAGGGTTGCGGGGAAGGAAAGGACATGGCCGTGGAAGACTTGCGTGGATTAGATGTACACAAATGGCGGTATAAATAGGTCTCGTAGGCAGCCAAACTTGTAGAGCTTGCCCTGACTCTTTGATCTTCAATGGCTCGTCAAGTATTATGCAAAAAGCATTGCATGTCTCCGAATCTAATATTCAACTGCCAGATTTTGGAGGGGAAGCACTTGGTCTGGTCACACAATCACGGATCTTTGGTAGTGTGACCCAACCCTACTTGATCATCTAAGTTTAGCCTAGTCTCACAAACCTCATCTCATATAGTAGAGTACCTAGATAACGCTCATCTAAATCCTCTCTAAAATTGTGAGGGAAGATATTGTATCCTTCTAACTTTAGTATTCCTCCAAAGGACATTTTCTTTGTTTCTATACTTAGCTATAGTAGGTAATTCACCAACGTCTTTAAGGCAGGGGACTGGATTAGAATTGCGGCCCATCCCGTGCACTCCTTGTCTATCAAATCGTCTTGTCGTACAACCACCCACACCAAACCCCCACGAATGATCAAAAGAAGAGAAAGCACGCAATTACTAGGTTACACATCGGGGAATTCCAGACAAGATGACGGTACTAAGGCGCTTCGCAGGAATGTTCGAGGTAAGTCGCTCCACTATCGCATTTCAATCCGTCTCATCTCATCCCATCCCAATCCTTCACGCTTGGTGGGAAATTTCAAAGATACCATACAATGGAACTGATACACGCGCTACAGCCTCATCCCGAGGACCGTCTCCATCTGCGAACACACCGTGCCCGCTCTGTCGTCCTGACGGCGCAAGAGTTCGTTGCTCTCTCTTCCTTTCCGGTGCACAACTAACCCCGCATTCCCACACAGACTCGTCGAGATACGCGCCGCACAACGGACATTCGAAGGGGCGTATGTTCGCACAGCATTGGGGCAGTTTTCTTTCGCGCTTGTGGTGCTTAAGATTTTCACGGCCGAGTTCTACAGCATCGGCGCCCTGTTTGCGACATTCGGGGCGGGCATATTGCTTGTGAGCATGTACCGGCGGTACGAGGGCCATAGACAGTTCTTCAGTGAGGTAGGGGAGGATGGGCTGGGCAGAAAGAAGTTTAGGACGAGCGGGAATGCCGTGGTGGTGCTCACGGCGTTGAGTGTTGGGGCGTATGCCTCTTTGATCGCCTTGACGTTAAGGCTGGGGTATACTTGAGTGGGATGAGATAGGAGTTGGGAATTGATGATTCGGGATATGTGCGGATCGTTGGAAGACCTATCGGGACCTGCATAATCGTTTGCGGTCAGGGGCAAGACATATGGCACGCTGAGCGGATGTCATGCAGCCGTCGGTTTGAGACACCCATTGTCAGCCGCAGTCACGACCTTCAAAGGCTTCCTAATATGGGATATATATCATGCTGGACAAAAGGGCATACTGCTCCACACAAGAAATGTCGATGGGGATCGCTGGACGTCACTACAAAAATACGGAAAGCCAATAGTCCCGTCAGCTAACGGCGCGAATAATAGCAATTGAGACAACTCGGGATACTTGGTAGGATATGGATTCGCTATCCGCGCTATTATATACCAGAAGCTTTTGACAGGTTAAACTGTGAATATTCATCTCAATAGTAGGTTCCTAGTTGCTGCTTCATCCTCGTCTTCTGCACAGACATATGAGGCAGAGCCATACGTCTTGTACAAAAGCATAGTTGGCGATAGGATATCATTATACATTCATCCATTCCATTACAAGAGCTAAAGTGAAACCTTTGATACCTTCATCTTCTCTTCACTTATCCTAAACTCAAGTCTTGTTAGCAAAGCCCGTATTCTATTTCACAGGTCATATGCATTCTTAAATATGTTACACAGCGTTTGCTTATTTAAGACGTTCGCTCCCTCCGACTGTGAATGAAGCGAAGAAGGAAGGACCGAGTATTAGTTGTAGCATTCATGGTGGTGATAGAGCCTTGACAAAAGTTGATGCTGAGACAACCTGGCACAGGCAACCCACCACACTGACCAAGTCCAATAACATCTTAAAGGCTAGGATGATCATCCACATCCAAATACTATAGATAATAGACTACTATATTTAGAACATCATCAAACCAAGTAACGATAACATTAATTACAGAACGGTCATTCTGTACTTTATTTCCTTATCATGTGACACAAAGTCTATTCAAAACAAGGAGGCTCAATGAGAAGAAGCGTACGGAGAGAAAAGTTGCCCATACGAAGTTATTTAAACAATTTTAGATGTAATCCTTTTCATGGTACTTCAATGGGTTATTGAGGATGTGGAAGATTACCTATCTCAACTCGCCTTGTATGCATCCTGATACACACAATCTCCTCTCCTCCTTAAGAGGCCGAACCGACTCGCTGGGCCCAGCACATCATCAAATAAATCCCCGTCATCAAAACCCCAGCAAAGAAAGTATCTATTTTCGTGGTAAGTTCCTTCTTAAGCAATTCTCAGAACATCTTGCTGAAAGATAGTAAAATCGGAAGTAGCGAGTAAGAGGGAGGAGAGCGACTAAATGTTTTAGTTCATGGTGGGAGGAGGAAAGCTGCGAAAAGGAAAGGACGTAATATATCGATTCAGCTAGGTTTAGAGCGCCGGTTTTACAGTATTGACAAAACATCGCGAGGCAGCTCCTGTGACCGTTGGCGTGCGACAGATAGAGAATGTCGAAATAAACCACCAAGGGTCTTGATCCGCGAAGTGCTGTTGCACTTATAGTAAGTCTGATGTAGAGGTTTGTACTGTAGTATTCCGGATGCGTCCAGGTCCGTCGCCGACGTACTGGTATATTGCTTTTGGGACACGAGGAGCAATAGCTTCTTAACATAGTTGAAATTTGATGCTAATAAGGATGCAATGTGTATTGGAACCCCTCGAGTTATTCTCCATAAGAGGATTATATAATCAATCGCATCTTTGCTACGTACATTAGCTGATTAAGGAGGTGTAGGCCCAAGTGATTGTAACTCTTTACACTCACTGACCAGCCCAACCCCTCCTTTTCAAAATCTCCCATCCCGTCTGGGACATTCTGCTTTATTACTATAGCACCTCGAGTATAAAAAGCCGAGAGCAAATCGGGTGCAAAGATAGAAATGTGCTTTCACTCAAGTTCCTTGGTTTCGTAATCGTAAGTTCATATAGATATTAGTTACATCCGGTCGGCTATAGTAAATACCACCATCATGCCGCCTTAGTCGCAGGGGTAGCACTATTAGAGGCGACTTGCCCAGCACCCAACCTCTTCTTGCTAACCAAGCGCAACCCACCAAGCAGCATAATAAGAGCCTCCAATCCCAGAATCACAGCCAGCGTGACCATCGCACCAATAACACCAGCCACGGCCTTTGAAATTCCTCCGGAAGAAGATGACTGTGACGAGGCAGACGCGGATGCAGAGGAAGAGGAAGAGGAAGAGGTTGTCGAAGCACAGGCACCCGTCGAGTTCCCGCACTGCTGGCACCAAGTCGCCTGGTCACCAATTGCGAACTTGTTCATCTCGTCCACGAATGTAGGCCATGAGATCACGGTCTCTTCTTGGCCGAACAGCGGGTACGCAGTGAGAGGGTTCTCGGACGCTGTGCCGTTGGAGAAAAGGAAGCGGATGGATATTTGATCTGCGGATGGGTAGGAGGTGCTGTTGACTGTGGCATTTGTGACGAGTTCAAAAGTCATGGAAGAGGCGTAGTCAACGATGCCGGTGAAGTTTTCGGAGGCCTTGGGGAGTTGAGCGAGACCGAAGAATGAGAGGAAGGAGGCATAGGCGCCGAATTGAATTCCCACTGGTACTTTGCTCTTTCCCGTGATGGTGGTATTGAGTTGCTGTACGATTTGAGCTGCCAGAGTGCTGCCTGCGATGGCTCGTATGGTGTCTGAGGAGTTGTATGCGAGATTGAACTCATGGTTATCCGCGAGGGTCTGGAGTTGAAAAACGGTATCACTGGTGAGCAAACTGCTAGACTGGATAGTCTTATTATGGATTTGCGAAACATGTATTAAATCATAAACTATCTGGGGTCAGAGAGAAATATACATGCAATATCAAGTTTGCTTACCAGTATATGCGTTCTTGAACGTGTCATTAGCAGTGGTGAAAGTTCCATTGATGACAGGCAAAACGCTTTTATAGAAATCGGCCGTCGAGTTCAGCTTCTGTAAATACTCTGCGGAGTAGAAGTAGTTATTGCTACTGACAGTGGCGGATTCGCACCAAGATGAGCCCTGTAGCCAAGCCGAGTTTTCTGAATTGGCTGAAGATGAAGCGGACGCAACTGCGTTCACTGGAATGAGCTGAAAGCCACTCAATGGTGAGGTAACATTTGTTCCATTGGCCAAACTCTGAGTCCCCAAAGTGGTGCCAACAGGAGGATAGAGTCCTTGAAGAAAACCAGAAGCAGAGTTCTGGAGAACCGTATCTGCTGTAGATTGAACACTCAATTGAGAATTCTTGACTAGATTTGAGCTGATTCCGTAAATTTCTGAGGACGCATTGGATTTGATGTAACGACTGCGGTAATAGTCGCCAGAAGCATGGACCTGATAATACCCCAAATCTGTAAGGGAGGTGGGAGGATAGCTCTTGGTTGTACGGTCTCCGTGGCGATGGAAGATATAGACTCCGAGAACAGTCTCCTGGGCCTGTATCAAAGGCAGTAGGGAAGACAGGAGGAGAAATTGCTTGAGTAACATTTTGAATCGCTTTTTATACGTCAAAACCCCCGTAGATAATGGTTTATCAGTTGCACGAATTTGGGGACGAACTTCGGGGACGAACCTCGTGGACGCGACTGAGCTTTCTTATAATCGAGGGCTTACCTTATCTTTCTCCATGCTACCACCCCACCTTACTTTGTAGAGCTGCATCTCCGGGGACTAGGTAACGGCTTGACGAAAGACATACGGTAAAAGCCAAATCCTAGGTAAATTTGCTACTGCAGTGACTAAAGGCGATTCGGCCAATTTATCCAATAAATTAAAATTCTAGCGGCCATACCCCTCCCTTCCAGATTCTAGAAGCACCAATCCCCTCCTACCCCCCACTAACCGTAGACAAAGTTTTTCTGCCGGATAGTCCGTGCTTCTTCTGGTCTGGCTCATGTCTATAAGTCATGTTACATGCCGCCCTGTCAGGCGCGTACATACAGCTGCGGAGATACTCCCGCTTTGAAGAGCGAGTGGGGTAGAAAAAGATGAAAATATGAAAGATGGAAGAGAATAAGAAGAACAGTTAGAAAAGGAGGAAAAGGGAGGGCAGTGACAAGTTGACAACATTGCTTTTGTTTTTCGAGTATTTCATCTGTCGTTTGTCCTTTGTGAAAAGTTTGGGATTTGCTTTGCTTTACGGAGTAGGTTGCTCTCAAAGAGTGGGCCATGGTGTAACTTTAAATTTTAACTATGGTGGTCGGCGCTCTCCGGAGTACCCTGTCATGAAGCATAGCTCATCTCACATATGCGAGGCGGTTCCTAGTATTCATCTCGTCGTTGCTACCTAGGTAGTTGTACAATCGTACAACCATCAGCGCCTACAAAACCTCATTACTCCAAGTGGGTATACACCTCCATATCCAGTCATGTGTAAACCATATCCAATAACCCAAAGCCTACCGGGTCGTAAATCCAAATATACATCGCTATAAACATTAACCCCAGCCCCGTTATATAACCCAAAACGCCGAAATCATTATCTAGCAAACAACCTTGTAAGCTCTCTTCCACGTCGGCCAAGCTGCCTGCTCCGCCCTCTCCTCTGCTAGCAACGCGGGGAGATTTAATTCCCGGATTCCAGTCTGAAGGTCCATGTCTTTGGCACGCATGAATGGCGTCTTTTTCCAGACCTTATAGAAGATGTAGAATATTATGACGATAGGAGCTGCGAGGTAACTCAGAAAGAAACTTTTGGCTTGGCCTCTGGGTCCCTGATCTCCGTACTGAACGGGCCATGCACCAACCCACTGCAACGAATTAGTGCTTGATCTTCGTTAACAGCAAAAACCCAGAAGATAAAGACTCTTCAAAGGTCTCAACACAAAATCAAGGAGAAACAAAGGAAGAGAGTGCTTACGAATTGTGCCATTAAGATGAGGACGTTTAAGATGAATCCGATCCAGGAACCGAGGACCCCTGGTTGTGAACGGAAGGCAAGTTCATCGAGGGAATGGCCTTGCAATTTCCAAGCACGGCGGAAACGAATATGGGCGAGGCAGATGGAGCCCCATGTGAAGATTGAAGATAGACCTGAAAGGGCAAGCATCCAGTCGAGTACGTCTCCTTGCACTTCCGAGTCGGCTGCGTAAGCAATGAATCCTAGAACAGAAGCGACAAGAATGGCAATTATAGGACGACCTTTTCGGTCAATATATCCGAGAATCTTAGGAGCCTGCCCTTGATCTGCAAGGGCAGCCAGTGTTCGTGAAGAGCCAAAAATGGAAGAATTTCCTACAGACAGCACAGCAATAAGAATGACAGCATTCATCATTGAGGGTAGAACGTCGATGCCGGCATTTTCAATAGAGATAACGAACGGTGAGGCAGCAGTGTCTGCGCGACCCGATTCAAGCAGATGCGGATTGTTGTATGGAACCAAAAGGCCAACGACGGCGAGACTGAGAACATAGAAAAAAGTGATACGCCAAAAGACTTGCTTGACCGCCGTTGGGAGCGACTTGCGTGGGTTTGCTGTCTCGGCAGCGGCAAGACCAACCAGTTCGGTACCGGCAAATGCGAAAGCAGCTGTGACAAAGACACTACACAGTCCCTTGAATCCATTGTTAAAAGCTCCGGGATCAGACCAGTATTTACCCCCAATGTATCCACCTGTGGGACCTCCTCCGCAGTTGATTATTATACCGAGAAGACTGTTAAGAGGTCAGCAGTGCTTAATACCGCAACAGCATGATGTGACCTACATATACCCAATCACGGTAACGATTTTGACTAAAGCAAAGAAGAACTCCGCTTCACCATAACCTTTGACCCCGCACATATTAATACCGATAATGACTATCAAGAATACAGTGACGAAAATGGCATGATCGTATTGTCCTCTCGTGTCCCAAAAGTTGATGGTAATGGAAGCCGCGATAATTTCTAAAGGGAGTACTACCAGCCATTGCATAGCATAACTAGGGATTGGGTAAGCTCCGGTTCGTCCTAGCCAATACACTTTGTGGAATATGACTTACTTCCATCCCATTGCAAAACCCCATGCAGGATCTAAAAACCGAGTGGAGTAGGCCGAGAAGGATCCAGCAACTGGGAATAACACAGCCATTTCTCCGAGAGCTTGTACCGTGCAATACAACATTATACCAATCAGAGAGAAGCAGATGAGTAAAGAGGCTGGTCCTCCAGCGTTAAGAGCCTTGCCAGATGCGACGAAAAGACCAGTACCTAAAAAGCATCAGATAGAATTCGGAAAATGAACTTCCGTGAATCAACTCTACCTATCGAGCCTCCAAAAGCGATCATCTGCAAGTGTCTGCCCTTCAACTTTCGCGCCAGAGGGGAATTCGTTGTAGCGACCGCAGCTACATGGGGATCTTTCCAGCGAATTAGCATAGTAATAGTGTGGAGGGCTAAGGAGCTTGAAATCCATCTCAGAAGCCGGAATGTCGGTTTCAGAACCCCCTCAGAGTATATTTGTATGAGAATAAGCCTACCAAAAACACGCCCATTTGCCCCAATAACACCTTTTGGCGTCACCGTGAGATCTGGATTGCGCTTAAAACTGTCCCACATGCGACGCCCCAAGGTCTGACGGATCTCCGTAATCTCCTCATAACTTGGCTCTCCACCATTGCCGCTGTAGGATGGCGAAGGCGCAGAGCTCTGGTGGCTCTTGAAACTACCATTGCTACGCAGCGTATATTCTCCCTTCTCCGCTCCCTCCATAATTGTGTCCCGTACAGTTTGCCAATGCGGTCTGAAGTACAAGGCGTGAGAGCCGATGAGTCGGTATGAAGGAGGACGAGAGGTTTGTCGCACTGGCTTGGAGTCGAGGCTGGGAAGGATGAGGGGATGTCGTATATAAGAGGTGAGATTATCAGTGATGCTCGGGGTTTAGCCGTGGATATAGATATAGATATAGGACCGTAGGTGAACAGTGGGACATGATTTTCGCGCGCGCAAACAAGACGTAGTGACAGTTGTATAATCAGACGAGACGCTATGGAGAGGATCTGGAGGATGAGATCGAGGTCGAGGTCTCTGTTCTGAAAGCGGGCTAGCCTTATCTTTCCACGCGCCGCCGCCGCCGCACTCACCTAATAAATTAGTAGACCTCATTCTGGCCTGGCCTGGTCCTTTTTGTGTCTTCAAAATGATATTTGAAATTTCATCCATAATTTTCGATATTGCCATAATTGCCAAACTTGACGACGCCATTAATCCCATTTTTCAAGCTCTGCTTTGCTAACAAGTGTCACCGTGCCTGCAAAGTATGTTGAAGATCATCTGTGCAGCGACTGTGCTACGTGGCTAATAATAGATACCCCGCCCCCTCCTTAAAAGGCGAGGCCTGTACCCTGTACGAGTACGAGCAGAAAAGGGGGAAAGCAACAGTCTACAAGTAGAATTATATGTGAAGGGCAGCCAGTTTATATCTTGTAGAAATTGACAAGCAGATAGTTTCCATTATGCGGGGGGAAATGACAAGATGGGTTTTGGGACTCGTCGGCGCCAAGTATCTTTTTACTACTACTACTGTCTGTGGCACCTAACGAGGATGTCTATTCTCACTCAGCTCTATAACCACCTCGCATACTCACGAAGGAGTGAACACCAACTTCTCACCACTGACCCCACACTTCTGCAAAGCATCCAGGCCCTTCCAAATCCCCCCAAAACCCATTGCCATACTTAATCACAACTCACCCGATGACCCCTCAACTCCCCCTGCTCCAGCAGGTTCCTTGACATCTCCCAAGACATCTTGCCGAATTCCAAGTCCTGGGGCTTAGCCGGGGATTCAAAAGTGGGGTATGCAAAATATTCACTAATAAGTAAGTAGGCTAGGACCCTTTACTTGGACCCTGGGGTTTATTTCGTGGACTTCCTCTGGAGTGACAGATGATGACATGGCTCAGGCGGTCATGGATACGGATTGACCTTCGGAGATGAATTCGACTGCTAGGGCCATGCCTTGATGTCTTTTAAGCAGGTTTGTGACTTGTAGTTGAAGGTTACGTCTATGTACTTTTTGGTGTAAGTGATTATAGTTTTGATAAGACTTTAGAGATAGAATTACCTACTCCGAGGGATTTTAGATACTAGAAATTGTGCTCCGAACTTGTTGCTGCCACGAGGAAACCCGAGAACTTCGCATATTAGATTGCCAGACTTCCTGTTGTGGTGCTGCCACCGTAGATCAGGAAAATGGGTTTTATTGAGGTGGGCTTCGTTGGTAAGGGAAGTTCAAACGATTGATGCAGTGCTTGTCCCATACTGTGAAAGTCAGTGTCATGCTGTCTTTTATCAGATGGGACACATGCGTTGAGATGCCTACACCTAATGTAGCTGCCTTTTCGTCACTTAAGTTGCCAAGGATCTTGGTTACCAAATCATGCGCTGTTTGTACTTCTACTTCGTAAACAAGATCGAATAGCATGTTTTATATTTACACTCAGAAGTTCTGAGTCAGAACTGCACTACTACCTCCGTAGGCTTAACTTTCTCTTCCTCTAGAGAAGAGAAAGCGTACTAACACTTAGTCGGATATCCTTTTATAGCAAGGATTTACCCCAGTATATATTCTTAATACCACAACACAAAACAACCTTGGCTCTTATAGTGTATCGCGGCCTAGTCCACCTGAAATCGCGAAAGCCACATGCGAAAATGCGTTGAAAGCGTAACAAAAGAATACTAATTCCACAAAAATGCAAGTAAAAAAAGAAGGAAAATCCCGCATTAGGGTCCATCTAAGATAGTTCTATTGACTAACCATAGTCAAGGCCCTTGAGGTTAACTAAATGGGAGTAAAGGAAGGAGAAGAAGTATATATATGTACTATAACGCGCCCTATAAAGGCGAGACGACTAACATACGTGTAAAGACGCTCCTACTCGGCGTACCACGTACATTTTCCAAGCAGTTAGACCCTTCCATTTCGCCTAGCGTGGATGTTTGTCGTTTTTGACACCATCCCCCTGGCAAAATGGGCAAAAATGGGCAAAATTTGGATCGCGCGCGTCAGAGAAGAAAGTAGACACTAGTGCTGACAATCAGTACTTATCCCTCGATCCCAATATAAGTCCGGTCGGTATAACAGATGATGTTGGCTAGGTGCCTTTTGAATGAAGTGTTGTCGAGTTCGGACGGGGTAGGTCCCTCGAGATATGTTGACAGCTGGCCAAGAAGAGGGGATTTTCTGGTCTAATAATGTAAGATTTCGTGTTCAGTTTTTAATATTACCTTATCCAGGAGCATTGCACTTACAAGTACGAGTAGCCGCGCTTAAAATACCATAGGACCCGTCTCCATTACTACCTAATGGGTATGTATTCATTGTATTGGGCTTTGGCTGCATACCTAGGTAGGTACCGAGGGCAGCATATCAACGAATCAAAGCTTTTGTTTGTCCACACCTTCCGTCACCGGCCAAAAGGACCAACCAACCACACGGACAACTGAAATCCTTCCTTATGCAACCATCCAACCATCCAATTGTCTGTTGCGATTTGTCGTTGTTTTTCCAAACAAAGTTGCGGTGAAGCGTGGGCAGCAACAAGGTTCCCTGTCGTACCCTCGTCGATCCAGCCAGATGCGGTAGTTCTACAAATCTACAGTAAGTACAGTACTCCACTGAGCGCAGTAGTAAGTCCTGCTACGAGTAGTACCCGGCGTAAGTACATGCTACATGCGTGCACCACAACCGGCGCCGTGCCCATAATAATATCCCCATTCCATGATTGTTTTCTTCCAGTAGCGCCGTAATGCTGTACATGTACAGTGCTGCATTGTGCCAATTAAGTATCATCACATTCTTCTGCGCTTCTGTTGAAAATTCTCTCCATGTACCAAATTCAGATGCAATTGCAAAAAGGCATTCGTGTATCGGCGTGAGGCACGGACTGGCTCTTCGATAAGGTCCCAGTCAGTCCAGTGATACACAGCGAAATTCTGGTATCCTGGTTGATGTCTCAGAGATTCTGTGGCTGCTCTTTGGCGAGAAACAACGATAGTAAAACATCCCTTGTCTGGCAGAGAGAATACCCGTGTGACCACATTCTTCCGTCTCTCATATCTCACCCTTCGACTGCCCATACACCACTTTCCGGATAACCTCCCATCCCTCATTATATTCCAAAGGATTTCCAAGGCCACCAGCAAGCAAAGTTTGGCTCAATTATCCCTCCCAGATCGCAACCTGTCAAGCACCCGACACTGTCCATCTTGTTTTCTTGCCCGGGTCACATAGCCTCGATGAGTCTGATAGCGATCCGCGACCCCACAAGCTCGAATAACCAAAATGGCAGCGGTCGATGTCTTACGGTACTGCGGAGATCGTCCAGAGAACGATTATGGGTTGCATACGACTCAGCCTTGGACGATTGGGTGGGATGAGGAGGACACGCGGATAAGGCTGAAGTTCATTGCAAGAGCATGGATGGCAGCGGGTACCTCAAAGGCACAGGATGCATATCAAGCAAAACTGGTACGAAAGCAACACAATTCTAGACATTTTGGAAGCCGTGCCATACATATCATGACCGTTGTCGTGCAGTAGCGGCCGAGACCCAGCCTGCGATGATGCAGCGGTGTGGACCCCAACAACACAGAATCTCTAACGGATTTATAGAATAAACTTCCGAATCTGGCACCTACGTGGCCCTGCAGATTGGACGAAAAGCCTCTGAACATTCCAACTCCAAAATGCCTGCCTCGAATATCCCAACCAAGTGACGAAGTAGCCGACTTGCACGACTCCGAGGCACTTGCCAGAAGGCACACCCACACCCCCAACTCGATCGAGACTTTTACCGCCGCCTCAGTAAATAAGCATTCCGACCCTTCATTGTTTGGGAACCCCACTATGGCTCCGCCTATTGACTTTCAGTCGGGTGACGGATTCAAGCAAGCAGCAGGCAAGAAGGCCAAGAAAGCTGCAAAGAGCGCTGCTAAAGCAAAGTGGGGTGGCGATGAGGATGAGGATGGTAACAAGAAGGAGGAAGGAGAAGAAGGTGGTGGAGGTGACAAAGATGGGGATATTGGTGCCGGTGGGGATGGTGATAAGAAGGATGAGGGAAATGGTGATGGTGACGGGGCCGGTGATGCTCCTCCTGCCGATGACTGGGATAGTTTTGCACCCGCAAAGTCTAAGAAGAAGGGGAAGAAGGGCAAAACGGAAGATCCCCCGGCTGCACCAGCCACAGAAAAGTTTGACGCTTTTCACGAGATTAAGTTGGACGATACAGGCCCTATGCTGGACCTAAGCTTTGATACAGGGACGAAGGCTAGTGCGTCTGGATTTGGTGCTTGGGGCAGTAGTTGGGATACAGGGGCAAAGTCGAAGTAAGTAGTACTGAATTTTACTCTCGTCAAATACGTTTATTAGCATATTCAAGACCTATCTAGGGGGGGTTGGAGGCATGGTAAAGCTATTTGTCCTAGATAGACAAAGCGGGACCGATTTTCAATGTTTCACGCCGAGTGGCGCTTTAAGAACTTATTATATAGATAGTCACTTTTCGTGTGCATCGCAACCCCTACACTTGGATGATGGAGACTAATAGTTATTAAAGCACCTGGGATTTTTCTGCAACAGATGCACCCCCTGATACAAAGACTAAAGATAAGGAAGCCGACGGCAATCCATGGAGTCTCGATCGTGGCAAGCCGAAGAAGAAGGGTACAGGGTTCTCTTTTGGGTCTCTTGACGAAGAGGAGACCAAAGCAGAAGAGGCTCCAGCAGAAAAGAAAGAGGACGATACATTTGACTTCGGTTTTACTTCTGTCTCGAAAAATGACAAGAAGAAGAAGAAGAAGGGTGGCTTAGCAGAAATCGAAGAGCCCAAAGATGAGCCAATTACAGTCGTCGAACCTGCTGCTGAAGATGATTGGGGAGGAGGTTGGGGAGCTCCCAAAACCAAGAAGAAAGGCAAGAAAGGTGATCCAGAACCCCCAAAAGTCGAACCGAAAGTGGAAGAGCCAGAGGCACCCGCAGATGACGGATGGGGCTCTTTCAGTACCGGCAAGAAGGACAAGAAAAAGAAGGGAAAGGGGGTTGTAGAGGAAGCGCCTGTCAAGATTGAGGAAGTGATCGAACCGGAACCGGTTGTCGAGGCCGCAACTGACGATACTGGAGGATGGGGCTCCTTTGGAAACAGTAAGAAAGACAAGAAAAAGAAGGGAAAGGTGGAAGCTGAGGAACCAGCTAAGGTTGAGAAGGTTGAAGAAACACCTGTGGAGCCTGATCCCCCAGCTGACGATTTCGGTTGGACTCCCATGGCTACATCGAAAAAGGACAAGAAAAAAAAGGGGAAAGCCATTGTGGAAGAGCCCGCCAAAGTTGAGGAAATCCCCGCACCCGAACCGGAGCCAGCCCCAACTGATGATGGATGGGGCTCATTCTCAACATCTAAGAAAGACAAGAAAAAGAAGGGCAAGGGAAAAGAGGAACCTGTTCCTGAGCCGGTCAAAGAGGAACCCCCTGCTCCCGATCCCGAGCCTGAGCCCGAGCCTGAGCCTCAGCCTGAGCCAGCAGACGATTTTGGATGGAGCTCATTCGGCACTTCAAAAAAGGACACGAAGAAAAAAGGAAAGGCTGGAAAAGAAGATCCTCCCAAAGTCGAGGAGCCACCTCCAGAACCAGCTCCAGAACCGCCAGCCGACGACTTTGGATTTAGCACATTCGGTTCGAAGAAGGACAAGAAGAAAAAGGGTAAGGGTGCCGCGAAGGAGCCAGTCAAAGTGGAAGAACCACCGCCACCGCCACCGCCCGCCGATCCTGAACCAGATCCTCTCGATGATTTTGGATGGGGTGTTTCGAGCAAGAAGGACAAGAAAGGGAAAAAGGGAAAGGAGGAAGAGCCAGCCAAGGTTGAGGAGGTCACTCCCGAGCCAGAAAAAGCAGCCGAAGACGACTGGGCAAACTGGGGCACAGCTGCAAAAAAGGACAAGAAGAAAGGTGGCAAAACCAAAGAGGCAACCCCTCCACCAGATCCTGAACCAGCCCCCATTGTCGAAGCTGTCGAAGAACCCGAGAACGACAGCTGGATGGATTGGGGTCAGAAGAAAGACAAGAAAAAGGGCAAAGGCTCAAAGGCCTTAGACGACGAACCTGAGCGACCTCCAACACCACCTCCTGCTGTTCCTGAAGTGGGAGATGCTCCTGCCGAAGATGATTTCTTCGACTCCTGGGGGACAACGGCGAAGAAGGACAAGAAAAAGAAGGGCAAGGATTCTACATTAGCCTCGCCTGAAGCCTCATTTCACATCGACAACTCTATACAGCCCGACGCTATTGAGGAGCCAAAAACCAACGACATTTGGGGTACTGCGCCGTCCAAGAAAGACAAGAAGAAGGGCAAAGGCAAAAATGTCCCAATTGAAGTCGTTGAGGAGCCACCTCCTCCCGAGCCAGAGGTAGTCGAAGAACCTAAAGCTGAAGAGAGCAGCTGGGGGACTTGGGGCACAGCATCAAAAAAGGACAAGAAGGGCAAGAAGGAGAAACTCTCCGATCCACCACCCCCCGCTCCAACTCCTCCAGCTATGGACCTTACAGAACCCGAGGCAGACCCCTGGGGAGACCTTGGCGACAGTATTAGCAAAACCAAGTCTAAGGTAAGTCAACTTTTCGGAGTATAATTTTCTCACAACGGGTTGATTGCACTTTTAATGATTGATCACTTATGAAACACTGTCAACTCCCGAGCTCTTGCATTTTAGGCAATACTGACTCAGATATGTTATTTATAGGAGGAACCCCCTAAAAAGCTCTCAAAAAAGGAGCAAAAAGAGGCCGACAAGCTGGCGAAGAAGAAAGCTGAACAAGAGGAGGCTGAAGCACAAGCCAAGGCGGAAGAAGAAGCTGCAGAGAACGCTCGAATTGAGGAAGAAGAGGCTAAAGCCAAGGAAGAAGAGGCTAAAGCTCAAGAAGAGGCTGCAGCAAAGGCCAAAGAGGAAAAGAAGCCCAAATTGAGCAAGAAAGAGCAGAAAAAAGCTGATGAGGCTGCCGCCAAAAAGAAGAAGGCCGACGAGGCTGAAGCTGCTTCAAAAGCAGCCGAGGAGGAGGCTGCTCAAGCGCAGGCGGCCGAAGAACTAGCTGCCGCGGAACGGGAGGCCGAGGAACAAGCTGCCAAAGAAAAGGAGCAGCTTGCCGATACTAAGAAATCGAAGAAAGACAAAAAGGGGAAAAAGGGGTCCAAAGAAAAAGAACCTGAGCCCGAGCCAGAACCTGAGCCAGAGGCAGAACCAGAGGCACTTATTGATTTCATCGACGTGCCTAAGGAAGAAATTGTGGTGGAGGACAAGTCAGCCGTGTTTGGATTCTGGGGAGCAACTAAAAAATCGAGCAAGGGTACTGAGGCTGCCAAAAAGGAGGCGTTCTCGGCTACGGGAGGAGATGAGATTGCGGCTGACAAATCAAAGCTTCCAGAAGCTACTAAATCCAAGGACACGACAACCTCTCTGAAGTCGTCAGCAATGAAGGCGTCTGCCTTGAGTAAGAAACCTGTCGGTGGAAAGATCGCGGATCGCTTGAAAGCTTTTGAGGCACAGAAAGAGGTAGAAGCACCTGCCCCGCCCCCTCCTCCTCCGCCGCCACCCTCGCCACCTCCACCACCTAAGGACGATAAAAAGAAGTCCAAATCTTCCTCCGCGGCAAAAGCCCAGGCCAAAAAAGACAAGGAGGCTGCCGAGGAGAAGAGCCCGTTGCAAAAGAAGTTGTCTAAAACCAAAGAAGTACCCGGTAGCTTTCCCACTGATTTCGGTGATGAGGACTTGCTGGACCTAGATATGCCTACTGAACCCATACCAAGTAAGAAGAGCAAGTCATCCAGTAGAGAAAAAGAGCCCAAGGAAAAGGCTCCTCCTGCTGGCCCTCCCACACCACCACCCGAGCCCAAGTCGTCGTCGTCGAAGAAGGAACGTCCTCGCGTTGTTCGCGATGGCACTTCTTGGGGCGCATGGGGTGCTGCCCCACGGAAAGACGAGAAAGAGAAGGACAAGAAGTCATCCAAAGACCGGAAACCCGATGATCCTCCAAAGGACGAGAAGAAGTCCAAGGATTCCGATTTGAAGCGATCAAAGTCAAGCAAAAAGTCCCAGAAAGAAGAGAAATCGTCGTCTAAAGACTCGGCATCAGACAAGGCTGATCGACCACCGAAGTCACGAGGTATCTCGAGCATGTTCAGCAGTGCGCCTCCATTGTCGAGGTCAAAGTCTACTTCGGAAAGACGATCAAGCACAACTACTCGGACAAGTTCTCGTCGACAGTCCGTCGCGGAAGGAAACGGTATTCTATCACCACCTCCCGACGACATGAAAAGTCCTCCCGAGATGTCCGCAAAAGCTGCAAAGATGCTTGGTCTAACACCCGGAAAGATGGCGAGAAGCAAATCCGAAAAACACAGCAAATCACGTGGTATGGTTCCCGTCTATCAAGTCCTCAAACCTAAGCTAACATTTTCTAAGGTCTCGATGATGACGACATTGTCATGGTTGGAGGTAATGAGGATATCATGGGCCCAGTGGAGACCAGCCGTGACCGGAAAAGAAAATCAAAGGTAATTGCAGATCCAATTTTCCGAGGCGCCCCGCCACCAGCAGTGCCAATGCCACCATCATCTGGAGACAACGATATGCCATTTCGACGAATGTCAGCTGCTAATGCCAGAAACTTTAAGCAGGCAAAACAACAGGACGATGATATTGTGATGGTCGATGCGGGAGGCCCATCTGAAAATGTGCCATCTTTGAAGAGATCTGATTCTAGCGCCAAGAAAGCAGGTGGTATTGGTGGGATGTTTGGTGGACTCCTATCGAAATCCCGTCCGGACAACAAGCGCCGTAGTACTGCTCTGACTGACGACGAAGGTGCCCGCGGCCTTCGACGGGAAGAGCGGAAGATCAAACGACCAGCCAGGGACCGCTCACTTGGTATCGATGCCGATATGACAATGACCGGTGGAGCTGCTGAAGAAGACCAAGAAGCAAGAAGGGCAGTTCGACGTGCAAAGCGAGCTGAGCGAGAAGCTGCCGAAGATGCTCGAAAGGCAAAGGACGAGGAACGTCGTGAACGTCGTCGCAAGCAAGATGAAGAACAAGAGGTTCGACGGCAAGAAGAAAAGGATGCGAGACGCGCAGCTAGACGCGAGCAGAAATTGCGAGAAGAAGCCGATCGTGTTGCTGCCGAAGCAAAGGAAGCCGAACGTTCAGAACGACGCCGTGCCCGAAAAGCCGAAAGAGAGGCTACCCATACGGACGGTGAGCCTCTCACCGAAGATCCAGAGCGGAGGAAAAGATCTCACCGACGGACGTCAACTATGGATGGTGCAGTCGAAGATAAGGAGGAACGCCGCAGGAGACGAGAAGAGCGACATGCCATGCGATCCTCGGATGCTCCAAAGACTAGCCGTCGCAAATCAGCACCCATTGTGGACAGCTATTTTGACCCTCGAAACGGAAGCAAATCCCGCGGCACAGAACCCGAATATCTTCCTGTAGATGGTCCCGTTTACAAGGATGCGAAGCGTAAGAAGGAGAAGCCCGGATGGCCCCATTCTGGGACAGATTCTTGGGTCAAGGACCACACAGATGCGCCGCCACCACCCGATGATACTCCGGCAGATGGGGCTGGTGTGGATGACACTACTGCGGATGAGAACGTAAGGCGAACCTTGAGGAAGTCGCGACGACACTCTAAGTACGACGAGGGGGCCGCTGATGACCAGGAAGAGCGGAGACGGAGACGAGAGGACAGACGACGCGCGGGGACTGTGAAGAGCAGCGAAGGCAGTCAGGGTGATGGGCGCAGGTCGAGCCGCCGAGATTCTGGTTTCATTGAAACTACGCCCAGATCTAGGGGCCCCAGCGCTTCTGGGGGTATTTTCAGTCGGTGGAAAAAGATTGCTGGCGTCTAGAGAGTGAGCTTTCTGAATCTTCATGTTGATTTGTTTTTAGGGTTAGCATAGCATAGCATAGCAAGGTGTTTAGTTAGGGGTTGGGTTATGTAAGAGGCATGGGGCAGTCTGTATTGTCTCGATTATTGTATATCTGCAGGAGCCGGGTGGCAGGACTGGCTTGTAGAATGCTGGGGACAGTGGCTGTGCGGTGGCTTTGAGTGTTGACTATATACCCTTTCGAACGTTACACTATGTTTTGAGCGTTTGATCTCGCTGAGAGATTCAACTCCCTCTATTATATACCCCCTATTCTAGTACGATCACGATTCACTTCCGGCCAATTCATCATGTGACCCTCAACCTTTGAATTGGCAAGGCGTCTGTCCCTTGAACAACTCAGTCAGCTTACTTCGAGTTCCACTAAGAATCTAATGCCATGACCTGATTAGCCGCTCATACAGTAGGTAGCCAGCCCAGCACAGTATATCAGAGCATAGTATATATCTGAGGTGCACGTGACCGTACTAGCTAGATATGCGGGACCGATTGAAATGCCTCGATAAGGAAGTCGAATCCCTGGAAACATGACATGTACTCCATTATTCCCTGATAGGGTCTTGCTAACCAGCCAGCCCAGCCTGCCTGCCCGGATATCGATGTACCAGACAGACCTACTGTAGATATTAGACCAGACAGATACGATGAATGCACACGCGATGGCGACTCCTAATTCTGTGTCACTGCCACTCTTACTGTCACTGTCACAAAGCAGATACGAGTACCTACCCTACCTAGGTACTTCCATTCGCCGACTGTGTACCTATATCACTGTACCGTGACAGGCCAAGCTACGGTGACGTAGCGCTATCTGGATTCTAGAGGGGATCGAGGGGCTTCCCCGCCGTTTACTTGCAGCTGTCTCTACCGTCCTATCACTACTTGCTGCCATGTTGATGTACATACAAAGTACCTGTATCGTATCATTTTGCCCCATTATTCTTAGCTACACATCTGCCAACGAAGCCCGAGTTCTTTTGCCTCTTTGAGTGCAAGTGTCTGTCTGGTCTGTGGGATACATTGTGGGTTAGTCTAGATCTAGATCATAACTACCGGTATTGCGCAACTCCACGATAAGATGTATGGAAATTCTTAAATGCTTCTTCTCGTCCTGTCTACCTGGAGGCAGGTGTTGATTTCCCTTCTTCAGGACTCTCCCTTTCCGCCAATCTGATCAAAGGCAGGAATTGCAGAAGATCTTACCATCGTCCAACAGTTCTATTCCGACGTCATGAGCATCTTCAGTACCATGCTGGAACAATGGCATGTCAGCCTTGGGGTTTTCTTCTTATTGTCTTCCCTGGCAATACTTGTGGTGGGAAAACAACAGCGAGCGGCTGTCTTAGATAAGCTTTATATCCGTCGGCGGCGTGCTTCTGGAGCCTCAACACCACCCCGCTCCTTCTCCCCGGATAAGAAGACTGGAGGCACTCGAGGATCTTCTTTGCCTACGTCCATTACTGACTTCGTCAATGCTTTCCCACCCTCGAGAAGATTGGTTCTTCCAGAGCTTGCCAAGACAACATCTCCGGAAAATGCAAAGATCCTACTAGCGACAAACCCGGATGCTGAGACCCTCGTCAAGGAAGCATTGCCAACTACCCGTGCTTACGACCTCCAGAATGCTTCTCCAAAGTATACACCAACTGGATTTTCTACGGCAGAAATAAAAGCAATGGGTGATTTCCCAGCTTACGATGTTTTAAGCGGAGTTCCACTACCAGCAGTAAGTCAGCGCTTAGGAGGAATTTCTCCTATCTTGGACATCTCCAGAGCAATGTCCAAGGACCCCTGAACCAAGCTCCCATCTCCAAACCGTACCACATCAGGCAATGCTGACCTCGAGATCTTGATGTTCAGCCATATGCAAATTTTGATCCAACAAAAGCCCTCCCGAGACCTTACCGACCTTTTAGATGGGCCTACCACCAGACAATGTGTAAGTCAACTTGAAACATCATGTTATCGGTTGCTGACTCATGAGTAGCATTTAACAAAATAGAACCGGACTGGTGGCTGGAAGTCGATAAGCAATATGCCTCGAGAGTGAAAGAGCGTCAAGAACTCTTCAGGAAATATGGTAGCAAAGTCCTCGACTTTCTACCCGGTTCCGAGCTTGTTTGCAAAGAGCTCATGGAGATGTGCCTTCAGTTCTACTGCGCAAGATACCCAGCCTATTTTTCCTTGTCCTCAGACAAGAGCACCTTCCATAACAAACTCTTACAAACGGACACGGATATCAAAAGTATACATCCGCTGCACGTACTATTGAACAATATCCCAGAGGACTTTGGAATTGTACTTCGAAACGAGAAAGATGGCATGTACTACTTCCGAGCAGGTCTGATATGCAGTTCCCTTGGTTGGAACGTTGGCACGAAGATTGGCATGTCACTACAACAAATTCACCAACCTATTCCCGATTACAAGGAAAAGATGTCTCTCAGCATGGATCGATATTTTAGCAAGATGCCAACACATGCACCGATACAACGCGGCAGCTGGGGTGAGTGACCTTTTCGGATGATTATTACTTCTTTTCACGCGTCTCATGAGTAGTTAGTGTGGTTTATGAGACCCGACTACTCGTGAAATATTGTCTCAACTCCCGTGGAATACTTTTCCAACTCCAAAATCTGCCATATCAGGCAATGCTGACTCCAATATCTTGATACAGGTCTTGAGGTAGGAACTCCATTATTCATGCCGCCCGGCGACCCCCACGAAAAGCTCCGCGAAATCCAGAATGCCGACTTGAGCATCGAAGACTGCCATTTGAGGGTCGACTGGCAAACCCTACGAAGACTGCCACTCAGTGGAGGTATCGTCTTCAACTTCACAGCATTATTCACTCCTGTCCAGGAATTTAGAGACGAGCCCTATATTCCTGCGCTGTGCCTGAAGACATTGAAAGAGGGAAAGAAGACTCTGATGGACTACAAGGGTACCTGGCACGTGGAGCACGTATGTATCCCGGAGTTGGAGAAATATGCTAGAGAGCAGGTTGAGAAAGGGTTGGTGCGGCCAGAGAATCCAGATGAGACAGAATGGAGCCCGGCTACGCTTGCAGAGAGCCCATTCTTTCCAGGATGGAAAGAGAAGTGGCACCGGCAACAAGGGTTCTAGAAATGGAAGGCAAGGAGCAAGGAGTTAACATTTGACCAAAGACAAGAAATTTATTAGAAGTAGTAAATCGATTATTGATAAGTCAGTTTTCAAGATAGGATATCGAGTTCCTATCTACAGATCGCGCAAGACTAATGGCCTCTGGTTCTGCATAGCACGGCCATTTCAGATAGAAATAGAGACAAACCCCAGCTGTTTGCCGGCTGTCCAGTAGTCTACAGTACTTACGGCCGCATTAATTATCGTATAAGATAAGACAACGTTCCACAACAACCCAGAATGAGGTTTGCGGTGATGGCATCTCTATCCCGGACTTTTGTATTCAGTAGTAGAATTTTTCAATTAGTCTGTAGCGCTGGTCCGTGGCTCCTTTGACGTACCCAGAAGTGCCCATTTGAACTGGGACTGCTTGTTATATTTATTATATGCTAATAATGATTACCAGGGTATCATTTCCCATGTTTGCGCCGGATTTCTGTTGTTTGCGCTGTAAAGTTCGTGTGTCTGTCTGTCTGTCTCATTTGATTTGCGCGGATTTCGCATCCGTGAAGTCACCCCGAAACCAGCGACCACCGGCGAAAAATAGGACTCAAGTCCCCCGAATCGTGCCCTCACGACAAGATCAGTTCACTTTCTCGCGGATATTGCATCCGATTTAGGTCCAGAATGCGCAATCATAGCGACCTACCGTCATCGCTGGTGTTGTGTGTACAGTCCAAAGTACAGCTCGAGGTATGGCAAAGCTTTGTTCCACTGGCGTCGACCTCGACGGAATCATCTCAACAGGACGTTGTAGAGCCGCATCGACACGTCCTGAACTCTTTTGACATTATATAATCGCTGCAAGTAGCTAGAGGCTGCTTCTTCTTATCCACTCCAGGTCTCAGAGCAGCTTCCGTCTGGCGCGTGGTTCGGGAGGGATAGGCAGGGACAAGATCGGTTCAGTAAGTACATGGCGCATCATTATCACTACATGCTACGACCCAAAAGAGGCATCGCAAGACTCAAGACGCGAGACTAGACTCTAGGTTCAATATCGATCCGGCTGTGTACTAGTCGCTGATGCTGAGCTATTGTCATCGGGACAAGGGAGCTTCAATCGTTCTTTTGAAGTCGCCGCCTCCACCTGAAGAGACGGAGTCGGGCATGCCTCCGTAAAGACCTCACAAACTTTTTCCATTTGCCTCAAGCAATGCTCTAATATTCCACAGTCGCGATTCTTTCCTACGCATACGCATACGCATATACCTCCCAAGAAAGCGTTGTCGCGCGCATCTATCAACAGGTTACGCTCACCTCCTGCAATGCTATCGGCTGCTCCATACGACTCGTCAAGTATCTGCCAGCCCGCCAGCCAAGGAGAAATCAAGTCGCGGTAAAGGGTTGCTACCAAAGACAGGAAGCAGGGAGAGACAGAGAAAAACAGGCCTGATTGAGCAACAATGCACGTCTGTGTTCCTGCGGAGGGGTAGATGATTCCAAGGCCCCGTTGTACATTGATTACCGCCACCTCGCCCCCAGACAAAGGCCCGACATTGGTGTGCGCTCCTCCAATCAACCCGTCCGTCGCAGTTCAGGTTCACATTCGGGTTCAGGCATTTTATACGCGTAAAACACAGGCTCGCTGCGAAATGAGCCATGGACGCGGCATCAAGTCCGACATCCTCTTCCAACCCCCCTCCCGCGACAAGAGCCCAGAGAGGAGCTATCGCAACCCAAGTAAGCCTCGATTTCTTTTGCAGCATCGTCAGTTGTACCTCACTTACCACGCTGATGCTATTACGGACTTCTGAGACCCCCCGATCCTATATGTGTGAGTGTTTTATGACTGACCGTTGTTGAAAGGCCTGTGAGACGTGTCGATCAAGGAAACAGAAATGCGACGAGCAACGACCCAAGTGTGGCTTATGCCAGCGGATAAAGTTAGAATGCAGGTACAGAGACCCGCAACCTACAAAGTAAGTGTGATAGTTGGTTAGAGAAGATGAAATATATCTGAGCAGGGCCTCGTTACCACCTTGAACAATATACCATTGGTCTGGACTTATTAGTTGATTTTCTTTCAGGAAAGACAAGACACTCGTTGAAATTCTCGACCGTCTAAAAAATATAGAAGGCAAAGTCGATCGAATTCCTCTTAGAGCCCCTGTGCATCAAGGCTTCGGCCCACCACAGACATCCCCTTCCAGCCAGCCATCTTTCGGTAACGAAACTACCGAGTCAACCTCTACGAACCGACCACCCTTTCAACATAATACTCTACTTAGTGATGGAGACCGGCAATATAAATATGCCTCTGCGGCTCATAAAATGCTTACATGGCCGGCCATTTCCCAACTCCTGTTACAGACTGTACCGTCGACTGTCGGGGACTTGAATAGTCTTCGAAATGAGGGTTCTGCATTCATAGTTCGGATGCAGAAAGGCACTCCCAACTTACCACTGGATGAAAATCTCTCTGACAGACCCTTCGTCGGTATGCAAAGTCAAGCAACCAGGGTAGCAGGGGGTGTGAGGACTACCTTTCCTGATTTGACTCGAGACACGATGTTTCGGTTAGCAACTGCTTACTTCGATTCCTTCAATCTTATATATCCATTTATGGACAGGCAAAACTTTCTTTCGGATACTTTATCAAAAGTGCAATCAGAAGGCTTTGATGGTGATACGGATTCGGTCGTTGCGCTCCTGGTCTTCGCGCTTGGCGATTTGGCTCTAGAAGGGTCTCAAGGAAAGCCTATCGAACAACATGGTACCCGCGCCAGTGGTGTCAGGGGTGGGACGGAGACAAGGCCGCCCGGTCTCGCATTGTTCAACGAAGCAAGAAAGCGTATGGGTTTTATACTAACCGACTGCAACCTTGAAAATGTTCAAGTGTTCTCCTTAGCAGCGTGATTACATTCCTTTTCCTGAGTGACACGTGAAGCAAATAGCTAATACTTTCAAACAGACTATATTACGAGTGTTGCTCTCGCCATTTGGTAAGCCTAGTCCTAGGAGAACTATGCATTTCTATACTTAAACTTTCGTTCAGGAATTCTGGAGATTGACAGTCTCAGCCTCATCAGCTTGTCAAGTCATGATCACTTGGTACGCCTTCACTTTCTAGTCTAATTATTTGGCTCTGCTGATTAGAAGTAGCAATACAACAGACTGGAGTTCTTCTAAAGGAGATCTCATCAAACGTGCGTATTGGCATTGCGCATTGATGGAGACGTGTGTTTACCTAACCATCTTCCCCCTTTCTCGAATCTCGCTTAATATGTTGTAGGAATTTACATGTCGAGCTTGATTTACCGCTTTCGGGGATTCTCAACTTGGAACAGAAAGTGGGTCTGCCAGCATTCATGCAGCCCTTTTGTGAAGCAGATGACCGTGCAAACAAGACTTCGAATTTCGAGTCGCATTATAGTTCACTGTTAGCGCTCACCCGGGTTTGTGCAAATCTTCATGTTGATATGAATAAAACAATCTGTAAGTCTAGTCAAGCTTAATGTTAGTCATAGACATCCACTGAGATGGCACAGCCACGGACAGTAGTACCGATACACCATCGACATCCAGGGACAGCCCTCTGTCCAGTTCACTGAAGCAGCTAACTTCAGAGCTTGCACAATGGCGAGGCAATCTCCCCGAAAACCTTCAATGGGCAGAAGACAGACCGGCAGCCTTCCCATCCCCTCAGGCGAACATCATAGGTTATAACCAAGCGATCGACCCGGAATTATCACTCGAGAAACATTATTCGCAGCAACTTCTCTTTTCTACGAACCTGGATGAGGAGCCAAAAGAATACCCATATTCCTTTGACATCCAAGTAGCTTTGCTGCGGACAAGATATTATTATGCAAAATACATGGCTTACCGACCTTGCGTCTACAAAGTATTGCATTTCCCCGAACAGGTGACCCAAGACGATGCAGAGGGGGTTGCGGAATGTTTGCGGGCACGTTCAGCATATATTCCCATTCTTGCCTTTCCAAACTAACAACATGACCAGTCGTGTCTAAAATGGCCTTTAACCATGTCGCCCGTCTCGCGCCGAAAAAGGCTTATACCTTACCTGTTCAGCTGGTCTCAAAACTTTCTCGGCATCCTTTTAATCTTCCACATGACACGCCACAACCGGATTCTCCAAAACATACGTGCCAACATGTGCGGGCCCACCTTTGAAGCCGATGCGAATATCTCGATAGCTCTGATGCTGGATTGGATCCGTGATTTGAAGAGCGTTGATCCCATTGCATCGTGGTGCTGGAAAATTTTGCAGGGGGTATACCCTATTGAGGAGTAAGGGGTGGGTATACGGGCGTAGGGCATAGGGCACAGGGCGCAGGGCATACACAGGGCATACACAGGGCATACACGGGCATACATAGGGCATAGGGAATATGGCAATACAGGGAAAATCTTTGAAATCTTTGGGTTGGCGACACAACTGTGTAGAAGCAACGGCGTTGGAGCATGACTTTCACGTCATCTTGCAACCACTGGATGTGGTTTTCGCTCTCTCAGCCATATTTTTAGAATATTCCAACAGAATAAAAGTTAAACCTAGTTCATGGATGGCACTGTTTATTCGTGTGAGCTACAGTATTCCACGTTCAAACAAACTTGGTCGTGTAAAAGGAAGCAAGGACGGCGATGGAAACGAGTGTTTCTGCCGATGATGACCTTTTCAACCGTAACTGAAAAGTCATTCCAGGATTTGAAGTAATAACAGAACTCGGAACTCTATAAACACGTCAAATCACATACGTTGGTTCAAAGCAGATTTGTGTTGCACAACTCCTAGTATCCAATCGGGACGGCTCTTACTTCCCCTGAATCTCGCGCAAAGCTGAAAAGCTGGATATCAAGAGCCTCACCCATGAAAACGAGCCATGTCATGCTCCAACCAAGCTTATCATAGTATTCCTAAAATAGGATATCTACAGCTTAGCCTTACGCACAAAAGAGTCATCCAATAGATAATCGGGATACTTCCACGATCCCGACTCGAAACTCCCAGGTGACCTCCACCCACCCCCATCGATAACGAGAACTTCTCCATTTACGTAGTTCCCTGCATCGCTAAAGAGATATACCGTTCCGTCTGCTATTTCCTTGACGCTGCCGTAGCGCTGTAAGGGGTTCTTGCGCATCGCAGCTCCGGAGGCTTCTGCGTCTTTGTTGCCTAACCTTTCCATGCCTTCTGTGGCAGCGACTACGGGATATAATTAGCTCATGATTTCGATATTGGATGAGGAGCTGATTCGAACAGCTTTGGAAAGAAAGAAAAAAGAAAAAAGAAAAAGAAAAAGAGAAGACGGCAAAAAACACTTACTTGGACCCGGAGTCAAGATATTAGATGTAACGCCGCGCGGACCATATTCCAGCGCCACGCTCGCAGACAGCGCATCCACGCCTGCTTTCGCAACAGCTGCGTGAGTCTGGAAGGGCATGCCTGTGAAGTGGAACGAGGCTGAGATGAATATGATGCGACCACCTGTATCGGGGTTCGTGGCTGCGTTTGGGTGTTTTTTCGCGGATGCGACGAGGTGGGGGATCGTGGCTTTGAGGGTATTGTAGGAGCCAATAGTATCAATATCGATTACGGTCTTGAAAGCGTTGGGTGAGAGGTTGGATATGGGAGAGAGGAAGTTGCCTGCTGCTCCGGCACTGTGTGCAAGTCAGTCAATCGGAATTGGGATTTCCAGCTTGCTTGCTTGCTTTGTTTCGAGGGATGGTATGGTATGGGAGGAACTTGCATGACAAAATCTATGCCTCCTAATTCCTTCACTGTTCGCTCCACGGCTTTCTCTAGAGTCTCGATTTTCCGCACGTCTAGTCCGCCTATCCCTATTACTCTTGCGCCTTTCCGTGCGGTGGCTATGCTGCGAGCCATGGCTTCGGTTTTCTCGACATTGCGGCCCACGATGCAGGCGTTGGCTCCGAGGTGGACGAGGGCGCGGACTTGCGCACTACAGATTGTGCCTCCGCCTCCTGTGCAGAAGACTACTTTGTTGTCTGGTGAAATAGAAGGTTAGCTTTGGTAGAGGTGTAGTAGTAAGGGAGAGGCTAGAGTTGAGCTCTTACCAAAGATACCGTCTTTCCAGACATTGGAAAGATAGTCAGACCTTGGGAGAGCCATTTGTAGGGTTATCTTGGAGAGAAGTGGAAGAAGTTGTAGAATTTGATGGAGGTAAAAGTGGTATGCGAATGTGATGTGCGTTTGGTATGTTTATACAAGTTATTAACTGAATCCGCAGTCGTCTGTCCTCTGAGTATTTCACGGCCGTAAAGTGTGGTAATCAATATGTACCTAGGTGACTTGCACGCATTGGGAAGTCTGGGGTAAGACCTCGGCCCGCCGCTTATCAGATCCAGATTTGGAGCAGATTGATTGGTCAATTGGTTCAGCCAACCAGCTCACAGTAAATCTAATCCAATCCATGACAACCAAGCTTGCCTTGCCAGTGCCAGTGCCAGTCCAGCCAGCCCGGCCTGCGTCACATCAGTGCTGCCGCCCAACGCTCCGCATCGTCCGTTGAACGTGAACGAAAAGCGTCCACCCGCCTCAATCCTGTGCAACTGCATTTTCAAGAGTGGACACTCACTTCAATCAGCACCATGGCGTCCAGAAAGGTCTCAACTCTAAAGTTCGTGGGAACCGTCTCGCTCGGCCTACTCACCGTATGATGCCCCTCCCCTCTTACATTGCCACAGCTAACAAAGCAACTCTCCCAGGGCCTCTCCTACACACTCAGCACCCTCACAATCCCAACCCTCCTCGCCCTCCCCTCGGCAAGCAGCGCCTCTCGAGCCTTCACCAGCCTGTCCACGCTCTCCCCAAACCACCTCACAGCACTCACGAGCATCTCCAGCGCCTCCTTCTTCCTCGCCTACCTACTGTCGCCACGGAGCCAAAAACACCCCTACCTACTCTGGACAACCATTATCGTCGCATCGTCCGGCCTCACCGATCTCATGCTCAAACCCGCGGTGCGCGCCAAGAAAACCGTGCCCAAGAGGGACACCAAGGGGAAGGGTCGGCAGATGGATGCGAGTTACGAGGTCCTGGGCGCTAGTGATAGGGATAGTGAGGGTACGGCGAGTGGGGAGGAGACGGACGAGGATGTTAATGGGGAGGATGTGCGGGAGCAGATGGAGGGGTTTATGAAGAGGCAGATTGCGACGACTGTGCTTGCTGGTCTTGGATTTGCCATGAGCGTGGTTGGGATCTGGGGTGATGGTGCTGCGGACCTGGTGGTTATTGAGATGTGAGCTGAGATAGGCTGGGCAAGGAATATTTCCGGATTTGATATCGTCCGGGAGCATGGAGTGAGGTATGAAAATTATGATTGATGCGACGGGATCTATGGTAAATACTCGGCTCACTCTGCTTCTTCGCTCAACTTATATACGAATTGAAGGGGTTCTCTTAGACAGACAAGCTGTTACTTTGAATATATATTGTGCCTTCCTAGTAGTTAGCTGTAGTATAAATAGGAAGAAAGTGACATCTCCGCCAGTGCAATGTCTCCAAATCCAGCAACACTTTCTCGCAAATTCCATTATTATACTCCACCACTTCCCGTTCTCTATACCCTGAACCGAAAGGCATGATACCTCCCGACCTACCTAGCTAGGTCTCCTCTTTCCATTTAGTATGTTGTAATATTCTCATCAAATACTATTAGCATAGTATGCCGAATTGTGTGATAAAACCATGGCTTTGAAGTGAAAACGTCAAGGGATAGACGAAGTAGTTAGGTCGGAACCTGGATCTACGTCCTCACATGATATATATGGCTTCTTTTTCTTCTTTCTGGACTTGACTTCTTCATTCATCATCTATATCTATATATCAACAAGTACTTGAGTACTCGAGATAAGATGAGGTTTTTGGCTACAGTACAATCTACAAAATCCCACCCTAAAAAAACTTTTAGATCCCTCACTCTGCATGTTCTTCCTTCTTCCCAAGCCCGACCATCTTCTTAATCTCCTGCCAAAAGGTCATGTGCGGTTCTAGAGTATTGGCCTCATAATCATCAATAGCAGGCCTTTCCCAAACCAAGTCCGCTTCCTCGGGTTTGATGATCTTTGTCTTCTTGATGATCTTCCAGCCTACGTAGAAAACGGGGCACGCGAAGACCATAGTGTAGTATGAGAAGAAGGTTCCGATGTCCCACCCTGATTATCTCATTAGCATAGTCTCTTTTGAACAAAAGGGGTTATCTTACAGCCGGGAAGGAGCACCGTGTACCCGTAAACGGTGACAGTGAAGATCATGGTTACCAGACCGAACCAGGCGCAGTAAGGTTGTGCCCAGCCGATGTAGGGGAGGTCTTTGCGGTCGTAGCCTTGGGCTTTCATGGCGCGGTAGAAGAATATGTAGATGGTGCACATGCAGATGTAATCGATCATCTGAGAAGCTTCGGTGAGATTGGCAAGCCTGGACAGAATCAGTAGGGGGTCTCGCTCGCAGCATGTAAGGATTGATTTACCATGTGATGACCTGCGCGGAGCTGCTCCCGATGGACAGGAAACTGAGGAAGGGAAAGATCATGGTAATGCAGAAGCACCAGATTGGAACACCGTTCTTGGTACACTTTCTGAGAAACTTCGGGGCGTGGCCGTCTAGTGACAGAGAATAGAGAGTTCTGGAGGCGCAGAAAACGTATGAGTTGCCGGCTGAGAAAATACTGGTGACCAAGAGTGCATTTGTGAGATGCGGAAGGAAACCAATACCCATGTTCTGCATAGCAATAACATATGGGGAAGCGGCAGCGGTTCCAGAGCTAGTTCCATTGAGAGCGGCAATTAGATCTGCGTCGTTGTACGGGATTACAATGCCACAAGCTAAAGCACCTCCGATGAAGAAGATGCCGAATCGAACATAAACTGTCTTGAAGGCCCTCTTGAGATTCTTACGTGGGTGCGCGGCCTCACCTGCCAACATCGCAATATATTCTGGTCCGACAATTGTGAAGCTGCATGCTGGTTAGTCTTTCATCCAAACGAGAATCACGTTAGGATGAACATACGCAGCCTTCCATAATGCAGCCAAAAACCCCTCGAACTTCCCCAGCGGACCTGTTGTAACGTATTCCGCAAATGCTCCCTAGTGATGAACGAGTTAGTGACCAAGAAATTGAGTAATGGATGGGTTATAATACCGGCGTTCTCCAATATCGAAACCCATATGCATCATGCTTAGGATTCCCCCCAACCATGGTAACGAACGTGAAGGCAAATAACAAGCCAATAAGGAACAGTTTACCAGTAGACAACCAGAACTCAGACTCTCCGTACAACTTGACCGCGAAAAGGTTGATAATTCTATTCAGGTCAGAAGTTTGATCCAGTACAGAACACGGGATTCAGCTCACGCATAGAGCACAATACAAGCTGCACATACAGCCTCGACAGGAATATCATCTCTCCAGAAGGTCAACACCAAATTCAAGGCACTGATTTCCCAAGGAATAAGAAAAGCCTCTGAATCTTGATTAGACTAGAACTTTGGAGCCCGTGTTGTCAAACTTACCATAGAGGAAAAAGTTCCAGCCTAACATGAAGCCGAACGATTCATCCACCCACTTACTACCCATTCGAATGAACCCACCACTGACCGGCATGAACACAGTCATCTGCCAAGCGGATTAGCATAGTACAAAGACAACCGCCTAGAGAGAGCTGGGGGAGCCAGTGTACAGTCTTGGGAGCTAATATACAAGCTCCTGAACAGCTTCCACTCCCACTCCCAGCTCCCCCCAAAGATTAGGGTCGATTTGTATGAGAATATCAACCCACCTCAGCCATGCAATTATTGACCGACGCCAAAAAGAAGCAGTAAAGTATAAAGGCAATGAGCAAACTCCCCGGTCCTCCATTTACAAGACCCGTGCCAATGCTCACGAACAGGGCCGTTCCAATGGAGCCTCCTATCGTAATCATCTGAATGTGGCGACCAGAGAGATTCCGCTTGAGATCAGACACATTTCCAATGATGATACTATCGCCATCAGAAACATTATACGCCGGGACCTTCTCACTGTCGTCGGATTTGTCTGCGGCCACAGCACTGTTCTTCCTGATATGATCCATGATGGCGGTATTTCTTGCGCAAAACACAAAGAGACAGGACAGGAAGAGTAATTCAAAACATGGGAAGCGCGGTGTTTAAGAATACTTTATAAACGCCCCGCAATCCAACATCAAGGCAAGGCACGGGAATCCTACAGTACTTTACCTACCTGTAGTCTCGTACAGTATGAGAGCCAGGAGCCAGTGCACCGTACAAGACCCTGCTTACCAGTTACCACCAAGTTTTATCAGGCGGCTTCCCCGAGCTATCTCACGCATGCTGTGGACGCTGCGTTACAGTAGCGGCGGACTGGCTTGCCCGCCATACGAAGGACTTCGATCCTACTGAGATACCAAGCCAAAGCCCCGCAATTTTGGAATGTGGCAGGGTACACCAAGGAGATATGCACGACTACAGTACATGTACCCCACTCAGCGCTGATGCCCGTTGATAAGGAGAAGAAGATCAATCAATCAATCAGGTGGCGATAGCTTTTACTGTATTTCTTTCTATTTGTGTGTTACAAAACTTCCATCGTATTTACTGTAAATTACGTCGTATACGCGGACCGAGCCTCGCAGTCGCCGCATCGCGGGGTTGATGTTGACCTAGCTAAGAGCCGCCACATCAAGCCTCAAGGCTGGGGCTGGTTACCGGTAGTACAGTACTTACCGCATGGCATGTATGGCAGACACACCCTGTAGATACTATACTTACACTTACCTCACCTCACCATAATACGGTCGCCTCCCTTGCCGTTGCTGCGCTGACTACTGCCCGAATAATCTTTACAAGTACGCTAGCACAATAATCTTTACGTATTCAAGTACAAGTTGAATGCACGCGCTTTTAGCTCCGGCTTGGCACTAGGACTCGAGGATCTATTTCCTTTTCAGCGATTCCTCCTAAGTCACGACCCCCTTTAGGAATCTTTGAACTTTGGAGTAATGTACAGAATACGTGGATATTATTTAGTGCTACTATTATCACAGCTGCTTGCATGAAATGCGCTTTTTTACTCGTATTTCCCTCACGCCCGCCATGTGTTTCTAGTTGCCCGTGCTAAAGGTGCATGGTTTGGGGGTTCTGTTGCTTCATTCATACATAGCGTTATCGTGTATACATGTAGGGTTAATTTATGGTAAAGATTACGGTTGACCATGGTCTAACGGTATGAAAACCGATAGCCTCATCCTACCACCACGTTCCAGGGTCCAGGGAGCTGGGACACTGCCCCGCCCCCACAAAACCCTCTCATTTCAATGGGCTGACTGGACCTCTTGTTATGTCAAACGTTTTCTTTCAGCTCACCCAAGAGCAATTCCTCTATTGTTCGTTCCCCTCCATTCACTTTCCAAGAGCATAGCGCCACCTTGAGGACCACTGGCATCCAAAGAGACAGTTGTCTTCTGTGCATCACTTATCACCCTGATAGTCTCTCCAGAATTTTTATGGTCAGTCTCACATGTAATAGACGACTTTGTCCGAGTAGCATCTTCCTCATGACCAGCTGTTCCTAACTTCAAGACCTTCACTGCTGGTGCAGGTTTGATGTCCACGTTCGGGAAAGGCAGAAATCCCTCGCGTAAGGGAATAAGCACAACTGGGAAGGAGAGCTTCTGCTTGCTGTCTGCAGCATGAGCCTGACTTGGGACCTTGAAATGGCCTTTTCGTCTTCCTCCAATCAGCCAATTATCAGAGGCTCCGGTAACCTCGTAGACAAAATGTACGTCTTCTGACGGAGATGAGCTATTCTTTCCTTGATGGAGTGAAGCATCCCACATTCTGGTCCATTTGATATTTAGCGACGCGGAGAGGGGTTGGTTTGACGCGGCTACCATCGTAGCAGTGGGTAATAGCGAGCTCTCTAGTAATTTGAGATCTGCTGTGTGTACGACAGTCACGGAAGGAACCTCAACAGGAATGATGATGGATCGACTGGCAGAGATGGTTTCCTCCTCCGTGGAAAGAAGTATCAAAGGAATCTTTGGTGTGCGTTGTTGCCACGCCTGAAGGCCCTCCGAGATTAAGCCAGCTATTTCTTGGTTGCTCTCCATAGTACGTCCAAGGCCCGAGAAATGGTCCTGCCACCTTACAGTTGAAAGAACCGAGGTTGGGACTTCACTCAAAACTGCGATCCGTTCAAGATCATACGGAGATGAACGCGCCCGGAGCTCAGCCACGACGATCGGTATGACAAGTCGGCTATAAGGATACATTGGTGTATCCTGGAGAGCCTGCTCGAGGCTACGAGTAACGGTATTCTCAATCTCTTCCTCGAGGCATATGTAGTGCAACACGAGCGACAAGGATGCTTTCACGCTCTTGCTAGCACCCGGCGGTGGTGTTGCACGAGTGGATCTCGTAATTTTATAGAGCATCGATGCAGGCTGCCGTGGAAATATAACCAAAGGGTCTGAGAATGTGGTGCCACAGTGTGCTTCGAAAACATCTGAGTCTTCTAAGCGAGAACTCAGCAGACGTAAGGGGTCGGCAGTGGCGGAAGAAATTGTGAATTTTGAAAATAGCGCTTTGTGCTTAAAGACGTCCTGCACATTAACACCGAGAGGAAGGAGGATAGACATTGTAGGCGTAGTGGCAAAAAAGAAGGTCCCGTTTTCAGTGGTGTAGGATAACTCCAGCCTGAGCGAGATGTCACTTGAGTCGTGTTCAAGAGTATATGGCACGCGAAGCTTCGCTTTCGCACCTACAGCCATAGCACCAAAGCGAACGACGCCGGCTGTAGCTTGCTTGGAGAGTTCAAGTTTACCACTTATAACTTTAGCTTCACTTGTTTGAAGTCTTAACCCAGCAGTTGCTGCGCGGACCTGAAGTTCTCCATTAATCACATTATTCCAGCCAGATGAGAGCTCAAGTTCCAAGAAGCGATTGCGATCTAGATGCATGTATCTTGATGCGAAAAGCTTCACATCAAACGCTTCTGCCCGATGATAGACGAGCAGTCTTGGACATTTGAAGAACGTGTCGGTCTGACCAGGGATGGCAACAACACTCTCATGCTCATAAGTAAGAGAGATGTTACTGGTGTGAAGGCTAACATGACTGACAGTATAGGTGCCCGGTACAATCGTCTGGAAAAGACATTAGCATTGTAGCAAGCTTACGACGAAAAGGGAGAGCACCCACATTGGTCTGAACTAATAGTACCCCGCTGCCATTCTTGAAGACTGATGGGCCGGTAGTTTCAAGCCAAATTTCTCGTTTTGTGTCTCCATACAGGGCAGTAATTTTGACTCTTGCTTTCTCAACTGTGAGCACTTCTGAGAGTAAATACCTCAGACGAAGCTGTAGTGCAAAGCTGTCTCTCTCCGGGTGATACCGAGGGGTACTATCCACCTCCACACGTCCAAAAAAGTGCTGCAATGGCACACTGATTTCACGTTGCAAAGTCTTCGTTATTTCCAACAACTCATGAAGATACGAAGAAGTAGAGACAGGCTCATCATTGTTGGAGCTTGAGGGACTGCCAATCCGCAAAGTCGATTTTCGAATCTGTTTCGCGTTCTCAGTAGCAGCAACCTTCCCTAAAAGATCCAATACAACACGGACGTAATCTTCTTTGCGTTGAAGGTTTTTAAGACTTTTCGCATACATGACGAGCATCGGCAATTCTACTTGATCCCATCCGTTGTTGCCATACGAGTTCATCATACGAAAGAAGTACGAAGCCGCAGCTGCAAAATCATCGAGATGATATTTGAGAACTGCTAGATCAGCCATATTTGCCAGGACAGATTGCGTACGGTTCGCCACTGTATAATGGCGGAGTGCTTTATCCGTCAGAGTCTCGTAGAGCCGAAAAAAGTCATCCTTGCTATCCACAGCAGTTCGCAGCAGTTTACTTTCGATGCCATGTAAGGAAGGGGTAGGCTTTGGAGAAACCACGGAAATCGCTTCTTCGCCCCCAGAAGAACCTCCATCTAGGTCAATGTCTTGCAACTCGTCCGCCTTGTCATCATAGTGATCCGCAACTTCTGCCCAGCCAGCGCTCCATCCACGCTCTTGGCCGACCCTTTCTAACACATTTCTCGAAAACAGATATAACTCCGCTCTATGGGATGCGAGATCTTCGAGCCCGTTTTTAAGGAAAGTCGTCGAGACAGTGCCTTGCTCTGGAACACTGGATCTCCGATTGGCTGGGAAAGCTGCAGTGCCTGTGGGCTCTCTGACCGGCGAACGACGCTGAGCAAGGGAGCTACTGCGAGCAGGATGCATCATCGTCTTTGGCTCGGGGATAGCAGCCTTTTGCTCCTGTCCATCGAGACCTATTTTAGCGCTTGGGGGTGCCAGCGTCGATGGGGGAATGGGCAGAGATTTTGTAGATGTTTGGGCCAAGATTTGTTGTGCCACAGCAAATGTGAAGGAGGACGTGATGTTGTCTACTACTTGCGACATTATTGGGTCTGGCTCCACGACAAATTCTGCCTTCTCATCCTCTGCTTCACCGGACTTGTTCAGTTTTGACTGGGACGTCCAAATATCATCCCGAATGATACGTGCGATAGAAGCAATGAAGTCCATGGATCTCTTACATACATGCGCAAGGGTAGCGAGATTCTCCACGTCTTCCGAGGCCTGGGATGCCGGGAGTCGAGCAACCACTCCTTGCAGACTGGACTCTCGCTGCTCTTTGAGTTTTGCAAGCAGTTCCTCCTTGGACGACCAAGCGTTTGCGAGGCGTAGCAATAGTGACAACTGCCGAGCAAATATGTAGCAACGAAAGTCAAAGATGGAGATATCGTTCGACAGTATAAGTTCTCGATATCGTTTCTTGACTGCGTTTAGCGGTATCTCGTCAATCTCATTGTCGGCGGGCTTTGAGCTGGACTGAAGATCAATGGGGTCATCCGTCTCGACAGTGTCTATCCCGTCACCCATATCTTTAAGTATCGCACTTTTCGCTCGTTCCGCTTGTTGCTTCAGATCCTCCGTAAAAGGCAGAAAAGATCCACCATGTTCAGCGCCTGAGCCTAAGGTAGCTTGCTCCGTGATAATCGCATCAAGACCTATTGCCAATTCATCATACCCTACTAGGGCATCCTCAACGAGGCCGACGCTTTCAAACCCTCTTGCCAATCCTTCCTTAAGTACAAAAAAAGTACAGAAGTTCCAGCCAGGCAGGGTTCGCTGGGCATCTTTCTCACGAATATCCTCTTCATACTGACTCACACGCATATCAAAGGATGCTAGAATCAGCGACTTGAACTTCACAAGCAGATCCAACCAAGCATTCTCATTTTCTTGCGGTGACTCGGTATATGACCCTGGAATGGCTGGCACAACACGGGGAAGCATCTCGTAAGGCACATCATTAACGCCAATACGAATCTGAGCTACCCGATCAACAGCAGTTCTCGATGAGCCATTAAAGTCTGCGCGTAGTTTCTCCAACAGGGTCGATGATCCACCTCCTCTCCAACGTGCCGTGGCCTTCTCTGTAGTAGATCCAGAACTCCCTTCTGAACTTTTCCCACTTGTTTTCGGTTGTGTTGCTGCCGCCGTATTTGGTACTACGACATGAATGATAAGCCATTCGAAGGCATCATGATTCTCTTGTGTATTCTGCTTCGTAGTGCTCTGCGCAGGCGGAGTGTGCTCCTTGATCCATTCTCGCACCTGTTTGCGAGCTTGCGCTTTGTAGGTATCATTATCATCGCAGCGTAATAAGAAGACCTTCAGATATGGCGTCTGTCGTAACCCAGGTATTTGGTGCCTTCGCTCCTTAACAACTGGCTTGGGCGCAGCGTCTGAACGAGACTCTGGTTTCTCTACTACTGCTGCCTGTCCTAATACTTGTGTCCGAAAACCATCATCGCCACTTGCTGTTGAATCCTCACTCTTCACCCTTGAGAGGCTGGGCGAGCTGCTTGAAGCATTGTCTGTGGAGGCAGGAGGGCCCGGTTCTTGAGCGAATGGGACAAGGTCGACATGGAGGGAGGATATGGAACGTAATGGACCAGCATGAGATTCCCAATGAAGGTTTCGCAGAGGTAGTCGAGGGAGGAAGCCGGGCGACAGTAGCTGGTAGACCCCGAACGGGTCAAAATACTGAACTGGTATTGTGATTAGTTGAGCTATATTAGAACCGGAGTGATAGCTTGATACCCGTAACTTTGGAACTTGACGATGGCTGCTCCATGACTATTATGAGCTTTACAGCTCTCACACGCCAGCTAGCAACTAGGAAATGGATGGAAGGGCATCACTGCATCGCGAATATCTAACGTAGTGTCGTTGAAGTCGATTTTGTGTTGTTCAGGTACACCCAAATTCTGCCACTTTCTCTCCGCCCAATCGAGATGCCAGGGCGGTGTAGGACTTCCAAGAAACAAACATGCTGAGGGGACGCTAAATTCTGGCGTGATGCGCTGTATTCTCAGGCTCTCGATCGCTAATTATTTTATTCTCCAGCCTGCTACTCACTAAGTAGACACTGCGGGCAAATATTCACACTTTCTTGTTCCAATATGTTTAACAAGCCAGCATGTCTTCACTCTATATGTACTCGATACAATTTAATAAATCGATGCTTGAACAGCGTCTTCATTATACTTGAGGTAAATAATCTACCGTGGGCTACGGCTGTTAATCCTCTTCTCTACCCCCTAAACTTCTCATTTCCAACCGACGATACTGACCAATTTACCTCTGTTTCTATTAGATAAGCTAAATTCAAATGTCTCGATTTCACTTACAAACTTTGTTCACCTAACAGGACCGATGGGAGCTCACTAGGCCTTTGCTACTCCACCACAGGCGCATGTCCCATCTCATCAACGAGATTTTCCTTCAGTCATGAACTCCGCAAGCCGGACAAGTCTCACGCGGGGGCAACATACTTAGGCGTCACCAAGAGCTCTTCCCCGAATACAGGGTCACCGATCTGTGAGTGCGCTGACTCTGCTTCAAACAATCCGGAGAACAATTTGGATTATCATTAAGGTAAACAAAAAGGGGTATATAACACTAACTACAACCTAAAACCGTCATTGCAACATATCCCATCTTTCATCAACGTATCGCAATCTTCCACCTCTTCTCAATAACGCGGAGCGTTGCAGATGTCCCTCCAGGGGATCTTAGACAGCCCATTCGGGAATTTCATCCCCGCCGCCGTCCAACTGGATACTGCCGTCTCGAAGATCCAAGCCAGAACAGCTTTCACCCAATGTCTCTTCTTCCCCCACACGCAGCCTCAGCAACAGTAGCTATTCCATTAAGCAAGAAGAATTGACAGATTCGGGTAATCTCTGGCTTGCTGAGGATGGGCGCAAGGGCATAAGCATGGAACGCTGCCATGAGGCCGAAGGCTCCAAAGATTCCTAGTGAGCGTGCCATCCAAATAGGTACGCCATATTTTGGGAGGCCGTACCGGAGTGGTTGGTATGCTAGGGATGTGCATGGGGAGGCAAATGCGTTGTGCCACGTTTCGGACCTTCAAGATTTAGTTAGAACTCGATCTGCTAGAGCAAATGCAAATGCAGTCTTACCAAAATCCTGACAGACTATCCGCCAAGTAAAGAGGACCGAACAGAGCCGGGCTACTTTTATACCGCAGCAGGAGTTGCATACTAGTCCAGAGTATATAAATCGACAACTGTACTTCGAAAGCCAAAATCGTTGGAATATTCTGCGGAAGCGATTGCAGGATAGTAAAAACTCCGACATGAATAGCTAGTTGCAATGGTTCGTTGAAGTTCTCTTGGTTCCTCGGTACGCGGATATGGTTTGGAGTAAAAGACTCATATCGGAGTTCTGTCAAAATCATGAGAGACAATAGCCAATCTGCAGGCTTTCTTCCTCCTCCTGTGTATGCTCGAGTCGAGTGCCGGCGTGCAAAGATGTCCAGGAGCTTCATGGTCCCAATTGCAACTACAAACTGTCAGTGAAACTATGTAATGGAGCCTGTTTAGTCTTGGTCATACTGGCGAAGTTCTGTAGGCATTGTGCAGGGCCACATGAGATTGCCGCAACCTGTGGTGAGAGCCAGAATGCGCCAAGAGAGAGGAATGTCAGCGCCTGGTAGACTTTCTGGAATCCCTTGATGTGGAAGTATATTGAGAAGTAGAGAAGCTCGGTTGGGATAAGGAGAAATGCTGTTGCTTTGACCAATTCGTGCCCCAGTTGGTTGTAAGCAGGTGGCAGATCTGCTAGAGATACTGGGGGAAGGGAGATATTCATATCGACGGTGAAATGTAGGCAGCTACGGGTGGAGATTTGAGGGCTTAGCAGGTGGGTGATTTATCTATTTGGACTAACTGGGAGCAATTGATCCTTGTTTGAAGGCACTGGCAGCAATCCAGGTCGCAGCCAGCGAGCGACACAACCGAATCACTCGCTGAACCAAATGTACGGAGTATACTCCGTAAATATATGACCCCTCTTTGTATAAACCCGAGGTGTGCGGATCCCAGCCTCCCCGCCGGCTTCTTCGGAAGGCTGAACAAGTAAAGTAAAGTGAAGCCTTGGTCACGATCGGAGTTATCTCCGAGCCTCAAAATAACAGCGAAGACGAGATCCCCTTGGTTCCAGGACTGGAAAAGTATACTGAAAATATAATGTAAATAAACTTAGGGATGAGGAAGAGTAGGATGCGAATTTAAACAAAGTCATCAGCTACTACAACAGTGGGAGTGGTTGGCCATGCCATTCTTGAAATGGCATGGTTCAGCATTTTCTTTTCGGTAGCCTTGCTGAGTTGATGTCGCTGAATAATGTGTGATGGTAGCAAAGGTCGGATATATCGGACCGCTGGCCAATAGCACTAGCAATGGACTTTTTATGGAGCAGATGCCGGATTATTTCCGATTGTTTCCGAGAGGTGACTGGCTCGACTGGTTCGCAGAAGCAGGGGTAGGAACAACAGCCGACTTTCCATAGCAAGGGTTTGGGTAAAACGTGCAATATCCGTAAAAGTTGGTATTATGACTGATTATTATTTCGTTGTATCCTTCGCATCTCCCTTGTGAGAGCGTCTAACCAAATTTGCCCATATGAAAGACCTGGGAGCCCTTTTCATTTTCCTGCTTCTGGCACTCAAATGAGGTATGCCCTTCGTTAACGCCATGCCGTCCGATGCTCATGATACACGTTGCCCATCTAATAGAACAGAAACGCCATTTTGAAAAGAAAAAAGATACTATACAAATACTCAAACTAGCAGCTACCTTGCTCTATGAGAGCGGTGACTCTTGTCCCTTCCTTTCTTCCGGTCTTTCGGAATTTCCACTGGAGTGTCCTTAAGCTCCATCGTCATGAACTTTAGCATGTAATCATCAGCAGACTCAACCCTTTCACCCCAGGCATTGAGCTCTTCTTCATCGTCCAACACCATCTCATCATCAACCACAGGTGTCTCATCAGCGCCAGGTGCTTCGGTATCATCACGAGGCGTCCCTGCGGCTGCTGGTGTTGCAGATGCCGTAGTAATAGCGTTCTCATCGAAATCGGCGGCGTCCGTCTCTTGCACCTCGTGCTCAGCTACTTTAGCAGCCACGACATCCTCTCGATCTTCTACTTGCGCCAATACTCGCTGGACATCTTTGCTATTATCTGGCCCGCCTAAGACTCGGTCCATGGCAGCGCTGGCTGCCGCGTCGCCATCTAGGAGAGAAGATTCTTCGCCGAGAACATCCTGTACGGACATCTTGTTGAAGTAATCTGTCGTAAAATCTCCCTCCTGAATAACAACATCGTCAAGCATTCGTTTTTGATTAGCCTTGCGCAAAATGTTTGCTTCAATTGTGTGTTCTGAGACTAGACGGTAGATATGAACGTCCCGAGTTTGACCAATACGATGGCATCTATCCTGGCATTGCTTATCCATAGCCGGATTCCAGTCGAGATCATAGAAGATAACAGTGTCGGCGCCCGTCAAATTGATACCTAGACCGCCAGATCGACTGGAAAGAATGAAGGCTAAAATACGAGTATCGTTATTGAAGCGATCTGTGAGAATCTGGCGCTGCTCAATCTTGGTGCTGCCGTCTAGACGAAGGTACTTATGTCCGTGAATATTGAGGAACTGCTCCAGAATGTCCAAGACCTTGGTCATCTGGGTGAAGATAAGTGCACGATGACCCCCAGCTTGAAGCTTGCGAAGTAGTTTTGCCAGCGTCTGTAACTTGCCACAATCGTATTGCAACAGCCGCTTATCCGGGAACTGAATGGAAAGTCGCATTCGTGCCTCGTGGAACGGATCTTTTGTGGAACTATCTACAACTGTTTGGACAGTGTTGACTCCTCGGCGTGTAAGGGCTAGTGGGGTCATGTCCCTGGCAACAACTGGAGGAGTTACACAGGCAAATTTTCGGATAATAGCATCTAATTCTTCGGATCGCAGGGAGAGACTTGGCACCATGGAGGACAGGGTAGGCGATTTGTTTTCCAGCCATGTTAGCATCTGGTTGCGACGCTTAGGCTTAGGCTGTAAAGGTCGTTCGTTGACGCCGATTGTGAGCAGTTCCATCATTTGTTTTCCGTAAATAGGTTTCTGTTGTCGACGTAGAGCATTGAGATAGACACAATGCTGAAGCTCTTCAAACCGGCCCCATCTCGAAGCACTTTCCAGATATACCAAGTTTGATTTAGCGGTAGACGGGTCAAGATTTGTGAGGGCGTTCTGGGCTCTGTGTCGCTGGCTTTCGCGCATTTCCATCAACATGCCTTGAGCAGTAAGCATAGCACTTCGTGCAGTAACAGCACCAGAGAAACGCTCGTGCTTTGTCGGAACTAGGTTCAGAAATTCCAAGCTTGCCTTACTCATCGGATCTTCTTTGAGAAGACGCCTACGTACAAGGAGCTCCTTAATCTCAAAGTCTGCGATAGCTGATTTTTCCATGGGGAACGAGGTCATAATTGGCCGATCTAGGAAAAGGTCCGGATGATTGCATACTTTTCTCAGTTGCATCAAGCAGTTGATGATGGACAGGTAATTGCCAGAAGCCAGAGTGCCTCGAGTATCCTCTCGACTCAAGAAGCTGTCGTACAACTCTCGTTGTCTCTTAGAAAGACGACAAAACTCTACGTGTTCATACTTTGCAGGCATCTGCTTTTCAACGTCTGCCTTCAGTCTCCTTAACAAGTATGGACGGAGAACTTGGTGAAGTTTGCTGATGATTCCCTTGGACTCCGAATCCATTTGATCTCGGCCGTGCTCAAGAATTTGTTCGGATGGCTTTTTGAACCACTCTTGAAATTCTCTCAAGTTCGCAAACCCGCTTATGTTCTGTTGCGTATCCGTGCCATTTGCAGTTGCGGGCATCAAGAAGTAGAGCAAGGACCAGAGTTCCGTGAGATTGTTCTGGAGTGGAGTTCCAGTCAGGAGGAGTCTTGCTCGAGTGTTGAATGTCAACATGGCTTGCCACCGCTGTGACTGGAAGTTTTTGATATTATGTGCTTCGTCGAGAATCATATAATGCCAGCGCCGACGCTTGAATACTTGAACGTCTCGAAGAACGATCTGGTAAGAGGTAATGCAAACATTCCACTTGTCTTCGGTTTTCCACCCGAGCCGCTTTCGCTTGCGCTCCTCTTGGCTGCCATAGTAAGTTAAGATTTTGAATCCGGGGCACCATTTCTTAAACTCCATTTCCCAATTGAGTATAACACTTGTTGGAACAATGACAAGGTGAGGGCCCCAAACTTCATGCTCGCAAGCAAGATGGGCTAGGAGAGCGATGGTTTGTATTGTCTTGCCTAAACCCATCTCATCAGCCAAGATACCATTGGTGTTGTTTGCATAAAGGCCCGCAAGCCAATCTAAACCATGATGCTGATATTCTCTGAGAGTGCCCCTCAGAAGGAAAGGCACTGGGGTCTTAAAGTTGGAGCCGGGCTGTGGTGTACTACTCTGAGTGATTTGGCCACTGTTATGATGAAGCTCGACTGAAGATGCCGAATCCATTTCAGAGGGTCTTGTTTCCGTGGTTCTCGGAGTTGGTTGACTACTACGGTCAGGGCTTGTCGACGTCCCTTCGGGTGCCTGCTTGACAATTTCTAACTCTTCCGTACTGTTATTTGCGGCGCTCGGTTCGATCTCGCCTACGACACCCTCTTCCAAAGGCTCTTGATGAACGGCATCCGGTACGAGAGACCTCTCATCTTCTTCGATGTCTGCGTTGCCAGTAACAGACTCTAAATCTGGTTTCGCAGAATCCAGCTCCAATGACTTCACATCTGAAGGAGCGAGGAAGCCGAGTAGGCTACTTGATCCACCATCTTCGTCCTCCTCGTCCTCACTTTCTTCCTCTTCTCCATTTTCGCTATCACGTTCTTCATCGCTGGAGCCCATATCATCGTCCATATCGATCGATTCATCGCTGTCGCTGCATGTGTTTTCCAAATCCGGTCCTTGACCTGTGTCGGATCTGGGGGCATCAGACATCTCTTCATCGTCCACCTGAGGTATAGTTGGTAAACCGGAATATTTCTCTTGAAGTTGCTCCTGTGTCAAATGCTCATCCTCGACCGCGTCTGGCGATATCTGCTCCTCCTCCGCCTCTGATTCGCTTGAGGACATGTTACTTTCTCCATCATCGGACCGGGATCCGGACTGAGGGCCTTGATTTTCTTCTCCATCAGAAGCACCACTTTCATCCTCACTGTTCTCCTCGTCTGTGAATATCTCCGAGTCCGGGCGAGCTGTGCGGGCCTGTAATTTTTGTGTGGATAGGTCTACAGCTTCATTCAGCGCTTTACGGACTCGAGCTTGCTCCTGTGCCTCCCATTCCACTACCCGTCTACGATTGACTTCCGCTCGTACATTCGCCCATGTAGCTTGGAGACTTTTAATCAAAGTTCTGTATCGATATTCAGTGGACTTTGCTTCCTCGGCCTCCAGCTGCTCTAGTGACTTGGGCTGTCTCCGATACCATTCATCTCTACATGCTTCCGCAAGTCGCTTGGCTGTCGCTCGATGCTTCCTTTGCTCTATGAGCATCAACCTTCGAAACTCTAGAGCGGCTTTATTCAAGTGATCCTGATGTCCGTATTGCTGAGGAATATGATCCGGTTCTGGTGGCTCGAAAACTGAACAAGTCTCGGGGCTCAGCACGCCTCCTGGTTTACAAGCTTCCTCTATCCGTAAGAGAATCCGGGCATCTTGCTTAACCGATTCATCTGTATATTTCGGTCCATCTTCAACACTCCAGAGTCCCCCTTTAGCAATATTTATATCTTTTGCTAAGTCCAAGTACTCTTCTAAGGTCGGAAACAGCTTTGCCTTCTTCGGGACTAAATCATGATGTGTCAAGGGCAAAGATGCGGGTTTGACTCGAAGTTTGATTTTCGGAAGGGTCGTCTTGGGGCTCGCGCCAGATGGAGCTTCTAGTTTCTGTAGACTGGGTCTAGCTTCTTCGTCTTGGGTTATCTCACCAACTCGTCCTGAACGTCGCTTCTTGTCTGGACGAGTTTGTACCGGGGCAGAGTGTGGAATTTTCGGTGTTGAGGACTTCTTGTGTGATCGGACTGGTGTTGCTATTTGTTCACTGGGCATGGACTTTCGATGGGATCGTTTTGGGGAGCCTGCAGACTTTGACGGTGACTTTTGCAATGAGGCGGTGCTAGGAACTGGCTTCTTGGACCCTTTGGTTGAAGAGGACGGTGCATCTCGAGCTGGAGGCGATCCATTTGTGTTTGCGTGTTTACCTTGTGTAGAGTGTGTTTTCTGAGCGCCTCGCGTCTGACGTTTATCGGATGGTGGCTGTAGCTCGAGGGGTATCACATTTACTCTGCCCGATTTTCTCTTTCCATCCTGAGTGAAGGAGGTGGGGCCTTCTGCTACGACTGTCTTCCAAGGAGGGGACTCGATTTTCTTGCGTGGATTCGGGGTGGTCTCGCTGACTCGACGCTTCTTAGTTGGCGGACCCTCCTCTTCAGCCTTCTCGGTGTGGTGATCATTTGTGTACGGGACTTCAATTTCGTTTGGAGGTATGTCTGATAAGTGACAAGATTAGTTGTTTGATTAGTGGTGGTTGGGATGTGGGGATGCATACTGAAATTTGGTTGACTTTCTTGCGCATCTGACGCGCTCCGTGTCATGACTTCTATGAGAAGAGGGGCCAGGCACTACCGTAATAGTGATGAAGTTAACATTTGAGGGGACAAAAACAACTTCGGCAGATGCGCAATGTTGAGAATATCTCATCTACAAAGTTTGCGCATGTCCAGAGGTCAGTTGCGCTGGGTATTGACGAAATAGTGCCAATTTGATGAAATTGCTGTCAACACGCCGCAAAGAGGGAAAATCACGAAGAACCCGGGAAGAAGCCAGGCGTTGCATGCATGCAGGAAGAAAAAGCGGCACTATATGGCTCGCTGTGCTGCATCGTGAATGGCTGCTGCTTTACATATAGGGCGACAGGCTTACATAAGCGAGATGCCAAGCTCTTTGTAACCTCATCGACAGTGCGAGAGAGAGGGATACGTAGGAAGTCACCATTCAAGACATTTCAAAGACACAAAACCAAGGTACAATCCTCTACCATGATATCTACTTGCCCTGTAGCTGCTCTAACACTCTTCGCAGATGCTCTCTCGGCGGATTGCAACTGCACGGCCACTGCGAGCGGCTCTGCCGGTTGCTCAACGAGCAATCTTTGGTCAACAGCGATTCGCTCAAACAGCTTCTTATGATTATCCTGAATTGGTGCGTAGAACCACTGCCCATTCATCTACTAGTATTGCTTGTATTTGGACTTCTGCTAATATCACAAACTCAAGACTGCAGCTCAGGACCCCGACATGGTATACGATCCCAGCTCCCCCTCCATAAGCAATTAACTAACACATTGGACAGAACGGCGGATACATCAGCCCTCCTCCTATTAAGCGCCAATTCCGCGATCCGCATGCCGACTGGTGGGACAAGCAAGAGCGTCGAAACTATGGAGAACCAGTTCATGAGGACGCTGATATTATGGGAATGTTCTCGCCGGAAGAGTACACATGGGTAAAGCCAGGCAAGGGAGCGTTACAACTTGGCGCCTTTATTCTGACTGTCTTTGGGTTTTCCGGAGTTGTCTCGCTTTACTATCCAGACAAACCATCTGCACCAAAGGAGTATGAAGATGGACTTGAGCGGGAACTGGGGGGTCCAAATGCATTACGGGTAAGTCGAATATGAGTGCTATGCATGACAATTACTGACTATTATTTAGGCACATAAGTCTGGGGATGCTGTGTAGAGAAATGCTCAAGCATGGTTGTAAATAGGAAGTCTAGTGATTCGCAATTGAACACATTCGATGAAGCGTATATGCCTCTTCAGAAATTGATAAACCATATGATAGAAGAAGAGCAGCCTTGCATTTCTAACATCATTGCGAACAGTGGTTTTATCTTTAATTTCTTCCAAACGGCATTGACTCTGGCTTGACCTTCAAGTCAAAGTTGAGTTGTCCAATACAGACATAGCGGGTTAGATCTCAACAATAGTCAACTATCTTGCGGTGGAGAAAAATCCGTACTAAATATTAGGAGACGTCCAACCTGGCTTGGAACATTGAAAGTGCCGCTTTTTTGTGTCTACGGCGAGACTGTATCGGTTCTTTCCCTTCCGGATTTTGTCCTTTTGGACTGCATGAGGCGTTGCAAAGTACTTATAGCTCCTTCCCTTTTTGGTTCCCGTCTAAACGTTGCGCCTTCCATAAGATTGTGTCTTGCTCTTTCCTGACTAAAAACCATACTTTCTCTTTCCTCGTTTCACGCATGTTGCAGCTCAACCAACTTGTTCCAAATACACACCAAACTTCAGTTGGAGTTCCATCTGAAGCTTCTCTTTTGATCCGAAGTACTACTTTTGTTTGCCAAAGAGAAGCCATTAACCTGCCAAGCATTTCAAGATGCGGTACCAAAACTGGGATGTCCTCGTCTTCCCAGACCAATCCAAGATCCCTTTGCAAGAGTTCAAAGCCGCTTGCCAGGTGATTCAAGATCAAGGTGATCTCATCGTCTCTTGATTGTCTATTTACATTCTGACTTGAACAGAATCCCACTCATCTCAAACCAACCCACATCTGCTTCCGACTGTTACTTCGTTCATCCCAGGTTTAGCTGCAGGCTCTCCCTTCCGCATCTCTATACACTCCTGGCAAAATCCAGAGATCAGCCGATATGTCACTAGCTTACAAAAGCCTTTGGACCATGTCATGTTTGAAGCCCGCGTCTTCATCGATGGAAGCATTTCAGGGTAGGAACCTAAACAATCCCCACAATACCCTTGTTAATTCCGCTAACTTGTATGACATACAGATCTAAATGGTTTGATCAGAATGGACCTTGGCCTACCATCATTGATATCAGCATCGGTACCTCAGTCATTTTCTGTGATCTGAATGGCTGCTGACTGACTACAGACCTCGACAAACAAGGTGAGTTTGAGAAATTGAAGTTCCCTACCTTCCATAAAGAGCTTTTGTCGCAAAGCTATTGGAATGCTGGAGATGATCTTGGCCGCATAAAAATTGTTATTGCAGAGGGATTCTCTCGAGACAACCTCACATATCCCTTCGAACGTGTCAAGAACATTGTGTCTTTCTCCTTCCAACATGCTCCGCTCGGTAAGTCCTCCTAATGGCGCTCCCTTGAGTGCCGCTGGATTCGCACCACACCATGATACGACCCGAGCTAATTACTTTTAGACGTACTCGAGACTTCTTCCATTGCTTGGCCAAATGAGTCCATGTGGCGACAGGTATCACTTGTTGGACCATATTATTCCCAACAATTCTCTCCAAGAAAGGTATCCGATATCATCGACGCTCACAGCCACTCTCCACGTCACACAACTAATCCACGAGAAGCCGGTGGTGCAAGCAATTCCACCATTGGCTCCATGTTCCCTCCTCCGCCAAATTTTCCCAAACAGACAACCTTTGATCCTTTCACCGAGCCTGTCCACTCTGCATTTATCGGTTGGCGCCAACCATCTTCAGATGTCTCCATGGGAGACTACTCCAACTCAAATACTCGCGCCAGTGCCAGCCGTAATGTTTCTGATCCAATGATTCTTACAGAGAAGCAAGATCGTCGATTTGAGTCCCTGCAAATGGCCGGGGCGTACGAATCAATCTGCGAGGCTCTTTCTGCGCCTATGCCTGCTGCTCCTGTCAATACTCCTCAGAACGGAGCTGGCACCCCACTTTCGGAATTACCCAATGCCCACACCTTTCGAGCTAAGACAGCAGGAGCAAGACAGCCATCAGTCAAGTTGGAAATTGATCCCAGTTGTAAGTTCACAGTCGGTAACTGTCAAATACACGCCACCAGCACCTAATACATATTTAGTGAGACCGACGTCAACTCGAATCGAAGCTTCGATCATAAACAGCGTCAAGAGCAAGCACAATAATGTCCAACCACCGCCTCTCGAGTCGACCGTAAACCCTTCGGAAGTTGTTCTCACTCGCAAAGCCTCCCTGCAAATCGCCACGGAAAATCACAGTGGCATCAAAAGACAGCGTGTCATTACCCCAGCGGCTTCCAAGGTAATTGATGATGAGGATGAACCACGATCCTCTCCATCGATCAGGAAGGTCTCTGTTAGAGTTGCAAAGCAGGATTCGAAGGAAGGCGAGAGAAAGATTCTTGGGGGTATTGAGAATGTTTAGAGGATGTTTGTACTGTTGATCGTATGAGTACTTGTGGTTTGCCTATGCATATTTAGCGAAAAGTGCCATGCTTGGTTCAAGCTGTTTAGTATTAATTTCCATGTTCAGGGAGGGAAGAGGTGGACATGGTCTTACCAATGGGATCATGGTTGGTACGATGATGGAAGGATGATAAATTAAAGTGCTATCATTGTTAGAGACCTATAAATACATTCTCTTCATGATGAGTCAAGCCTCCTGTCTCCGACGACATGTTCTAAAGCCGCCGCTCTATCTTCTGGTTCTGATGTCTTGAGATCTTGATATTTGGTGAATCGTCGATCGGGTATGTTGTGAAATGTAGACGCCCACGCTTAATGCCCTCAAAAGTCAAATGCGTATCCGTACCGTGCTGTGCTGTGCTCCGAATAAACAAAAAACAAAACAATACGCCTCAGCTATGCCTGCAACACCCAGATTACCACCCTATTGCGTATGTTCATATGTAAGCTTCTCTTCTCTCTTCTTCTCTTTCGTTCTCTCCTCTGCTCGAATTCATTTTCGCTTCTCTGCTCAAATCAATCTTCACTTCACTTCTTCCTCCCACTCGCACCAGTTGCCGTAATCTTGGACGTCGACATCAAATCCCCAATATACTTCTGCAGGAACTTATTGTTGTTGTCCAGCTTGTCATGCTCTTCCTTGACGGCCTCGATGCGATTGAAGATCTCGAGTAGAGATTTCTGTAAAATCTTTGCGTGTCTGTTGAGGGGGGGTTGTTAGGAATGGGTGGATGGAATGAATGAATGGTTGTCTTGTTCTTGGGTTTATTTGAAACGAAAACGGACATGTCGTTTGATTTAATTTAGAGGGGAAGAGAGCAAGGGAGTACGAACTCATTAAGCTGCGCCCTGGCATCCTGACCCATCTTCTCTAGATCCTGCTCGCTGCGCCTCGGGCTCATGGCGCGGGCATCATCCTCATCGAAGACCTCGTCGCTGCAGTTCAACTCCACCTTGGCCGTCTCGCGGGGTATGATGATGGTGCCGCTTGATTTGCGCGATGTCATCTTGGGGCGGCGTAGCTTCTGTGGTAGTTCTTCATTTAGGGAGGCGGTGGAGGACGAGGAGGAACTGTCTTGTGGGTTTGCGGGTTCGGCGATGTTGGGGACGGCGGAGGCGGACATGCTCAAGTTGATATTTTTGTTTGTTTGGCTGGCGAGTGTTTTTGTGGATGATTCTTTTTTTTTTTTCTTTCAAGGAAGGAAGGATAGATAGAAAGAAAGAAAGAAGGCTTAGGTCTCGGAGAGGGAGGGCTGAGAGGTGAAATTCATTGAATCGCGTGTGGTTTATCAACGATTGTTGACTGTCGAGGAAGTGCTTTTTGGGGGCTGTGAAGTTCTGGTGGAAATAAATTAGAGTGAGGGTGAGTGAGGGTGTGTGGACCCTTAAGCAGAGTCAAGGGCAGTGGGTTGTGGTGAGAGGCAGGGGGCGTGGATTGAGCGATGCAGGCGGCGGATTTCAAAACCCAAACAGAGCCAAAGAGAATGAATGGGGAACCCGCCGATCGCGTGAAGGCTCCACCAAAACGACACCCGGTAAAAGATCCATGATAGGAAAGCGTCATTGGTTGCTGCGCGCACAGTAGGTACGGAGGTATTGCTGCACGTAGCGTACGAGTGGGCAGGTACTCGTAAACCGTGGAGTCGTAGAGTACGCATTTGTACTATTCTCAATGCCGCGGACACGAAGACGAACAAGTACTGGAACTTATGGATACGGTCATTTAATGATGATTTTATGATGCTTCTATTCTTGTATATACCACATCTACCTACAGTACAGTACCTACAGTACCTCCTACCTTATCTTTACTTTTCTCACATATCCCTCCCTCGTTCGGCTCAAAGTCGGTCGGCGGGGCCACTACATTTCGGCTCAAAAAAGGTCTCGTGGCCGTCCTGTGCTCCACTCTTTCTTCACAGGTGGGAGCGAGAATGTGTGGCTTTCAGGGGCGGCGGATTCTTTGGCTGAGTTTACTCAGAAGCCCAATTCCACATGGTCGGAGTCAAACTCCTGAATCTTTCTCTACTACTGCAGGCTATCGAAAGTCATCATGCACACTTCTGTTTGCCATGCAGCGAGTAAGTAGTGCAGTGCAGTGCTCCCTTTTGAAAAGTCTCCGTCTCCGTCTCCACCCTCTCCTGTGTTTTGTTTCCTCCTTGGCGTTGAGTCTTTGCCCATACCTCCGTAAAAAGATGCTTGCAACTTTCCACTCACAGGATTCCGGCGTCAGAGTTGATAGACATACACCCCCCCCCCCTCCGCCCCCCCCCCAATCCATGATGACCTCATGTCATGTCGATCATCAAAAAGCCTTTCCCGTTGTTGCAGCTAGTGTTCTTCGGCTAGCCAATCCGCTGCCAGATCTGCATGCAAACTGCTGCAACAAAGCATACTGTAGCAGAAACTCGGGCCCAGTCGCCGGAACTGCAACGTCTGATAGGCCCCTCCGCCCCCCTCTGCATACTCTGAGAGTCTGACGCTCTCTCAAGTCTCAACCAGACAAATAGAAGTATCTCTTCGTCCCTGGCCGCTTCCCCACCTTCCGACCATGCGCAGCGTGATCTCTTTCTTTTGGCGCAATATGTAAGTATGTACAGTAAAGTAAGTACTAAGTGAGTGGATAGATAGCCATCGCTATGACACACGATCTTCCAAATCATCCTCTCCAAGCAGCAAAGCTTCATTTCAAGTTGGCAAAGTTTCACCAGATCCCGATTCCGAGACTTGTGAGTCTTGGGACAAACAAAAGGAGGCTGGAGGGAGATGCATCAAGAGGACTGTGCCCAGCACTGAAGTGATGACATCGCCAGGAGCCTGGAGGAGCCGTAGCCTTGTCGATAACCACGTACTTTTTCGAGGTACGTGGTATAATCATGCGGCAACCCTCAAAGGAAGCCTGATCTGAGGAGAGATGCTCTTTCACAAAGCTTGACAAAAGATGCTCAATACTGAGATGATCTTCAGTTTGATCACCCTCTGCCCATGGAAAATACTCCCGTGTCAGCACAGGCCTGCCCTGCGAATCTCAGCGCGTGCAGTACTCCCGTACTGTACAACAGAAACAGAGATCCCCTCCCCTCGCCCAACTCCGCCAAGTCCCGATAAAGCTCGCGATGTTGTTTGCCAGCCGCACGCTAGACAGAAAACGCGAACGCCACACCCAAGTTTTCGATGTCCCAGACAGGTGGGATCTCAAAAGTTGATGGTAATAATATTAAGTGCCGCTTTCTCTGTCCACTGCGAGTTTGCCTGCTTGCTTCATGCATGCAAAGTGGAAAGGGGCAGAGCCGCAGGGGGGCTGTTTGTTGCACATCACATCTCCCAAAGACACCGACACCGACTCAGATCATCACAGTACTTTTAAAGCGGTGAAACCCAATGATAAATATGGCCGACCACTTAAATTTTCCACGTCGGTCTCTCTATAATAATCCCGATAGTAATGCCTGGTGTAAAGTTCTGTAATTATCTGCACGTGCTTTGAAAGGACCCCCACGATCATCGGCAGTCGTAAATCCACGCCGCGACGGTGAGAAATTGCTACCAATCATCTAGGGAACTCCCCTAAATTTGGATGGTTCGAGTGCTTTCTGCTATTTGAGACTCGCAGGAGGCCTCACAGCGGACAAGTATGAGAGGGACCACTTTGCGAAGTATACCTTCCGCTTCCCCAAAATGAAAACAACTCATCCACACCGTGTCTATCACACTTGCTACTTCGTAATTTATAGGAACACACCACTCGGAATTACGTTTGAAGAGCGAGTTGATCTTCAAAGAACACCTCACCATACTCCCCTCCCCGCCTCATGGATCCCACGGACGAATTGGTCCGGCTTGACAAATCGGTAACCTGAGTACAGGAACTCTCTAGCACAAAATAACGAAGAAATATGCGATGGTCAAGCTGTGGCAAGAAGTCTCTTTGTGAGAAACAAATGTTTACCGCACTGTGCTTTCTCCTCATAAGCCTTGCTCTCCTGAATATCTTTTAGTACCATTTCAATACTAAAGGAGCACCGGCTAGTCGTCGCCTTACTGAGTTGCATAGCCGTTGCTTCCCATTGGAAATCTGTCAACTCTCATTGGCAGCTCTTGGCTTGCGGGTACCAAATCCACGTAAGACTTATTGCAGGTGCAATCAACCAGCTGGAGTGTTGGCAGACAGCGAACGTTCCTTCTTGCCTCAAAGCCAACCGAAAATCCAAGCAACCACTAAGAGAAGTTTTATTTTACTCATGCTCCTGCTCTGCATTGGCAGAACTTTGATTTCCCGTTTACTAATAGTAGGTATGTCAAGCTCTTCTGTGTATCCTATGCTATTTGGCACGAACTTTCTCGAGAAGGTAGTAGCAAGTTCAAAGAGCGCCTGCAGAAGTATTCTTTTAAGCTGAATGTAAATAGAGACTTCAGCTAATAAGCAGTAGACGGTTTCTTCTCGAATCTGCCAAAAATAACATGTAGGGAAAGGGTGTTCTCTGTACTTGCGAGCCGCGAAGATGGAGTAGGAGGGTGGGTGTCTCTGCCGTTTTCCGTCTATCGGTTCACATAACAATAAGTGCATACATACACCTTGGGCCCAAGGAGACTCGACGGCAGTATAGACACGGGTGAAGAGAGTCCGAAGATTCAGCTTCTCGATATGGCAGGATTCAATAACAGATGGGAGAGGAACGTTACGCATCGTAAAAGGGAAAGAGCAATTTTGCTAGGACAAAGGGGAGATGGAAAGTTGCGGCAAATAGCTAGACAGCCATCGCCTTTCATTAAATGCAGGAAAATATTCCGAACAACTACAGTATCACCGATACTTTGTAAGACGGCAAGGAAACAAGACATGGGGAGGACGTGCAGCTTATGCTTCACAATCGCAATCGCAATCGCAATCTCGATCCTTGGCGACCTTATCCTGCTGTATTACCCCGTGTGATGGATCCGTACTATACGAAGCATCAAAGCGGGACTTGACTTGAGTCGGACAAGCTTTGGGGTTGGGTTGGGGGAATTCCCGAGATCACTAAACGCCTCGAGATGCGCTAGGAACAGACAAGATTGCAAGGCAACGCCTCAAAACCAACATCTCGGCAAGACGTTAATAATCATAGAATAGGAGGTCAGACTAGTACGGTTCTGATTGCCAGATTCAGCAGCTTTTATCGCGGTTTTATGCAGTGTTCGCGGCTCACATGAAATTCAGTTCTACCTCCAGTTTGCAAACCTTTGCAGGTAGCCCTAAGCTACCAATCAATAGACCTTTTGCGTCTAAAACAAAGCTAAACAAAGCAATCGTCAAAAATTTCCTTTCCTACCACCTATTAGAACACAAAGCAGCTTTCTACCAGAGAGCTTTCTCCCGTGTCTTTCAAGGGCATATGTTGATATGGTTATGAGGTAGTGCTGGTTCTAGAGTTTCATAGGTTCACTTTAAATTTTCGCCATTCTTGGTGGTTTACCATAAGTCGACTTGAAATGAACTTCCATCTCCAGCTCTTAGCTATTCAGGAGTTGGATGCCTCAACATACAACTCGTAAATCAGCCTCATGCTCATGCTTATGCTTACGTACCTACTGTACTGTCCTCAGTTGCGCAATCGCTACACGAGGATTCCGTTTCACAGCCCGAGACAGCCTTCCCCTCCTGCAAACATGACATCCAAAACATGTCGCTACTGCACGTCAAACCCCTGTAAGCCGTCGGAGCCTCCTAATTTACTAAAAAAAGAGCCCCCATGGGCGCGGGCGCAGCTGCTGAATGCAGGCAGCGCAGCCCAGGCCGCTCCAAGCCTTAAAAGAGAACTCGATCCAACCAGATTTCCGTTTCCGTCTATTTTCAATATATAACATATATACACCTGTTCCCCCAACCCTCCCTCCCTCCGCCCTCTCCCTCCGTCCTCCCCTCTACTCATCATACCAAGCACCGGACGGACGGTATGGAATTCTCAATACCCACCGTGCGCATACTCACCCTTATCGCGTTCCTCGTCGCGGTACAAGCATGTCTCGCGCAAAGCAGCAGTAGCACAACAACAGGCTCAGCTTCTTCAAGCTCAAGCTCAAGCTCAGCCGCAACTGCAACTGCAACTGCAACTGCATCAGCGAGTGTATACCCCGACACGACGAAATGGGAATACGTAGGCTGCCAGAACGAAACGACGCTCCGGAACAACACCAACGGGCTGCGCGCGCTGAATAGCGGCGTCTCGGAGTCGCTGGAGCTCATGACGGTCGATACGTGCTTGACGTATTGCGCAGGTGGCAATTATGCGTTTGCTGGGTTGGAATATACCAAGTGAGCCTCTCTCTGACTTGGCCTCCATCTTACTTAGCCTCTCCCATCTCTCTTTCCCCCTCCCTCCAAATCCAAAGAAATCAATTGCAGTATATAAGCCGCCCGTCTTCCAACAACTTGATTTCCTCTTCTTGATTTCCTCTTCTATTTTTCTAATACCAGAACAGGGAATGCTATTGCTCGCAACTCCTCTCGGCGCTATCCGCTAAACTCCCCGAGTCCAGCTGCAATTTACCATGTGCAGGCAATGGCTCACAGGTTTGCGGCGGATCGCTGGCGCTTACTGTGTACAAGGCGAAGAGCTCGAAAGAAGGGACGGGGTTTACGGTGCGGCAGCCTCTATCGAGTAGTGTTTTGGCATTGGGGATCGCGTTGGGCGTCTTGTTGTGCTTGGCTTGATGCTTTTTTCTTTCTAGACTTTGGATTTTGGATTCCGCATTGCATTGCATTGTATTGCATTTACGAGATATGTGTTTCGATCTGGGGGAAGAAAGGCGTTTAAGGGATCGGGTCTATATATATCCATTTCTGGTGGTTTGGGATAGTCATACCTATCTATATGGGCAGGGAGTTTGGATTGGTGTTTATTTAGCGGGCATACTGACTGAGCATACTGAACATTTCTTAGGCGTACTACATACGTGTAGGGATTTGCATACAAGGCGTTTTGAAGCAATAGAGAGCTCGATGAAGAGCAAGAGATACCTAGATTTAGATACGATTACGATACAATACCCATTATAATTCCACTACCCCAATCCCCCGTTCCCGAACCGCATCTTGCACTTTCTCTTTAACGCCCTCTAACGCCTTTCCCCAAGCCCGTTTCCCCTCATTGTCGGGCGACTCGTCAATAAGCCAGGTTATCCACTTCACAACCCCAACAACCTTACCCACATCCCGCTCATACAGTACAACGCGCCGCAAATACCGCTCCATAGCAGCTACATCCTCAGGATGCGGCCCATCACCCGCAAACTCGTTATGCCACGCACTCAGCGTCTCCCTAAGTTCCGGCAACGTACTCAGTTCCTGCGTCGTGAACGTCGGTTTCCGCTCTTTGGGTGGCAACTTTATCCTCCGCTGTCCTAATACAGGAGCTTCAGGCACTTTCCGCTTCTTGGGAGGCAGCAGGCCTAGCCCCCCTTTCTTAACGAGACGCTTCCGTCGATGCTCGTCGATGATTTCTTGGCGCATGTCGTCTGGCAGCGCCGAAAGGAAATCCGGGTCTAGCATTTCGTCGCCTTCCGAGTCGGAGGGTGCGCGGAAGGGGTCACGGGGTACAAAGTTTGACTGTGTGAAGTTGGAGTGGGCGTCTTGTTTGCGGGCAGCGTCGAACCTTCGTGGCCGTCCGCGGCGGGTTTTGGTTGGCGTTGTGCGTTTGAGGGCGCGGGGTTTACGAGGTGATTGGGGGAGGATGCTTTGTGCTCGAGGGAGAGGAAGTTCTGCGTGTGCTGTGTATGAGGCGAGGATTTCGGCTTTCATTTCTTCTGGGAGGGCATCGAAGACTTCGGGGTCGAGTTGTGAAGGTAGAGGTGCGTTGGACGCTTCAGGACTTGGACTCCGAGAAGGTAATTTGAAAGCTAGAGGCTGGTCTCTTGATACAAGTCTGCTTTTGTGCTGTGCCATGAGCTTAGACCTTATGTCTTGGGGGAGCTCCGCTAACACTGCTGGATCTATTTGCGTGGGAATGATGAATTGGGTACCAGTAAGGTTCAAGAACTTCTTGGCACTTTGGTCAGCAGCATTAGCTCTGGCAATTGCAGCTGCTGGATGAACTGGTGTGGCTTTTGCTTTCTGTGGGCTCTCCAAATCATCGATAGGGTCATCGCTTTTCAGCCATCGTGGAGCTGCCGATTTGGTTTTCTCCAAGGTAGCCGACCCATCAATCTGATCCTTAAATAGTGTGACACCGGGTCCCTCTCGACAGGAAGGCGTGGCTTTTGACTGCTCTGGCGTCATGGGATCATCAATAGGATCCTCGGTGACCTGCTTGACTAATTTGGGTGTAGCAGGTGCTCCAAAGTTTATGCGTCTTTGGCTGCCTTCCACGACAGCATTACCGGCAAACTTGACAGGATCTAACTTCGTCATTTGAACACCAAGACCACGAAGCTCTCCAGGTGAAAATCCGTAACTGCGGAGTACAGAGATTGCCTCGCGTCCGATGACTTCAGCACTGTTCGTAGCTACTCCGAGAACGATACTCTTGTTGTAAGTGTCACATTTCCCATGTCCCAGATGTTTTGGCGGGTCTAGCGGTGCATCTGCTGCTTTTTTCATAATTTTCATAGTGAGCTGTCTCCCCCTTACTCTTTGCTCGATAAGGCGACGTTGCAACTCAATGCAGAGGTTTTGAACAAATTCTTCGGCTTCAGGCTGGGATATAAATCTGATTCCCCAGTTGACTTCGGCAGATACCGACTTGCGGAGAACTTGCTCTCCAACTTCGGTTCTGTCGATACCACGAGAATAGTCCCAGATCTTCTCTCCGGTTTTAGGCCCAAGAACTGTCATTAAACGATCCTTGTTCAATTGACGAACGTCTTTGACAAACCTCACCCCGATTTCCTCTAATTTCCCTCCAATGCTGTAAGCGACTCCTGGCAGACTCTGGATAGTCAGCTCCCCAATGAAGTCCAACACTTCCTCGGGTTTGATTTGGTGTTGTCCCGCAGGTTTGGCCTTTCGGAGTGCCACTTTTGCTAAAAGAATATTCCCACCTATTCCAACTGAGACCGCACATCCCGTCTTTTCCTTGATTCGTGATCGAAGATTGTGAGCGATCTCATCCGCTTTCTCCTGCTCACGCCAGATACTGCCCTCCTCGATCCCAAATCCATTAGTGCCACCCGCAGGTAGGCACAGAAAAGTGATATCGACGAGGGCCTCGTCAACACTAACACTTTGCACAACACCCCCAACGTCCAGAATAGCCTCGTAGAAACCTTCACTAGCTTCTTCGTAAGCAGGAAAGTCGTAAGGAAGGACTTTGATGTTTGAACACAGCTTTAAAGCGTTCTTCATCCACATTCCATTTTTGACACCAAACTCGCGCGCAGGGTAGTTGCAGCTAGCGATTTCAGACCCAGTACCGCTTCCATGGGCTACTACCGCTGGCTTGTCAACATACTCTGGCGCGCTTTTGAGGGAGACTGCACAGAAGAAGCTGTCGAAATCTACATGCATGATGTATCTTCTGGCGCCTGGTTTACGTTTGACGTGCTGCCGCTGCGAAGCTGATTTCTCGGCTGCCATTTGTTGAAAGCGAGATTTGAGATCGGATTTCCAGGTTGATAGGTGATGCAGACGAGACTCTGAATAGTACTGTTTGATAAATTCTGGATTGGCTGTCGATGATTTCCTGATATGCGGGTCTGCCAGTAAAATCGCATTGTGCTCTTCAGCAGTCAGTATTTTGGCTTTCTTGGAAGGAGATTCCATCTCAATGTCATGGGGTCGCTTGCGAGAACGTGAGTGAACTTCTGGAGTGGGAAGGGCGGAAGGGGTAGCATCTTCGGGTAGTGGGTTCTCTATTATACCGGCTCCAGCTTCAGACGGCGTCCTCATGTGAGGGGGTATGTCCTCGACTTTTGTCTCTGTTACCAGTGTCTCGGGTGTTGGATTCTCACCAGCTACTACATGGTTCAATGCATCTTCCAACGATGATGTGACCTCAAAGTTCCCAGATGAGACGGGATTCTCGTCAGGAATACCTTTTAGCTTCTCTGCGGCGGCTTCGATGCTTTCCCTCGGTTGGTCCGGAGAATCATTCATATAAGTCCCTGTTCCGTTGAAAGCGACTGATTGAGTACTCGGGAAATGGGCTCCCTCATCATCGTCTATATCATCTGCGACATTTTTGACTTGGCTCGTGTACCAACTGGTACTCGTTTGGTCCCGGTAGCCCCTTTGCTGGGTATTGGCCTGACTAACCATTCGACCTTCGTCGAATCCTAGTAAACGTTGACCGGACCCTTCATCGAGTACCCGGTAAGAGTCCCATGGTAACAGCTTCCCAGCTTTCACGCTATCCACAACCCACGCCGGCTTGACGATTCGATACCTACGAAATTCGATAGCCTTCTTCGGGGTTAGATTCGCAGCGATGATATGAGTGACTGTCGTCTTTCCGTCAAGATATTGCATGAACCCACCGCCATGACTGACAATGAGATGATGGAGATCGTTCAATGATGGTTGGGTATACCCATTTACTTGCGCCACGATACCTCGGAAGATTTGTGGTTTGCCAACGGACGATGACCGGACCTCTGCGTCCAGATTCTGAAGCTTTATCTTCTTGCGGCGGAAGTAATCCGAAAATCCTCCAAACTTGGAACCCTCATACTCGTCGCCTTCCTCATTTTCGAAGTTGTGAGCCTCGATCCGCTTTCGTACCGACTCGGAGTTCTTCTCCAATAGGCTCCCCATATTGGCTCAGTAGTAGCAATATCGAGGCATCAACAAAGCTGTCACCGAAAGCGCATTTCAAATCTCCATGAACGGATCTTCTGTGTGTCTGGACGCCGGTCGCATGAACGTTGTTGAGTTGGAAAGGATTGAAACATGGCATCTGCCCCCCAAACGCGTTAGATCTCGCGCGGTGTCACGTGTGGCTCGCGGGTCCACTTTTTGCATCCAACGCCAGCTTTCTTCGATGCCAATGGCTCTTGAACTTCTTGCTTGAAGGCAAGTCAACGAACGTATTGCTATTTTACCAAATCAACAAGTGTTATTAAGTGTTATCACTGAAACAGAATAACATACCCAGGTTCTCGCACTATATGTACAATTTGCGGTGTGTGCCGTTCGACCTAAGATGATGATGGCTATCTTTAGTGTACCTCGTCATCATTGCCCTCCTTGTCCTCCGGAATTTACATTCTCCTGTGTTCTCTTTATACCATCATATCCTTGCACTTGATACTTACTTGTTGCTTTTTTTCAACGGTCAAGTTTCTTGAGAGGAAGTAAGAAGTCAAGTACAATTTTGAAATAATGCCTGGCGCAGAATGCGAAACATCGCCACTTCTACGAGACCAGGAACATGGGGATTCTGCCTATGATGAAAGACAAGTAGGTTCCAGCGATTTTACAGAAACTCGCATTTCTTCTTACATGGGTCTTTTTAGGAGGTAGTCCTTTCCACAAAAGATAGATCACATCCGCGAGATTGGCCGGAATGGAAGAAATTATCCAATATCGCGGTGATTGCAAGCATGTCCAGTAAGTCATCTGATCCTTGCCGTGGAATAAGATGTGGCCAAATATCAAGTCGTTAAGTCTGAGGATGTTCATTCATTGAGAGATGTCAATCGTTCGACCAAGTCAACGACTTGAAATATGTTTATGCCGATACAGCCATCTCTTCTCAGCCACCTAACAACCATGCAGTTCTTAGCCCGTTGGCCAGCAGTATTTTCACTCCTGGAATAGACCGGATTGCCAAGTCCCTTCATGCCACCAATAGCGCTGTCATTGGATGTCAAACAGGATTTGTTATTATGATTGGTGTTGGCCCTTGCCTTCTTGCACCGCTGTCGGAGACTTTTGGTCGTAAGCCCTTGTACCTAATCTGCTTTACTATTTTTGCGCTTCTTCAGATACCTACCGCACTAGCACCCAATTTACCGCTTCTCATTACCGCTCGTACTTTGGCGGGCTTCTTTGGAAGTGTTGGCATTGCGAATGGAGGAGGAACAATCAGTGATATGTATGAACCCACTGAACGTGCTGGTATCTTTGGGTGGTATCTATTAGGCCCCTTACTAGGACCGACTATTGGACCTTTGCTCGGTGGAGTCATTATGGAAAACTTGGAATGGCCGGTAGGAAGAATTCCCCTTATTCCCCTGTTCAAAGACTTCTGAGAAGCAAAGTACTGATTCGATTTAAAGTGGCTCTTTTGGATCCTCTTCATAATCTGCAGCGTCGTAGTCGCTGGTGCACTCTTTTTTCTCAGAGAGACTTACGTTCCAGTGCTTCTAGCCCAACGCAAAAAACAGCTCGAAAGAACAGAGGGTGGCAATTACTTCTTCCAGGATGAAAGTGAGGAACCGCTTTCCACCAGACTTGTCCACTCTGTTCAACGCCCCATACGTATCCTGTTCACTCAACCCATCGTCATCGCTATGGCTACCTACCAAGCGCTCATATTTGCCACAACATACAGTCTCTACACCCAGTTTCAAGCCATATACGGCGAGAAGTATGGCTTCAACACTCTCCAGGTCGGACTTGTATATCTTGGCCCTGGCCTAGGATTCCTGACGGCGGTCTGGTTTCTCGTTCCTAGCATTGATACTGTTTACAACAGACTAGCAAAGAAGCACGGAGGGGCGAAACCAGAATACCGTCTCCCACTCGCCAACATCGGTGCTGTTCTGATACCCATCTCGCTCTTCTGCTTCGCCTGGGCTGTCGAACTTCACACCCATTGGTTCGTTTCTATCGCTGCTACGTACTTCTACGGAATCGGTCAAGTCGTAATTTTCAATTCATTGCAAAATTATTATATCGATACATTTGAGAAGTATGCAGCGAGCGCTGTGGCGGCTGGAGCACTGTTTAGGAGTCTCGTTGGTGGTGTGGTGCCGATGTTCACTCCCATGCTGTTGGAAAAATACGGAGTCGGATGGGGTATAAGCTTGTTCGCATTTATTGGTGTCTTACTAGCTCCGATCCCAGTAGTGTTCTGGTATTATGGAGAGTTTTTGAGAGAAAGATTTGCTATTGTCCTTTAGCAAGCTGTTGGTGATAAATGATGTTTAGAGGAGCTGGGTAGTGTTGTTGCAAGTTGAGAATAACTTGGCATTGCGGAAAACTTTGTATTGGATATAGAAATGACTCCATCCCGTTAAAACCGAAGGTTAAGCTCTCATGAACTGTTTTGAAGTCCGGGCTGAATGTGCTCAAGCAGGCGCTAATGACGACTTGATGCATCTGAGCTCTATATCCACCGCAAAATTGGACCCTGGACGTACGGAGGTATGGAAAAGGTGTGTCTTCTCGATCATCCCGCACAAATGCCAACTTCTAGATATGTCTCCGATCGACCTCTTCCACATGCTGACCCCCGAATACCTCACCGACTGCAACCTCCCAGCCCCCCTCATCTCACTGGACACCCCATGCACAAGTAACAAACATATCTTTCTTCCCCTTTTTCCAACAACTGAAACTGACCCAACCCTAAATTCAGTCTCCTAAATCTCCCTGCCCACCACCGGCTCCCATATTCTCCTAACCGCCTCCGCAACTTTCAAACTACCACGCACCACCACCTCCTCATCCGTACAGCCCGGGTCCCTTGATATCCTGCTCATCCCCGCATCAAGTATTGGGCTCACAGGAATTAGAATCCATCAGAGGCCACGCAGCGCAAGGCAAAACAGACGTGTTGAGCATCTGCACAGGCCGTTTACTACTTACCGAAAGCGGGGTTCCGAAGGGTAGGAGAGCAAATGGATGGCCTGCGTTGAGGGAACGGTTTCCGGAGACGGTTGTGGGATGATAGCCGACGTTGGGTGCGGGATGGGAATGTTTGGAGTGGTGGTAAGCTAGGATGAACGGACTGTTTTTGCATTGATGTTTAAGTAGAGGGGGTGTGAGTGATTGAATATGTGGAATCTAGATGTCTGGACTGACTAATATGGGTGGATTGTAGGAGGCGTTACGAATGGTCAGGAGATGGTGGCTGCGTATATGAGGGAGAAGTTCCCTGGGCCGGCTGCTGAGGCCATGTTTACCATGGCGGATGTGGGGGGGAAGGGGATAGTGTATAGCAAGAGTAAGCCTGGCAGGTAAATGGTTTGGTGGTTGGAGTAGATTTTAAAGTCGTTGAAGGGGGGATGGGAAGCCGAAGGAGGTTTAGGTGGGATGTTCTAATGTCATGCTGAAGCGGTTGAACGAACAGTGGAGGGAGGGACTTGACTTGGAAGCATTGCCAGCTTACAGGAAGGTAGTAGAATCAGTACTTACACTTTTAGGGTTCAAATAGGATTTTCATTCTGCCGACCCTCTAAACTGCTTGCTTGGTAGTTTATTTTGATGCCCTTTGTACTGTAACTGCCATGTACTGTACTCAGGTAAGCGAGCCAGCCTCCTTTTCACTTCATACTACGACTGCAGAAGTACAACACAGCGATATAAGACCACGCCCATCGCCTCCGCCACATTGCAAATTAACAAACAAGACACCACGATGATATATCCAGAGCTAGCTACAACAAGTTATCTAACAGTCCACGTTTCCCCTAACAGGGAAGCAAACTTCTCGCTTCCAATTGCAAAATCGAAGCCGCGTTCCTCTCTCTCTCCTTCCCATTGATAATAAAGATGAGTAGGTAGATGTTGATGTTGTCATGACACCAAATGCAGTTGAGAATGCTTTGCTAAAAAAGAAATTCGCAGAAATATGCAAACAAAGATCAAGGGGAAAAAATCCGCTATTACAAAATAGATATTGCAGACTCCCTCCCAGTCGAAAAGCATAATACCAAACAAAATTTAAAAGAGCAAAAGGTTCACAAGGCGTGATGCACGCCTCGCCCAATGTCTCGTTAAGAAACCTGCTTGTTTCGTGATATACCTACCTAGGCATATACGAGGTATATACGGAGTAGTAAAAATAAACTGCCGAAGTTGCCTCACAATGGCTTAAGGTAGGGTAGGGCCTTGGCACCTTGGCGGCATATAACAGGTGCTATGCTATGCTATCACCAAAATCTATTTATTCTCTCGTACTCGAAAGAACGCTGCAGTTCCTCGCTTGCAGATTTCCTGTCTCTCAAGAGAATTCAAAACAGCGGATTCCGAAGCTCAATAAATTACCGTTTGATGAAGTGGCGAGTTTCTTCCTGTTATATGTGGGGTTTGAGAGGGTGGAGAGGATGATAGAAGGGGAGTAGGAGGAAGTTTGTTGTTAAGACTTAATGAATCTTCTCTTCTAATATTCCTGTATGAGTCTTTTTGATTTCTGTACCTAACGTGGTGAGTGGAATGCCTTTTTTGAATATTCACATTTCCATGTGTGAGTTGCATCCATTCTATGACTTCATGTCACTGGTTGGTAAATCCCGCACTGGCTCTTTCCTCCACAACATCAGCTAAGTAGCACAACGGCTAGGTACATTCAGGCATGTGTTTTTGTTCCTTCGCGCTCCCGAAACGTGGATGCCATGTTGTCCTCTAGAAGTCCCGTGTTGAGTGAGAGGACCTAATGACTACATTATAGTAGTACAATATTTTCGTAAAGTCGCATAGTACATGTATAACAGGGGTTCGCCTACCGTACTACAGGTAGGCTGTGAAGCCGAATTAGGAATCTTCGAATTGCAAAGAACCTTCGGCGGTGAACTTAGAAACTGTGGCAAATGATGGCTTTGACGTATCTATCGGGGCCCAGAGGCACAATCGGGTCTGCGAGATCAGATCTTTGGAATCATGGGCAGCTCTCGTATTCAGTGTAACTATTAGGATTGTACGAGTCTATATTTTACGTGTCACGAAAGCCTATTTCAGTTTACGAGGGGGAAGAGAAGGCGGTGTGTATGGTCAGGAATGAAAGATAGCCGGATGATATTGTACTTGGAAGCGCTTTCGTCTGATGTTGTGCCAGGCTGATGTTGTTCAGCTGGCCGTTTGATGGACAGCGCGTGTGCGTCACGCAGTTCGGATCCCGAAGTACGGCATATGTAATAGATATGAGATAAGAATTCCCAGGGTCAGACTCGAACGGGATGGACAAAAGAAATAATGAGAATATGAGGCAGCTGGTAAGGGAGTACAGATACGTCATGTGATGGATATTCCACGTGATTTGCGGTCTCCCTTCATAGGAGATCTCTTCGTAAAAGAATGTAGAAATGTGCATTACGTGTTGGTTGGATGGACATGGTTACTGCCACACAACAAAGACGAAAATGGGCGCATGCACAAAGACTTCATAGTGCAGAAGATGGCTTGCATAGTTCACACAAGCGTCATTTTGGAAAGCGAACCAGAAGGCTGTTCCTGAGTCTAGCAGTCTAGCTCCAGGGGCAAGTGGAATTTAAGCTCCATTTCTCCCGGCTAAGGCCGCGTCGGTGGGCGGATGCGGTGCGGTACTAAAACATTGCGCGTCACCACCACCAAACATGAGCTCAGTTTTCAGCACAAACACCACACCAATAGGATATTTTCTGCCTACTAGGATAAACGTCGAGGAGAAAGTACTCCAGGTACTCCACTGATGCCAGGCGGACGTTGGAAAGATTCATCGAGTTGGAGATGCAGAGGAAAACACCTGCAATAATTGGCTACACTACTCGGTGAAATACTACTGATCAGTGTTGGATGACCTGACATTCCCCACCTGCCTTCTTTTCAAGGCTATTATTGAGTTCTCGTCGATACTGTAACTTGGTCAAGCGTAGCAAGAAAGCAAAGAAATAACTCATTACTGTACTCGTACGCGTCAACCTTTAAGACTTTATCGCAGAACTCAAGGCATCCCCACTTGCCAATTTGACTTGCCCTCTCCGTGCCGTCAAGTCGTCGTCGTCGTCGCTTCTGAGTGCTAACCGGTCCTTTCTTCGGCACCTGCTGAACTGGAGGAGGCGTGGTATTCATCGCATGTTGGCTCATCTGCGAGAAATTGGCGCCGAGCCGAAATGGGATGAATCCAACGGTAGGGAGTAACATTCATCGAATCAGCGACTCTGTTGTGACTGTAGTGAAATTCGAATAATGCGGAGAAGTTTGGATCGGCAAGCACACATCACATCGCATCGCTACAGTCAGCGAGCGACAGATTGACTTTTCCCCAAGATTCATGATTTCCAAGACTAAAAGCAGGTATATATATATATATA